TAAATTTATAAATATATATATTTTTTTAAATTTTATTAATTAAAAAATTATTATAAAATATTAATAAAATAAATAATAAAATAAATAATAAATATTATATAAATAATTAATAAATAAATATATAATATTTATTATTTTAATTATATAAATATTATATTATAAAAAATATAATTTATTATATTAATAAAAAATAAATTAAATTATTATTTATAATAAAAAATATATTATTAATAATAAAATAATTTTAAATAATAATTAAGAATAAAGTTAAATAAATAATACGAGGCGGGTTAAATAAGTAATATACGGGGTTATTATATATTATTAAATACTTCGCTTTTTATATAAATTTTTTAATGTATATTTATACTATTTAACAAGTTTTAACCACCTTATTTTTTAATAAATATGCGCCTTTTTATTAGTTAAATTTTACACCGTTTATTTAATAATATCTTTATTTTATATTTTATCTTATATTTTTTTATATAACTTTTTATTTAATTTCATTTAATTTATTTTATTTTAATTTATTTTTATTTTAATTAATTAAATTTAATTATAATGTAAAACTTATATGTTTTATTATATTATTTTTATTTAATTATATACGTTAATTAATTAATTAAAAGTTAATGCGGTTATATATAATTATTATAAAGTAAAAAAGTTAAAAATAAAACTTAATATATATATATAAAGTTGATTAATTAATTAATTAAATAATTATATTATATAAAGTTAATAAATAACTTAATAAACGGTAGGTTTAACAACGTTATTATAAATGGTACATATACGATTAAATAAATTATATAAAAAATATAAATAATATTTATATAATACTTATTAACCCCGTTATTTATATAATTATACGGTATATACTATTTATTTAACTTGTTTTATATTACTTATTTAACCTTATTTATAATTAATAATAAAAATAATTAAAATTTTAAAAATTTTAAAAAAATTAAAAATAATTTAAAAATAATTAAAAATATTATATAAATTAAAATTAAAATTTTTTTTATAATTTTATAAATAAATTTTAATATTAAAAAATAATTTAATAATTAAAAAAAATTTTATAAAAATTTAAAAAATTATTATTTATATAAATAAAAAATTTATTTTTTAAATTATATAAATTTTATTAAAAAAGATTTATTATTAAATATATAAATAATATTTTTTTATATAAATTAAATTAATAAAAAAATTATATTTAATTAAAAATAATTTATTAATATTTATTTTTATTATTATAATTATTTTTTATAAAATTTTATTTAATAAATAATTAATTAATTATAAATTTTATATATTAAAATAAAATTTTTATTAATTTATTATTTATTTATTTAAAAAATTAATTATATTTATAAATTTATTTTAATATATATTAAATTATATTTTATTAAAAATAATATTAATTACGTAATGTGCTTATTATTACGTGCGTAATATACGAGGTATACTTTTAAGTAAGTTAAAATCGTTTTTCGCACTTTTTTTTAAATAATTTTATAAATTTTAATTTAATCTTTATATAATTTATACCGCAATTTAAATAAAAAAATAACAAAAATTACAATTTAAGATGCACGTGATCTAGATTAATATTAACCCGGATGCAACTGAAAATATACATTTTAATTATAATAACTATTTTAAGGCTTTTTTTAATAACCTTTATCCTTTATAATCCTTACACCTTTCACCCTTAATAACTTTATAAATATAACCCGGAAAAATTTCGAAAAAATCTTAATATTTAAATAACTAAACTAGTAATATTATAAAAAAAAGCCCAAAATTTTAACAATTTATTTCGTAAAAATACGGCTATTTTTATATAATAAGTTAAAATAAACTAATAAATACTAGTAAAAAAGTCACTTTATATATATAAATACTTACCTTTTAAATATTTCAATTAATTCGATGCCGGATTACGTACAACCTAGACCGTAATTTTCGTTATTTTTTTAATTAAATTAAAATATAATTTATTAATGATTTAAATAAAGATTTAAAAAGTTATTAAAGTAAACGTTAAAAAAGGATAAAAAAAAACCGGGTACGTACCCTTTAAATACCCCGCATATTACGTAAACAATAATGGGTATATTACGTAATTAATATTACTTTTTATTAAAATATAAATTATATTTATTTATTATAAATATTTTAAAATATAAAATTTATATATTTATATTTATAAATTATAATTAAATTTTTTAATAAATTATAATTTAAAATTATTTTAAATTTAAATTTATATTATAAAAAAAATTTAATAATAAATTTAAATATTATATTTATAAAATTTTTAATATAATATTATAATATATAAAATAAAAATAATATTAATTATATAATATATTTATTATTATTTATATAATATTTATAATATATATTTAATTTTTCTTTTAATATTTATTTTAATAATTTTATAAATATTATTTTAAATTTTATATAATTTACGTTAAAATTTAAATAAAAAAATATTAAAAATTACGGTTTAAAATATATATAATTTAATTTTAAATTTATTAAATTATTAAAAAAATAAATATTTATATATGTATATAAAATAACTTTTTTATTAACGTTTAATTTTAATTAATTAATGTTTAATTTTAAATAATTAATATTTAATTTTAATTTATTAATATTTAATTTTAATTAATTAACGTTTAATTTTAATTTATTAATGTTTAATTTTAATTAATTAATGTTTAATTTTAATTTATTAACGTTTAATTTTAATTAATTAATGTTTAATTTTAATTTATTAACGTAAAATTAATATATAAAATTAATAAAGTTAAATTAAATTTTATTTAAACTTTATTTATAATATATATTAAAATCTTTTAATATAAATTTTTAAATAAATTTAAAGTATAAAAATTATTTTTTTTCGAAAATATTATATTTTAAAACTATATTTTACCGATATAATACCTAACTTAAGGCAATATAAAAGTACAGTTAAAACATTGATAAATATTAATAATAATAACATCATTTTAAGTTTACCGAGAAATGTACATATACTTATAAAGGTACGGGTGCTTTGAACGGTATCGACTTACCTAAGACAGCTAAGGTTAAGATTATACACATACCTAAGTACCTATGTATATATATCAATGACGGACCCTCAAGATCTTCAAGATAACATTAATACATAAATACCTAAGTCAACGTACGGTTGTGCAGCATTGCAAGCCCTGACCGACTTCCCTTATTAAGGTACCTTTGTTAGGTACACGTGCATGCCACTTCTCGAATTATCAAAACCCCTAGTCGTCACATGCAGCTTCCGGCTCCCGGATTAGGTACAGAGTACAGATAGGCACCAATCAACTAATAGCAATGACTTCAGCGTTTGTCCGATCTTAAGATCGACCTTGTTGATAAGATGTTCTCTAGACTTTCTTGATATAAAGTTATTTCTCCATTAATACATCACAGATATTTTTGGCATATTTCGACATAGTTCAGATCCATCGTCTCGAAATTCAGTCCCATTTATAATATGTATAGGTATGAATTGCATCTAATTGTGTCTATACGTTCATCCAACCGGATAGCGCGAAAGGGTTTAAGGATTTCTGTTATAAGTGCGAATTCTATTATAATTGCTGGCGACGCCGTAATTCGACTATAAAGTAGCGTCTCCCCAGGATAGGCGAAATGCATCCAATGGCAGACAACACCGGAAAGCCAATGAGAGGATAAACTGCAAGCCACGATATTCTATACTCCTGCGTAATAACCATCCAGGTTGAGGCGGAGTTGACCTGCCAACGTATCAACAGAACCAAGACTCTCCACGATGCACACCGAGTTGGAGATAGTTTAAACGGCGTACTACTCCTAATATATGTCCTCAAGTGATTTGATACCTTCACCACTTAACCTCCAACTCATTCACTTACCACTTATGAATTACTTATTCCAGCCTAGTCTTATACCTTTTAACCTCACCGCCAACTCCGTCATCGTCACACTCTAACACGTCATGAGTCCTCAGTAGTTCGATTGATAATCCATTGATTTTGAGGAACACACCACCAAACATTCCAGATGCCTATACGAGATAGTCGGTGGAGAGACTATGCGCGAAGGGTTTCTCTCACCGAATTGCAACCCCGTGCTTTACCGGGTTGGGTCCCGAATCTTCGGATGGGCACACTTCACGTGTAAATTGACAACCCGAGAGTCATTAGGAGGGCCACTCCGGTCTGTGGATACGTCTCCGTCTCCTTTAAATGAATACGCAAGTGCTTTGATGCGCATTCAAATATTCTAAAGATAGGGCGAATAAGTATTGGCCCAATTCCATATCATAAACGGATCTAGTAGCCATAACCGTGACAACATGGTACAAACTTTCCAACCCCCATAAATCAATTGTCATCAAGAAAGGAAAGCGTTACGATCGACGAGAGTAATAATTGCCTAAAATAATTGCCTAGATTGAATCCATTGCTTAACTACACCTTTTATATAAATTCCTAATACTCCTATAAAACACACATTATCTTTCAGGAAACTCTCAGACTATATAATCGTGGGTAAGTTAATCTGAACACCTCATAGTAAAAACCATACCATACCCGGTCCAGCAGAATCACTAATAGGATAATCAATTCGAATGGCCGTAGTATCCATGAAAATTATTTAAGCTTAGGTACAGTTACGCTACGGTCATCATTCACTATATTACTCTGGTACCTATGCTAAGTAAAATATAGGTAACAATAAATATATTTGCAAAGTAACCTATGGTAATAATCCAGGGCAGTAAATGATATAATGAATGCCAGAGCGACATCTTGCAACCTGAATAGGAGGAGCTACCTATACTATAGGATCTCATTACTTTGTAAGTTGATTATTCGTCGTGAGTTTACTTATCTAAATAAGCATCATGAACTAATCAACACGAAGGCGCCCATTCCCTCTTTATAGCGCAAGAGCTTCTTGCATAGTTGGAAGCTAGATCAGCCACACCGATCATCAAATGATATATCGGTAGTGGAGGATAAAGGCTATGTCAAGTACTCTAGAAGGCAAATACCTGGTCTTCTAGCTTGCTAACGGGACGAGCCTTCTGGAAACCGAGGCTCTCCGTTGCCTTCTTCAGGCCGCCGATCATGGGCGGTGGACCGCAGAGCAGTATCTTGACGTCCGGAGCAGCTTTCGGTAGCCATTTCTAATTATTTCTTAGCTTTTGGCCCAGATCTTATTTAGTACGAAGGGAACTTACAGCAACCATGTCGGCAGTGACGAATCCAACACCGCCGGTCCATCCCTCAGGAGGCTTGTCGAGGACGTAGTGGACCCTGAAACCGGAATCCTCCTTCGCTAGAGCATCGAGGTCTTCTTTTAGTAGGATGTCTTGCTCGGTGACATTGGCGAAGATCAAGTCCACCTGGGTTCGGTCGCCTGTGGGTCGTCCTCGGATAATGGCCCTGACAACCTGGAGCATAGGAGTGATACCAGTACCACCAGCAACCATTCCGAAGTGACGGACCATGTTGGGAGTATAGACGAAAGCACCCTTGGGTCCCCTTACACGAATCGTCTGGCCAACCGCAAGCGATGCCATGTGCCTCGAAATATTACCGGTCGGGTACGACTTGATAAGGAGGTCGAAGTAGCCAGGTTGGTGGTCACCAGAGATGGGAGTGTACGATCGCACGATCTCCTTGGTAGTGCCATCGGGTTGCGGGAGAACGGCGCCAATTGAGATGTGTTGGCCGATTGGGAGACCGAGGATGGACGTCGGAGCGGGCAAAGAGAACCGGTAGCTGTAAAAAGTCAATGGGGAGAATACTAGCTACTATGGAAAATGCGACGAACATGGCGACATTGTGGGAGATGATTGTTTTCTCCTTTAATTCGAATTCTTGGAAAACATCTGGCTTCAAGACCACCTTGGGCACTATACAGTACGATTAGCTTGACATTGATGCTTGACATTGATAGGAGGGTATTGCGCAATACACATACACGAGCGGTAGTACTTGATTAACCCTAGAACAATTGCAACGAGAGCTGCAGCAGGCGTCCATTCCTTCTTAACAATAAATGTTCCAAACACCAGCAGACCGGCGGGGATATATATCCCATCGAAATATGCCCTGGAAGACAACGGAAGTGCCGCCATCGTGAATTTCAGTTGCCGCCTTTTCGCCTCTTGAATTTGGGGTATGGATTGTAGCGGAGCTGCGCAATTTAAATGATTCCTTGCCTGCTACTGCTAGCAACTGAAATAAGCCTGCTCCCGTAAGAGAGGGGGGAACGAAGGTAAATTCTGCTGAGCTGCAGCTTATATCGTTGTGTTCGTCGGAGTTGACAGACATCGATCTGCCCTTTTTATCTCCTAAATTCGGGGCAAACGCTAATATAAGTGGCACCACATCCAACATTTGTTGAGTTTACTGCATAAGTCGTGGCCCCGGCGTTACAAGCGGACTGGACCGGCCGCTCGGTACTAGGGTTTTCTGTCAATTATGCATGCGTCCGTCAGTCGCACGAACTCCTATAGCGATATGTCCCCCCACATAATGCACGTAACGGTTATATACAGCTGCATGAACATCGGTAGTACAGTATACGGTGCGACCCTGGCTGTCAACCCTTGGCAATGTGGCAGTTCCGGGTGATGGAGATTTGTGGCTGTGAAACTACCTACCTAAACTATAGGGAAATGTGGCAGATGTGATATTGCTTATTCTCAAGCTTCAATTACAAGTGATCCTCATTGCTTAGGCAATAGGTCAATTCTCTTGCTTCTTTCCGGCTCTCTCATTTTAATATAAGGGTCTTGATCACTATTACTCTCATTAAACATTAAACTCTCACTTTTACTAGTTAAGTACAATTGGAATCTAAATTTACGACCCGTCGTTAGGTTTGCCTGAAAGTTAAGGCCCAATATGAGTGACATCCCGATTAAAGTTGCTCCTGAAGATGCGCCGTTCCCCTTGACGGATGTTGATAAATGGATCCTCTCTCTGACCGACGAGGAGTATCAGTACCATGATTGGGAAGATGTGAAGAAGATTATAGGTAGGATATTACCAATTGTCTACCTCTTTGGTAGTTAGCTCAAGCTGGTGGCCAGAGGAGAATAATCTCTCTGTTCTTAAGCGAAAACCGTCCGATTTGCGACGATACATGAAATGGACTGCCGAGATCAAGACAGAATACGGGTCCATGACGAATTATCTCATGAAGCACCGGCTACCAAAAGTCTGGGGGTCTCCTCCTTTCAAACCAGCATCAACTACTCCATTTGAAGACCCGTCCGACTATAGAGTCCTGATGAACGACTGGCCCTATGGTATGATGCCAAATATGACTCACATAGTCGTTTGGTCAAGAACGACGATTCCGACGGACCCTGAGACCGGAGACATGACCCCTGAGAGCCGCGACGCCGTGAAGAATTTCGTGAAAAGGTTCTTCGTAGATCAATTAGGCCCGGGAGGAGATGATAAAGTCTTGTGGTTCAAAAACTGGGTTGCGCTGCAAAGCGTGAGGACACTAGAACGTATGTATAATCCGGATTATAATATTTCATTTGGATTACCATCTATGAATCATAAATGACAGTTAAAATTATATATTGAGTATTGCTGACTTAGAGGCTGCAGACATTCATATCATCGTCAGAGATGTTGACAAAGACACCCTGGATAAGTGGACCGAGGAGCTCGATTGCCATAGGTTGCTGAATTAGGTGACCAGTCACATAAATTCAAGTCTATAACTTGAAAATATGAAAGGATTCCTAATGATGCAATGCTAGGTGACGGATGTGTAATCCTAGTTTAAGCTGCACGTCTTTGTTTCCTATTGCCTGCCACTGGTGCGGCATTCCCCGGCTGCTGTCCTTGCATGCCGGCCATTCCGCGAGCTGCACCAAGTAGACTGTAGCCTTTGAAGGCCCCGTAAGCTGGTACAACAGTCCAAAGGAGCCACCCCCAGTTACCAAAAAGAATCACGAGCACGACGGATGCCCATGTCACCCAGATAACGTCGAACATATACTCGGTAAGTCCAGGAGAAGACAAGTCCTCGCCAGCCCTCTGAAGCGCCTTCGTCGTGGGATCGTATCTAGGCCGCCCCGATGACTCTAAGAAGTACTCGCATATGAAGCTAGGAATTGAGAGGACGACATATAGTAGTAGAGATCGCTTTTTGAATATGAAGTTGAACAAGACAAAAAGCGTATTGACAATAAGAGTGCCGGTATGAAGGTTCGTTAGAGCCGCTGCATTGGCCTTGGCCGTATCCTTGCGTGCTTTTTGGGCCATTGTGATATTGCGCCTATGTATGAAGAAGGAATTGAGAAGCTGTGCTTATGGCGTATACATGGGATACGTCTATTGTACCGTGTTCAGTACAGCCGAAGGCGTATGTAGAGTCGTATGGGTGAGTTCTGTGTTTGATGTTTAGGACTTAGACTCACATGCTCTTAGTGACGAAATGCCAGCTGACGAAATGCTAACTAAAAGTTGGGAAAAATGATGTGGCTTTATCAACGAGGCTGGAAATGGAATGGCGGCTCCAGCATCTGACGGATGGGGTTACCTAGCAGTCAAAGAGCGGTAGGTGGGGGGGCTGGAGCTGTAGCGGTAGCCTGCAGCTGTTTACGCCTTTTATTTAGCGCCCTATGGTTTGTTGCTCTGGCAGGTACAATGCGTACTGTCCGGTTGCGTAAAAGGGAATTTAACCAATTAAATCAATTAACCCCCTGACAACGGTTCTATCCACCATAACATCCCAAATCGCGAGGAAAGCTTGGACTGCGACAAGGCGGAAAACCGCTACCTGATCGTTTCTTCATCCCACTACGATACTGCGAACCAAAAAATCTTTAATACCATTGAATGGTATTGTCGGGGTTTATTGCTGTTGGGCTAGGAGCTGGGTAGCCTACCGGACAATATCGTCGTCTCGCTACCTTTTAACATTTGCCGTTTCCCGTTCTCGTGACGGCGTGTTGATGGGAGATTTTAACGAAGTCTATCTTCACGCTCCCAGTCCCAAATCCACAGTGATTAGGTAGAGATGCCTGTTAAGAATAACCTGGATCAATTCGACACATATTTCGATTTCTTCACGTCCGACCGGTAGTTTCGGTTCCTCAGCCTACGATTTTTACGCTTCTGGTATTCCGAATTTAATTCATTATTAACACTAATCATTGTCGAGGCTATTATTGTATTTGGAAGCACGCAGTCCAGCTATTCTCTAGTCGAGTCCTCCTAAGCCTGGTTTACCCCTTGCTTTGAACCTCCGAATATTCGTCCACACTCCACAACAGAGCTGCAGCATCTCCTCCACGCGACCACATGGCAATTTGCGAATAGAGTCAGCTACCCGAATACTATCGATCGCCCCATCTTTATCCCAAGATGGCACCTACAAACTCGGCCGTTACGGGCCAGTTGAGGCAGATTGTTTACTACCATCTCGACAACATGTCCTATGAAAGTGCATTATTCTTTGCTGAAAGATTGGCTGCCCACGACCCTCGGTCGAGCGAATCGCCGTATCTCCTTGCACTCTGCCATTTTCGACTTGGTGACTGCCACTCAGCTTATGAAATCAGCAAAGCCGTTGGATACCGTGGAACCAATGTCTCCTGTTCATATATATTTGCACAGTGTTGCCTCGTGCTCGAACAATACAAGGATGGGATCACAGCATTGGAGAAGTCTAGAAGTTTATGGCCTCGGAAATCAAGTTTGGGCAAGCACAACGCAACAAATAGGGCGCAATATCCGGACTCAGCGAGTATTGCATGCTTGCTTGGTAGGCTCTACCGGGCCTACGATGACAAAAATAAGGCAATAATCAACTTTGAAGATGCACTCAAGCAAAATCCGTTTATGTGGGATGCATTTACGGCTCTGTGCGATATGGGTGCCGATGTCAGGACGGCTAATATTTTCAAGCTGAATGACATGTTAATAGATAGCTCGAGTGCGGCCCTGTTGAATGGGATTCTCTCGGAGCAAAAGGATAGCACCGCACCCAATGTAGCGGAAACCCAGCCTAAGAAGGCTGTGTCCCGTTCCGCGGTTTACGACACTGTAGGGGACCCTTTCGATTCACAGAGGTCAACAGCTGGAAACGAGACGCTCCTCGGCACTAACTTTCTCTCCGGTGAGAATGACTTTGTGTCTAAAATCAACGCGGCTCGTTCTAGGATGGCTGCTACTGCCGAAACTGGGTTTGAAAGCGTGGAAACGCCGACAACGAACCACACGGACTCGAATATTCCCCGAATTAATCACCCGCCAGAGCCCCCTCAGGCTCCTGCTAGAAAAACGAGGAATGCCCAGCCTATCGAGCCCAATCAGATGGATGTACCCTCGAAGATAGGATATCGAATGGGTGCCAAGAGAACTCAAAAACTGCAGGATAGGTCTCAAGAGGACTTCCCTCCAGAGCACAATTCTACTCTTCTTAGACCGACTGCTTCTAGTGCATCTGGGATAGAGAGAAAGAGGACTGTTTCTGGTCACCTCGTCCAACCAAGGCAACGGCCGGATGAACCAGGTGCCCCCCAAAGACGGAGCGCAAGATTAAACCCGTTTGGGGGTGCCAATGCGAAGGCCAACTCTGCGTCAACTGTCGGTCCGACACGAGAATTGAAGAAGGCTAGACCCCCTATCTCAAGGATCGTACGTCCGAATTCGAGTGGTTCCAACGTCGGCAGAGCTATTAGCGGTAACAGGAAACCGTTGGAAGAAAATGGTATGGATGTGGACCAGGCTGAGGTGCCACGGATAAAAGAAGTCCATTATCCGCCTCCTGTTACTAAATCTGCAGAACCGGAAACTATTAAGGTTGAGGAGACGTTGAAATTTCTACTGGAGTTATTGAAGAAATTCGGCTCCGGTTATTTAGCACTATCGCGGTATCGGTGCGCTGAAGCTCTGGCCTTTTACACATCGCTACCGCGGACGCACCAAGAAACGCCATGGGTGCTTTCACAAATTGGAAGGGCATACTACGAGCAGGCTGCGTACGCGGAGGCAGAGAAGTTTTATAGGAGATTACGAATACTGGCTCCTACTCGCCTCGAAGACATGGAAGTATACTCTACCATTTTGTGGTTCCTCAAAAGAGAGACGGATCTGTCTTTCCTTGCTCATGAGCTCGTCGATTTGTCATGGCATTCCCCCCAGGCTTGGTGTGCGCTTGGCAACGCCTGGTCACTCGCCCGAGACCACGAGCAAGCACTGAGATGTTTCAAGCGAGCCACCCAACTAAACCCTAAGTTTGCTTATGCATTTACTCTACAGGGTCATGAACACGTTTCAAATGAGGAGTATGAGAAAGCCCTCACGGCGTACCGTCAAGCAATATCGGCCGACCGTCGGCATTACAATGCGTATTATGGTATTGGTAGGGTCTATGAAAAACTGGGCAACTACGACAAGGCCTATATACATTTCCACTCAGCATCCGTTATAAACCCTACCAATGCTGTCTTGATATGCTGCATCGGCAATGTCCTCGAAAAACAGCGACAGATTGTCAAGGCCCTCCAATTTTTTACCAAGGCCACCGAACTTGCTCCACACGCCGCGCAAACTCGATACAAGAAAGCTCGAGCTCTGCTGGCTCTTAATCAGCTCGATGAAGCCCACAAGGAACTTGACATTCTGAAGACCCTTGCTCCTGACGAGGCTACTGTGCATTTCCTCCTGGGGAAGTTATACAAGACCTTAAATGACAAGGGCGCCGCCGTACGGCATTTTACGATTGCACTGAATTTAGATCCCAAGGTTTGTTTAATCCTTCAATTGCGTAAGTTGTATTCTCTAACTAAAAGATACTAGGCAAGCCAACAAATCAAAGAAGCTATCGAGAGCCTTGAAGATGACGACAGCTTTGACGATTCTATGATGGCATGACAATAGGGCACGGTGGAAGCATTTGTGTTTATTAAGCGGGATTTCTTTTATTGCCATGATTACAGCGGCATAGGGAGGTTCGGCTAGATTCGAGTATATCCCCAGGACATTGCGTCAAACGTCTTTGGGGGGCAGTCGGCATCGGGTGCGGTACGACGTTATAGATGTCGACCTTATGGGTATTTGACATTACGAGGTCTGGCGAGGCATATGCATCGGCGTTTGGGGAATTCTAGTGGCGCTTTACGTCCACCATCGTCAGGAAATTACGGTGGTCCTGTGTATAGGTAGCAAAGGCTTGCATGGCGATAAAAAGGTGTATAGTAATACGTACGGGGTAAGCGGTTAGATCCACTAACTGCTCGTCCCGACTCTTCCACGATACAAAAGACTACGAACAGAGCAATTTGGATTTGCCAAGTGCCTTAGGTATTCATATAAGACATATGACGTATGGTTTTCAACACGAGCCCTCTTTTAGTAGGGATATATCGCGGATCGACCAGATAGTAATAAGTTTTAAAGGTCAGTATAAGTGTGTTCTTAAGTGCCAGAAAGGCACAAGTATAAAACCTAGTCCACTCACTTTATATCAACAAATCAAGGCTTTAATAAAAAGAGTTGAAACATACCATCCTCCAAGTAATACAAAGAGCATAACCAATTAGATTCAGAGGAGCAATGTACCTGTGTCCTTCCAGCCTTCTCGCACTTGAGGACATAATATACCTAGGTACCTAGTATATTAAGATATAAGTACCTAGGTACTTAAAGTAAAGATACGCCTTATGAAGAATGTCAGATCCACTTTGGTGTTGTGTGTAATGTTGTGACTGAGCTGTTGATGTATTCATTGAAGGTCTAACATAGAGTGAATCACGTGAATGCTGTAAATATGTTCGTACTGTACTGCAAAGGCCTTGAATGCTTGTGCCCCACTTAGGTGTAAGTACATTGTTCGGAAAAGAAAAAGCGCACGGGCCAAAGATGCAAGGGTCCGTTAAATCAGTGAAATTCGGCCTAAAAGGGCAACAGACAACCAAGCGCCAAAGCAGCGCAGAATAACCCGTTTTCAAGGACCCCAAATAAGAGAAATAATCAGGCGAAACAAGTCGCAATTTTTATTTTATTTATTTTTCGAGTTCCCCCAGGCTGATGCCGCACTCCCTAAATCAGACTAGCGACTTCCCGCAATTTGAATCAGTAACACCCCTCCCTCATCCACATAAAAGCCTACCTCCTCTCTCCCGCTTCTCGCAACTCTTTTTTTTCCTGTTTCCTGATTTATCCATCATCAATCAACAAGACGCCATTTTATCTCTCCGCAATTTGTGCCATCGGTAACCATACACTTTCCATCAATAAAACATCACCAAAACACATCTAAACCTCATTCAAGATGACTGGACGTAAGTGCATTGCCGTTTTTTTAATTTACCTTATTGTCGCGTCGCCAAGTGTTGGTTAAGGGGTGTTGGTGGTTGGCGGGTCTGGCTGGCGATGGGCTTCGCTATCTAGACGCGTCTTAGCTGGAGACTACCCCGACGCGACATGATTTCAATTAAACACTTAATTGCTCTAAATCTTTTTTACATACAATCGTACTGACATCGTAATAGGCGGCAAGGGCGGCAAGGGTCTCGGAAAGGGAGGTGCCAAGCGCCACCGTAAGATTCTTCGAGACAACATCCAGGGTATCACCAAGCCCGCTATCCGACGTCTCGCCCGTCGTGGTGGTGTCAAGCGTATCTCAGCTAGTAAGTCATTGCCTTATACGTCCCACTATACAATAAAATAGTTATTAACAGGTTATTCAGTGATCTACGAAGAGACCCGTGGTGTCCTCAAGTCCTTCCTCGAGGGTGTCATCCGTGATGCCGTCACGTACACCGAGCACGCCAAGCGCAAGACGGTCACCTCGCTGGATGTCGTCTACGCCTTGAAGCGACAGGGCCGCACCCTGTACGGTTTCGGTGGTTAAGCGTCGTGTTCTGTGTACCTTTTTTGGTTGGCTGCCTGTTCGTAGTAATCATTTCCAATGCGAGTTAGTGGACAGCAGCAGCAGCAGCAGCAGAGCAAGTCGCGCGTAATGGACTCTGGGGATTTGTGTTTATTACATAAAGGATTATTGGCATGATACACATTCTGACATCGGCGTTGGTGGTTTTTACGTTACGGTTCATGGTCGCGCGCGATGACTTTTGAGAGATGGCGTCTAAGGACAGATAGCCTATGATAGTGCCACGGCACGCTGAATATATTTGCATCGTATTACACTTTGCTGTTAACAAACTTGATATTTCGATTACTCGTGATGTGTTTAATGATGCCGTATTATGGACCTCTTGACCGTTTCTAAACTCGAAATATGAGTCAGATCTAATGAGTAATTGCTGCCTATCTAAACGCCAAACGCCATACATCGTTCCATTACACCCGTCTTACGTTCATAGCACCATTGGTCACAGATATTTCCTCCCGGCCGCAGCGACCCTCTGCCTAAATACCGGGCTGCGCACCTCCATATTCACCCTATAGAAGGGACTCATGATGGCCTTCACCCAGTTCTCATAGACTTCGAGCATAAAATTCTTAATAGCCTCCTCGGTCTGGGGGCTCGTAGGGTTGGCGCCGATAGATGTAGAAGAGCGCGTAGACGTCGTCGAGACGGGCATCGTCGGCTGATGTAGCAGGAGGAACTTGACGTTGCCGCCGGTTATAAAGCAGGACACGTAGTTATTGAAGAACTTATCGACGCACTTGAGGTACCTTGATATATTAGAAGCGCCGCGGTCAGTTACTAGAGCCGTATCTGTTTGTCTACCTAACCTATGTTGCCCATAACGAAGATACGGGGTCTGTGCTCTGTGCTCTGCTTCGGTGCGTAGGTATGTACTTACATCTGGCCGCCTCCCCATTGAACTTCCTCGACGATGTCCAGACTGCTGTGCACGATGAATTGGTTCATGTGGCGCGCCTGCTCGCTGAAATGCGGCATGCCGTCGCCGCCCTGCTTCGACGTCCCGAAATCATATTCAAACAACGGGTTGTCTTGCGTGCCGACGATGGCGAAGTAGTATGACATATTGGGCGGTTTAGCTGTCGACCATTTGCGACGGGGTTGGGGTGTTTTGTTCGTTGGGAGTTAAAGCTTAGGAGTGCCGGATAGCTTCAATATGGTAGGTACATGGATACTTCTAGTGTATAGACTGATAGAATGCCTATCGATGTTCAAACAGCCTTATCGCCATCGCGTACTAAGTGGGGAGGTACATGAGTACTTGGGTACTTGTAATCGGTAATTGTAGAGACTTCAAACCGATCATCTAATGTGGCTCGTGCGCTATCAATTGAACTTTTCTAATCGCGATTTACTCCGATACTAGGTTAGGATGCGTTCTGGGAGAGAAGAACACTGAATCGTCGAGCAGTAATAACACACACAATGTTCGGCGCATTCAGAGTGACGAGTCCGTTATCCGGCGGCCTGCTATGGTATGTAATACAATAGGCAATTCTTAGCTAACTCAGGCCCTCAGGCCCCAGACAGTTTGGTATCGTGTATCGTGTGCTAACCTCACGATTTATACAGGAAGATCCCGTGGCGCCTGTCTAAATTCCAGAAAGCACGGCAACGAAAGCGGCTCCGTGGTGTCGACTCGGTGGTGGATACGATAAGCAATGCATTGGCAAAGAAGGGCGAAACGCTGAAGGCCCTCGAGACGTGGAAGGAGACGATGCCTACCGAGGCCGAGATGCTGCCCAAAGACAAATACACCATGTTTGACAGGAAAGAGAAGCGATATAGAAAGGGCATTCACAGTACGTCTATATTTATTTCTGCTTTAGAGAGGTGTGTAGGTATGGGGAGGTTGCTGACTACGGTGAATAGAGCTTCCAAAGTGGACGAGAGTATCGCAAAGAGTGAACCCGCCTGGATATTAAACATACATATTTATTATATTCCAGCAATCAAGGCAATTCCACGCTCCGATATATCGCTTTACGGGAAATACGTTATCGGGTCATCAAGCGAGAGGCATCTGTAGAAAGGCATATCTTAATGCGATAGTCTGAGGCCGCAGATCATAGCCCAACGAGTTGTACATTAATGTACTTAAAACGAGAGAAGCGGATATACTTCTCTGTGTATATGCATGGAGTGAAACAATCAAAACTACTCACATCACCACAATAGGCACCAGTCGTGTTGCGAATAGCAATAGCGGGTAACTACCTGTTGACCATGTGTATTCTTTCTTATAAGCTATTAATGTCCGGGGTATCAACAAATCAGCTAACCAACTAGCAGCCTACAGCTTATCTTAGGCGCCCGTAGTCATCTTCCATGTGTTGATCTCGTTCTCTATTTCGTTGTCCCTCGCGCTCTCGGTCTGTCTGGATTGCTCTGCCTAAACCACCTCTTCCCTCGTCGTAGTCATCTCTGTACTCGTCTCGCACTTGGCCGCCGGACTTGCCCCGGCCGTACTGGCGGCCTTCCTCGAAACCAGGGTCCAGATCAGTTCGGATGATGCGTTCGTCGAGCTTGGTGCCACCTATATATTTCATGCAATCGAGCGCATCCTGGTGAGTGTAGTACTCGACAAAACAAAAGCCACAAGGGGTCTTATTGAATCGATCTAATCCCATGACCAGGCGCTTGATCTCACCACACTTCGAGAAAAGTTCATAGACTTGTTCTTCGGTCGTGTAGAAGGAACTTAGATGATAATAATATTAATAATCTGCCCGAGGGAACAAGATGATATTGTAGCCAACTTACAGATTTCCGACGTAGAGGGTCGTAGCGTTCCTTAGAGGATCTTCTGAAGACTCTTCCACCGGGACATTCACTTCGGCTTCGCCATCTTTATTATCCCGACCATGGTCAGTTCGTCTCCTTTTGTTCTGTTCCAATCCGACGTGTTAGCTGGCAACAGCTTATATATGCTAAACAGTACAACACGATGAAAGAGCTTACCCGACTATTATAATATGCGCTAGGGCGGTCTAGCCTATCAACTGTCGATCGGAGTACGGAAGGCATGCTGGTAGGTTATTCAACTCGCCGTATTAAAATGGGTTGAAAGTTATTGATAATATGTGAATGGATGGATCGATGAATTGAGGGAAGGCTGAAATTGAAAGTCAACGTTTGGAAGGTTGATCAAGGAAGGCTGAAGCTATAGGCCCGCTTTTATTGATATGACAGTTCTGATTTGCTGAATCTGCTCTCAATGGCGCGTTTACAGGCCGTACCTACCGTGTCAGGTCGCGCTTAGGTTTTTAGTTGCTGTGCTGCTATATAGGGCCGGTACATACAGCTGTACAATACTGTACAATACCTAAAGGTACCGGAATGTGCACAATCTGGTGTCCCGCCACAGTATATTCCATAGCAACCATCAGAGGGTACTTCAATCTTAGATTTCTCCATGTACATCATTATCCACCCTAGCTTCGCCAGAGCTTACCGCAAGCAGCTTGGCAAAGAGAAACAAAAATAACCAAAACCAATGCACCCTAACCACATCCTAACCACATCCTACATGTAACTTGCAGTTTACATCGAGCTCTTCTTTGCCAATTACTGGAATAGCTTCATTTACCGGATACTTTTCAATCTTGTCCTGTCCTTCAGGCAGAAATGCAATTCCGCTGATGACAACGTAACGTTAGCATCACTTATACGCACCCAACATTAAAAAAATGCCCAAGATCAAGAGTTATACCCCAGCCTGGCTGTCGGCTCCCTCGCCCGGCCATGACCTCTTCGTACCCAATGCTAGCGAAACCCATGATACTTCAGCGTATATTTCCAAAACCGTCTCCAAGGAAGGTCCGCGACGGACAATTGCTCGTCGTGGTACCGAAGTATTCATCGCCGTTGGAAAAGAAATTAGATGGGCAGATCTGCTTTACCTAAAAGAACGATGGGAAGAAAAACAAGCCAAGGCTCGAGGTGGTGTCCGCATCAAACGTGAGGATTCAGATAGCTTCGACGATGATGCACTGAGAGAATCCATAGAGAGCGGGTGTGCTGAGGGTTTCCGGGTAAGTCATGTCGCATTATGTATATCACCACCAAGCAGCTAATCTTTCCAGACTATTACAACCTCTGTTGGTAGCGACATCCAACAACTTGTTATCTCGCCGTATGCGAACTTTATGGCAGTTGTCACTACCCATACCGTTCGTATCCTCCTCCTACCCGACTCCTCCCACCTTACGGCGCCTGGCCTTGACGCCATCAAACCAAAGTCGTGGACCTTGGGCCCAACAACACATGTTATGAACCGTTCACCAATAGCCTCGGCTATATGGCATCCCTTAGGGGTTAACGGCTCCGCGCTGGTGACAGTTACAAAAGATGCCGCCGTGAGAGTCTGGGAACTTTCCCAGAAAGATCGATGGTCTTTCGATTCTCCCTCCCTTACTATTGACTTACAGAAACTCGCGGATGGTACTTCCCTAGACCAAAACTTCGCCGCTTCGCCCGATGTTACAAATAAGGGATTCTCCCCGGATTCTTTCGAGATGGACGTAGCAGCGGCATGTTTCGCTGGCAGAGGCTCTGGTGGTTGGTCACCGATGACCCTCTGGGTTGCGATGCGAGAGGGAGATGTATACGCCCTGTGCCCTCTACTACCGACGCAGTGGGCCCCTCCGCCTACGCTAATTCCGTCCCTCTCTATCTCGATTGTCGGGAATCTCGCAGCGATCGAGGACGACCCGAACGTATCCGGACAAGCGAAGTTGCTCGCCCAGCAACAACTAGATTGGATGTCGGATCTTGACAACCAAGAGCCTAGAATTATCGAAGGTCCTCCTGGAGAGCCGCCTACGGAGATATATACTCGCCCTACACGGCCTGGTGTAGTCCCTCGCTTACAAGGACCCTTCGATCTCGAGCTAAGCCCGGAAAGTGAGGACGACTTAGACACAGAGTTGACGGATATCTTTGTCATTGGGCAAAAACTTGACACTGATGAGTTAATGATGGGAGAGGAGGATGAGCTAGATATGGAGGACGTTGAAGGAGAAGGCCTGTCACTCTCTGTCATATGCTTACTCTCATCCAGCGGTCAGCTACGAGTATGCCTAGACTTGGATGGTGTCCAAGCTCAGTGGCTTCCCCCTCGAAATAAATCCAAGGCTATGGGGCGTCTAGCCGAATCTCCGTCTCTACTAACATTTCAGAGCATGGATATTTTGAACTCGCTGGAAGTTACCGAGAATGCCTGGCCAACATTTAGCCCGGACGTTACTTCAAGGTATTCTTTCTACATCACCCATCCTTCCAGTATTACACATGTCTCTCTATCCCCGTGGGTTTTCCGCCTGGAGAGCGAACTGCAAGGTGATTCGCAAGCCGGGTCCGAATTTAGAATTGATTTACTTGTCAATGGGCAGAGCTCTACTAGAGAGCGGCTCTATACAAGTACAATCCAGGGCGACACGCAGTTTCCCCTAACAGCTTCAGTTGCTATTCGCGATCCCGACCTTGGCTACTTCTTGTTATCTGCAACGCCATTCGATCCGATTGCCTTAGTATTTGATACGCCAGAGGATGACCTCGCCCCTATCCGATCCGCCTCACCTTCCTTTGACAAGGATGCGGAGGTACAACCCCTGGAATTCTACGAGCCTCGCCCCGTCTTCCAGCCATCACATTCCTTCGACATGAATTCGGCGCTACCAAAACTACTAAACCAACTCCGTACTGGTCGTCAGAAAACGATAGTCAACCAGGAAGTTCGACTCTCTCCAGCAACCCTACAAATTTTCACAGAAGCGCATCAGATACTTAGCGATGAAACCCATAAACTTGGCGTCGCAGCTGCTGAGGTATTCCGACGATGCGTTCAGTTACAGACGGAACTTAAGCAGCAAGTCGCCAAGGCTAGCGAAGTTAAGGCTAGGGTTGAGGCTGTCACCGGGGAGGATCAAGATGAAGAGGAAGCAGAATCGAGCAATGCTGCAATGGAAAGACGGATACAAAACGCGAGGGAGAGGGGTGAATCCCTTAACCGAAGATTGGAAAAGATGCGAAAGTTGGTGAATAAGGCGACCAGTCGGGAGCTGAGCGATAAGGAGAAGGCGTGGGTCAACGAGGTCAATGCTTTGGATGCTAGCTTGTCCGGGTCTACAACGACGACCGGGCCAAGCCGGCTGAAGATGACCAAAAAGAGGTATGAAGAGGTGACGCGATTAAGAGACGAGCTCTTAGAGGAAGCAGAGAAGCTAGGCGCGTCGGTTGGGGAAGGAGAAGAGGGCCTGAGCGCGTCACCAACTGATTTGCGCATACCATCGGAGCTCCGAAAGGCAAAGATCGGCCAGGTGAAAGGACTCATCGAGCGTGAGACGGCCTTAGTAGATGCTGTGAAATCACGGCTTGAGCGACTATCAGTAGGGTAGGTAGGAGCGCGACAAGCAGGTGTAGCGCGTCGGGATGCATCCCGTCGAAGGATGTACCCCATAAAAGGATTGTATTCAATGTAATACTACCTCTGTTCTATCTAATATGTGTCCAGCTAAGAAATAGGGCGATTGGACAAGTTGATTGTGGCTTGTGGCGGGTTTCACTAACTAGGATATAATCAGCATTATCGTTGTCGTGGCGGTCCCTTGGCGAATCTTACCGTTACTCACTGTGACGTCTCGAAGCAGTATTTCCAGATGCCCGATTGGGGTCAGAGTAAGGTAGAAAAGCAGGAGTTCCAACGCCGATCGTTTCTTTCTCTTGCCTCAACCGGTTCCACTACAGGAGTTACAGGAGATGAATCTTCTCGGCACGTTGCGTCCAATAGCAAACCTCCAAAACAGCGGTCCACCTGTAGCCTCGCAATACACGAGTCTAGACGGATAGGCTTCCCAAGATAATCATTCGATGGTTAAGGACTAAGATCGAAAGAGATCTAGCTAGCTAGCCTCAAGTTCTACCGGACGACAGTGTTGGCATATCGACCAAAGAGAAAAAAAAACGACAGCAATAGAACTATGAGACTACCTACCTGTTAAATCCATACGCTTAAAGCTGCATTTCTTACTTGGTTGCACGTTATATAACTTAGTGACCTCGTCCACCTTAGAAAAGGGCATCCCTCTTGTTTTCCGATGTTTTCATTACACATGAGCTGAATACGTTACAATAGTTACCTCTGCATAGGTATCTTGGATAAAAGTCCTTGTAGAAGGTTGCTATAATTCCCAACCAACAGTCCCGAACCTCCCGCTAGCCCGCCAATGTTCGCCCTGTTTTTCATTGGCCATGAATGTCTCAATAAAGCTAGCCCGGTATTATTCCATATTCCGCCCATTACGACTCCGCGTCCGACCCGAAGGGCTCCTATGCGCCATGTCTCTGCAGCCTTTCATACAGATGTGTCTCGGGGCAACGATAATCATCGTCTTTGGGGTACATTTACAGGATAGACGATAGGCGGACAGCCTACAGTGGCAAAATCCTGCCCAACCCCCAGGGTCTTTCCCTTATTCCCTGAGAGTCTTTCCTTAAATTGATCAACACGGGGTGTTTATGCATCTAAGTCGTGCATCTCATTGGTATGACCTGGGGGCCGGTACCTATCCTCTGCCGGTAGAGAGAAAGAGGTGTGCCCCGTACAACCTTTCTCAACATGCTGCCGGGAATACTCGCCCACCACCGAGACCTAGATTTCCCTTTGTGTACCCCTTTTATTACCACTGTTAGTCAGCTCTTGCAGCCATTGACGTATCAGCGAGGCATACATTTCGCTCGCGTCTTATTGGCTTCCAAGAAGAGCATCGGGATGTATCGTTCATATTAAGTTACCTATGTCATACGGACCCTGCTTGGGCTGAGACTCATTCCCTCGGGGCCAAGACTAGGTAGTCGTCGATAGATCCAATGCCACATAGCTTGCCTCACTTCTTGTTGGTAGATGCTGCATGGAGCTGGGCTTCTGATACATGAGGTATCTAGATGGACCGTTGCACGCGGAGCTCCCCTTTCGCCGCACATGTGTGTGTATATATAAGACGGCACATCTATAAATCGATCCAACTTTTCAACTTAAAGCTTACGGTTCACAAATCTTAATCAATGCTTATACGTTCCTACGACCAAACCCTCCAAGCATCGTCTCGCCGTCAGTCGACATTCAATATGGCGCCCTCGACCGTAGTCTTCGATTATAGGGGTCAGATAGTAGGCAAGTAGCTTTTGCAAATTGCCACCCTCCAGCTCATCACAACGTTCTACTAACACATATCTGTAGATAACTGCGAGTTCTTTTTAGCCAAACATGACGTCGTCTCCGTAGTTACCGTCAAAGACGTTCTGGGAGATTATAAAGCATACGCGATTCGGTCCAACCAAAGCTCACGGGATGCACTTCTCTCCTCCGAACCCCGTGCTACGCCTCTACTCGCCGTAGAATCTCTCCACACAAAGTCGTGCGAGGCCGTCCAGCAATTCATCACTACCAATGGGTTCTCCTTTCCCCCGGACTCCAAGAAAACTAGGTTTGATGACGAGGACGAAGATGAGGACGAGGATGAGGAAGATGGGAATGACGACGACGATATAGCTTCTATCTTCTCCAATATCCTATCCGATCGTCCCGCGCTGTCAACCGCGGCCCCGTCTTACAAGGCCAGCTCGGATAGAGAGGTTAAAATGACGCCTGCCACGTCCGCGCCCACGGTTCCCGTCACTTTTTACGGCCGCGAGATCAGAGACGAGAGAAGCAATAATAATATTAGCAAGCCCCGCACCAACCCACCACCACCCCCACCAGGTCGCCAGTCCCCCGAAGCTTTCATATTCCCCAACATCCGGCCCCCCTACACGCTATCCCAAGCAGAAGAGCTGGTCATGGAGCTTATGAACGGCCCCCTATCCAACAACTACCCACGCTTTCCCGGCCCCCCGCCGCCACCACCCCCACCGCCCGGATACAACAACACCGCCCCCAAGCCCCAAGCCGCCATCCCCTCCTGGCCCCCTGCCGCCGCGCGCGGCCCGTCCATCCCACCGGCAAACTTCTCGCCCCCGGGGGCCTCGCGCGGTAGCCTACCGCGCGGCCAGGGCCAACCCAGCGCGTTCCCGCCCCAGCCACGGCTCTACGACATCGCGCTGACGATACGCTGGCTGGGCCACGGGGAGGCGCGGGTGCTGGCGAGCTGCAAGGCCAGCGTGACGGCGCTCAAGAGCACGGCGGTGACGTACGTGACGCGGCACGCGGGGGCGTTCGACAAGGAGGGGCAGCCGCCGAACAGGAATAATCCGAAGTGGATGGGGTGCGTGCGGCTAAGGCGGGCGAGTATTCGGAATGTGAATGATGAGGAGTACGATTTGAATATGGAGCTGTATCAGGATGATGACTTGACGCGGTTTTGCGCCGGGAGGGGGATCCCGAGGTTTGAGGTTGAGGTGGAGGATCAGGATCGGGTTGTTGATGGGGGGGTTTGAATGGGATGGATGGATGGATGGGGTGGGTGAAGGTGAAGGTTGGGGTGAGATGATATGAGATGGTGCGATGTGATACGATACGAGACGAGACGAGACGATACGATATGGTGCCGACCAGGTTAGATAAAAGCGCTTGAGCTTTGAGTTGATATGTAGTGATGCCTTTTCTGTAAGCTTGGGTTGCGACGGGGGCGTGTTGGTTCGAGGCGTGAAACGGAGATGGGATAGGGGGTTAGATTGGCACTTTTACGCGGTTCTTTTCCTACGGTGTGTGTGCTACGGACTGTTTACTGTCTCTTTATGCGTAACGGGTATGTATCTCTGCTGGTCGGTTGGTATGTATGTTTGTACGAGTACGTTATGAATCTATATGAATGTTCAGTGAGAATTGATGATTTGAATGTGGCTTTCTTTTTTGTCTTTTTAGTTATTGTTATAGTTAGTGCTACATGCTTTAAGGGTATTCGATTACCTCTTAACTATAGACAATTGCATCCCACTCGTCTAGCATGTAAGAGCGTATAGTTCTATTTCAAAGCATATCAAGGTCATCGCTCTCGATGCTTGTTAGCCATATAATATAGATAATACTCTAGAGCTATTCTCTTCTCTATCTCAAATAAACTGGTAAAACGTTCCTAGTTCCTAGCTCACACACGGATGTACGGAACAATCGTATGAGTTACGCCAACTCTACAGTTCTTATAGGTCTGGGTTAAAACAACAAGGTGAATATAACTTTTCATTTAGGAATGGAAATATCCCCCAAACAAGTCCTTTAATTCGGTTGCTATGTACGTTTACTAAAAAGTAATAAGCCTCATTATCAGATTTCGCGTAATAAACATAAGTGTTTATGCTATAATGTTATGTGTAAATAATATACGCAACCTGGGTTTCGTTTGCTTTAATGAGTCTTGCGTATATTATTGATAATAAGATCCAGTCAAGTCTATAGGGGTAATTGTGTATACTAATATACCTCACCGTGACGGCAAGAGGGTTATGTTAAAAGATATACAACTTACATCTTATAGCCAGTTATTTCTTTAGATCTTATTACAACTACCTACCTAGGTAACTAAGCATTATGTATTACTAGATTCTCGCTCCGACTCTTCATAGCCCTCCCGTCTTTATACTCCAGTCAATTTCCATTAACTATACAACCAGATATCTCCATACCCCATTGAAAACTCTCCCGGATTTAAGAGGGTTTACATACTTCTCGGCGTATTAGATGCCCCGCACCGGATCAATTATCATCGCAAGATCGCTGTTTTACTCTCGCCTATACGGCCTTTGGTTGACTATCTCCGGGGGGGCCGTCCCGTACTTAAAAAAGATACCCCTTACTAGAACCCAGAACCATGCCGCCGCCTCACTTCCGTCTCGTATTCGGGTAGCCATCTTATCTGACAGACTGACGCAAGGGACAATATGACAAACTCACCGTATCAAACCAAAGCTCGGGTTCGCGAGATCTTCGCCCATCTCACCGCAGGTGACGCCCTGACCTTCTAGGTATACCCACGTTGCGGACGACGTCGACTGGACCATCATGGGTCTTTTCGACAGCCCTATGCAACTCCGCATCACTACCTAGGTAGTGTTATTGGCGGGGAGGTCGAGGACTGGGCCGTGATCGAAATGACCGCATATGGAAGATGCAAGAACGGTAAGTAAGCTCCCTCTCTTTTTTTACTGTCTGGTACGATATACGATATTTCCATTATTTCTCCTCGGGGAAGGGAAATAAGTCCTTCAGCCAACTTGTTGGGTTTTCCCTCGGCGTGAGCTATATGCGGGTTGACGTTCGCGGGTGTGTCACACGACAGCTTCGCCGAGATGTAAGATAGGTAACCTACCTATGTTATCCAAGCCATTGACATTTGTGCTTAGGTCTGGTTGTTATATGATAATACTTACTCCTTGTCGACGAGGTGGCGAGACGGCAAGATTGTTCAAGTTCGAGCATATCTCGATGGACTGACTGCTCTTAAACCGTGCTTTGGCAGAAAAATGAAAAATAAATAAATCTTGATCATCGGAGACGAATCACGATGTTATTAGGATTGTTTAAGGGTTCTGCTGAATTAGCACGGGAATAGGCTCAAGCTCATCCATCATCAATCCCGTTATGATTGGTCAATGGTGAAACTCGCCCAAACTCGCCCTTGTAGTTGGCCAAGAGCTCGCGGCCTCCAATTATAAATTTGCCGGTTGGGAAAGCATAAAGGTGACTGACCGCAGGACGCCCAATCCTCGCTCACCTCTCTTTTCTCTCTCTCCGCAATCCCGACTCTTCTCCGATATATTAGTCCCCTCTATACAGACCACATCTCATCTGCCGCCCCTGTGAAACATGGTGTTGGAGCCGTCTAGCAATGCTACCGGCTATATCAATTCGCCGTTGCCTGCAGGTAGGGGGGATCTCCAAGCATCATAAAGCACGCCATCCTGTAGCTGAGACGTATATGCGTAAGATGCCAATGCCATTGTGATCCGCGCTGTCTCCTCTTCCTCCAACCGAGCTTCACGGCCTGTCTCGGAGATGGATGCTTAGTGCCGTAGGTTACAACTCTTGGAGTATCGGGGCCCCCTCCCCCTCGTTTCCCATACATACGTCCTCTCCTATAAAGACATCTAGTCTTCGTCCCATTTGGCCGTGATATCGTGAAATAATATCCATCTCGAAATAGATATAGCAATCCGTTACCCGTCACCCGTTACCCGTCACCTGTTACCTCAGCTTCAAACCTCAACCAAAGTAAAAGTCAAGTAAAGCAAAACAAAGCAAGGATGGTTTCCCTACACCCCCTCCTCGACAACGGCCTCACCAAAGGCGACCCCAACTTCTCCGGCGGCACTCTCTACTGCAAATGCGCCAGCGACCCCGTCGCCGTGACCCTAAGCTCCAACGTCGCCCACAACCACGCCTGCGGCTGCTCCAAGTGCTGGAAGCCCTCCGGCGCGCTCTTCAGCATCGTCGGCGTCGTGCCGCGGGCCAACCTATCCGTCACGGCCAACGAGTCCAAGCTGAGCATCGTCGACCCCAAAGCCGCCATCCAGCGCCACGCCTGCACCGCCTGCGGCACCCACCTGTACGGCCGCATCGAGATCGACCACGCCTTCAAGGGCCTCGACTTCGTGCACGTCGAGCTCAGCCCCCAGAAGGGCTGGCAGGAGCCCCAGTTCGCCGCCTTCGTCTCCAGCATCATCGAGCAGGGCTTCGACCCGGCCAGCATAGGCGAGGTTAGGGATAAGCTGCACCAGGTTGGGCTCGAGACGTACGATTGCCTTTCGCCCGCGCTGATGGACCTTATTGCTGCGTATACTGCTAAGAAGACCGGTGCCCTCAAATAAATTATTGGAATTTTAGATAAAAAGGATATTAGGATGGTTGTTGGGAGACGTATAACAATGAATGAGCTTACCCATACCCCCTAATTGCACTTGTCAGTTGTAACTTAGGTTGATACATTAGGTATATGTACATGTCTGAGGGCGGCCGAAAGAAAAGAAAATATACTATATTGTGATATACATCCATACATACCTAGGCAGGTGGTGCAGATTTATATAAATAAAAGCCCCAATATGTGGTGTCCATCAAGGTGTCCCTCTGGATGCTTTTCGTATCCTGGTATCCCCTGCAGTGTATACCGGCGACTTTGTTTATTGGCTGGGCGGTTACTGAGTGTCGTCGGTAATTGATAAAAGTCCATATCATGTCCAAGGTGGCGTATGCGCATCGGTATCCCTGAGTTGGGTACTTTATGTATTGCTTCTTTTATAGTTACATAGCTGAATATGGTCGTAGTGTATCTAACGATTATAGGACAGATGTAGCTTCATCAGAAGTCTAATGTTCAAATATTATGCCCCCTTTTATTCTAAATATAATAGGAAAAGAATTTTCAGGCTTGGTTTGATATTTAATATCGTTTCTGGTTTATATATGAAAAGACAAAGACAGCGTGTATTGCGTTTCTAGAGGCTAATACTATCCAATTCATCTAGGAGCAAAGAACGTATGCGCCCTGGGCATCGAGGTTACGGTTCAAAGAACGACGATACTTTTGCGTTCCTCCCAAATCAATATGTAGCACCAATAGTTGACAGGTCCATCAACGCTTCATCTCTATTTACGAGTCTAGATCGGTATCACCCCGCCACTGCGATCTAGTCATTCAGATATATAAATGTCCTAGGCGGAGGTTAGTCCAAGCCGCTGAATCTATCGCCGACAACGCCGCCCAAATGCCATGATGCTGATGCTAGCAATCAACTCCAGGAAGCCTCGACGAGCGGGCCTCTATGTCTAAGCACCTAATATATACCCTGGGTGCGGTACTGGAAAGTGTCATAACTATGCATTGTTAGTATGGTATTTAGCTTGGTTAAAGGAAGGGTTGGAATTACAGTCGTGTATAGTAGCTACCAAGGGATTTCGTAATGAGATCAGTCTCCACGAAATTTTCGGCTTCATCGGCGCTTAGATGTAGCTGGAAGCGTTGCTTTAATGTTGCCGTTGCTTGTGTGACCCCGGCCGCATAACAAGGCATCTTCGAGTCCAGTCCCATCATTCTGACTAGATCAACAATATTGTCTGCATTCCGACGTAGAGCTGAAGAGCGTTAGAGATAGATATCGCCCTAGAAACTCGACCTGCTGAGACTTACCTTGGAAAGCTTGCTTGCATAGCGTCTTAAAATCTTCAAAATCCGGGGAATCAACTCCACCCAGCACATCCACATATTCCCAAGTTAGTTTGAAAGGGGCTGCTTCAAATCCAACGGAGCCGGGCGAGTTCGAGAGCATAAATCCAAAATCGATGTGGATGATATGCCCTTCGTTGTCAATGAGTACGTTACCATTGTGTCGGTCTTTCAACTGTAGTATATACGATATAATGCTGTATGCTGCAAGGGAACGCTTAAACGCATCCACAGCGGCTTTATAAGGCTCGCTCCCGGGCTTACCAAACGTTTTAACCCAGTGGTCCTTAAGCGTAGCAAGACGGCGTCGAGGATTAACGCCCGACTCGATCGATGACAAAGTCAGACTCCGCTTAAGTGAATGTAGAGAGACGCCGTTCGTAATTGTTTCGACAAGTCCGGAAGACTCTCCAGTGACTAAGATTCGCATGAGTTTCACCCAGACAGGTACACCAGCGTCGACCCAAATCTTATCGCAAACCTGAATGAGCTGACATGCAAACGCTTCTTGTCGAAGATCATCTCCCGTCTTAACGATAACGCTGACCAAATCCCAATTTTTCATCCATCCGTACGGTGACGTTTTTCGTATCCGCTCCTTTTTCATGTGCCATGCCTCCCCAAATACCGCGGCGCTAGGATCGTCACGGTCACCTTTCCTCTGTACTCCTCCTGTCATTGCGTCGTTTTCCATTCGAGCGGCACCGGCATTAGGGTCGCTTGTTGGATCAATATCTTCCTCTAAGTCGTTAGTCTCCGAAGCCTGGGCTGCTGCGCTAGCTTTCGCCATGATCAAATCGAACGTAGGGCCTTGGCCATCATCAAGGTCGAAACTTTGTTCTTCGAGGCTCTGCATGCTTGCAATAATCTTCGACCTGATGGCTGCAACTTCTTGTCGCGGGCGTTTACCACTTGTAGCATCAAGCTGGGCCAGCATCTGTGACGCCGTCCTCATATGTGTTGCTAGAGCTGAGAAATCGGGTTGCTCAGCGGACGTATTGCGTTGGCTCGGTAATGTTACCCTCCTCAATGGACCAGGACTGCTTGATCTCGATGTCGACGCTGCCGACGTACGCGATGGGGTTAGATCAGTCGTAGACGCGCTTGCCACGCCATTAGACACGCTCTTTCGAGGGCTCGGTTGTCTCCCGCTTCTTTTACCAAAGGACCCATTATCATCGAAGGGCTTTAGCATCGGCGATGTTCCCAAGTCCCCTGACGTTGGTTCGAAGACGCTATCTATATTCTCCAACACAGGTTCAGACACCCGTTCGGTAGCAGGCGTCCCCGGCGCATCTGATAAATCGAAGAGTCGCTTACGAGTACCTTGCTCGGCCACGAGGTTACTAAGTAGTCTTTGGTTCTCCCCGGAGTTAGGATCAAAGGTAAAGTCATCGCGAAGGATCTCAATCATAAGTAAATAGGGCACCTTTTCGGCACTGTTTAGAACGGTGGCTTCGGCAGGGTTGACCCTGACGATACGGTGATGGCGACTCTTTGCAGGCGAGCCATCTACCAGAGTAGGAGGGCATATGATGGGTATATCCAGCTCAGCTGGTAAGTCTCTAGCAATTAGTGCGAGTTCGGCGCGCAAAGCACTAAGGCGGGCCGGCTTTGGCACTATAACTAGCCGATTAGATATGTCCTCCAGCGCCGTCAGAAATGCGGTTTGGCAGTGGAAATAGTTCTGTCTGAGTAACCTGGCTTTCTGGGACTCGGTCATCTCTGCTAGACTCGCAAGAGTCTTTATGTGGTGGGAATGCCTGCGCGAAATTGTGTCTGTTGGACGTGGAAGGCCAGCGGAGAGTGGAGTGATCGGTCGTGTTATCATCCTCGGCGACCTCACTTCGGGAAGAGGAAGGGATGATGAACTTAAGCGAGCGTCTAACAACATGCTGTCGACGTAGGTCGGTTTTCGAGATTCGGCCGTGGCATCCTCGCTCCTTTCGGGACTCGTAGATATATGAGTGACAATATGCGGTGGTCTTCTCGGTGATGATACGGCTTGTTTAGAATCGGACGCACTTCCCGCCCTGGCTAAATCACGAGGTCGACGTGATCTTGTTGTGTTTCCGGTGACAGTCTGACTCCTGGTAACCTTAGACATCTGAGTCGGCTGGTTTGACTGACTCGGTAGGCTCGTTTCCGATATGACATTGGCGGATGGTTGCGACCTCCTCGCTTGCGCAACAGCTAATGGACCCGCCCATTGTGGAAGGGTTGGGAGGCCGATACTAGCCAAAACAAAACTTGCAAGTACTGTAACAGGTAAAATGTTCTCTTTAATCTTCTCGTGTCTTGCGCTATCCGAGTGTCCAAACACAATATGCTGTACTTTATTGTAAACTCTCCGGCAGGTTTTGAAGGCCTGAGACTGCGGCGTCGAAGCGAGATCGTGAAGGTAAGTTTGGAAGAGCCAAAACGTCTATAAAGCATTACTCAGCAAACTATTCTTACAGCATGGTTTCGGTATGGGCGCAGACCAGTAGAGCAGCAGTTACGGATTCTTCGCATAGGTCTAGTAGAAACTCCTCCAATGCCATAGAGTCGTTATCGACACTTATTATAAGGTGGCATAGTTGAGGTAGGAAGAACTCGATGTCCTCGTAAGGAAATTGGCGGAGCTTGGAGCACAAAACATAGTGGATTCCGACATGGTCTGCATATCGACTGTATAAAATGGGAAATGGGTCAAAAGGTTATCATAGTAAAGTTATGGGAGGGGTTTGCCTACGATAGATAGGAAACAGAGAGAAAGGGGTTCTGGTTGAAGACATCACTCTGGATAAGGCGCTGGAGTAGATCCCACGACATAGCGAGTTGTCTTTTTGAATAGAAGAGATCGTGAGGCCTGATGCCTCACCTATGTTCGACATTAAATGATTGTACCGAATAAGAAAGATAAGCTGTCATGGCTGTCGGATGCAGCGAAGCATGGGACGGTGAAGGGTGACGAAATGTCCAAGTGTCGAAGTTGCTTTGGCTGGGTTAAAGATTTGATGGTTTGGTGTCGGCCGCGCTGCTGCTTCTCACAAGTCAATACGACACAAGCATCGAGTAATAATTGTCCCTTTCTGGCCTTCTTGGCAGGTACATGTACATGTAATATCCACTTCTAACGGGTTAAAAGTCTCTTGATTGGCTCACGTATTCTTAGCGTTAGTCTTATTACACCCTTATTACACGAGGAAAGTGTTAGTCCATGTGCAGTACCTCCTAACCTAGTCTCTATCCGACGGTAAGAGCTTCCGAATCTACCGAGAGCTGTCTAAACTTTAATAATTAGAAGGTACCTATAGGTAGGCTCGCCTATAAGACGAGACTTGAGGTTACACAGCTTTAGGTACTTTAACTTGAATGTTGAATATTTCCAAAACAATAATTTGATACTTGGCTACCTTAAACACACTTATCACTAAAGATTCATATTTACAAAAATATAGTAGTTAACATGGCTTATAACTTACCTATAGCTATATCAAATAAACTATTATAAAATCTATGCGTCAACAAGCTTCCTTGACAGGTAATTTCTTTATATTCACTCGACTTTATACCGTTAAAGTTATAATATCTCTTGATATTATGCTAAGCAAAGTGTTTGATATCAAGCTTCGAGCGTTACTATGAATAGAACAGCAAAGAAAGAATGCAATCGCCAAGAGATACCTAATCATATCGAGGTATCAATATAAACAAAGACGTGTTTACTGCCATAGTTATGGCGCGTACCGACTGCATTCCTTGCCTAAGTACCTAATTGCCCACATAATTGGTGATATTCGTTTCGCAAGCCGCCCAGAACCGTCTTCCAATCATAAATTCAGGGTAGCCCCTAAACCTCCAACGCCGGTATAATGCCCCTAGGTATAAACGCCAGTGGCCTAAATCATTCATCGTGACCTCATTGCTGTCGTGTAGCCCGTAGAAAGAGAACCAGATGACATAGTATTAGCCAATGGCTACGCAGGCGCTTTCTTCTTGCGTCCGCCTCTTCCCTTCTTCTTGGCCTCTCCAGCGTCTCCTTCTTCGTCGCTATCACTATCAGGCTTAGTTTTACCGGAGCTCTTGCCACCTTCTTTCTCCTCGCCCACCTTCGCGACAATGTCTTGTAGGAAATCCCATTCAATAGCTGAGCTTATTGCCTGCTTTAGCATTGGCGCCGTGATTCTTTTGGAATTCTTCTCCCTAGCCACCTCGGCGCTCTTACGAACGAGTTGCACCATGAATAGTTCCAACGCTTTTCCGACTGCAATGGGGGTTTGCTGGGCTACCTTACCCACTTCCTCATCCGCTTGCATTATTCGTTTAATACGCGCTGTAGGGAACTTGGTTTTGACTGGAGACGGTTCTATTTCATTTTGCTTTGCTGCCGGCGCGATCTTTCGTGGCGGCATAGTGCTTTGTGGTTTTGACGGGTTGGATTGGTCAGGAACGGCAGGTGGTTGCGAGGTCTGGGGTTGGGAAGGCTGTGTTTGTAGCTGTGCTTGTGGTTGATGATAAGTAGCGGGTGATGCAAGCTCGGGATAGGACGAGTAGTTGTAGGACGCGGAAGCGTTCGGGGATTGTAAAATATATGGCGATTGGTTTGTTTGGGCGAATTGTGTTTGTTGTCGGGGAGAGAAGTATTGTCCTTGTTGTCCGGCGTTGCCTTGGGACGGATAAGTGCTGAAAGCGGTGTTGTTGCTGCCGTTACTACCGTATGCAGGAGCGCTGGTAGGCGGTACGGAAGACGGTATAGATGGATAAGTGCTGTATTGGTGGGGCTGTGGCTGATTATTATATCTTAAAGGAGCCCCTGTACCTGTACCAGCTCCTGGACCAGCCCCAATTCCAGCTTGAAAGAGATAGCCACCTGGGGCGTTGTGGTTCTGGGGAATGTCAGAGGTTGAGCTGGAATAAAAAGAAGAAAGGTCGGGCGACTTTGGCGCATACGAGCTGTCTTGGGTTGACATGGTCTCAATGTTAAATGTTAAAATTTCGCAACGGTAGACCGTAGAAAACTGGGGAGGGTCAGAGCTTTGGAATGGCGGGGCAGCTCTTTTGAGACTCTGTTGCAGTGCAGCCGTTTTTGTGGTGAAATATTTGGGTAGGTGCAGTGTGTGTGGCTGGTCAAAATCGCTAGGAGAACAAGGGTGGGCCTCTTTTTTATCTAGTCGCGACCAATAGTTATAGAGGTAGTACCTACAGTACAAGATAGGTACGCGGGCAGGAGGTAGCAGGAAAGTAGGGGTGGACTAATGCAGGAGGTAACACCCAATGATCATACGCACACAATGATGCAGGTCTGAGGTGTGTTTGCGTTGTATGCCTAAAACTGATAGTCCACCGCGCAGGCAAGAACACAATTAAATGGTTGGTTAGGTACTTATTCGTACCCGAACCGTATTGTACTGAATGTACTGAATGAGTCAAGAAGGTTCCGCACAAAGAATCTTATGACTGCCTAGGAGATAGTGACTTCGACCGCGGGACTAAAGGACCTGTTAATGAATTGAATTGAATCGAATTGTACAGTACAGTCCAAATATCAATACAAAACACTGTTTCAACTTTGCGGGTCGGCCTGATTCGGTACGCCGAGCATTAAAAAACCTTCTTAAAAGGTAAAGGCCAATAATTGATGGGACGCGGCGTCTCAGCGTTGTAAATTGCCGGGCGGTGAAGGTGGGGTGTAATGGTAGGTCCGTGCGTGTGTGATTGCTGATTACGTTGGTTAGCAAGGGAAGGCTCGGGTCTTGTTAGAACCAATGCAGCGGGTTCAGAACTCTGCGCCAAATTCTGTCGACCGCAGCACGGGCGGCGAAGGAGCACTGGTTTTATATCCGCAAAGACCACCAGAACGGCGAAATCAAATCAGGGGGTCCCAGTAATCGCGATTGGCACCGCCACAGTTTAAAAAAATTAGGACAGGAAAATTAATACAACCTAGAAATCGAACACCGACTTTAATGTAACATGCTTCCTTGTACTCACCGAACACCCTATACGAATTATCTGTCATTACATATTAAAAGGATGGTCACTCAACTCCTCCATCTACATATCTACACATTCGTGTAGATTTATACGAATTACATATCAACTATCTCAACACAGATGAACTGTCGAGGTCATATATCCATCCATGTTGATCTTGTCACAAATGAATTTAGCACGTGTGTGTCGCCATCGACACTAAGAGGATCAAGGACATTTGTCGCGCATAAGCCGGTCTCATCAAGGCTCCCGCAGATCGTTAGGCTGCACAGGTTGGAGGCAACTTTCCGGAGGTAAATGACTCTTGCTCAGCCTTGTATCCTTTTCTATTTCTTTTGCTTTTGGAAGATTTATCCGAAACTCAGGTGACATTACTTCGGACTTTCTATAATAGGTACCTAACCTATCTCATTACCCTTTTCCCCCTCGGTGTCCACTTAGTATACAGCCTACCTACATAGGTGCAGTTGTTTAATACTCTAAGGATTCTTGCTTCTGGCGCAAGAAACGCGAAACGCCTTGGCGCGTCATGAATGATGATAATTATGCAAAGAGCTTTGTCCAGAGACTAAGTAATAACATTAGTTTAGAAGCCGAGTGTTATATACTCGTTATATACTCTATGGTTTCTTTTCTGTTGTTAAGTTTATGATGGCATTACTTGATCTAATCTGACATGACATCAGCACGCTACAGAACTCACATGAGTCCTATGCCAAGCGGCTGCGTTACTACATAGTGTATGTATGAGATATGGTTTGGATCTAATGAATATTATCTCGAATCTCCTCCACCAAAGACTTTAGTCCTTTTCGTCTATTGCTTGGTGAGCTGCTAAGAAATAGACAGGCTACCGGCCAAGCATGAATTCCTCCCTTTTCTTCTCTACTGTGAACTTTTATGTCATTTTTCTCCAAGAACTTGATAAGAGCTGAAATTTCGGGCGCCAATACCTCTTCGGCGCCATAAGCCACAAATATGCCTCGCGAGGGTGCTGCATGCTTCCACCACGAAACATCTCTACAATTGCCCGGTGATAAAAGCGGATCGTTGACCGACACTTTCTCTCCTGCGTACTGATGCGCATATCGATGCAAGGTTTCGGCGTTAAGGTAGTCACTTGTGGTATTTTGATGCTTGCTAGAGACCAGCGTTACCCAAGGTGAAATAAGCACTGCCATCCCAGGTTTTGCCAGGCGCCACGCTCCGGTAGTTCTATTCATCTTTTCAAGATGGCGATCAATATTAGCAAGATGGAGTAGCAAGCTGAGCACGATGGTAGCACCAGCTGAGTCTCCGCTGACGCAAATCCTGTCGGCATCTTGCACCGTTGAAAGCACATGCTCGTAGCCGGCAATAGCTTCCTCCAGCTGCGTTGGAAAGTTGGCATCGGGGACCAGCGAATAGTCCAGAGCAAAGATAGCTGGGTTTTTATATCCGCTATCATTTAATAGGCTCAGCCATGTGAGCAGAAACTCGAGGTAAAAGTATGCCGACCCCATTGAGAAGCCACCCCCTGAATTGCTGTTAGTCACTCGGATCTCGTGCCGGATTTGCACATTATCTCTTACCATGCGCGTAAAATATGCAGACGTCGGGTTTTGCTGTTGTATCCTTGATGATCCATATTCCTTTGAAACGCTTCTGTGAAATGATTAGCAAGACCTTCAGACGTGTTCACCTTCGCTAAAGTTAAGAACTCTTTTACATCATTATGTTCATGCCAATATATGGGAGATGTTAAATAGCCATGCCGCAACATTCTGAACTTTAGGAATGGCAGGGCTACCGGCTTGGAAAAGAATACCCTTCCAACTTTAGGAGGTATGTTTGCAAACGCATAGCGAACACACCGGATCACAAGGTCTTCAAATAGGGATGCCTTCTGTACGAATGGGGATTGCTGCTCATATCTGACAAAGTAGCGTTCGTGAATGAGCTCGAAAGGTAATTGAAATACTGCTGCCACATTAGTATTTTTCATATATCCTTCAATAACGGACTTACATAAAAAGGGCAAGCATTGTAAGCCCACTAATACGGTTTCGAGCAACCCGACGTGTATGATCAGCTGCGGTGCCAGAAATGCGCAGAAAAGAATGCAATCTAAGTACGAAACGGAACCTAGGATCATCATGTCTGGAAAAAGCGAAACCCCACAAGCCTACCCATTAGCATCTATACGTACATACAATGCCTCCGGTGAGGGGATAGGGGATTGTAAATCCGCTTCACGATAATGAGATCGAAGCGATAAACAAACCAATGAAATTTAATGAATAGTAAGTAGTATTAGTCGCGTGTTTTTGCATATTACGAACTCATCTGTCTCATGATTGGATACCAGCTGATGACGTCGTCGAAGATTGTGAGCTCATGTATGTAAGACTAAGCCACACTTCACTCTCACATGCCTCGGATCGTGGAAAGGGGCAATTTGCCAACACTACCTAGGTACTACAGGCTAGGCGCGGTAAATGTGTTTTATCTTCAGCGGGAATTACGATTGATGGTTCATAAGTAAATGAACTTACTAAGCTGCAGTATAAAAACCAACCTATGTTTTAAATAGGAGGTATGTAGTAGCTTAGCAACACTTATGCAAACCTGCTAAAGTTGGGGGCATTTCAAACTCGCCGCTATTCGTCACTTAAAAGTTGGATGATAATTACATAGCAATGCTTCATTAGAGATATATTTGCTTGCACAAGTAGCTACTACTTGGATCTGAGTTCGATCTCATATGAATCACATTAGCCTAGCTCGCTCAAAATACCGGCGTCTAACAACCTAAAGTGAATATGTCACTTGCTGTAATCAGTCTTGAACTTAAGACATCCAGCGCTACATATATATAATAGAACCTCCTTACTCACACAAGCACATGCTTCTTCGCCATTCCTTGCTCAGGTATATCATATCATATCATCACTTCATCAGAATTCTAAGCCAGCCTAGTCTAGTCTACCTGTCCAGTCTAGTTATGCGCAACCTCCAAGATCCTCTTCTCCATATCCTCAAACGCACCCAGCACCTTCCCGTAGCTCGCAAACGCCGCGTCGCGGAACCCGTCGTCCACCTTCTGGATAGCATCCTCCTCCCGCCAGCGCTTCCCGATCAGATCGTCGAAGCTCTCGTTCTCGTCGCGCCGCTCGAGCGCCCACAGCGCTTTATACGCGCCGCCGAGCGCGCACGCGTTCCCGCCTACGTCGAGCCGGTATACCCCGTCCGCACCGCCGAGTACGTCGCCGAACACGCGCGCGATCGCGGGGTTTAGCGACCCGCCGCCGACTAGGTAGATGCGGCGCGGTTGGGCGGGGAGTTGTGGGCGGTCGGTAGGTTTGGATACCAGGTTCTGAGAGCGCAGGCGCATCGATAAAGCTTGGGACTCGACGATTATACGGGCGTCTGCCTCCGCGCCCCAGTCTGACGCCTCCTTTAGGTCCGAGCCGTCTGCGCTGTTGCAAGTGTACCGCCAGGTACCCGCCTTGATATTCGGCACGATTTCCGGTAGCGGGAAATACAGGCCTAGCTTCGCCCTGTCGCCTTTCTTCTTTACGTCTAGCGGTGGCGTCTCTAATACATGTCTATTAAAATTCTCCCAGGGGTCTGAGCCCGAAGGTTGAGGAAGACTGTCGCGGACCTTCTCGCGGGCTAAGCCGCCGTTCTTGTAACACAGCATGAACATGAAGTGCCCTTTTGTGGTGGGGTGGTTCATGAAGTGATACGAGGGGTCAGGCTTATAGCTAGGCGTATTCATAAGGAACGTACTAGACGTGCCCAGCGAGACAATCGCATCATGTGGTCGTAAAGGTAACGATAAGATCGTCGCGGGATTGTCGCCCGTAAAGGGCGCGATTTGGCAGTCGGGGCTAAACCCGTATCGTTTTACAAAGTACGGGGAAATGCCACCCAAGCTCCCACCGCCGTCTAGTGGTACGTCACCAAGCTTCTTCCGTAGCTCAGGTACACCCTCCTTAGTTGCTGTCAACTCCAGGAGTGACTCGTTCCACTTCTCGCCGGCGATATCCCATAGATTCATTCCGGTAACATCGCTTATGTCTATCGGCGCAATGGCTCCTAGAAATAGCGAGGCTAAGAATGAAGAGGCGAGCGAGATGCGAGCAGTTTTGCTATAGACCTCGGGACGTCGCCTTCGCATTCTTAGAATTTGCGTACCCGTAAAACGCTACTCTATATTAGTTACGTTGATTTTTCGCTAAGGCCACGAGGCCACTTACGTGATGAGCAGCGCTCCCTGTGGCATCGGCTAGCTTTTGCTTAGAGCCCAAGTGAACATCGAAGTGATCGCATTCAGCCTGGGTGCTGTGGTCTTGCCAGTTCGGCGCGAACTCGTAGGCGAAGGCATTGGACAGCTGGTCGAGTAAGGGTTTCCCGCTATCGAGTGTCTTTAAGGCAGACTCAGCATGTTCGCTCCAGTAGACGCTTGAATGCTGCTGACCAGAACCGCTTATGCCTTTAATATGCTCAACAGGGCAACCCTTCTCCTTCAGGCGGGTTAGGACGAGGTCTACTGCCTCAACCCACATGGCCACGGGTGCATATACTTCACCCTCATCCTCGTTTGTTTGAACGCCCTTCTTGATCTTATACTTGGCAGCAAAATCGGCGTCGAAGTCGACTTTGGCTTCAGAGATAACTTTGAGATCTGAAGCAATTACAATTGCTGTTGCTATTTAGCAAAATTTTTATTCCTTAAAATGAATAGAAAGGTTTTCTTTCTGTATAGAAACTCTAGCGTATGGCTAACAATTGTATGAACTCACCCTTTAATTGCTGGGTTGAGAGGTCAAACCCGAGGTATAATGGCCCGGTGCTCATATTGTTCTGCTAGTTAAATCAACGTTAAGTGTATATCAGAATTAGAAACGGTAGGGATTCATAAAGTCTAAAATCTAAGCATGGGAATATCACTCTAAGACAGGAAAGTAATCCTAGAAGTGTCGAACTCTAATAAAGTCCCTCAAAATTATTTACTATGTAGGTAAGCTCATGAAGAGCTGTTGATGAAAGATTTACGGGATCGTACGTCTAATACTATGACACCAGTGACCTAGATCTCGGTATCGCGGGGCAATGCCGCCCCTTATCCCTTATCAATTTAGGCTAAAACGTCATTAGCTCCAATTTTGGAAACTGATAGAGCGGCTCTAGAAGACCCGAGGGGGTGTATTGCATGCATTGCATGTACCCAAGTAACTTGTTAGGAGGTACATAACGGATTACTGTATATATGTACATAGAGATTTATACCTTTAGAGCTACGGCCTTGGCGCCGAGGTTATGATATGCGCAAAACATCTCCGAACTCGCATATGTTATAAGTCTTTCCATGTTGCTTGCTATGTATTGCTAATGCCATGACATCTGCTAATCTCTTCGAAGCTTCGCAGACGTCCTCTTTCTGCTTTTGCTATGTTCATCAAAATGCTATTGTTAGCAACATCGAGTGCTAAATCTTTCCGAATACCGTTCGTCCGATGACGCAGGTCGAAGATATAGTACACTTAGGCTCTATCAAGAGAGCCTCACCTTTTATTCCCGGATGATTTTGGTATCATCGAATGCCGACCGTCCGAGGTGCCTAGAATGTAACCAACGCCCCAACGCCAAAAGTGATTATATTCTCCTCATATAGGTTTACTTCGACTTGTTGTCTCCGTTCCCATTGTGGCTGTGATCGTGATTGTTATCGTCCTCTGGCTCTGGGCTCGATCGAGGGCTTACGTCCCCAGGGATGAATTCGTCAAACTTGGGGGCAACGGTATCTTTGGGCAGGAAACGGACGCGCACCCTGCGGACACCCCGTACCTTGTTGCCGACCCGAGTCCTGATTTGCTCTTCCGTTTCGTGAACAGCTTCCACCGTCCAGTTTCCTGGCACGGCTACCTCCAAGTCCACTAGATAGTTCTGACCAGATTTGACACCTGTGACACCTCGGAGCTCTATCTCATGCCCCTCAGGAATATCTGAGAAAGCTCTCTGGACGTGTTTTCGGACCGAAGCTTTGACTTCATCATCGATAGTCTTATCGGCCAATTCGAGAAAAGCCGCCATAGTGTTCTCAGCTCCAGCTTTCACCACCATCAAGGATATCAGAAGACCCCCGACAGGATCTAACCATGCTGCATTTTCTACCAAGTTTGCGCCTAAAATCACTGCCAACGTGACAATACCCGTGAGACTATCGATTCGGTGGTGGACGGCATTCGAGGCGAGGACCGATGACTTTCGTTCGCGGGCAACTTTCATAGCTATGAAGGATGATTTGTTAGCACCAACATTTATCATATAGTTTCATCAAATTGGTTGGAAGACCTACTTGCATGATACAACCACTCCTTGAGGGCAACAGTGCCCGCAGCTAACCATGCAGCATGCAGACTGGGTACTACATCGACACCATGCTCATGACCATGGCTATGACCGTGTCCATGCGCGTGTGTTATCAACTCTGCTGCAGAGGACGGATCGAGAAAAAAATGACCATAGAGCGTTAAGAGACTGCCGTAACCCATATAAATGCCTCCAATAAGGAGCATACTCGACACACCCAGCGATCCTAAACTTTCGATCTTTCCAAATCCATAAGGAAATTTATCCGTGGGGGGTTTCAAACTCCAAGATATAGTAGCCAAAGTCAGGACATCAGATGCGAGATCTGTTAAGCTATGGATTGCGTCGGCAACCATTGCTTTGGAATTAAACAAGTAACCACCAGCCCCTTTTGCAATTGCCATACCAAGATTCGAATATAGACCAATTCGGGTAATACGAACGCCGGCATCATTTTTATTCTGAGAGGTAAGGTAAACATTATCATGGTGATGATGTCCGAGACCATGCTTGTGGCCACTATGGCTACGCGTCTGAGAGAGCGTTGCCATGATAGGGAAAAGACGGGTGTATTGGCGATGAATAAATGGTGAAGAATGAGTGATAGAATGAGTGATAGAAAAAGATTGTACTTGTGAAGAAGGAGAAGGATAACAAGAAGTTTGAAAGACTCGACGTGGTTGTGACCGGTGTGGTTTATGTGTCCAATTAATGTGATAAAAGGGCTGTTGCTGACGGATAAAGCTTGGGCTTAATCCGGTAGTCAATGTTGCAAGCTCAGGCCCGGCTGCGACAGCCTGGCGCAGGCTCAGGCCGCCTAGACATGGCCAACCCAGTTGACCTTGGGGAAACATCTTAAGAGGGAAGGTACGCCGACCACGTAATATGACAGGTGACGCGCGTTAATGCCTGGGACTGGCAACCTGTGAAAAGATGAGATTATGTATATCTAAAACATGAATGGCCGTTGTACTAGTATGTAGAAAATGCTTGCCATGCGTGCGCGTTCCTTGAACTGCGACGACATCGGATGGGTCGGCGTGGGAGAACGGTGTCAATTGGGGAGCCAATAAGAATCCATCTGATTTGATCTTTTTAGCTGAATTATAAAAGAAATTATAAAAAAAAGATCCTACATAGTAGACTAGAGCTGCGTCAGCTTCTGCCGCAGCGTGGGGATCAAGAAACTGGAAAAGCCCCTAACCGACCCCACGTCTTCAGGGGTCTTTGAACCAAAAGTCACCGTTATAGCGGTATCACATTCGCAATTGCACTCGCTATATCTATATGTAGGTACGGATTATACATAAGAGGTTCTACTATGATAGGTACCTAGCGTAACACAACGTCTAATCAAAAGATGGCAAATGCAGCTTACCTTAGGTACCTAGGTACTTACGGGTTGACCCGCCGTTACATACCTCATACCCAAACCTTACATTTATAGTGGCTTACCTCATCTTTTCTTCACTTCTCATGGCTTGACTTAGGTAAGATACCTAACAAGTAATGACTTCACTTCACCCAATATTATCGTTTATCGTTGAAACTTTTTGGTACAATAAAGAGTTACATATCATCTTTATATGATTGATTATGAATTAGACTTTATCACCAATTAAATTCTTCAATATAATTATATCTTATTATTAATCTCTCCAAATGCGCAAACCATATATGCGAATACCGTATACGGATGTCTTAGCATCTCCCACTGTCATCCCCCAGACCGCAAATACCATCTCGGGAGCTATTGCGGCCCTGCAGGAATTCTTTGGAGCAGCATCGGCAAGAGGCTCTCCTTCTACCGTGGTCCTTACGGGGGCTGGTATATCTGTAGCTAGCGGGCTTGCAGACTACCGGGGACCTAATGGCACATATCGAGTGAACAAGACATATCGGCCCATCTATTACAGCGAGTTTCTCCAAAACCACGAGGCTAGGAAACGGTACTGGGCTAGGAGTTTCTTCGGCTGGACTACTCTATTGAAGGGAAAACCTAATGCTGGCCACTATGCGGTGAAACACTTAGGTGACTTGGGACTGGTTCGGAGTGTGATTACGCAAAATGTGGATTCGTTTCATCCAAAAGCTCATCCTCAACTCTCCACGATCGAGCTGCATGGCTACTTAAGATCATGTATATGTACGTCGTGCCACGAAGAACTACCGCGAGACGCATTTCAGCATGAGCTAGCTAGGTTAAACCCTGCCTGGGCAGCCTTCCTACAAGACGTCTTAGCTTCCGGTGCTTTGGATACAGAGAATCCGGATGAAAGACGAGCTAGGGGTTTGAGGACGAATCCTGACGGTGATGTTGATCTTCCAGATGCGCCATACACAACATTCCGCTACCCAGCCTGTCCAAGATGTCTTGCATCTCCGCCTGTCATTGCGGATGGGAGTTGTGCGAAGGTCGAGGTTGATACGGATGGTGCATGGAAGTCGACTAGCACGGCCGGGATTTTGAAACCAGCAGTCACCATGTTCGGAGAGAATATCCGCGTGCCCGTCAGGGCAGCAGCAGAACAAGCCATTGAAAATGCTGGAAGCTTATTGGTCTTAGGCACATCCCTAGCGACTTATTCTGCGTGGCGATTGGCTAAGAGGGCTAAGGATCGAGGCATCCCCATCGCGATTGTTAACCTTGGAGGCGTCAGAGGAGAAGAGACATTCTTTGCTGACCTCGATCCGTCCCAAAAGGGAAATCAAGGAGCAAGAATAGAGTTGTCCACTGACGAGCTGTTACCTGCTCTTGTAGAGCAATTAAGACAGTCCTCTAGTATAAAGGTTGCTGCAGAGGGCCATGACCATAACCCCAAACAGCATAACGCCTCAGTATTCAAAGACATGATGTCGTAATAGCATAATAGTCGTGTTGTATATATGCAACCTACAATATAATTTATAGATTAGAAAAAACTCGAGTAGCTTCCGGTCTTCGTCTTAGGATGCTCCTTCATTTCCGCAACGGTTGGACTACTGGACTCAGCCTTTACGGAATCTGCCACGGGTTGGGTTGACTTTTCGGGTTTCGTCGTATTCTTGAGGATATCTTCGCGTTCGATTTCTCTGAGTACTTCCTCCCACTCTTTCTCTTTCTCGGCATCACCAGTGCCCAAGGTTTTCTCGACATCAATTTCCTCGCCTCTTTGTAGTTTTTCTACGACCTCACGTAGCAACCCAATGCGAACCTCGGACCGCCTCATGAACGTATCAAAGTCCTTCCTCAGTGCGATCATCTGGATAGCCATGGATCCAATGAAGAGGAAGATGACGATATAGAATGTAGCTGGATTCCATTCTTTTGACTTGGGTTTCTTAGGCACACCCCAGTTCACAGATTGTTGTTGTGAGCGTCGGAATGGTTTCGGTATCATATTCTTCCAAAACGATGGCTGCGTAATCGACGGGACTGTGCTAGCATATCGGACGAGGCGGGGTTGATTGAGGAATATTATCTTTGTGGGTGCTGGTCGGAAGGATGCTGTGGCCTTTGCAGCTTTTCGCCATACTAATTTATCCATGTTGGAGAGGTTTATCGTGATTCGCAAAAAAAGAAAAGGAAAGAAAAAAAGGTTCCAATGTTGAAGTAAAATTGCTGAAGTACCGTACTATTACCTAAGATGCATTTCGATGTACCCATCTGCAACCCCAAAATCTCACTTGGAACGCACGGACCTATCTAGGTACCTTTTTAAACGGTCCCGGGATATCGGTACTTACTATAGCGGTTGCCTAGCCAACGTGTTTAGGTTTATCTTTAGTCAGCTAAGTTTAGCCAAACAGCACCCACTCTAACATGGCTGCATGGATTCGACGTGGATTCACGCAATAAACTCCCACCTTCCTTGCATTTGCGATCTTTGCTGTGAATTTCACATATCATCAAAGTCCGCGAGCTCGACCTTACGACATAAGAAATATTATACATATTTCACATTTCTTCCAAAGCTCGGCGTTGTCACCAGAATTTCTTTGCTCCTTATTTAACTGGCATGAGATACGGTTCCGCGTGCTTTGACTAACTAATCGATTTCCTAAGTCCTTCATTCTTTTCTATTAATGACGATATGAGTAGAAGTTGGCAAATATAACAATTCACCCCTCATGGAAACCATACAAGCCCGTGCCGACTCTGTGCGAAATGCTGTCACATCGGTCTCAACATGTACTGCTACAATCTCAGCTACCGTCAAAGAACTTCTTCAAGATAACGACGCGAACAACGAAGCCTCAAAGCCAGTCTCGAAGGCGCGATCGACCAAATTAACAAGAGCGCCAAGTAGAACAAATACTACATCAGCAGGGCCGCGTACACAAGGCAATGGAGGATGTTTATCAGCTAAAGAAAAGGCCGTCCTGGCTACTCAGATCGTTACCGCCAGTCTCAAAGCTCTGGGGGAGGCTGCGAAATCTCCACCTAATTCGAGTCCAGATGCGCGCGATTCCACCAAGAGCGATCCTGCCAAAGGTGAAACTCGAAATCGCCTTCGGAGATCGATTTCAGCTCCCATGAAGCCATTATCATCCCGGTCTTTGAATAGAGTTGCAACATCGCCTGCCGTTTCGAAGGCATCTCGATCACCTTTACCACCTACCTCTTCAATAGGATGTTTATCTTTAATAGAATGTGCACGCGTGGCTTTCTCAGCATTGGCAACCCTAGAGTCGTCAAATGCTATCCATCTTCCTGAACTGCAGCTGGAGGCGGGAATGTCATCATTTATCAGCAAACTCATCGGGCTGAATCAGTTTGATATAGCATTAAGAGAGCTGAGGGTATTAAAACGACGCTTAGGACGTATGAATAATGAAGAAGTTAAGAACACGGCGGTCCGCTCGAAACCGGAATCCAATATGACATCGAAAACACTCGCCGAGTTGTTGGATTTCACTACGATCGTTGCGGCTGGCCCATTACTTGGTTTAGTCATCACTACTCAACTTCAGGCTCTTCGGATTATACATGGCCTCAAAAAGTCCTCACATCTTGAGAGCATCTTACCTCTACTGCGCGAGACATGTCCTTCTTCGCCGATAAAACTACTCCTATCGTCTCTCAAGGAAGCCAACCCAGACCAGACCAAATGCGCTCGACAGCTAGAGAGCTTATCTCAAACTCTCCTTTCTTTAACGCCAAGCGTAGCGGCCAAGGACGACGACTTTGCAGTGGAGCCAAAGCTATCCCCAAGTCCTGAGGTGGCATTAGAGGTACAAGCTCTCGGTTTAGTTACGCGTCTGCAGTCATGGAGTGTATCTGGACATAGAGGGGATGTTGATAAGGATATCATGTCCCCTCTTTCCAAATGCCTATCTGCTTTCGTCAGAAGAGCATCCCCTAGCCGCTTTTCAATGGCAATCACCGCTTTCTCCCAGGTCTGGAAACGGGTCGAAAAGTTGGGACTCAGGCCGACAGAATCATCCCGGTCTCCCTCAGCAACAATATACCAAGTACTCGCCACGGCGTCCCAGGAATCCGGTAACACCAACGAGGCGAAGAAGTGGTTAACAAAGGTCAAATCTTTAACCAACCCAGCCGAAGATTCTGCTGCAAGATGTTGTGCTGTTACCGCTAGACTATTGGCGCTCTCTCTCAAGCAGTCCTCTCAGGTTGACGAGAGTATACTAATGGAAGTCTTGGATGGGTTACGAGGATCGCTTGGTGGTACAAGTGCGGAAATGGACGACCTTTTAGCCAGCGTGTGCCTCCTGCGGAAATCTGTGATGAACGTGATCATGGAAAAGAAAGAGAACTCTACCACAGTTCCGCAAAATATCAGCGAACATCTGGATACTTTCATTTTCCAACTACCACGATTTTCTCTGAGATGGCTGGGCAAGCCACCGAGTTCGGCCAACGGTGCCAAAGACTTGATTCGGTTCGACCAACGTCGAGGGTTATTGTCAACATATTTACCTCACATTCTCGATTCAGCTCTGATGCTTTCCAAATTGCTGTTAGACAGCGGCCGGCTCGCCTGGGATGTTTTGGATTCCACTCTCCAGGATAGTTTGGCCCTTCTAGAAAACATGGAAGATTTAGCTCGATTAGAAACCAAGAGCAATTCATCTCCCTCATATCATATCAAAATATCTCATTTATACTACCAACAACACCTTGCTTTACGAAAATCCACCACGAAGACGACAGAAATTACATCTCTTAAGGCGCTTCGAAAGTCTATCGATAGTGTGAAGAACCGGCCTGAATCAGAGCAGACCCGAGCTCAACTATTAGTCAAATGGGAGAGATTTGCTGAGCTATGTAGAGCTTCAGGCAGATTAGACGATGCTACCGACGCTCTCCGCTCAATCAGAGATCATCTTGTTCGGCAAGAAGTTGTGTCAAACATTACCGCCAGCCTCGCAACAGAACCCTGGTGGGTAGCGTGGAAGCAGAATTCTGACGTCGAACTGCTTTCAAGGACAGTCTGCAACCTTGCTAAACTTGACCGGAAACACAACGATTGGACCTGGCTGCTTGTTGGGTCGGATAAAGCTACTGCTCTTGAGCATGATCTTTACGCCATCGTTTGTAAAGATCAGAAGTTTCGCTACGAATCGGATTTATCAAGCCCCATGATAAAGACTTTATTAGAGTTTTACTCTGTCGAAAAACACCCAATCCGCAGATTGAGAACCTTGCTCCAGCTTCTCACTATCCACATGGGCTCACAAGATGGGCTTGCCGACTTGCGGGCCGAAGTGGAAGAGGTTCTCAGACCGATCAATGAAGAAGCCCTAGCAGATGATTCTGGCCTAGTTCGCTACATCCCGCACCTACAAGCATCGGCAGCGTGCATATTAGGGTTGATTGACTCGAACATAGATTCACCACAAATCAAAGAAGCCTTGATTAGGTGGAAGCACATCGTCTCCAAATGTCAATCAACTGAGCAGCTATTAGTTCACATCGACAATCCATCTCAGCTACTTACAAACCTACAGTCTCTAGTCGATTTCGCCAGAATCAAGGGCCTAGAAACCCTACAAACGGAGATCCTCGAACTCTCGATGAGCCTCTCTAAACTTTCGGGAGATTGTAACCTTGAAGCATCGATAAGCCAGGGCATTACACTCTGTCTACAACATTTGAGTCATGGCTGGTCATCCAAAGCTGAGAAGTTTTTGGTGGAAAACCAAGAAGTAGTTTCTCGACCAGACATCGCCAGAGAGCTTATTGTCAGATTTCACTTGTCTGCTGCTGAGTATCACCTATCCCTGGGAGCCCTCGATAAGGCTGAACAGCATTTGAGTAACGCTCGAAATGCTGAGATGGGCCTATCATCCGAGCTAGAACCGAAGAAAGGGAAGAGCTCCAATCGAAGAATTACAACAGCATACGCATATTTCCTATACTCAAACCTCGAGCTCGAGCGTGGCGACTGTTATCACGCACTTCGTTTCGCCAAAACCGCTGTCAGGAAATTGTTCCATGATTGGTCTAGACTAGACGAGATGAGATCCACCACCCACGATATTTCCATAGAAGAGTCCTCGCAATCAGACGCCTCGGATAAGGATACAAGCCTCAATAACTCTTATATAGAGCGTTCTGATCCACCCCGTGCGAGCGCTGGCCCAGAGTTTTGGGCACTAGCTTATCAGTTGTTTCGGTTCCTTCTACAATTATCTTCTACCTACTCGCACGTCGGTATGTACCAGGAAACACTGTATTACGCCGAGCAAGCACATAAAGTAGCGAAGAGCATGGAATCAGCCGTGTATATGTCTCAATCTCTTGCATGGTTGGCACGGATTTGGCTCATGGCTGGTAAACTGGAAAAGGCAGTGGAGCTGGCAGCTGAAATCAAGCCTATAACCCTAGGCTTAGAACCCACCTATCAGAACGCGAAAGTGCTGTGTCGTCTGAGTTCGGTCTACGGAGAAATTAACGATGAAGAGGCGCAAGAAGAAGTAATAGGCAGGGCAGAGTCCATGCTCAAGATCTTGAATAGCGCCCACGATGCGAACAACTCAGTTGCGGATGTATTAGAGTCAGACATGGCAGGGTTAAGGGTCGAAGAAAAACCAGTTGTTAAAGCTCCAGTGCGCCGCATTGCAGTAGCAAAAAGACCAAGAGCTCCAACGAAGAGTATCTCGAAGCCACCACCGAAAAAGGCGGTTCCCCTACCCGAAGCCCTGGTACAAGTTAAACCCGAAGAAACCCAGCTATCCTTCTTACGCGCCTCGATTCTCCAGATTCAATCGACTCGCCTCCTTGATGCTAGTGATTGGGCAGCAGCGGTAACCACCCTTCGAACGGCATATGAGCTTTCCAAGTTGCCCACGGACGTGTCACAAGCCAGCTTCTTAATGGGTGTGGCCTTGATCGGGCAGAGTCTAGAGCAGATAAGCCACGACGCTGTGTTTTCCGTCATTCAGGATTCAACTCTTTCGTTCCCTTCAGTAGCGGGATCTTTTAAGGAAAGAATCGCATCTGATAGGCTATCCTTAACAAAACCAGTGGCTCCTCGCAAAGGTCGTGGGCCATCGAAGAATGCTCAGAACACGCGGTCCTTTGTCGAGAAACTACGCGAAGCACAGGGACACTTACTGGCAGCGCATTCTATTGCAAGTCTTAATGGCGATGGCGACTTGGTTCATCGTATTGCCACTGTCCTACAAAATGTGGTCATCCTTTTGTCGAATACAAACTCTTCCACACCAGCCGCGAGCCATCCTGCTCATGCCACTTGCACGGTTGAACTGGCGCGCAATCTGACCTGGCGCCGCGAGCGCAAGACACTCCACCTAGAAGCCGCAAAAGAACCAAAGTTGGATTGGCCTATACTTACTGACAATACCTTTGATAGACGTACCAGCCTTGGGCTTTCCCTAGATATGGATTGTTTCCAGAGGGATTATGTCGATATTATCCCCAAATCTTGGAACGTCATATCAGTGTCACTAAGCGACAATGAGCACGATCTCTGCGTCACTAAGCTCCAACAAGGCCACAGCCCATTCGGAATTCGGCTTCCGCTTGAGAGGGCGAGCTCCAGGGACGCAGACTCTGAGGTGTTCAGCTTCCGCCAAGGACGAACAGAGTTGCTCGAGATCGTACAGATGGCTAATCGCACCTGTCATGATGCGCGGGATATGAGCCAGAAAGGTGCAAAGTCCGCGTGGTGGGCTGAACGGGAAGAACTCGATGAACGCTTGAAAAACCTTATGGGCTGCATCGAAGAATCATGGTTAGGGGGGTTTAAAGGCATATTTTCGCATCATCGGAGACAAGAAGATCTACTCGTTCAGTTTCGAACGAGTTTTCAAAGTATTCTCGACAAAAATCTTCCCTCGCGACGCAAAGTCCGCGGCAAAAAGACGAAAGCGGCTCCTGCGACCCAGGTCAACCTTGATCCTAGGATATATGACTTATTTATCGGCTTGGGAGACCCAACAGCTCGCGAGGGCGACTTAGATGACGCTTTAACAGACTTACTATACTTTGTTGTCGATATCCTCCAATTTCATGGCGAGAGGAATGCTTACGATGAAGTCAACTTTGACGACATGGTGGTGGAGACCTACGACGCTTTACACGCGTATTACGTTGCTGCTAAGAGTGCTAAGGACGCGGGCGAAGCTGTACATACGATTTTGATCCTCGATAAGTCCTTACATGCGTTCCCCTGGGAGTCACTGCCTTGTTTGCAGGGCTTAGCCGTATCTCGCGTTCCTTCGCTCGATTGCCTACGAAGGCTGATTCTAGAGGCCAAATCTGACAACCCAGATGCCGTCGACGAAGACGACCAAACCGGCAGTTCCAGTCAGCGACAGGGTCACTACGCATCAATTAACTCAGGCACGTACATCTTGAACCCCGGCTCCGACCTCAAGAACACTCAAGCTACCTTCGGCAACGCGTTATCCACCCTTCCCCCGGCATGGAATAGCATTGAGATGCAGGAACCGACAGAAGCCGAATTCGAGTCGGCCCTTGCTAACAAGGATCTACTACTGTATTTTGGTCACGGCAGCGGCGCCCAGTACATCCGCGGCCGTACGATCCGTAAGATGGATAAGTGCCGGGCAGTAGCACTACTCATGGGCTGTAGCTCGGCGTCGCTCGCGGACGTGGGTCGCTTCGAGTGCCACGGCCCCGTGTGGAACTATATGCTGGCTGGGTGTCCCGCCGTCGTGGGCACCCTCTGGGACGTGACAGATCGCGACATCGACCGCTTCGCTGGACGGGTATTCGAAGAATGGGGTCTCATGCCTAAGGGCACGTTTGCGGAAGACGCGGGTCCGAGCGCGAAGGGAAAGAAGGTCGCGAGAGGGAATAAAGGGGGCGTGGAGAAAAAGAAGGCGCAAACCGGAGAGAATAGGAATAATTCGAGCCTCGTCGAGGCTGTCGCGAAGGCACGGGATGCGTGTCGCTTCAGATACCTGACGGCGGCGGCGGTGTGCGTCTACGGTATTCCGGTATATATCAGCGATCAGTGAGCCGAGGCTACCGATCTCCTATCCTAACAAATGTAGGGGAAGGGGAAGGGGAGATGACTAGAGCAGGTTTCGCTCGAGGAGTCGGGGTCAGGCAGGCGGCATAATGCGGCGTTCGGAGGTCGATAGATTAGAGCTCTAGATACCTTTGTTGTTGTCGTTGTACATTGGATTACTAGGCGTTGGGGCTAGGATACTCTACTTGCTTTCAGAGTACGTAGTGTTAAGATAATGATTTTCAGAACCATGACTTGGACAGTGGTATCCTAGCGGTGATTTGGAATGTAATATATTTCGTCTTATTCTATAGACAGACCACACAGAGAGGTATTCGAGTATTGGTTATGGAGAGCGCTCCAGAGGGGGGGGGTCTAGAACATCCGGGTTTCTTCAGCGGTACTTTTACACGAATTGCACTATTAGATACCTAGGATATTTCTAGACCTTTTCTTGCACATACGAATAGAGATGAATAATACTAGTTAATAATAACTATAATAAATTCAATATTATCTTATGTCGAAGTTGGTGCTACGGAGGTCGAGTCTTATTTTGGCGGGCTTGCCTTAGGTACTCGCTTCTATATTAGAGAATTTGGTTATTAAAGGTAGGTAGGTAGGTAGGTACCTGGGCTGGCCTTCCTGGCTAAGGGAATAATTACCTAGGTATGTAGGAAGAGAGGTAGTAATAGTAGTAGTAGTACCAACGGACCGCTAGCGCCTCTATATTCCAACTATATATATATCTAGGGCAGGAGAGTAGTGTTGGTATGTAGGGAAAAGCGAGTCTAAAAGGGGGTACAATGGTTCATAGTGAATTTCCCGGTCTCCTTTCTTTATCCCCACGGAGTACCTATCGTCTCGACTCTCAGGTCTTGCTTGGAAGTGTTGTGAGTTAAGTTGGGACCGTCGGCACGCGTTTCTAAGCGGTAAATATCGGTACAATACATACATAGGTACAGACAGACATACATACCCCGTCGTTGTTATAGGCTCGAGACCACTGCAAGAGTTTGTTGCTTAGGTACCTGTTATTGAACCCATTACGCGTTCTACCTACACATCGACGACACGTATACTGCAGTTATAAGAAGAGCGTTGCGGTCCGTGTATTCCCATTGCTGGAGCCTAGGCCCGTCCGCGCTTGTAGATGCAGGAGGCTATCGTGATACACGTGGCGAAATGTCTGTCTGGTAATGGGCCGATAGCAAGAGGGGAGGATGAGCAAGGTCAATATTGCTACTACGGCCCCTGTTCTGTTTAGAGCTCAGTTGGGGGATATTGAGGGGCAGAGAACGACGGTTCGTAATATAGTCGTCATTAATGTGGTCTGCGTGCGAGCGTATGCTGCTGTGTAAGAATTCAATAGTTGCTTGTCCAGTCATTTACGTCGCGATCCTGTCCGAGTACTGCGAGATCTAGGTTGGGTAGGCCCGAGGGCAGCACGAGATGCTTCGCGGTCTAGGTAGTTTTCTACGCCTGTCCTTCTTTGCTCAGTTCGAGGGTGATATCCTCTGGAGTTCTAGCCCTGGCTCGGATGCATCATATCTCTGTTGCTAGACAGTAGACGGTTCGACTGGTGAGGAGTAGTAGTGACACCGCTCTTAGAGCTTCTCTATCAGTCGTGGATGTGGACGGTTGTGCTCGGTCGCACAGCTACCATGTCACAACATAGCCGTCGAGTAACTCCCTCCTTACCTGCATACAGTAGTCAGTGTTCGGTATATCTATTCACCCTGGGTTCTACTTAAATTACTCGAAGAAAGTCGAGATGAGTGAAAAATCTAATCGTACGTGGGCGTCCGTCATTTTCGGTACGGTAAGGGCCCGTATCAACAAAGCCTGCCCAGCTAACCCCTGGGATCGGATATTCTTCTCTACGCCAGCGAGGCACAGTCGGCCAGGAAAGGCACGGGCTCAAGGAGGGTAGACAAATGTACCACAGAGATCGCCTCGTAGCCTGGTGCAGATCTTGAGGGTCCACGTAGCATTAGGTTAATCGCAACCGTACGAGGAGGAAATAAGGTAGCAGAACATGAAGATACGACATAAATATTTTTTTTTCTTCCTCTGTGGAGATGTGTTGCATACTCTACCGTCTGACCCCTTCCCTTCCTCTACCTAGAGAGTCTTGGTAGTCCGGGGAAAGCAAGACGATGCGTGATTTGGTCGATCTCTCGACGAAGAATAAATTATATGACGGTTACTATAGATAAATAGGTGCTATAGTTGTTATGGGACTGCATCTATATCGCGTGGTACTTTATAGTCTGCGGCACGAATATGACACATGAGATTCTACATTAGGTAGTTATAATAACATGATATAAGCCGCTTGTTCTTCACAGAGTACGAAGTACCCAGAAGCTATGCGTATATCAAAGGCGAATAGTTCTCCGTTTTGGGGTTGGTGGAAGTTGGAGGAGCTCCGATACGGAGTAATATATCCCCATGGGGAAGCATCGCATACAACCCAAGGTCGATATATTGTAGGTAGGGTACCTTAACGACGTATCACTTAGGGTGGATAGTATAAGGTCCTGCGAGTCACGCAAGAGACTTAAGTAATGCCCTCCTGCTAAATTGGGGGCCTTCGCGGTTGTCCATCCGCCTTCGACAGCAAGGCTGGGGCGCCTGAAAATGCAGGTCGCGCAACGGAACCAAAATAGTAGACCGCTAGCATCGCCAAGCATACTGGGGCTTTTATTCTCCCATCATATCCAATTCGCTACCGAAGTTCGCATCCGCAATATGTTGAGACGTCGGGAATTTCGAAGTATTCCATGACCATTCTGCGCAGCTGAATGGGGGGGAATGGCGGCAAAATACGTATCGCTCACATTAAGCGGAATATACAAGGGTCCCCTCCCCTTTTCGGTGTTTTCGAACCATAGCTGGAGCCGCTTCTTCTCGAAAGGACCGAGTCCATGTATGTATGTATGATGATGTCTCGGCCGCATCTTTTTTTTTCTCTTTCTGTTTTTTATTTATTTATTTTACCTTCTTCTCATTCTTTTCACTACGGTAGATAGCTGTGCCACGAGACTCTCTGTAACGTCGGTTCGTGGATAAGTCTCGGCATCAAGACAAGAGATACATGATGCAGTGAGACCTTACCACAAGGCGCATCTCGCCTCGCTCTAGGACACGTCAGGAGCTTAATCATAGAGACTCTAAGCTCCATACGCGTCCGTATACAAGAGCCCAAAGTAGGATATTAGTAAAGTAGTTATATAGTATAGGTATGTAGTTTTATCTCCGCGGGGGTTAATTGTTAACGAAATAAGGTGAGTGGATCCATCATTGGAGTTAAAGGATTGAATGCCCAACGAGATACGTTGCTGGCTTCCGGACGCGGAGATGCAGGTAGCATATGCCAGGGGACTTTCAAACAACATGATTGTAGCTTTGCAGTATATGTTGTATGTTATAAGATCAAGGGCGATCCTAGCTGTCTGGTAGGCCGGAGTTGGTAGGGATGGATTGTTTGAATGTATGATATGTGAATGACAGACAAGAAGGAGAGGCCGAAGTCGCCACCCCTGAATTGGACATAGATTTCTGGCGGGTCTAGGAGTGGCCAAGCCAAGTTAAGAAGATGTATGGTAACATTCCGAGATATACATGGTGTCGTCCTCGTGTTAAGAGAGGCCCGTTGTTGATATAGCTGATCGACATGCAAGTAAGTTGGCGCGCGAGTGTTTGGTGATGAGAGGAATAAAGTCGCTCGGGACTTGCTCGCTCTGGCGGATGCAACCCTATTTTTCTTGCTGGGGTTAATATGTTAATATGAAGCGCGACTATCTGTCATGCGGCTTTGCGTAACCTTTCGTGCAGATAAGCCATGATGCAGATTTTGTCCGGAAATTACTCTAGATGAGCGAAGCGAGGATTAGCATAACGGACAAGACTATCGGAAGGTAACTCTCCAAGCAGGAAAATGATGCAAGTTTCGGTTTCGTTAACTATAATTTCTGCCCAAGGGCCCAAGGGGCGATAGAAGCATTTACTTATGTCAGCCTCATGAACTTGTTTCTGCCCCATTCCCGTTTGTCGTATGGCGTATGGCATTGAGTCTATAGCTAAGCGGGTCTCATATCTTCTTCGAAGAATTGGATTCTCCATTACGCCGGATAGTTGGTTTCATCTATGAAATATATAAGAATAAGCTTTTGTAATGTCTTGGTCAGGCTACTACTATGTTAGTCGTCATGATTTTACGTCAGAGTATTAGTTATCGACCTATCTGAGTCTTTGAGCAACAACGGAGACTTGGACGATCCGTTGAAGGGCATGTTGCTTCGATAGTCGAGTAGTACTTTTTTTCCTAGGGTCTCTATTGCTATGACCTATTGATCTGTAGGTAAGACGACATGGTTGTGCCCTTAGGAGATCTTCGGGAGCTCCCAACGACCCGATCTAGGGTGGGAGTGTCACCTTCATTGACACTTCAACAAGATATTCACTTGTTGATATCATCTATGCCATCATATATGGGCTAAAGAGAGGATGAGGAGGGGTACTACCTTAGGTATGTAGTTGTGAAGGTTAAAATCTAATATATGCGCCAAAGCATAACAAGTACTTTTGCAGGGATTAGGTATGAAGTATGAAGTATGGTTGTTTTCTTCATGCAATTGGAGAAAAAAAAAGGTAGAACTTCCCGGCCGAAAAATGCGCGGCGCTGCACGCAAGCACAGGCAGGGACGTTGACTCGTGGGCAACTGCAATTGACGGGTGTCGGCCATTTTTTTGATGTTTTATGGCCGAGAATAAGTACTAGGTATAGTATATAACCAATCAGATTTAATAGAATTCCAAGGTCTTGGTCCCACTATTTCTTTCTTGATCCCTGAATCTTCCAGGTTTATAAGCTTCACTGCAGACGAGCTTAGCCAAGTATAGCAATATACTAACCAAATCTTTACTAATCAGTGTCATGGATTAAAATGTCCGATTGATTTCGAGGCGGGTAATAAGACCCCATATGATTTCTTCAAACTCGATATTACGTTTGTCGTGGATACGGACAATACAACAATATATCGAGAATCGAGAATAATGCTTGATTTCTCCAAATTTGTACCTATCCAATTACCACTAGGCAACACATCTGTTATGCATCCAGCAATAAATAACGCGTTCTTACCCCGAGGATGCAGAAGCAGCTAAGAGAGCTCGCGCCGACAATCCTGCAAGTCGTGCGTGCTGACCTGGCTTAGCAATCCTGGAAAGCCAACAGGGACCCTTAACGGTGCCAAGATTGAATTTTGTCCCCACACGCTAATGATACCCCGGAGGCTCCAAGCTGTAGGTACATACCTACACTAGCGGGGAGTATTCTTAAGCTCCACTATTATTTATCAATCGGATGGGTCAGTCTACACTATTTCAGACTTGCGAACCAATCCATTCAACATCGTTTGGGGATGCCTTAAACAGCTCATCAATCTCGTTTCTCCAATATCATATCGAATGAGGGGAACAAACTTCGCTCTATAGGAAGAACTGAGAGCGAGTGCTAATGCGGCGTGACGATATGGATGCAGATCTAGTTAGTACCGAGTGATGCTTCCCTTTGCCTTCGGTCACATTGGAATCGCCGGACGAGTTTGTGATTGTGATGGTGCTGCTCATACATATCTCCTCGCCAAGAAGTTGCTTGGTAAGTTGCTTGGTAACTTCGATGTGGCACGAGACCGTTTGAAGCTGTACGTAAGGAAAGACTAAGCAAGTCTGATCTAGTGTATCTAGTGTATGTATAAGTCAAACAATATTGAGAAATAACCAGCTTTGAATCGCTTGTTACTGCTGTCTTGGACTATGAATCGAAGACGCCACGCTACTATGGCTTCGTATGTATGCGGATATGGCGTAGGTTGGCATACTATAGTATGTACAAAGTAATCTGATCTGCAGACCTAGTTTCTGGTGCACATGTAGCTGAGACACGAGGCATTGATAAACGAGTTTCTCCTAGTGTACAGCTGGGAGTAACTAAAGTAGCTAACACAAACTATATGGCATCTCGTGGATTGCATAAAGAGCCGGGCCGCGGGATCCACTTGAACCTAAACCCTGGTTATATTTAGATAATGAATAAGCTAATACCAATTACGTATTAGATGTACAATACCTATTCGTGCTAGCAGTTGGTATAGCGGACGGGGTAAACTCGGCATTATAAGCCAACATACATCTATAATTAGACGTCTATTCGATTTGAAATAGGTTGTGCTTTACTACCTATGTAGTAGATCACGCACGCATAAATTTGAAGCTATTCAATTGCTGAAATCTTTCTTCTCTACTTATCGCCACCAAGAAGGTAGTTGAGGTAGTAGTATAATAGGTATATGCTATAACATTCGTGTGTTACACTATACCATAAGGTATCTTCGTCAAAGACCCGCTTTAAGTTGGTCGTGTTCAACAGATCCTCAGCAGGGCTTAGTGGCTGGCTGAACAGGCAAGACAGGTACTCTACTGCTGGCATTGGCCAGAAGAGTCTGGTTTATCATTGCTAGATGGAGACAAGGGTCCTCAGGATAAACTGACCGCTGTTCGCCAATAGAAGGACCCGTAATGTCTTTCTATCTACTACCACATCTACCACATGTTGGTATTAATGTATTTACGACGTCAAGTGATAATCAGTATAGTATCTAACATACCTTAAGCTATTGCTGAAGTCCTGCTTTTCGATTAATCTTGACTTGACTCTCCCTCCGTGTTCTTCAGCACTGTGCGAACCCTTAGTTCGTTTCTTATAATAGACGCGTGTGCTAACCGTGCGATGACCGTGTGCGATGACCTCCATCTACTGTGGACACATCTCTTAACGAACTGGGAAGTACGAGCTGCTGTATCATGTACGTTCCGCATATGTACCTACGTACACAAACCCATGACATTTTAAAGGTTCCACCCACATTTAGTGCTCCATCAGCTTAAACCGTACTGGTTAGCTTCATTACCCCACAATACTAGCCCGAACACGCATGGAGACCCACATATGAAGACCCACACAAGGTTTGCAAGGAGAGCGCTTTCCAATCTCTCAATCGAGTGAGTGAATCTGCAGTCCTTCTTTTCAGATGACAAGACGTTTATCTTTTATCTAACCGGTTGCGCACCCCGTTACACTACCTAACTTAACTTACCATCTTCCTAGCGCCACTTTACTCGCTGTCGTATGTAGACGAACTAACCTCCTCTTTCCATCTATTCGGAGGTTTCCTCCTTCGCATTGCTTTTCTTGCTTGTCATGATACATTCTCGCACGGCGCTGGCGTTCCTGTTGTCTGATACCCGGGCCCGCTGAGGGCGACGTTGAAATATCCGGTCGCGCGGGGCCGAGAGCCTCTTGTTACTCGCATTAAGCCCTCGTAGTAAGAAAAATAAAGAAAAGGAAGAGAAAAATAGAAACGAATTCTTCGACTGTTGAAAGTAACGTTGGGCGTTGTTGATCTTTCCCTCTTTTTCACGGTCGTGAAGGGCCATCCAGCCCCCGAAATGTCACCTAGTCAATCTCACCTTGATGCTCAGTCCTTCCCATCCGGGAATATCGATGGCTCGCAGCCCGTTGTTAAATCGGAACCCCAGCTTAACTCGATTGAACCGGCCGACCTTAATGGCTTTTCCTTGGATAACCACCACGATGGCCTTTCGAATGACACCAACTCGCACGGTCTGATCGACACTTCTCAATTTTCAGACTTTCATTTCCCGTTCCAAGATATCCCTGAGGCCGGCCAGATGATCTCATTGGAAGAACACCCGAACGACTTGTTCGCTACGCCCGGGCACGGTTCAATCTCATCAATTGGCGAGCGGAAGGATTCGACCGCTTCAGGCCCTCATAGTACTACTTATACCATGGTTGACCCTTCGCAGCAGAATAGACGGCGCAGTATGGACGGGTCTGATGACGGAAGCCAGGAAAGCGTCCACGTTGGCACCAATTCTTTAGAAGACAATATGTCGGATGAGTTCGGGTTAGCGACGGGTGGGCCTGGCGACGGTACCGATTTGGGAGGAAAGCCAAAGGAAAACAAATCTGATCCCGCACCAGCTTGGAGCGAACTAAAGACGAAGGCAGGGAAGGAGAGAAAAAGGTTACCCCTGGCATGTATTGCGTGCCGGAGGAAAAAGATACGTTGTTCGGGAGAGAAGCCGGCTTGTAAGCATTGTCTTCGGTCCCGGATCCCTTGTGTGTACAAAGTCACTACGCGGAAGGCGGCCCCGAGGACAGACTACATGGCTATGTTAGACAAGCGACTAAAGAGGATGGAGGATCGGATTATCAAGCTTGTACCGAAATCAGAGCAGGATACATCAACCAATAACGTTGTCCGGGGCGTGGTCAAACCCGCCATCCCCGGCACCCTTCCTACGGGGAAGCAAACAGCAAAGAAACGAGGCGCAGAGGAGGCATTTGGCGCAGAACTCGATAATTGGGCTAGAAATGGCCCTAAAACTAGGTTGGAGGGCTCCGGCAAGCCCACATCATTGCAAGTGCAAGAAGCGGAGGAAAGCAAGCTACTATACGAAGGTGCCGAAGCTTTACCACCGAAAGACTTACAGGAACATCTCGCAGACGTATACTTCGAAAATATTTATGGCCAGGCATACCATCTTCTCCACAAACCGAGCTTCATGAGAAAACTCAAGTACGTCTTTGAATTATTCCTGATGTCGTAACTAACACTAATCATTATCAACAGAGCTGGCACCTTACCCCCAGTTCTAGTGCTTTCTGTCTGTGCAATTTCTGCCCGCTTTTCCACTCATCCGAAGTTCGCGATGACGAACAATTTTCTCCGAGGAGAAGAATGGGCAGCTCCAGCTCGAGATATCGTAACGAGGCGCTACGAATGGCCCAACATTACGATTCTAACATGTCTACTGCTGCTCGGCTTGCACGAATTTGGTACGTGTCACGGAGGTAGGAGTTGGGCGTTAGGTGGTCAGGCCACTCGAATGGCGTTTGCATTACAGTTGCATAAGGACTTAGAATACGATCCTATGCGGCTGAATCCGACGAAGCAACTTAGCTTCATCGATCGCGAAATCCGAAGGCGAACGATGTGGGCTTGTTTCCTGATGGATCGTTTCAATTCTTCGGGGACGGACCGTCCTATGTTTATAAAGGAAGAGACGATCAAGATTCAACTACCAATTAAAGAAAAACTCTTCCAGCTTGACATGCCAGGACCTACTGAAGATCTGCAAGGACAAGTTCCTCATCCGGTACCGATGGATGAGGGCCAGCTCTCCGATGCGAAAGATAACATGGGCGTGGCAGCATACATGGTTCGCGCCATTGCCCTATGGGGGAGAATAATAAATTTCTTAAACCAAGGGGGAATGGACTCGGACGAGCATTCGATGTGGGAGGGTGACTCCGAATATGCCGTGCTGCTTAAACAAGCAGAAGATTTTGCCGAGAACCTACCAGATGGGTTGAAATATAGTGCTGAGAACCTCCATCTGCACCAAACAGAAGGGATGGCCAATCAGTTTTTATTTTTACATATCTCGATCCAGCAAAATGTCCTATTCATGAACCGATTCGCGGTGTCTTCGCCAGCCGGTTTATCCAAAGCAGACGTCCCCAACACCTTCATTACACAGGCGGGGTCAAAAGCGTTTGCTGCTGCTAATAGAATATCCGAGCTACTAAAGGATGCGGAGCATTACATGATCGCAGCGCCTTTCGTCGGCTACTGCGCATTTTTGTCGAGTACCGTTCATATATTCGGTATTTTCTCCGGTAACTCCACCGTAGAGACAGCCGCAAAGAAGAACCTAGCTATAAACGTGAAGTTTCTCTCGAAGATGAAGCGCTATTGGGGCATGTTCCACTTTATGGCGGAGAATCTACGCGAGCAGTATAAGACATGCGCTGATGCTGCGCGCCAAGGTACTCCAGCGGGCGATAACTCAGCAGCTTCGCCTATATTCCAGTATGGAGATTGGTTCGACCGGTACCCGCACGGCGTGTCGCAGCCAGAATTCGTTGAACCGGCTTCTTTCAAAAAGAAGGAAACTGGAGAGGATGCAGTGCTCGAGCAGAAACCAGAACTTCACACGGTTGAAGAATTCTTCACGCAGCTCTCGCCGCCACAAAGTACAGGCGAGGGACGCGAGAATGCTGGATCCGGCAGGCCGCCCTTAATGAAACGGAAGTCGATAGCGAAGAAGGGCAGCATCTCTTCGCGTGGCGAACATCAACAACTAGAACCCCTCCTTACTGATCTCAACGGCGCTAGTATACCCGAACAGATCCAGCGCATCCAGCATGCGCAACAACAGAGGGCGCAGGCACAACGCAATTATTCTCGTCTAGGCGGGCAAACTAGTGGGCCGACCTCTTTCAACTCTAACCTCGCACACGCACGCTTACAAAATGCAGCAGCGAACTACCACGCCTTATCTCCGATTAGCCCTGTCACCGTTGGCGGGTTCCAGCACGGTCATGGTCACGGCCACGGACACCAACACCCCGCCTTCTATAACCAGGATTTGCTTTCGCTGTCCCTCTCAAACAATGCTGCGGGAATGCTGCCGCAGCTGGATCGCCAACTCGTATTCAACGCATATGGCCAGTTAGATCCTTCAACGATCAGCGGACCTGAGGCTATTATGGACTGGGACGCGTTGGCTGGTAACGGAAGTAGCTCAAGTAGAGGGCATAACGCAAACGGATCCAATGCTGGCTCTGGTGACGGGCCAGGTAATCATCATCATGATAGCTTGCCTGGCGGATTTGTTGCCGAACCATCTTCTGCATGGTTTATGCCATTCAACATGGAGCCGCCAGAAATGGGCCAGGATCTGGGCGGCATGGGCGGTGTCGATGGGTTTGGGCTCTTCAGTCCCGGCGTGCATACCCCTGGTGCTGGATTAGGCCTTCGGAGGGGAGGCCGATAGGATGATCGGAGTGCTTCGACGTCGCCCATTCGACTCTGTCCTGCGCCGGATAACCTATCCCTGTGAGATTTGATACCCATGTTATGTTGTGTCACCATACGCAACAACGGTTTTGGTTATTTTGTTGTGATATATACTTACCTACCTACTCACCTACATCGTTGTAGTATATATACCCTTACGGTTGGTAGGAGAAAAGAAGTGATAGGGAGGTGTCGGCGGCTTTATGTCCCTTCAACGGATGACTCATACGTATCTTTTTTTGTACATTTTGGAATGCATCTGAAGGACCAAGGCATGTCCTTTTGAATGAATAGGATTTTGTAAAGGATTGGGTCCAGATGGTGTAACGGAGTTGAATATTAAGATTTTCTCCGGAGGGATGGTTGGAAAGGAACACTCCTCAAAACTTAAGAAGCGCCAGCCTACACCGTTTGTTGTGGCTTGCTAGCTTTGCGCTCGCTGTTGTTTATACCTATATGTTTATATTTATGTTACGAGTAGGATATCCGGAGGGAAAGATAGGGCCAGCCGGGAATTTTTGAAACGCCCATTCGAGAGATAAATTCTCATTCTGTGATTAACGCCCGTTTGTCATATATGTAGCCAGCCGGAGCTTATAGGCCAGAATGCGGATACGCGTTGTTGTCGTTCGAGATGGATATGATATGATACCACCTGATATAGCATGACGGAAGGAGATCTTGGAACGTGCATTTTTTAGGAGAAAGACAGAGAAATAAAAAATCAAGAATACATAAGAGAAAAGGTTTTGTTCCCTAGGTAAGGTAATGACAACTTATGTATTCAAACACAACTAAGATCCTCGTAGCTTTATATATATACCTGTAACGTACAAAACCTATCCTTGCCGGGTCGGGGTCCTGCGCCATACAAGTGGTACGATGTCTGGAACCCCATCGGGCCACATTGGACGCGGCAACTAAACCCAGCGGAGCAAAAGCGCCAGCAGATCCCGCTTTTATACAGCTCGGGATACGGGAACGGGACTTGCATGAGAAAGATCCTGACACCCCTAACCTAGCAGCATGCGAGATCGAGATGAGCTTTTTTTTTTTTTTTTTTTTTTTTGCTTCGCGCGACAAATTAAGATCTAGGGTATCATCAACCTATGTATCTACCGAGATGCTCTGCCGAAGACAACGACCAAAGAAAATTGAAATTTGGTTGAATCGGGGGTCGGTGCGTCTACGCCGCAGCCACCGCCTCCGCTTCGTCTTCGTCTCCCTCGCCTTGCTTTGCGCTCTTCTTGGCCCTAGACCGCTTGCGCTTCTTCTTGGAACCGCCCTCAATTATATTATTACCAGTTCCGGCTTCCGCTTCGAATTTCGGCTTCCCATCACCATCACCTTCCACGAAGGCGGCGGGATTGAAGGCCGGAGGCTCCCTCTCGAACTCGGGGCCGAAAGTCTGCTTGCGCCATTGCCTTAGACGAGCTTTCTTGCCGAGCCGCTTGCGGTCTTTACTTTGCTTGTCCTGCGGTCGGAAGTGCGCCAGCTTCTTCAGGCCGGCGAATTCGTTGAGATCGGCGTCGGACGCCATGAGGATATCGCGCGTAGTGAGACCGAATGATTCGGGCACCGTCTCGCGGTAAGAGAAACGTGCCGGTCCGTTATTCCTCGACGAGCTGCCGGCGAGGATCTCCGGATCGTCAATTTCCATCTTCGCGTCAACGAACGCCTCGAGCTTAGCTCGCTCTTGTCGTACTTCTTTCTGGCTTTCTAGCTTTTCTCGCTTGCGTTGTTTGGTAGTCTTTTGCCGCTTAGCCGAAGGTGCATCTTCGTCTTCGTCTTCGTCTTCATCTTCCTCAACGTGTTCATTATCAGTAAGAGTGATATTAGGGCGTTCCTCGTCATCGAAATCTGGGATGATATCCTTGATGTCGATATCATCATCCCATTTAGGCTTTTTTATCTTCTTTGACTTCTTGCCGTCGGCTTCGTCATCTCCAGACGCATTCTCCTCGGCTGCAGCATAATACTGGTCGTCAAACGTCTTCTTCAGTTGTTCTTCCCATTTATCATCTTCCCAGGCGTCTTCAAGTAGCTTCTGCCATTCCTCGTCCTTTAATGTCTTGCCGGATAAGCCTGCTGCCTTCTTGATCTTCTTTAATTTTTCCTCGGCTTCGTCAAGTTTAAGGCGACGTAATCGTGCTCTTTCTTCTTTCCTTTTTTGTTTCTCTTCTTCCTTCTTCTCGCGCTCCAATTCTCGTTGACGCTTGCGCATGCTCTTGTCTTCTCGTCGGACTGAGCGCGCTGCAACGACATCACGAGCATATGACTTCAAAACTTCATTGCTCTTATTAGGATCTTCAAAGCGCAGATTATACGCGGCTTCCCACTCATCTGCTTTGTCGACTTCATCATTGTCGTCGGACTCGAATGCCTTCCAGTTATTCTCATCTTCTTCAACCCAAGCGCGGGCGGCCATGAAATTTGATAGGAAAAGCTCCGGGTCCTTGTCCGCATCTTCAAGCTCAGGCTTTGGAGCTTTGATCTTACTAGCCCTGGACGGATGGATGCCCTGCTCAGGAACGGATTTGGTCCCTTCTTTAGCCTTGATGAAGTCCTCATCGCTATCGCTATCTTCAGCGCCATCCTCGGCGCCTAGTTGCGCTTTGATTTCATCCTTGATAGACTGCTTCAAGTCATCCTGCTCCTGTGCGTAGGTTTGCGGAGGCTTTTGCTCGTCGTCAAAATCGGCTCCGGTATCTCCGCGCAGGATTTTTTCTCGGTGGTAATCTTGTAGAAAAACGGGCTTCTCTTTTTTTTGCTTTGCTATCACGCCCTCCGTGGTAGCACTTTCGTCGATTGGCTTGTAGAACTTGGTCTTGCCATCGTATACACGAGGGTCTCTATTCTTGATTGCTTGAAGCGTGGCAGAGATCTCGGCATCAAGGTCTTCCGTTGCTAAGAAGCCATTTTCATCTTCTTCTTCATCTGAGGAGGAATCGGATTCATCATCATCTTTCGATTTGTTCCCGTTGGTCTGTTTGGACTTGTACTTCTCTTCCACTAAAGTTGAAGTTGTTTAGTTAAATTTATTAAAATAACAAAGCAAAATACGGGAAAGTGTAGCTTACGTCTTTGCAATTCCTCTCGTTTCTTATTATGCTCAAATCTTTTTGCATACTCGGAATTGATTTGTAGCTTAACACCTCCGTCTGATTCGTCGTCGCTATCATCAAACAAAGTTTTTTTGCGGGCGTCGGAAGCCGCCATCTTGAAATCGAAACTAGTACAGATTTAAGGGGATTTATTATTTGACTGGGTTTGCTGTAGTGAAAACACCAAAGAGCTTTAGACAGCTGCAAAACAGAAAAGCTAACCGGGAGATACCTAACTTTTTTTTTTCTGCCGGTTTTAAGAGTTGGAGGGGTCTTAACTTTTTGGCGGTGTCGGCCCGCCAATGTTCCGTGCACTGTATTATAGACACTAACCGACTTTGTATTAGCGGCAGTTTCTCACTATGTAGTGTGGTGTAACGCCTACGGCTACGGTTAGACGGGGAACTCCTCTGATGCGTCGTCATTCCTGATTCGATACATTAATAAATCCATCTGCCTGCCTCTTACTCAGTTACTTTAGCCCACTACAACCGTCCCATTTGCATGCGACCGTTTCCCTTCAGATTGTAAGGTAATTTACAACCGGGTTTTCTCCCATCATCTACACAATCCTCAAAATAGAATATCCATCTTCCAAAACATCATCCAATTCCTCATAGACATTCCCACAAAATGGCCGACTCAAACGCTCCGAAGCCGAGCAGTAGTGTCAAGTTGGTGCTGCTTGGTGAGGCCGCTGTAGGAAAGGTATTTCTTCTTTGGGATCCCGCATCCCGCATAACTTATAAATACTATACTAAGCGACTTATAGTCTTCGCTTGTCCTGCGATTTGTCAATAATGATTTTCAAGAGAATAAAGAACCCACCATCGGTGGTAAGTAGCCCTTGGAGCTTGGAGCCTCCACTTCCAGCAGCTCTAAGCCTCTAAGCTGATACTGTATAGCCGCCTTCTTAACGCAAAAATGCAACCTACCTACGAGAACGATCAAGTTCGAGATCTGGGATACAGCAGGCCAGGAGCGCTTTGCTTCTTTGGCACCTATGTACTACCGAAATGCCCAAGCTGCGCTCGTCGTCTACGATCTCACGAAGCCAACGTCACTCATCAAAGCCAAGCACTGGGTAGCGGAACTGCAAAGACAAGCATCGCCAGGGATCGTCATCGCTCTCGTCGGTAACAAGCTCGACCTTACTAATGACAGCGAATCCGGACAGGCCGACAGCGAAGTAGCTGATGGAGAGGAATCCGGGGACGCTCGAAAGATTTCCACAGAAGAAGCAAAGACGTATGCTGAGGAGGAGAGCCTATTATTCTTCGAGACAAGTGCGAAGACAGGTCACAATGTTTCGGAAGTCTTCACCGCGATTGCGAACGCCATCCCCGAAACATCACTAAAGAGCACGAGAGGCCCGGGAGCTTCTAGCGCGGCCAACAGAGGTGGTGAGGAGCAGAGGGTAAACTTGAATGGACCTCGAGAAGCAGCAAAGGAAGGGTGCGCGTGCTAATTTCTCTAGAGAGATTCTCTAGAGAGATGGTGGGGAGTGTCGATGGTAGTTTCATTACGGTCATGACTACATTTCACCTTGTAATATGGAGCGATGGTTCATTGGGACTCGGTATCTGGACTCTTTTCGATGAGTATTCTTTTTCTTCCCTTTATTTTGTTATTTGCGAGCAAATACAGCGCAAGCCCTGAAGCAGACAGACTTCTTGTGACGAATAATAAGTCCGGAATTTAGAGTAGCACACGAGTCGGGTGCGACCCCCTACGCATTATCGTAGCATCAGACTATGTATGTTTTTCCATATATGCGTTGGTAGAATTTATTGTCGCGTGTAATACATTACAATATAACATAGGGGTGTACGGCTTTGTCTCAGGTGAAATGAGATCGCTATAAGGTATCTAGGTATTAAAATGCCTTGTACATGCATATGATAGATCATTGATGTAGAAGTCTTACCAAAGCACATCGACATTGTCGGTTGTTTTCAAGCACAACGGAGTTGTTAAAGGCAACGAATATGATAGTTAATATAAATACTTCATGATATATAAAGTACCGTTTTGTAATCTTTTAATTTTTTTTCCCTCCGGTCTATTATTTCTTCAACGTTAGCCTAGACATTCAGTTATTCCTTAAGCTTACAATAGTGATGTAAGTACTAAGTGCCTACAATTGGAAGTTATTCCTGTCGTAGGAGGTATACACTATTAGGTATACTCGCTTATTAGAAATATCCTATAAATGCATAAAGTGAATACATTAGCGTAAAAGATAGCCCCATAGTAGACCCGAATAAGCGTATGTATGTCTTGGACCCACTCACCTAAACTCTAAAGTCATATCAGGCGTTTGCGCGTAGGTGTGCAATTTTGCTATCGACTAAACATTTACAACTTCCGCCCCATTTCGTCGCCAATATCTACTCGACTTGTATTACCACTAATCGTCATTTGGTCTGATGCGAAGCGCGACGCCGGTCGGGTTTTATTCTCGAGTGGTCTTTACATACGTCCCACTAAGCCCACTAGTTAATTTCTAACCTTTAGTACTGTTTACCTGGCGCTTTTTACATCTTCCTATATCCTTACGTCTTCACCATATGTACACGAAACTGCGCACTTGCCACGTCTTCCGTGTTCAAGATGGCGGCGCTGACACCAGCTCAGATTGAGCTAGCCAAGTATGACACCTAATAGATACTAGATAAGCTTGTTGAGATTCGGAAAGCTGACTTTCCATAGCTCTCTCACCCCGGCCGAGTTGCCTACGAAGCTACGATGCGCCGTCTGCAGCAAGTTGGCCGTCAACGCATTCAGATTACCCTGCTGCGAGACTGCGATATGCGAGAAATGTAAGCTCTATCTATTCCCTTTGTTTTAATTCTGAAGTACGGTCCCTAATGATAACTAGGCCAATCCACTCTACCCTCGGTTTGCCCGGTCTGCGAGCACTCGCCAGTTTCTGCCTCGGATTGTACCATCTATAAATCTCTTAGAACCACCATTAGAGTCTTCCTGAAGACCGAGGAAAAGAAGCGGGAAGCTGCCCGACCAAAAGCCAACGGATCTGCCCCGACTACGCCTGCGCAGGATACACCGACGCCAACTCAGACGCGCGCCCCTACCGAACAACCTCCTGCAAATAATGTTACCGATGGACAAGCTGGTGTAGAACCGAAAACTACGGGTTCCGTACCACCCTCTGGCGGGGCTGATTCCGAGGGGCCTCCGGCGACAGAGCCGAAATCGGACGTTGATGCTCAGCTGCCTAAAGGGGTAGGTCTTAGAAAATTTCCTGTCATTGGAAGCTATATCTAACAGAAGTCTAGGATGAGCCTGCAAGTGGGTTAGCCCAAGAGCAGCCTGCCGGAGACGATGAGCCCGAAGCCGTCGTCCCTCACGACCAGGAAGGTCATGATGGAGCAGCTGTGGAAGATGTCCAAGAAGCAGATCAGGATGGCGATGGCAAGGACCAGTTAGCGCGGTCCGGTATGGGTTCTAGCTTCGAGTCTATGAATGGCAATTTTAATATGAACTTCGGCAATGGCGATTTGAACCAGATGCAGATGATGATGGCCATGCAAAATGGAATGAATCCGTCCGCTTTTGGTACTTTTCCTATGATGGGTAAGAAATGATACTACCAAGTATTGAGATATAATAGCTAACTTTGAAAACTAAGGAATGATGGATCCCATGGCGATGCAGAATATGATGATGAATGGTGGTTTTGGTGCACAGGGCATAGGCATGAACGGCATGAACATGAATATGGGCATGAATGGGTTCAATGGAGGCGGCAATGACTGGAACGGACAACAATCATGGAACGTCGGCCAAGATAATTTCAATCCAAATGCTCCTGGAATGGGAAATGGTGATTTTGGCAACTTTAATGCTGGCTTCCGTACAGGCTTCAATTCAGGTAATTTTGGCCATCACAACCAGTTCAATGATTACCGCCGAGGCAATTACGGTTATCGAGGACGGGGCCGGGGCCGGGGCTTCTACGGAGGCTACGGTCGTGGATACCATCAGGGTTATAATACCGGAAACCAAGGCTGGGCCGGACAGGCTCCTCAATATCCGGGCGATAAAGATGACTCAACCGTACAGGACGTTTCTCAGGTAGCAGAGCAGACTTCCGGCAGTGTTGACGAGTTTGGCCGAGCTCTACGAGCAGAGCCAAGTCAAGATGCACAAACAGCCGGTGAGAATAGGGATGCCGAGACAAGGAATAGCCATGATAATGTTGCTGCTAATGGAACCGACAAGCTAACACTGGGGAACTTTGAAGTAACCAAGGAGGATGGGTCGCAATCTGCGCAGGGTGATGTATCTGTATCCTCTAGAGATCAGCATTCAGCACCTCAAGGTCCTCGTGGGAATGCTGGCCCATTGCGTCTTCAAACTTCGGTTCCGGATATACCGTTGAATGCACCTACTGGGCCGAAAGCCATGCGGCAGGGCCTCCCTAACACTAGTCTTCTCAACCTAAGAGCTCGTGGCTTAATTACTGATGAGAAGAGTCCCGGCTCACGTACTAATCATCCTCCCATTGTGGCAAGCCCAATGGAAGATAAACATAAATCACGGAGTAGTTCTCTGCAGTCTTCTAAGGATAAGGAGCGCCGCCATCGTGAACGTGATCGAGAACATGATGAAGAGGAGAAGAGTAGGGGACATCGTCGTGATAGAGACCGTGACCGTTCTAGAACGTATACCGGGTCTAAGAGTCGAAGTCGCAGTCGCAGCAGGGATCGTAAGGAGTCCCGTAAGCATAGACGACATCGTTCTCCGTCAGTTTCCGAAGATGACCGTGACAGTGGCCATCGCCGCCGCAGGCATAAGAGCAGAAAGCAATCTACCAGAGACGACGATGATTATAGAGGTCGGTCGAGAGATGGAAAGTACGATGAACGATCCAGATCGGCCTCTCCTGTGGATCGCGAACATAGGCGACCAAGCCACAGGAGTCGTCGTGATAGAGATGAGAAACGTCGAGACCACGATGTCGAAAAAGAAAGCGACTACGATCGACACCGAAAATCTGGCCATAGGTCTCACCGGGATCGCGACCAAGATCGCGATCGGGATAGAGAACGAGAGAAGGAACGAGACAAAGACCGTGGTAAGGATCGCGGCCGCGACCACGAAGAAGATCGCAGTCATCGCAGCAGTAAAAACTCAACTGCCCTGCCTACACCAGTAGAACCTTCAGATAAATCATTCAATCCCCCGACAGGTCCTCGAGGTAGCTTCTCGATCAAAGGAGCCAGTAGCAAACAGGTCCCTGTGTCTGATATCAAGGGCAGCAGCAAACCCTCTAACCCAAGCAGGCGCGAAGGCGAATCATCTCGTCGTGCCTCTCAGTCCTCAGCTGCGGTCCAGAAGCCTGCATCCGGAGCGACATCGAAAGACCCACATACCCTAGAGCGTGAGGCTAGAGACCGAGAGAGACTTCTCAAAGAGGCGCAGCGAATGGCAACTATAGGTCGCGCTACGGGCGTCAAGCGTAGCCGCGACGGTGGAGACGATCGCAGTAGCCGTCGGAAAAGCCGTCGCAGCGAGGCGGTAAATACGGAGGATGAGGAAGGTCGCATGAGACGTCTAGAAGCAGAGCGTGAGGGGCGCCGCTGGGATTAGCATACGATGGGCGCTACGTCGAGCAAAAGGCGGAGAAGGTCAAGGAAGGACCGGAAGGAACCGGCAATACAGGAACGGTCGGAAGTCACGACATAGGTAATTGCGCCTCGAGGAATCTGGTCTTTCCCCGGGTCCGGGTCCGGGTTCAGATGCCGGGGAGGCTCGACATGAACCCTCCTTGATTACAAACTATTTTCGCGGGAGTCGCGAAGTAAAAGAAGAAAAAATGGAGCTTCGTTTTCTTTTCTTTTTCATTCCAATCTGGGCTGTACTATATTGCACTCGAGAGCGAGGGGAGGTTCACTGCATACATGCATTCTTGTACTCAAACAAAACTACAGCATAACATCCACAGGGGGGAGGGCTAGATATACTAAGGGGGGTTCCAAAGCATTAGGCCTAGAGGAGACGAGGATGGACCCTTGAGAGGGAACAGCGAGTCTAACTATAATGAAGAAAAGAATTAGTACAGTACCTATTAATTGACACTCGTACTTACCTACCTTAGGTACCTAGTTAATTTAACATATTTCTACGCTGGTGATTATATTAGCGGGATCGTGAGCAGCTATGACTTCTACAAGCACTGAAGGTCTGTGTTGCGTGGTCCGATACGTTGTCTTGAGTCTTGCCCAACTCTTTAATTAAAACTTAGGACCTTCTGGGTGCGCGGACTAATGCCTGACCGCCTAGTAATTATCAATAACTCCGTGATGCTGCCCAGATGCATCCTTCTATGCTAAACCATCTATGTAATATGCCTAAACTCGAGTCTCCAATGCTACCCATGCTCCTTATGCGTTTATCTCTATCATCGTAGCATTAAATCATTCATGCTCTCCTTATTCTTCCCACCACTAAACTTCTGACGCGTGTCGTGCTCCTGTTCTAAGCTGTACTCCTTTGTTGTAAGACTGGTCAGTAGCGCTACACCACTAACCACTGTCATCAACAGCCAGATGACATGTAAACTGTCCGAATATGCTTGCTTCAAGTCCGTTTTTGTCGTTCCGTTAGGCAGCGCTTTAATAATACTAACTAGTCCGGTAGCGTCCTTACTGTACTGCGCTGCAACAGGGGCAAATTCTTCGTATTTCAGCAGCTCGCTCTGGAGCTGGTTTTGGAACGCGACACCACTAACAGCGACACCGATAGCCTGACCAAAAACACGAAGGAAAGAGAAAAAACCCGCGGTATGGCCAGAATCTGCAGGACGAGATGCGGCTTGAGTACCTAGACTCATTGCGGGGAACAGGATACCAGTTCCAATCGAGACGAGAAAGTTAAGAAAAATCCAACCGGGAACAGATGTATAGGGTGAAAGAAGGAAAAGGAGTCCAGAGCCAGCAATGGTACAGACCCAACCTGACCAAAGAGCCCAACGGTATTTCCCAAATCTTGTACAGAGGACAGCCGCAATTACAGACACGGGAGCGACCAGACCCGTCTCGGGAAGGATGGCGACACCGGAAATAATCGGCGAGTATTCTTTGACAGCCTCGTAGTATAGCGGTAAGAAATACAGGAGAGACCAGACGACCACTCCGTGTAGAATAGTTGAAAGAAATGTAATCAGCATCGTGTAGTTGTTGAAAATAGTGAAGCGAACAATAGGTTCGATATGTTCACCTGGCAGAGAATTTCCCTCGGCGTCAAATGCTCTCCTTGAAAGCCACCATTCGTAAATGGCGAATGCAACAATACCGTCAAATCCAATAAACAGTGGAACTATTGTTCGCCAGTGGTCCCAAGGATACATAACACCACCTAAAAACAACATTAGATAATACTTAAAGGCATAATAGACCGATAAAGACTCTTACCCCATGTGACAGGAATCAGGAAGCCTACGGTTCCGCCCACGAAAATTATCGATCCAATCCAGTCGAATAAGCGGAGTTTATCGGTCAATTTTCCGGGTGTGGATTCAAGCTTCAGAAAAGGGATGAGAAGAACCATCCCCACGCCGACAATTGGCAAGTTAATCCAGAAGACTATAATATACAAAGTTAAAAACTGGCAATAAAAAAAAGATTTTGAGATTCACTCACTCCACTGCCATGTCACGCTTTCAGCGAAAACCGCTCCTAACAAAGGCCCGGCCACGGAACCTAACGCCCATGTCGAACCGAGATATCCAAACCAGGCTAAACTATATCAGCATGAAATAATCGGAGGAAAGGGGACTAATACGTACTGCCTCGAGCAACGAGTGGCACAAGATCCGTAACGATGATTTCACCCAACGCTAATATACCACCTCCGCCAATACCTTGGACAGATCTTCCCGCGAGCCTTGGACACGGATTGTTAGTTGTTTTCAGTCGGGAAAAAAACACGGCGCCCAGAATCCTACTTACATGACGGTAAAGTTTCTGGCAACAGCGCAGATAATAGCTCCCAGGACAAATAAAAAGCTTGATATAATGAGAAGATTCTTCCTTCCGAAAACATGACTCAAACCGGCGATAACGGGTTGAAAGACGGCGGAGGTGAGTAGGAAGGACGTTCCTGTCCAGAATGCTTCGATAGCCGATCCCTGAAGATCTTCGGTAATGATGGGTAGGGCGATACTAAGAGACGTCGCGTCGAGGGCGGCTGCTAATGTAATAATACAGATAGAAAGGAAAGCGAGAATAAAGTTCCTGTCCGGCTTGAACGGCGGGTTGTCCTTGAGCACTCCCACCTCTTCCACCTCTTCCGCCTCTTCTCTTGAATGCATCCGAGGGGCAATAGTAACCATAGAGTCCTCGTCGGTCGATATGTATCCACTATAGTCCATCGAAAAGGGCACAGGGCCCGGCGCCACGAGGGGATACGAAGCCATCGTGAACTAAACCCTGTGACTAGGTACCCTCTTGCATACGGAGAAAGAAAAAAAACGAGACAAAAAAAATGGTCTGTATTGTTACACGATGAAGAGAGCGAAACAAGTTGGAGAGGCTAGGAGCCTAACATATTAAAGTCAAATTCCGTGTGGCTTTGAAGACAATCCGGTACCCAAAAGTGACTAATTGCCCTAGACGACATGGATTAGGAAGAACCATGCGCGAATCAGCGTGGCTAAATCTCGTTCCTAGTAAGCTGACACGCAGTGCACGGTTTCAAGTGGTCGGGGGGAGGAACGGACGGAATGCTAGTTCCAGGCACAGCATCGTCCGCACATGGCACCGGGGAAGTCGTTGAGCTGAGAGTTAGGTAAGACTACCTACTGGACTTTTGTATCCGGCCTCCCGATATTTACACTGTATATAGGTACCTACCATCATAGTGCAGCTGATCATAGTCGATCAGAACTATCGAAGGTGCCTTTTCAAAGTGTAATGGATGATGCATTGTTGAGTTTTCGACCGATGCAGCTTAGTTTACCTACTTTTCCCACATATAGGATCGCTCTTAAAATAGCAACTCGCGATACGTTCTACCGAATAAGAAGACACCGTAAAAACCACTAGTTAATGTAAGCTGACGTATAAACAAAAATACTCGTTGAACAAGGGACTAACTAGACTAAACTCATTATTTATTAGGCAAAAGCCCTAATGCTAGTATAGAGAGTAGGTAACTATTTATTTTACCCAAACCCCCATTACCTACCCGAGATGACTACCAAATACGACGAACATATACAAGCGACTCTGGAATGAAGCTTCCAAGCTTCCTTCAGACTGCCGAGATTTGATATGAGGGATTCCCGGGGAAAGTAGGCAAGTGGCGCATGACACGGGTTAAGAGTTGCTATACCTAGGTAGCTTATAAGTACCCTGTGGTCCCCTCAGCCGCACGATGAAGCATCGAATCCACAGCATAGGTATATACATCGAAGATACGCGCCTTCGGATTAAGAGAAGTACCCCCTATCCCGCATCCTAGAGATATTAGTCCGGTTCCGTCTACTTGCGGGCTACCCGAGCCCAGCGTAGGTAAGATCTATATCTCGAATAGGTAACTAACCCATAAGATCTAGCTACTTATCTCCATATCTAGCAATGCTGTGAACGCTTGCTAGTCCTTGAGAGGAAAAAGCAAAGGCGAAGCATCTAGTCACAAAACTACGCACAGGATTCATCATGACTCTTAGATCGTCTACGGTCTAGGCGTCTTATCTTGCGGATCTGTGCCGGGATATGGTAACAAAGCAACGCCTGCTTTAAATTCCGCCTCACTTGATGTGAATAGAGCTATCCATACATCGTAACATATACCCACTTACTCTAGATAGTCGCTTAGGTGAAGTAAACATTGTGGCTACCCTCGTGATGATATAGCACAGTCCAAGGGAGATCCAAAGAGACCCAATACATCAAATTACACGCTAAAATCCCGAAGAATGCGATATTCATTGGGAAACCCGAGTCCAAGTTATGTCATCCGGGGCTAATGGTACGCCCCAGAAGTTCGTCGATGTCTTGATCGGAATAGTTTCTAGTTGAAGTAGGTAAAATAGTCAAGGTACCCAAGGACATGGTTAACTAACAGTTTAGGAAGTTATGTAAATCGAGACTGGGCTCCATGGGATAATAATATTCGGATTGAGCTATTTCCGAGTGGACCTTTCTGTTGCTAACCGGTACCCAGGTGGATGAAATAGAAATATCCCGTCTTGCATGCGAAGACAAGAGTCCTCGGGATAAAAGCTCTAGACGTCTCCGAGCTGCTGAACAAAATCCTACGCAGATCAGGTTTTGTGAGAGTGGCCCGCCTAGGGTCTTGCGCCACACAACCGGTTCCTAAGTGACAACTCACATATCCGGGCCGCTAAGCAATGGTGCTGGTTTGGTATGCAAACATTATCTTTGAGGTTATGCGTAATTCAACTAAATCAAATTTAGAGGGACCACGATACTGAAATAAAGATTGCAATAAGCTTTAACGTGACCTCCTTAAATATGTGAAGCATGAATAATCCGTTAATAGGGAAAAGGGTACATTCTCAAGGTTCCGTATCCGACCGGCGCTAAAGCCGAGGACCCACTAAAGTTCGGCCGGGCGTATAGATTGCGCGTCGATTGGTTGAGTACGCGTTAGTCGAGATGCGGATCCAAGGCAAACGCGGTGTTGCAACAATCAGCAGTCTAAAAGTAAACCCTCCTCTAGAAATTTAAGATGATGACAATAAGGAGGATCGGAACCGAACTCATGTGCATCTACGCTTTAGGAAGTGTTATCGTGACGGGTAATGATCTTCTGACTAAGTCTTGTTATGTATGATCTTGCTCTGCTATACTAAGAATTCTAAGCTTCTGGACTTTTGAAGAGCCGCAGTTAGGTATCCCTGATCTGGGGTCTATACGGTACTTGGTTGGCCCATCGTCCACGCCGTAACCTTATTTTCGAGCCCTACCATACGTGCATAATGCAACTCGGCCGACGCAGCTTAGTGGCACGGGCTCGTGGCTCCTATTTTAGATCCTTCCGGCAGGGATGTGGCGTGTATCTCCAGCTCAACCGACACGTTCTCTAGTGTATGGCTACGAGATAAAATAGGATCGATTGCACAATTACCTGGTACTAGAGCATCGTCCTGGAACATTACAGGCTATCGCCCATTGCAACGCCAGGACCAGACTTTGGACGGGGCATTTACTAACGCTTAATGTTGTTTGTGTAGGTCCTTTAGACTTTGACAGGGACCCCCTCATTCTCATGCTGTTCTCCAGAATCCTTCTACGGGCGAATCTAACCCCAGCGAATGACATTTGCAGCTTGTCTACATAGCACATGATATGAAGATAATGTGACCATGGATTTTACCTACTTCTAGCTGTCATTCCCTTCTTCGAATGGTGCAGCGCATTGAGTCTCGGCGCAATAATATAAATGAAACGCGGACGGGATGAAATATGCATCACCCCGCGATGATGTTAACCTAGGTTAGGACTTTTCATGTCTAAATTGTTAATTTCGTATAATCCAATTCCCGGTATACCACATGATTAGAAGCAAGTAATAAAGGACTACAGGTACAGGGGATTCCATGTCTTCTTTAGCCTTTAGAGCCATCGAAATGCCGTCGGCGCAGCGCATTAAGTCCCGGAAATGAAGCTCTCTCATTTCTTCACAATCTGCTCGACGACGTCCAACCCGACCATCTTCTTCACCGTACTATCAAACAGCCCAGATGGCAACACCGTCTGAGCGCGCACTAAGCATGCCGACTCCCCTCTCCAGATAACTGCAGGCGGATTGCTTTTCTGCAAGTCCCGCACCACCAGCTCCGCCCACTGATGCGCCGGCATGCCCTTACCCTCGAAGCCTTCTTGGCGCAGCGCCTTTTCTACAACTTCCTTAGCAGGCTCGTATATCGAGCCCTTGGGAAGCTTCGGGTTGCTGTTGTCCTGTAAGTTTTTGGTCAAATTGGTCTTGACGATTCCAGTCCTTAGGTCGACGACTTGAATCCCGAATGGCTGAAGCTCAAGCCGGAGACAGTCGGTAAGCATAGCGAGAGCCGCCTTGGAAGAATTGTAGACAGCCTGTAATGGTATCGCGATATTAGCCACGACCGACGTGTGGTTGACGATGACGGCGTTGGGGGACTTGAGCAGTAGCGGCAGGAAAGCTTGGACCATGGCGATATGACTCCATACGTTTAAATCGTACAACTTCTTTGCCTCGGCGATGTTGATATCGACAATCGGCATCGTGAACTGGAGTCCAGCATTGTTGACAAGAATGTCCAGCGACGGGACCTTGCTGACACAATTAGCTATTGAGGATTCCGATTGTATATCCAGCTGGAGAGTATCTATCTCTAGCGATGAAAGTTCTGTCATTTTAGACGGATTTCGTGCTGTAGCATAAACATGGAAGCCGGCTTTGTGGAAAGCGACAGCGAGGGCGCTACCCATGCCGCCGTCCGAGCAGCCAGTGATGAGAACGGACCGTTTTGGAGTAGACATCTTTACGGCTTGTGCGAAGTGAGTGATTTTGTATAAATTTTGTGACTATGGCCGGCATAGAAAAACACCACGAACATAATATAATGCCTCGAGCGATATTTAAATGCATCTCAACTCCTGATATACGGGAAGATGAATGTCGCCGTACCGAATCACAATCCATGGTACGTACCCAGGTATTTCCGTATACGGTAAGGCCGCTAATCCTCATTGGGCCTTCACAGTAAGTCGAGCTCCGGCTCCGGCTTAATATCGCTCCTGCCAATCCGGCACCCCGGCTCGGTTCATTTTGTCCCCCGCACACGGACACGGAGTTGCAATTTGGCTTCTCGTGACATATACCACTGCGGCGCATGTGCTTAAAATGCCGACTTAAACTCTTAGCACAATATTTTTAGCAGTTAGGTAATAGCATCACGCCGAGAACTAACGGCTACCACAAGCCTACCCCACTTATAGCGTTCCAGGAGGCATATCGAGCATCGCATGCAAACCATGGAGAGCCGACATGCACGCCTCCAGCACCGAATATTTTAAGATACTAAATATGACGTGTTAGAAGCGTTTTTTTCGCGTGGCCTTTACCCCATTAAATCGGTCAGAGTACCCGTTAAGTCAGATTGCACTTCCAACATTATAACCATAAAATCATATTTCGACAAGAAATCAAAGATGGGTTATAAAACTGCGAGTTTAAAAGTTCATTTAACACTAGATAGCTTCTCTAAAAGAGTACTTTAAACGGTTTGTGATCATGCAGTGACAATTGCTAGTGTACTATCCACCGAGTGGGAAAGTGTGATGAAAGCAAACACGCATTTGGCATCGCTTAGCCACGGGCATACACTGGTATATTAGTAGGGAACACATAAGACGTCCTAAGAATCTCCTACATTTGACCATTAGTTACGCTGTGCTTTCCTAGTCAACCCGTTCCTTCTCCGATGCCTCTCAATCGTTTTGCCTACCATACGCCCTTCAGCCGGCTTGCCTGCCGTACAAGCATTAGAATGGTATCCGCCATAGTGGGCAAATCCGGTCGCACTTACAACCAAGGCGAAGTACTCCAACGTAATCGCGAGGACCATAAGCTTAGTGTCTTTAAAGCCGAGTACGTCTTAAGCTCTGTAACCTTGTCTCACAGCTTAGCCATATTCCTAACCCATCTCACTTAGGTCCGGGAATGAGTCTTTTGTCTTCAAGCGCGTTCCTAGGCCGTTCTACGATCTATCCCTGCGCCTAGCAGCCGAGCTCGCAGGCTCCCGTCGGCTCCGAATGCATGTCGATTGCAGCCGAGAGGAGGGTATTTTGGTTTATCCCTATTTCAGGAGCACACTACTTGCATTGATTCAAGAAGATCCGGACTTTCCTCCGGTAGAGCGAAAGAAGATCCTGCGATGTGTAGGAGAGGCAATACAAGAGCTTCATAGCAAAGATTGGATCCACATCGGTACACCCTATGCAATACAGAAATTTCCATCCAAGATCTCTAACTGATCAATCTACCTATCCTGAGCAGATGTAAAGCCCGATAACATTTTGGTTAATTGGACTTGCGACGGAGAGAGTAATAAATTAGTCACCGAGGCGGCCCTGGGCGATTTTGATATCGCTTTCAAGTTGAAAGGCGGAGAATCGCGTCAGACCCCTTACGCAATAGGGAATGCCATGTGGCGAAGCCCAGAAGGACAGACGGGAAGGGGTGTGACGAAGGCGTCGGACATATTCTCTTTTGGACTAGTGGTAAGAGACAAGCTATATTTATGTTTAAGAACTCACTCTAAGCTCTGTTTATAGTGTATATACGCTCTTGGGGGTGGGGAGTTACTGCTTTTAGATGATTACCAGGAGTTAGTAAAGAATAATATAAGGCCGGAACAAGAGATCCTAGTTCGACACTTCTCTTATTTTGGGCTGGTTCCCGAAGGACTCCTGAAGCAAGTCAACAATGAGAATTGGTCCAACGCTTTGAAGGGAGCGTCAGAAATAGCTGAGGAGGCAGTGAAGGACCAACCTGAACGAAGATTCGAGCGGTGGGGGGAGGAGCTTGGTCCCGAGGCACAAAACATGATATCTGGAATGACAAATCCAGACCCGGCGGCTAGACTAACGATAGAACAAGTCCTGGCGCATCAATGGTGGCAGGTTGATTAGCCACACCAGGGTTACTGGTGTTGGTTCAAATATTTTGCCGCATGAATGGGAATGCCTTGACACTCCCTAGGTAGGGACCCGACCGCCTGGCCCGGTATACCCCCTTTTGGATTAAGGGAGTTACTAGGTTAATTATAGGTATAGATTGGTACATGATATTGAACCCCTCACCAGGCTGGTAAAATAAGTAAAAAATGAAAAGTCTATTTATATTTTACATGACAATCAATTAATGTATGTCGAATATATTGCTAATAAATCTATCTATAACCTCTAAAACATTACTATCGTTGTTCTAAATATAATACATGATGCTATTATCCTAAATTAGAATAGCATGCTAAGTAATCTAAGTCGTCTACTCCGAACTGAGGCATTGATGCCCTGACAAAATGTCATCAGAGAGCTTCTCCGCAATAGCATCTGAACAGGGAGGGGTACGTTAGCCATGTGAATTTGAAAGTTACCTGCGGTTACGAGGTGGTGAAACATGGACGTATAGAACTTACAAACTGTTGACATAGGCTGTCCAGGTAAAAGTACCGGCATGATACTAGCATCAATTATGCGAAGGCCAGACACGCCGCCCATCACACAACCGTGCGTGTCCACCACCGCGGACTCATCGCTTGACTTGCCCATCTTGCCTATTCGGAAGTTAGATCAATATCTCATAAATTCTGTTCTAGGTAGAAGATAGGGCTATAAAGAATAAAAAAGGGGCACACCCACATGTACCAACAGCATGGTGACTAGGACTAGCGGCGCCCTTAACAAACTCCAAGATCTGCTCGTCCGTTTGCACGGCGGCGCCGGGCGATAACTCGCTTTGAAGTACTCCCGTAGCGTTTGCAAACAGGCGGAGTCGCCGCACGGCTGCTATGCCCAGTTCCTGATCCGCTTTGGTGGTAAACCAAGCTACGTCTACCAGTGGATTTTCGGCCGTATCAGAAGAGCTGTTTAGGGTTACCGAGCCGACAGACGAGGGCTTAAGTATTACCACGCCCAAGCTTAGCAGGTCTCCAGGGGTAGTATCGGCAGGTCCGGCGGTGTTGAAGATGTATTGGATATCGGGCCAGTCGGCAGGGAAAGAGTTTAACACCGTACGGGTCTCGTTGCTGAGTTGTGTGTTGTTGGGGAGTTTTTCCCACACTGAAATGGCGCTGGTTAGTGAACCGTCTATTGTTAGCGAGGTAAGGGGGAGGGGGGTAATGTACATACGGAGGTAATTGCTAGCGAATGCGGTCAAAGCGCCAGATCGGCTCGAGTAAAACTCCTTGTATGCCTCATTGGCGAACGTGGCGTTATTAAATAACCGGTGCTGTGACTCGGCATTGACGGAGAATAGAGTGCCGTATCCGGGGTGGTCCTAAAAATCATTCGCAGTCAATACCTAGGTATAAACTATAGGGAATGCGAAGGCTATTAGAAATATACGTACGATCAAATTCTGACCAACCCCTGACAGCGTGCTCACTGCGGGGATATTGAATTTCTGTAAGGTCTCGGCTGGCCCGATACCAGACGCCAGGAGAAGTTGCGGCGAGCGGAGCGGACCAGAAGCCACGATGACCTCCTTACGCGCCGAGAGTACGTATTCCGCTCCGGCAGTACTGACGTGTACGCCGGTAGCCGTCTTGTTCCCCGCGAAAAGGATATGTTTCGCTAACGTATCCGGATAGAGCTGTAAGTTAGAAAACGTATTGGCAGCTATGGCGGCATCGAGGTAAGACGTCTGGGACGAGTCGCGAATCTGCTTATCGGGATGCAACGTCGCTGGGAACTGGGCATATCCCAGCAGGCTTCCGCTCTGGATTTGGCTCGTCTCCGAGAATCCTAGGCGTTTTAACCCGCGGGCAATGTAGGACGACACGGGGGCGTAGTAGTTCCAGAACGAGACATGCAGGGGGCCGCTTGAAGAGGCGTCGAATGCCGAGGCTTCAAAGGCTACCGGAGGGCCGCCGCGGAGGCTGATGTCTGGCGGTGTGAAGTGGACGCCTTTCTTGAAGTACGGTAGAAGGTTCGAGAGGGAGTAGCTGCTATCTCCCACGAGGTCCGCCCAACGGTCGTAGGAACCGATCGTACCTCTGGCGAACACCGTTAGTTAGAGTACTACCAACGCAACTCTAATCCCCGAGGCTAGATAGCTCACATACCGTTGATAGGCCATTCCATTGCGCGCAGAGCTTTGTACGTGTTAGACCTATTAATTCGAATACTTTTCTAACTAGGCGATATCAGGCTACTTACGAACCCCCGAAGGTTTTACCTTGAGAGTATCTAACTGAACGACCACCTATTTGCTTTCAGGGGAGTTATGTTAGCGGAAGAGTCGAATCTAGTTTGTGAGCAACATACCGCTTGGGGCTTCGTGTTTATCCCCCATTCAACTGTGAGAGGCACTTCCAAGAACTCTGACTCGTAAGCGGGAATCTCGGTTACGTTTCCGGCCGTCTGGTAGAAACTACCGGCCTCTACGACGGCGACGGAATATTTACCGCCGGCAGAGAGACGCATAGCCGCTACAAGGCCAGATGTGCCTCCACCAACTATCTAGTGTCGAAAATCCGTTAGTAATAAGCAACAACATTTACCTAGGTATGTAGGTATGTATACAGCATAGGTTCGAATAGGGGCTTCTTCTTTTTCTTCTACTTACCACATAGTCGAAGGTATTATTCTGACCTGCGAGCCCAAAAGAGTTACCGAAAGGCCTCGTTGAATCACCAGTCTTTCCCTGTCTTGGCTCGAAGGGTGCTGCATTACTCACTCCGAGCAAAAACGTCACGGCGCAGAGGCCTGTCTTCATCGTAAAAGTTTTCATTTCTCGCAGTTTAAAAATCAAGTATCATGAAGCTTCCGCGATGGTATCGAAGAATATCTCGATTTCTTGGCTTCATCCATCGCCATTTTTATTTACTACTATGGCGCTGGCCCCCAACCGTCCGCAAGCGGCTTGTAGAGCTTCAGGGAGTCTCGTGAACCATAGCATTTCAGCTGCGTCGTTGAATGATTCCATCTTCAAGTTAGCATGACTTCCTCTCGGGGAAGTGTCAGCGGTGTTCTTACGCCGCTGTCTATTTTGGGCTGTGTCTTTCTTCTAAGTCTGAATCAGTTGACATAATCCAAGTAAGTATTGAGATACTTCGGTATCTCCGAAATTCCGGACTTAATTTCTTGGCTTTGTGGTTTATATCCGGGTTATATCTCGTGAATTCCGCGAAAAGGGGTGAAGAGTACAGAAGCGTCTCGGACATAACCAGGTACCTTTTATCTACGAGCTGCCAGCAAGAAACCCTATGTTACACGACATTACAGTGGCTATTATGTGAGACGATTTATCTGTCCGTTGGCGATGTTAAAATAGCCCAGCATAACCAGAAATCCTTTCGAGCCTTATCCTGAGAAATCCCAAGTTAACCGCCTTTTCGAAAATCACAAGTCTTACTACGAAATTAGACATGGCCTCATCAGGGAAGAAGATTGTGTTCATCACAGGTTAGTAGGTCAGCTGAGATATGTTTTATTCTAGGATCATCCACTAAGATAAAGCACACAGGGGGGAACCAGGGCGTCGGCTATGAGACAGCAAAGAATCTACTTCTTTCCTCTGAGGAATACCATGTGATTCTGGGGAGCCGGGATCTCTCTAGAGGCGAAGCAGCGGCTAGAGAAATCCAAGCCGTAGACGGTGTCAAGGGCAGCGCCTCTGCGGTTCAGATCGACGTCACGGATGATAAGACAGTCGACGCCGCAGCTGCGCGTGTAGCCTCCGAGTACGGCAGACTAGACATTCTTGTCAATAACGCGGGGATTATCTCTACCGCTAATCCGCCGACTCGCGAGGCTTTTCGGCGCGTGTTGGAGACCAACGTTGTTGGTTCCTTAAGCGTCACTGAGGCGTTTTTGGACCTGTTGCGTAAGGCGGTCCATAAACCACCTCGCCTGGTCTTTGTCACCTCAAGCATGGGCTCGATTACGCACGCAGCAGATCCGAGTTCTCCATATTACAACCCGTTGGGAACAGAGTACCGTACTAGCAAGGCTGCCGTCAACATGTTGATGGTCATGTACTACGCCCGCCTGAAGCCAGAGGGCTTTTTGGTATTTGGGGCAGATCCTGGGCTTTGTGCCACCAACTTCACCGGCGATCCCGTCTCGTTGCGGAAGAGGAATGCCGCCGAACCATGGGAGGGAGGCGAGCGTGTGGCGTCAGTTGTCAAAGGGGAAAGAGATGCTGACGTTGGAAAGGTGTTGGGAGTATATGGGGTGTCTCCGTTTTAGGGCACGGCCCGCACTTTACCACGAGGCTCCGATTCTCGTATAACATGGAAAAATGACATGGATAGGTATAGCTAGTCCGATTACATTCGTTACGTTACCCTGTTATCGGTTAAACTTCAAGTGATGACACTGTAAGCTTATTCAAATTCTAGGTAGTAGTTTAGTTGACTTGTCACAATAGTCTACCTATGGAAAGAAGAATCTCACATAGCTGTCGCAAATTAGTTCCTATATCAAACCCGTTAATTCCGTAGAACACCTAGTTCGGGATATCTACGCCTCTCCTTTTGTCCGTCCCCTCTTATTATGTCATATTAGGATTCGCCGATCACGATAGACATACGCGTAGGTTAAGTGTTGGAAGGTCGGTACAGAACCGTTGAATTCCGAGTCGAGTTTTAAGAACTAAAGGAAAGGAGGTGGTCAGATTTCGGTTGCAGTTTCTCACAGCGTCATCTCTTGAAGCAGCAACTAAACATCCGATACGAGCACCAGAATGCAGTTGGTTAATAGTAGAAAGGGGATTTCCTTTTTAAGGCATCTCGCAAAATCTATAAAAACCCCGATTGGCCAGTTTAATAGCCTGTTCAGGTACTTCTGACATGTCATCAGCGCCTCCGCCCTGTGTCTGCTGTAAGACAAGTCCTGTGCAAGTCCCGTGACTATATATGTACCTATTCAAAACAACCACTTGCTTTTATATTGCGAGTTATATCCGGGCTGCTCCCACTTATCGTATTACCAAGAAGTTGGGACTTCTCGCTAGCAAACGTTACATCACATCTCTCTAAGATCAATAGATGCGGTTTCACAACATATACCTCAGAGGCGAAGTAATCAATAAAGCGTTAAACTGCTTCTTGGCAATATCCGCGTGAGATTAAGCGAGCGAGTTAAGTTATTATTAAGATATGTGATACCTAGTTAATGAATGTATGTTAAGAAAATAACTGTGCTACCCCTTTTCTTCCTTCTAACTTAGGTGAGATGTTGTGCAACTAGCTATTTCGGTATACTCCTAACGGTTTTCCAACACTTGGTATACCTTCTGAACTCTCTGAGCCCCCCACTCTTCACATGTCAAGGTGGGCAACTTTGCTTGTTCCTTCGTCAGTGGCGGGATAACCGGGCTTGGCAGTGGACGCATCAAAGTAGTGAGGGCAGGTCGATATCCCAGAAGGACACTGTATTTATCAAGGTGAGCTTGCTCTTTGGGGGGGCTTACGACACGATGAAACCCAGACTTCAAGTGTTCATTGGTAAGGATCGCGAGTGCATCTCCGAGATTGACAATGACATGTCCTGCAACTGACTTCACCCAACGCCAGCCACTTTCGTCACCCTTCATGGTAGCACTGATATCATAGCCTGGTTCAAGTATTTGAAGGCCGGCAACCCATGTAAAGAGCATGGCAATGCTGACAGAGTCCCGATGTGGCGGAAAATTGAATTGGTGAGGATCATCGCCTGGCTCCGGAGCCGGATACCGTAGAACACGTAGGAAATCATTGGATGGCTCAGTGATCTTATGGAGAGATGAGAGAGAACCTGGTTCTACTTGGAGCTTCGTCTCGAGAATTCCAAGGAGAATGTTGCAGATAGAATTCCCCGTCTCCATAATGGAGCCGAAGAGTTCTTTGTACTTCGCTAGCCATTGCGGTAGCTGGAATCCAGATTCCTTGTCGACGAGCAACTCGTAGAAAGGGACCTTGTTATGTAAGAATGATGGGATCAAGAAAGTCTTTCGCTCTGTGGACTCACATTAAAGGCTTCACTAAACTTCGGCTGTCCATTTTTCCCGACGCTCGGGCATTTGTATCTGGGCGGACACGGCAGGTCAGCAATACAAGCATCTTACTACCCCTAGGGTAAGAAAGCTTAATCAGAGTTATTACCCCATGTCAAATACTCCCGACCTATCGCGGGCCTTATAAGCAAGCTTCTCCTCCATCGAGAGGTTGGGGAGCACCTGCTGCCCAACTCGACACACCTCGTTACCTTCCTGCAGGAGCTTCTGTCCAATTGGGTGATCTGTCAGGTTGAGGTAGAAGAAGCCCGTTTTGATGGATATGTCGAAGACCTTGCGGCTTTCGTCTTCATCATTTTCAAGCAGACCTTTGAGAGACACCCGCGGGAGGTCAATGACAGGAAGACCTTCGGGGAATGGAGCCGTTTCAAACTCGGTTTGAGAGGTCTGGGCCATGTTGTAAGCGTAAATTGGATGTAAGTAACCTAATAGGACTAAAAGTAAAGACCAACGTGTCTGAGATCCGGATGTAATCCTGGACAACGCGTATTACAGAGTCCTTATATTCCTCAGTTTCCCGCAAGATGTGGCACTTAAGCAACGGGTAACGCGGAAAAGGAATCAAGGATAATCTACGCTCAATAAAGGTCAGGTCATTTTCTAATACCCGGAAGCCACGTCAGCTTTGAAATATCTCTTATCTCGAGCTAGTAGATAGTAGTTTGTATATGTGATAATATCTGCATGATTATGTGTCGATGGTGATCAGTAAGCAGAGGGTACTATAGAGTATAGTCGTACCATTTATATACCTTTTCGGAGTTTATCTGTGTATCCTTTAGGGTCTAGAGTTACCTTTCTAGACATATGAGGCTTTAAACAGTAACAGGCTATGATAAATGATCCTATGTACTAGGTTAAGTCGGTACCTAATATATACCTACAACTTTACCCCATGCTCCCAAATACAGTGTGTAGATTCTTCACTTATACTTTTTAGCTATACGAGTGTATAATAGTGTGTGAAATCGGGTTTACATGAACAAAAGTCACACTAATTGCGTATATTAAGGTATAATAATGTATGCTTCTATAGATTGTCAACCCCAAATGGTAAGCATCTCACACACTCACCGATGGAGTTAGGGAAATTCTATGGACCGAGATAAAGAAACTACAACTTTCGCCTCATGAGTGCATTGTTAACAACGGAGATAGCTGCAGATATAGCTGAGTGAGCTGACCGCATAGTGTTGGTAGTTTCCAGTTGGAGGATAGTAGTTAGAGGTGGGATGGCGTCTTGTCTGATAGCAACTTGTAGAATAGTCGAGACCGCTCATATCAGGTACACAAGATGGGGTAACTAATTGTAAAGCATTTATATAGCAGCTCGAGTTGGCTATAGACTTCATATAACTCCAGAGCTTACGGGTACTATCGAGCTACAGCAAATATACAGTCCTGTTACTTGGTTGAGACTCTTCTCTCCCTCCTTTTATCATATCACTATTCAACATTTTCTTCAAGATGTCTACTAGCAACATAGTCCCAGCTTCTCAACAGCAGTTGGGTAATGGCATCACGCCGAAAACCAACGGCTACCACAAGTCTTCCGGCTTACTTGGTTCAACAAACGGAGTAACAAACGGAACGAAAAATGCAATCAGCCCAATTGCTATCTGTGGAATGGCAATGCGTCTTCCCGGCGGGGTGCGAGACGCTGATGCCTTCTGGGACGTGCTCGTGAACAAGAAGGACACTAGAGGTCCTATCCCATCCAACCGATATAACGCATCTGCATTTACTGATAAGTATGGTAAGAAAGGTGCTATAAAGACTCAGTATGGCTACTTTCTCGATGAAGACCTCAGCAAGCTGGACACATCATTTTTTACTATGAGTAAGAATGAATTGGAGAGAACTGACCCGCAACAGCGCCAGCTTCTTGAGGTGATCCGGGAAGCTTTTGAAAATGCTGGTGAAGCTGACTATAGAGGCCAGTTGATTGGCTGCTATGTCGGTACCTTTGGAGAGGACTGGCTCCAAATCAGCGCCAAAGAAACCCAACACTCGGGTGGATATATCAGTAAGTAATGTCTAGAGTCGTTACATTTTGACGTTATTCCTACCAAGATTGCTCTTTATTGCTTACCATGTAAAATTACTCATAACTAACTTGGGACCCCGTCCATAGTGACTGGTCATGGTGATCTTATGCTTGCTAACAGACTATCGTTTGAATACGACCTCAAAGGTCCCAGGTTAGCCGTTCTATTATACCTACCCCTTTTATTTCTTATAATTGTAAGATAACTAATATTCCAACCTATGATAATAGTATGGTAGTTAAGACTGGGTGTTCTGCCTCACTTATAGCGCTCCATGAAGCGTGTCGAGCATTACAACATGGCGACTGCACAGGTGCCATTGTTGCTGGCGCCAACATGATCATGGGCCCAACAACAACGGCTGCGATGACGGAGGAGGGCATTCTATCCCCCGAGGGGTCCTGTAAAACCTTCGATGCCGCTGCTGACGGATTTGCAAGAGCCGAGGCTATTAATGTTGTTTACGTCAAGCTTCTTGATGACGCCATCCGTGACGGAAATCCGATTAGGGCTATCATCCGAAATACCGGAACTAACAGCGACGGTAAGAGTCAGGGTCTGATGACACCTAACGGAGCCGCCCACGAGAGCTTGATGCGCAAAGTTTACGCAGATGCCGGACTTCTACCCCATGAGACAGCATTCGTTGAGGTAAACTCATATTAGTACTGTAGTACGTTTATTCGATGCTAGATTGCTAACGAGGTGAACCTCAGTGCCACGGGACAGGAACGCCGACCGGCGACCCCTTAGAGACAAACGCTATAGGGAATATCTTTGGTTCTCAAGGTGTATACATCGGCTCTGTAAGTGCTACTAGGCTCGGGCATTGAAAAGGGCTACTAATTGACCACGCTATCAGGTAAAACCTAACGTAGGCCACTCGGAGGGTGCATCAGGACTTACCAGTCTCATTAAAGGGGTCTTGGCGCTGGAGCACGATATAATCCCGCCTAATATCAAATTCAACAAGCCAAATCCCAAGAGTAAGTCTCAACCCGATCTATTAGATCATACCTAACGATGATATCAACTAACTATATGAAGTTCCATTCTCGAGTAGGAAGCTTTGGGTCCCGATTGAGCCAACGAGTTGGCCCCAAGACCGAGCGAAACGAATTAGCATTAACTCTTTTGGAATAGGGGGCTCGAACGCTCACGTAAGTAGAAGTCCCTGGATTATCTATGGAAAATTAATGTCAGCTAATCCTCTATAGATTGTATTAGACGCGAGTCCACATCCCATATCAAATGGGCTAACACATAGCGAAAGCGCAGGACCAAAGCGCGCCCAGCTAGCCATTCTCTCCGCAAACACACAAGAATCCCTAAAGACGTACACCGACAACTTACAAGAATATGTCGATAAACATCCCCAAAATGCTGATAACATTGCCTACACGCTCGGCCGACGTAGGGAGATCCTGCCCCACCGGGCCTTTATGGTCATCGACAACAATGGCGCGGTAGTCGAGAAATCAGCTCCCGCAAAAGCACCAGCCGGCAATCCCGACGTCGTGATGGTATTCAGCGGACAAGGAGCACAATGGCCGGAAATGGGGAAGGAACTCTTCCTCACGGATGAAGGATTCAGAACTGACATCACGGAAATGGACCGTCTCCTCGAGTCACTTATTTATCCTCCGTCGTGGTCAATTGAAGGTAGGGTATTTTACTCCACGTTCCCTCATCTTTTCTAATACCTGTTATAGCCGAATTGCTCGCGCCGCCGGAAAAGAGTAAGATCCATCGCGCTGAACTGGCCCAGCCCCTTTGTACTGCAGTCCAGATTGCTCTTGTCCGAAGCCTCCATAGAGTCGGCGTCCAACCTGCAGCCGTAGTAGGCCACTCCAGTGGAGAGATCGCGGCTGCCTACGCGGCTGGAGCTATCTCGCTTGCGGAGGCCTTGATATCGGCGTATTATCGAGGCTACGTGACAAGGGACCAGACCTTGATCGGTGGGATGGGAGCGGTGGGGTTGGGTGTCGCTGATGTCTCTAAATATGTTAAGGAGGGTGTAGTCATCGCTTGTGATAACAGTCCCAATAGCGTTACACTTTCCGGCGACGTAGGAGCACTAGAAGGCGTTCTTAATGCGATCAAGGCAGACAAACCTGATGTACTTGCGAGGAAGCTCAAGGTGGACATGGCTTACCACTCAAGTAAGTAACTCACTCGCGGTCGGCTGGGGATAATAGGTACTTATGTGCTAACTCGATCGAATAGGTCATATGAAGGGGTTAGGTTTTAAATATCGAGAGCTTATGGAGCAAGAGCTCAAGCGCCAAGGTCTTACTCGTCAGCAAGCTAGTGTACCCTTCTTTTCATCTGTAAAAGAAAGGGTCATCGAGAACGGAGATGATCTTGGGCCGGACTACTGGATCGCTAACCTGACTTCACGAGTGCGTTTCAACTCCGCAGTACAGCGCATACTAGAGCAACGTCCAGGAAGACTCTTCATCGAGATCGGTCCTCACTCGACACTATCCGGGCCACTGCGACAGATCGTATCAAATTCTGAGTCTCAGTTCCAATATATTCCTACGATGATCAGGGGCTCCAACAGCGCCCACAGCCTAGCTTCGGCACTTGGTCAGCTATTCCAGAGCGGCGTTTCAATCGACTGGCCTGCTATTTTCCCCTCAGGAAAAGTGTTAACTGATCTCCCCCGCTATGCTTGGGACCACAGCGGCGGCTCGTTCTGGTACGAAGCCCGCGTTTCTAAGGAATGGCGTTTCCGCCAATTCGGACACCATCGTCTTCTCGGTTTACGCATCCCTGAAAGTTCGAGTTATGAACCTTCCTGGCGGAACCTTTTGAGCTTAGAGGATGAGCCTTGGCTGGCAGATCATAAAATCCGCTCAGATGTCGTCTTCCCATTTGCAGGATATATTGCCATGGCCGGAGAAGCAATAAGACAGATTACGGGTATTGACGCGGGTTACCAAGTGAGACGCGCAACAGCTCGGTCAGCTATGGTACTCTCAGACCATCCAGTGGAAGTATTGACAACATTGAGACCTTCCAAGTTGACTGATACGATCGACTCGACCTGGTTCGAGTTTTCTATAACATCTTATAGCGGTTCGGCTTGGATCAAGCATTGCGAAGGTCAAATCAGAGCAAGCATAAATCCATCGCCCTCGTCCTCGCTTATACCGGAGAAGGGTGAACTCATCAGGAAGATCCCCGAATCAAAATGGTATGATACTATGGATAATATTGGCGTTGTGTATGGGCCGGAGTTTCAGGGGCTCCAAAATATCGTCTCGTCCACCACCAAGAACCTGGCTGCCGCCAAGGTCAACCTTCCGCGTCACCACGAAGATCCGGCTTTCATATTCCATCCGGCCGGGATTGACAACTGCCTGCAACTTGCCCTAGTTGCGCTGGCAAAGGGCATTGGGCGAAACTTTGGCGAGTTACAAGTGCCTACTACGATTGAGGACCTTTATATCTCTAGGAGCGCCGCGATAATGGATGCTGTAGCGACTAGCAACGGCCGCGAATCCATCGCTATTGATTGTATTGCCGACGGCAAGGTTGCTTTAAGGCTACGTGGACTCGAATTAACGACGATGGATAATGATACCACTCAGCAGACTGAGCCGCATGCAGCGGCTCGTCTAGAATGGCTTCCAGACTTCGACATGGTCGACCACGCGACGTTGTTCAGTCCCCCCCGGTCGATACCGGAAGAGACCAGGATGCAGGAAGAAATGACACTTTTATGCATGCTGGAAACTGCTGATAGAGTCCGTGGTTTAGAGCCGTGTTCTTGGCACTTCGAAAAGTTCCGCGACTGGCTGGAGCTTGAAATCGACCGCGCAAGGAAGGGCACATACCCCTTGTTAGAGTACTGCAAAGAATACGTCGCACTACCGTCTGCGGAAAGGAAACCGATGATTGAAGAAAGATACCAAAAGCTCTTGCCCCTTTCAGAAAAGGGCTCCGTGGCCATCGGAATCAAGCGGATATACGACAACTGTGAAGACATCTTCACGGGCAAGACCGACACTTTAGAGACCCTAATGCAGGACGACGTCCTTACGGAGATCTATAATGCCGTTAGTTTTGGAAAAGGAGACTTCTTCAAGCTACTAGCCCACTCGCGGCCAAACATGCGCATCCTCGAGGTCGGCGCAGGTACCGGCGGTACCACCGAAATGATCCTCCGGACCCTCGTGCGGGAGGACGGCCATCCGCCCTACTCCGTCTATACTTTCAGCGACGTCTCGGCGGGCTTCTTCCCGCAAGCCAAGGAGCGATTTTCGTATGCGCCCAACATGGACTACAAGGTCTTCGATATCTCGAAGTCTCCATTTGATCAGGGCTTCACGGCCGGAACTTACGATGTTGTGCTCGCACCCAATGTAGTTCACGCTACACCGTCGCTACGTGAGACGCTTCTAAACTTACAGCCGCTTCTGCGGCCGGGAGGCCTTCTCGTTTTGACTGAGCTATGCGCTGTTGTGCGAACTCCAAATTATATATTTGGTAATTTCTCTGGGTGGTGGCTCGGCGAGGCAGATGGCCGACCTTATGAGCCTTATGTCTCCGTCGAACGATGGGATGATGAGCTCAAGGCAACTGGTTTCTCCGGGGTCGATACCGCACTTCGTGATGCTGCCGAGCCTTACCATTATTGCGCCGCCATCGTATCAACCAAGGTAGAAGAGAATGCCTCTTCTGAAAAGGCGCCATCGCCAGTATCAATCCTGTGTGATGATCCTGAGGGAGATCTAATAGGACTCCTTATCGAAGAACTTGCAAGTTCTGGCATTTCGGCAAAGGTGTTTCGATTGGGACAAAGCCTACCGCACGACCAAGACGTTGTATCCCTTCTTGATTTAGAAGGTTACTTTTTCGAGGACATCTCGCCAGAAAGACTAAATGCGTTCCAACAGATATTGCAGGACTACAAGTCAGGATCTATCGTCTGGTTGACCCGACCAGCTCAAGTAAACTGCAAAGATCCACGATCCGCTCAATCCATCGGTGTCGCACGATCCATCCGAGCCGAGTCCTCGGTGCCTTTCTATACGCTAGAGATTAGTCCCACAGAATCTCAATTCTCGACTTTAGTTCAGAAGGTATTGAGTAAGATTCGACGTATCGAGGACACTGACTTGCTTGCGCCTGATAAAGAATATGTCGTTGACGCTGGTGTTGTCAAGATTGGCCGATACCAGCCATTTTCGGTTGGTAAAGAGCTACAACAGAACGCTAGTAGCACTGTAGTTCAGGAGGTGAAGGCATTGGAAATTACCAAGCCTGGGTCCCTCGAGAATGTCGGCTGGGTAGGCGAAGCTATATCGAGTAGCCTTGGAGACGACGAGGTCGTAATCGAGACACGAGCGGTAGGAGTTAACTTCAAGGTGAGTATATGATAAGTCCTCTACGCTAATCGACTTTAACAATGAAGTAGGACGTCCTCTATGCGATGGGTATTCTTAAGACCAGTACAGAAAATATTCCGTTAGGTCTCGAACTGGCCGGCATCGTCCGCCAGGTTGGTGCAAAAGTAGATGGTCTAGCTATCGGAGATCGTGTAATGGCAACTCCGCCGAACGCATGCTTCAAGACGCAAGTTAAAACGCCAGCTTCTCTTGTCGCAAAAATACCGGACGATCTCACTTTTGAGGAGGCGGCCTCTATGCCTATATGTTACACGACGGTGATAGAGTCACTCTTGAACATTGGGCGACTAGAAAAGGGTCAGGTTAGTATATTTCGTCTTGGTTACTCTAGCGCTGGATCTAACGGGTTGCAGTCTGTTCTTATCCACTCAGCGGCCGGAGGTGTCGGACACGCCGCAATCCAAATCTGCCAAATGGTTGGCGCAGAGGTATGTCTCAACCGTTTCAACCGACTTCCATGAGTAGAACTAACGGAGAGATGCCCGAAAAGATATTTGCAACTGTCGGAAGTAAGGAAAAGGTAGAACACCTTGTAAAGAAATTCGGTATTCCGGCTAGCCACATATTCCATTCACGAGACGATTCATTCGTTGCCGATTTGATGCGTGAGACCAATGGCCGCGGAGCTGATATTGTGCTCAACTCCCTTTCTGGAGAGTTATTGCATGCTTCCTGGGACTGTGTCGCCGAGTTCGGTACCCTGATCGAGCTCGGGAAGAGAGACGCTATCGAAGGCGGTAAGCTTCGGATGAGGAACTTCATAGAACATCGGTCATACTCCTGTGTCGATATGTCGCATCTTGCACAGAAAAGACCACAGAGAGCTGGAGCGTACGTACTTTCTCACCACACTCAGGATCAGATGCACATTTAAATACTAACAAGTCATTTTATATAGGGACTTGAAGAAATGTGTTGAACTCTACCGAACTGGTGGTATAAAGCCAATCGGTCCGCTCTCTGTATTTGATGCAGGCGACGTCCAAGATGCATTCCGCGTAGTGCAGGACGGAAACCATATCGGCAAGGTAGTTGTCCGTGTACCTGAAGATTCTTCGACTCTCACGAGCATGCCTAAACACTCCGAGTTGCGTTTGAAGAATACCGCTTCATATGTGCTAACAGGTGGCTTGGGCGGCCTTGGAAAGGTTATCGCTACCTGGCTCGTCGAAAAGGGGGCTAGATCGCTAGTATTTCTATCTAGAAGTGCTGGAAAGACACAACAGGACCAAGAGTTCTTCCAAGAACTGCGAAGTATGGGGTGCGATGTACGCGCCGTACCGGGCCGGGCCGAATCGGTTGAGGACGTCAGAAGCGCAGTTTCGCAAGCTCCATATCCCATTAAAGGAGTCATCCATCTAGCGATGGTTCTCCGGGTAAGTTAATTTCAGTTCTCTCTTTGGTACTGTCTTGCTTATTTTCGTTAGGATTCACCGATTGCAAGCATGAAACATGAAGATTGGGTGGCTGCAAACGCCCCCAAAGTGACTGGTGCATGGAATCTCCATGAGCACCTGAAGGGGCATGCCCTTGATTTCTTCGTCATGGCTAGTTCCATGGTAACTATTGTCGAACAGCCAGGGCAAGGTAATTACAGTGCTTCAAACACGTTCCTTGAAGCTTTCACCCAATACCGACGTTCACTATCTCTCCCTGCGACGGTGCTTAATATCAGCCCAATAGACGGTGTGGGCTTCGTCGCCGAAAACCCGTTCGCAAGGAAGAACATGAAAGCACAAGGACTGTACTTCTTGCATGAGGCGGAGCTCCTGGACTTTTTCGAACTGGCTATCATCCAATCACGCCCTTACGAAGGGCTCAGCTCCACAGGCAACTCCACGCTGACTCCTTGGACGAGTACCGGCCAATTAGTTATGGGCTTGCGCTCCGAGGATGACCTGAATGACCCAAATACACGAACTAACTGGCGCCGGGACCGACGAATGGGCTTCTACCACAATAATAATGAGAAGGAAACCAATACAAAGGGAAGTTCCGGTGAGCTAATCACGTTCCTAGCACGGGTGGCTGATGATGTCGAAGTACTGGACGACCCGCAAAGCGTTTCATACCTGAGCCACGAAATCGGTAAGAAGGTATTCAGCTTAATGCTTAGACCTGAGGACGATCTAGATATCTCCTTGACATTGTCGCAAATTGGATTGGATTCGCTCATGGCAATTGAGTTGCGCCGCTGGTGGAAACAGGTGTTAGGCCTGCAAATCAGCGTCCTTGAAATCATGGCTACTGGAACGTTAGAAGCGCTGGGAGGTGTCGCCGCTAGAAGCTTGAAAAATAAGTTCGCTGGAAGTGATACGCCTGAAGAAAAGGCCGGATGAGTTAATGGCTCTAAGCGAAAGCTGGGTTTTGTATTAACTAGAATCAAAATCATAATACACCACTCGCCCAAACACCTACGTGTTTTAGCCAAATAAGACTATAAATGTTGACTTTGGGAGTGATTAGGAAAGGAATTGGATCCTGGTGTTTTTCAGTAACGGTTCCTTATTGCTGTTGCTCTCATTGGGGGACTGCTCTCTCAATTTGATTGTGCCCTTATAGACCCTATTGCTGCATCGTAAATCCAAAAGAGCTGTCTGCAGTATTCACCTCCTTAATCTCGGAGTAGCGGAGACAACGATGAAGAAAGCCTATTAGTGATCCAAGGGGGATCATGGGATTCTGCAGAGCTCCACGTTCTCTCATTAATACGAATGCTTTATAAGGGGCCGGGGGAAAGTCGGTGTATAATCAAGGTCGTTGTAATTCCTCGACCGGTGAGACTCTCGGCACCCGGCGCATTGTGGAGAATTCTGGCGGACTGTAATCAAGTTTAGGTCAATCCAAGAAACATCGTGGCTGCAAGATCCCCGATCCCCCCACCAAATCGGTTAGTTGAATTGATTCCTCGGGGCAAATTCCTTGAATACAACGGATATTGAATATGCGCTCGATGTAAAGCCGACGTCGTTTCTCTCCCTTTCGATGATTTCGAAGGGACAATGTGACTGATCCCAACCTTCTCAATAAACTCTTCGTCAAGCTGATAACGTTTCTAAGTGTTGAACAGAGTGTACCCCAAGCATCGCGTTTAGATTCGACAAACCGTTACTAGGATCATAGATGTTACCGTTGCGGAGGCTGGGGTTGTAATACCGGCCATGTTGGATCTGTACGGCAATTATTCAAATTTGCCAGCCCCCGGATCACCCGCGAGGCGGGAAATGGCAGCTGAGATGTTCCGCGTCTATTTACGTATTCTGTGCTCACGTGAAGTAAGAGGACACTCTCCGAGCACCAACAACAACAGGGATATAGCCACTTATGAGAAAGCGTAGAAAACTTGAAACTTTGGGTTTTACCTGTAGAAGTTCAAAACAGATTACTTAACTTTGTCTATCACGATCCCGAGTATTTCAGATTCAGTAGTGAGTGAGGGCAGGTCTGTTTGCTCTGCGGCGGATACGTCTCTCGATGCACTTGGGAGCTATTATTAGGTGCTAGATGTGCTTGACTCGAAGATGCAGTCTACGTCGTCGAATACTTGAGGTCAATCGACAGGTGATGAAGGATGCCTAGGAAAGAATTTGTAGCGCCATATCTCGACTATTCGATCTCGCTCGAGCAATTTTATTTTTGTTTTTTAAAGTGCAAGCCGAGCGTCTAAGTAATTGCTTTAATCGTTTTGAGGCGCCTGCAAAAGGGCGGGACCGGCTCAGTTTGCTCGGAATTTGCAACTCGAGATGTAACCGGAGGCAAGTAGGCCGCTAGTCGAGTACAGGGTTGATTCATTATGCGCTGCGTGATTCAGATCCTGCATTGGAAGCTCGGCGCCAAAAAATGAATAACCCTTGCCTTCACCAACAGCAGCTTCATCACTTCACATGATATTAAAAAGAAAATAGGGTCGTCTCGGAATTTTCACAAGCAAAATCTGGGGAACAATGATGAAAATAAGATGCTGGTCCCCCGCGAACTTTATTTGATTTACTTTTCGAGCCATTAGTTTCCGGGGTTATCCGTTATGGGCCATGTATTTAAAGCTGCTGATCTGATGGATTCGGTTTCTTGCTGGGTTTGATGCAGGGTCACAGCCAAACGTCATGTAGTCTTGCAGTAGTGCTAGGTCTCAACCATGGAAAAGGGAGGTAGGGCGGCTAGTAATAACCCAATGTGTGATGTGGTTCGCCTCGTTTAGGCTAGAATTGTCAGATACGTGTTAAATGGTGCGATGCAGTGCATAACAGCTGGATTAAATCTATTGGAACGTCTAACGAGGGTGAAAATTCTTTCCTGCCCAAGGAATATGCAGGAATATGCAAGCCCGCAGCCCGATCGACGGTATCGACGTATCGACGTTATTACGTGGCTGGGCGGTTGGTTCCATTCTAGTTCGTCTGGCACGATCACGAGGCGGAGATTCTGAGATTGTAAAAGTAGAAAAACCACAGACGTTTCCTTGCGCGAGTTCCATCTGAATTTTTTGTACTTGATTGCCCCATCTGCCCCTCCTTATCTTATCAGGGCCTGTCTTCCTTATCTCTCAGTCTCTCTTCTTATCTACCTTGGGTACCCAAACCTTAGGTACAAGAGGTTGGGGCCACTTGGAGACTTAAACCGCTTAAATCATGGGGACGGCGTGTACTTCATATCCGTGTGACCAGTCTCCCAGAACATTTGATGTCGACGAGTATTATAGATTACATCAACTTATACCCTACAGGATGCGCCAAAGAATTACCTTCTTCCATAAAAACGAGAACGGAGTAGAACCTGCCGCTCTAAGGCTCTTGGGTCGCTATATTTCGGGGCCCGACATCACCGCTGAACGGGAGGACCGGATTACACTAGCTCTAGAGGAGCTTCCGGTAGAGCTTCAACACCTACTTCGAGAATCCCGCGAGCTATTTATTCGATGGCAAAAACCCGTCCCCTACAAAGCGGTAGGTCCTTGGACCTCGAGATTGCCTCCCGGTTTACATGTCTTTTATACGCCCGGTAATAGCGAGAGACCTGATGGCGGTCGCCTGTGCCGCTTGTTTCGGACGGCCTTTGGACCATTAGATTGCTCATCCACATCCGTAAGTTACTCCTATAGAAATAGCACTCGTCCGCTCTAGCTCTCTAATCTAGCTCTCTAATAATTTATAGGGATCGTTTACGAAATTACCAAATGACCGATTCACTCATTCAACAGCATATCAATATTACCAAATCCTAAACGACCTGTCGCATTTCACGGCATACCTCGAACAATATGCTTGTAGTTCCGGTAACTCCGAATGCAAGTCACGAGTTCAACGGCTTCTTGACGCCAACTCGGTCGATTTCTCCTACGATGCGCTTTCTCACGTTGTGAAACTCACAGCTGTGTGGCCTCATGAACGGCAGCCGTTATTTATCAACTCCCAGCACGATCACAGAGCCGAGGTCGGGATAATGACACCGGACTCACCTCCGCATCTAGAGTCACATGAGCTTGGTATCACGGGACTGCTGGCAGTCTTGGGTGAAGATTCCAGGCCTACACCAACTCTTTTCTCATTCCCTTCGCGCCACAAGAATGCCGACGATGCGAGTTTCGAGGCCACTTTTCTCCGTCCGATGGGCTTACACCCGACTATGCAATTACGTCTCAGCTCAAGTAAGCCGCCGATGGACGATGCGTACTGTTCGCTGCACACGTACCTTACTCTTCCTCGAACCGTCTTCATCGACAAGTATCAACTTGGGGATGAGCTATTCATGTCGTCTAAGAACTTGTCGGCGTTGCGTTACATCAGCCAACCAGTGGACCTTGAAGCTCCAGACTACGCCATGAGGCTTTGGGGTTCCAGTGCCCTCCTAGAACTGCAGCCGCCGAGAAGCGGGAATGACCAACCGTGGACAGCCGAGATTCCACTTCATCTTAGGTATTTGGCACCAGCGGATCATGGCTATAGAAACGTTAGTATTCCTTGGCCCGTGGTTTTCTGGGCTTGCGCGTCCGAAGAGGGCACCAAGTTCTCCAACAGTCCATTCGACAGGACAAATCTAGGATACGACGGGCTATTTGGCCCTCGTACGCTATTCTGGCATGTCGAACCGAAGCCAAGTGCAGGCGAGAACCTCTATCACGAAATTAGGGTTCCCGTTCTTGATCTTGGACAGTCAAATCGGATCAGCTCCGGAACAGTAACCGTGGTTCTCATGGGACTTGTTTTCGTTATATGGAAACTCGTATCAGTCTGCCTAGGGATAAACCAAGACAAATACAAACCGGAGAAAGTAAGGAGGAAGAGGAAGAGTCTATGATAATGATTTCAAAATTGAAGCATCAGCAATTGTGCATTCTAAACTTTTACTGGGTCGGGGTGGGAATTAACGACGGCGTTGAGGTCATGTGATTACGTATTATTATTTGCATTATTTTCAATATTGTTACTATAACGGGGCCACGGCAAGGGCACAGAACCAGGGCGTTAGGGATGATCGTATGATACATATATACCTTAGATAGTGAACATAACTTATACTAACTACATTATCTTACTCATACATACTTGAATATATCGACAAGTTCACTCAAGAGTCAGTTTAATAATAGCGTGATGTTTTCATATGTTGTAGCGGGCATTGCTATTTTATTATTTACGTACAACCCAATTCTTCAATACTTTTCTCCCGAGCCATCTCGTCTTACACGGACCGCTCGGCCTCGTATAAATGAATCCCTCCTTGCCATCGATGCAGCAAACCAAACTGCACCGGACTGCCCTCCGGATTCATATTCAATTCATATTCTTTCAAAAGCGCCAATCGTAATTTATATTGAGAATTTCCTCTCAAACGATGAACGGTCCCATTTGCTAGAGATCAGGTACCTTGGATACATATGATATGATGCTTCTTTCATCATAAGAGGTACCTACTAACGACTCGCAGTGAACCGCTATTTGAGCCTTCGACCATCACCCATGATGGCGACTCGACGCAGCGCGATGTTACAATTCGAGACTCGGAGGTCGCATTGATACCCCGTACCGACACTGTGCGATGCATCGAAGCTCGTGCACGAGCTATTCAGGGCTGGCGTGACGACTTATGGATAGAGCGTCTTCGTACACAGCGTTACAGTGCGAACCAGCACTACGCGCATCATTTCGACTGGGGCTCCGGCGCTCGAGGCTGGGGCCGAGTCAGCAGCATTATGGCTTGGGTGCAAGCTGAAGACGTCGAGGGAGGAGGAACCGAGTTTCCTCTACTCCGCCGAGAAGCGCCCGACAACCCGTGGTGTCAATGGGTCGAGTGTCCCAAGCTACCCGAATCCGAGGGAGAATTCCCCGCTACGGGCGGAGAATTAGTTACGGGCGTTTCGTTCAAACCTATCGCTGGTAATGCTGTTTACTGGGAAAACTTCCGTCCCGACGGAACGGGGAGAGGTTGGGATGAGACTTGGCACGCGGGTTTGCCCGGTACGTGACTCTTCCCCCATCTATTCTAAGACCGCCATTTGGCCTCACCATGAGCTTTCCGTTCTTGGCAGAGATCTTAATATTCCCCTTACTATTACTTTTTCTTATTTGAGACAATCCCTAACTCTTTTCATCACAGTGAAAAAGGGGACGAAAGTCGGTCTGAACATTTGGAGCTGGGGTAGGCTCAGCTAGGAAGGCTTTTTCATGGCTCATCCCATAAAAGCAAAGTCGGTATAGCTCTAAAGGAGAGTCAATAATCCATTATATTGTATCCGATGGCTTACGCTGAGGGCCATATATTATGAATATTATATTCGAACAATATAGAATTGCCAGCTTCCCATACTTTATACCTCTCCGCAGACAACGCCGTTTGAATAAGACACCGCAAAGTTACGCTCGGACGACCTATTTAACTACCAATATCAAAACCTCTATTTTCCAGCAGCCAATAAGACAGTAGCTATATATTAACCACGTCATCAAAACGGACATAGACGATCAAAGTTTCGGTCAAATATGAATTAACTTCAAGCTCAGAATAACTTTACTTCGTTCTATTTCGGTGAAGCAGAGATCCTCCACAGTTACTGGAAAAAATCTGTAAAACAAGAACCAATTAGAAGCTTAATGAACCCCCACACGTTCCGCAAGGATCCCGATGTCGCCATTTTGAGACAGGATCGCAACATAGACTTCAACAGCAAATCTAAATCACATTTCACTAACCTATTAATAATGGGTTCCGCGTAGTTGAATTAAATCGAAAGATATCTATCGACTTTAGTTTAGTCTTTTAGACAACCATCCAGAACCATACTTAACGCAGTAAACCTCCCACGCCTATAAAGACTATCACGGTCTTTTCTCGCCATCGTGACCTGTCTGTCTGCCTGTACACTACGCTGTACACTACACCAAACAAGAAGCGGTCTCGAACTGATGTCATCCTCTCTGCCTTATGTACGAACTTACTCTTACATACATGTATACCCGAGATACATGCCACTCTCGAACTCGTTTTACACCCACGCCGCCCACTTCCAAGACTACACATCGTGCATCGTCAAGATAATTGCGCCCCTACTACGCCGCTACGCCGCCACGCCGCTATACCCCTTTCTCATCGCACCGAACCGCACATACGAGCCCCTCGGCCCAAAGAACGGCGGCACTTTACACACTTAACAATGCATGACGTAACTCGAAATCAGGGTTCAAAAATGGATCTAGAACGCATCCGCACCGGATTGGCCCTAACTTCCGGTGGCTAGCCTATAGGGGACGGGCGTTCTAGGTGTTAGACTCGGTAGGTTCGACAAGTGTAATCCGTAAGCTTTGATAAAGCAGGTACATGTACCTACATACAGTACTCGTGGGAGTCCACGATACGTGGGTGCTGCCCGTAGTGACGCCGTACCAGACGCCATGTATATATGGTTTGGTAAGACCGGAGGTACCGCTAGACATGGACCGGCTCCATATGTTAGGTACTCTATGCTCCATGTTCCATGTATCAAAGTTGTTATTGGAATCTTGCCCGAGTTTACGAGGGATATTGTCTATGTACATGTATTACATTTTCCCCTTTAGGTAAGTCTCTGGTAAGTCTCTTTAAGTTACTTCGGGTACTTGGGGGTCTACGAACTTGGTTCTTCAAGTTTGCTCTCAAGTTTTCAAGTTTTCAAGTTTTCTCTTTCCTCGATCTGTTCCTCCATCCCACGACAAATCAATTCTCATATTGCCAAGTCGCAAGTTCGATTAATAAATGCAATTGACTTGCTTTTCGATACTTTCAGCCACCAATTACTTTATGCGTGGCGCGCCGTACAAGTGAAAGACGCAAGCAAGCATTTATACTTATTGTCTCATTTAAAACTCGGATTGCAACATCCAAGTTCGATATCCACCATGTCTAACAGGCCTATCTTCTTAGCCACGCACCCACGGGCATGCTCTACTGCCTTCGAAAGGGTTGGTCTCGGATAATACCATCAGAACCTACAACTACCGTACTTACTAAAACACACTAGGTTTTTATGACCCGCCGGGACGTCCTTACATGCGCCCATGAGCCATTTGGTGATAGCTATTACTACGGTCCTGAGAGACTTGGCGAGCGCTATGCCAACGATGAGGCCGCTAGGGAAAGTAGTGGCTTTTCTAAGACCACATATCGTGATGTCTTAGACCGGCTGGAAAAAGACGGCAGCGAGGTTCGAAATCTCCTGATATCCCAATGCCCCTGATCCCCTTTCTATGCTTGAAACTCCTCGTCGTGATCATTCTCTTCATGTTGGTTCTATCCCCCATCGCAAGTGCATAGTAGGATCAGCCACATCTGCAAGAATCAAGTTTAGGGAGGATATTATAATGCCGAGGTAACAGAAATGGAGGCGCCACCAAAAGATAGGCCCTAGGTTCTCTAGGTTCTCAAGCTCACTGGCGTGTCCCAAGAACAATATTGTGATATACAAGGGGTAACCAACCGTATAACTTAATATCTTGGCCTCTTAGATATTTATCCTTCAAGACTACACCCTTTTCATTCAATTTTATACGCTCAAATGCCGATATTCTAGCCTCGCTAGTTCTGAGCCTCATCATGCGCCGAGTACTTACTTTATCATGCAGGGCAAGCGTGTCTTCATCAAAGACATGGCTTACTACTTGATGCCTCCAAACTCGCAACCTGCGGTAATCCCCAAATCCCTGCGCAAGGGAGAGAGAGATAATTACTCTGAAAAGGGAAATCCAACAGTGCTGCCCCTCGATATCCTGAGGAACTTTCACTGGACATTCCTTATCCGGCATCCGCGACGAGCAATTCCTTCGTATTTCCGATGTTGTGTGCCCCCGCTAGACGAGGTCACCGGCTTCAAGGAATTCCTCCCTAGCGAAGCAGGTTACGTGGAGCTCCGCCGGCTGTTTGACTATTTGCGGGAGCAGAAAATAGTTGGCCCGACGCTAGCTGGCGAATCGAACGGGGACAAGGCCGATGGTGGAGTCACCATCACCGTTATCGACGCCGATGATCTTCTTGACCATCCGAATCCCGTCGTTAAGGCGTTCTGCAAAGAGACCGGGATCGAATTCACCCCGGAGATGCTTACTTGGGAGGACGCTGAAAACCAGGACTACGTCTCGGAAGCTTTTGCTAAGTGGAACGGTTTCCACAACGATGCTATTCACAGCAAGAGTCTCACAGCCAGGACTCAAGCCCACGTAAGTCAACTAACCAATTATACGCAATTTCGGGGTTACCTTCTAGCTCTATTTACTGACTCTACTCGAATAGAAAACTGTCACCGAGGAATCTGAGAATGAGGAATGGCGACAGAAATATGGCAAAGAGGCCCAGGAGAAAATCAGAGCCTGTGTGGATGAGAATATTCCACACTACGATTATCTCAAGACCTTCGCCATGAAGTTTTAAGATTGCCGGCGAGTCTATATACATACCTACCTCTAGATAGTACACTTTGAATACAGTATATTTCTAGGTTTCGTAAAGTGTAATGTAGGTGGAGGGTTTACTTAATTTTACACTCTGTCATGACCGTGATAACAGTAAGACATGATAACCTGGCTTTATACAGCTCTTATGGAGAGTTATTTTGATCTGCCTCCTTCTTATCGGCCTTCTTCTGGCCTGCCTTCTTCTTACCGGCCCTCTTTTGATCTGCCTCCTTCTCATCGGCCCTCTTCTGGCCTACCTCTTCTTGATCGGCCGACTTCTGGTCTACCCCCTCCTGATCTTCGCCTTCTTTCGCTGCTTCTCCCGATTCCGAGTCTTGCTCCGGGGGCGCTTCAGTGTCCGTCCCCATTTCCTCTATGGCGGCTTGATCGAAGCGGTAGTGCGTGACATTAGGAGGCCAGCTTTTCGCGAAGTTCCGATCTTTGTCGTCGAACCACCAGACCTGAGCTTTGACCAGGGCCTTAACAACGCCGTTCTCGTCCTTCTTGAGGTTCTTCTCGTCTCCCGCTTCCAGGTTGGCAAGTATTTTCGGGTCCTGCGACACGGTCATCCAAATACGACTGCCCTTCCCTAGTCCCCCGAGGACCGCAGCCATGTCGGCAACCGTGTTGGTCTTCTGGTCGTTGATCTTCGAACCCCGCTCGTGCTTCGTCAGGGGCTTTCCGTCCTTGTCGTAGAACATGTCGTTGTCCCACGATAGCTCGTGCAGTTTCTTGCACTCTCGCAAGCGCTGGAATACGCTCCGCCCTACGTCGCCGAAGCCCTCGGGGAACTGTATCATGGCAAAGGTCCGCCAGTAGTCGCGTCGGAACTTGCTGGGCTTGAGCTTCTTGCCGTTGAAGGTGAGTTGTCTTAGCGCCTTGTTCGCCTTTGCGATTTTCAGCGTCAGTACCTCGGCGCACGGGACAATACTAGAGAGACAAAGATGCTAACTAGGTAATTTCATACCTTGAGCACGGGCCTATGGGAGTACACCGTCATGCCCTCTAATATGTGAGAGTATATCCATATCTTCTCGCCATGGTGCACTTGAAATTCGGACGCCGCTAACTCCTTCTGCCTCTTCTCTTTATTCGTCGCCGTGGATTTGAAGCGTAGGCCAGTCCATGATATGCCGAGGGGCAGCCTCTTAAATTGGACTGTTATCGAATTGACCCTCAGAGCCATGGTGGGCGGTTCTGCTATCGAAAGCTCCGGGCAACTGAGGCTGATATCCAATACCACGGATATTCGCTGTCGGGTTCATTGTTTGGAAATTTCCGTTGCGATAAGGATCGAATTGGTGGGATTGGTACTAGGTGGGTACCGGGTAGGGCCTTATCTTAGCGTCTAGAGGTATTGTACATAGATAGGTGCGAACAAGGGCTACCTTAGGTAGGTACCTAACAAGTGCCTTTGGTGCCTTGAATAACAATGGCCTTGTTGGACACATGAACTACGATGATAATTTCCCACATAATGATTACGTACCTAGATGTGTAGGAAACCAATCGCAATGCAACACAACTTCTATACATCTTAGTCCAAGGCGAGACATTATGCTAACATGATACTGCTACCTCATTATATACTATAGCTTATCTTATCGCACGAGCAGAATCGAAAATCGGAAGCAGCAAGATCGATTAGCCGATATTACCCCGCGATTGGCTAGAGCTAAAAGTTGTCGTCAGGCAGGCTTGGCAACAGCAGCCTTAGGTCATTTAGGTCATTTAAGTTAGGCTAGCATTAGCCGCCCCACTAGAAGCTTCGCAGACGTTCTATATGAGGTAGCAACCAACACGAAGCTTCCCATTCTTGCTAGAAGCCTGAAGCAGCTTGGAGAGTGTCCCGGAAGTAACTAGATAGACCTATGAGCTGACTGAGTGCCCCCAACTCTGTAACTATCTCATCATCATCGCCTGTTTCCGTCTCTTTCCTCCCCACTTCTAGCGCTTTCAAGCAAACAGATAAATACAAGTTTAACTTCTTTGTCTTGCTGTTCCTTCTTCATTTGAATTCACCAGGAATAAAGAAAATCAAGAACAAGAATCTTAAAAAAAAAAAAAGTGATACCCGATTCTTACAGTGCAAAGCCAACAACATTAAGGCTTCCACTTACACGCACAACAACATCTACCTACTACTTTTACATTCTACCAGCACATATTTTCTCGTTTTGACGTTTGATATTGAGACGCAATATTGAGACACACATCAGATCAAAACACTAAGACACACAGACACAGCCGTCAAAATGGCTTCCAGAATGGAATTCACAGATCGGGGCAAAAAGGCCCTAGAAGATGCCATGGCGCTGGCAGAGCAATATGCTCACTCCCAATTATTACCAATCCACCTAGCTGTCTCTCTGCTAGATCCCCCGCCAGACCAATCCAAGGACCAGCAAAATCAACCAGGTACCACCAACAGCCTGTTCCGACAAGTAATTGAGAGAGCACATGGCGACCCTCAACTATTCGACAGAGCACTCAAGAAGACGTTAGTCCGTCTGCCAAGCCAAGATCCCCCGCCAGAGAACGTGTCTATGTCACCATCATTTAGCAATGTTCTCAGAAAGGCTCAGGAGTTACAAAAGACGCAGAAGGATACATACATCGCAGTTGACCACCTCATAACTGCGCTAGCCGAAGATCCAACAATCGCCAATGCTCTCAAAGAAGCTAATATCCCCAAACCCAAGCTGGTCCAGGAGGCCGTCCAAACTATTCGCGGGACGAAAAGGGTGGACTCCAAGACAGCCGATACCGAGGAGGAGCACGAGAACCTTTCCAAGTTCACTATCGACATGACCGCTATGGCAAGGGAAGGTAAGATTGACCCTGTCATCGGTCGAGAAGAGGAGATCAGACGAGTTATCCGCATTCTCTCACGACGAACAAAGAATAACCCGGTACTGATTGGTGAGCCTGGTGTCGGTAAAACTACCGTCGTTGAAGGCTTGGCTCAGCGGATTGTCAACGCCGATGTACCTGACAACCTCGCCGCTTGCAAGCTGCTCTCCCTTGATGTCGGCGCTTTAGTTGCCGGCAGTAAGTACCGTGGTGAGTTCGAAGAGAGAATGAAGGGCGTTCTCAAGGAAATACAGGAGTCTAAGGACATGATCGTTCTCTTCGTTGACGAAATCCACTTACTTATGGGTGCCGGTGCTTCGGGCGAGGGTGGCATGGACGCTGCCAACTTACTTAAGCCCATGCTTGCCCGTGGACAATTACACTGCATTGGTGCAACAACCCTTGCCGAATACCGGAAATACATTGAAAAAGATGCCGCTTTCGAACGACGATTCCAGCAAGTCATCGTCAAGGAACCAAGCATTCCTGAGACCATCTCCATCCTCCGAGGTCTGAAGGAGAAGTACGAAGTTCATCACGGTGTCACCATCTCTGATGCCGCCATAGTCGCTGCTGCAAACCTTGCTGGACGATACCTTACTTCTAGGCGTCTTCCTGACTCTGCTGTTGACTTAATTGATGAGGCCGCAGCAGCCGTCCGAGTCGCCCGAGAATCTCAGCCCGAAATCATCGACTCTTTGGAGCGCAAGTTACGACAACTCAGAATCGAAATCCACGCGCTGTCCCGAGAGAAGGATGACGCCTCGAAGGCTCGACTCCAGGCTGCCAAGCAAGACGCCGAAAACGTCGAGGAGGAGTTGCGGCCTCTCCGAGAAAAGTATGAACGTGAACGAAAGCGTGGCAAGGACATCCAGGAAGCTAAGATGAAACTTGACCGCCTGAAGGTCAAGATGGAGGACGCGGCCAGAATGGGTGACCATGCCACCGCCGCAGATCTCCAGTACTACGCCATCCCCGAACAGGAGAAAGTGATCAAGGAACTCGAGCGCCAGAAGGCCGCTGCCGATGCAGCTCTAAGTCAGAACGATATCGGCGGTGCAATGATCACGGATGTAGTCGGACCAGACCAAATCAACGAAATCGTTTCACGCTGGACCGGTATTCCTGTCACAAGACTAAAGACCTCCGAAAAGGAGAAGCTTATTCACATGGAGAAGGCTCTCGGAAAGGTTGTCGTTGGACAGAAGGAAGCAGTGCAAGCAGTCTCCAACGCCATTCGGCTGCAACGATCTGGGCTTAGCAATCCCAACCAGCCGCCGAGCTTCCTCTTCTGTGGTCCATCAGGAACCGGTAAGACTCTATTGACAAAGGCTCTTGCTGAGTTCTTGTTCGATGACCCGAAGGCGATGATCCGGTTCGATATGTCCGAGTACCAAGAGCGTCACGCACTAAGCCGAATGATTGGCGCGCCGCCGGGATATGTTGGACACGACGCCGGTGGTCAACTTACCGAGGCCCTCCGCAGAAAGCCCTTTTCTATCCTACTGTTCGATGAAGTTGAGAAGGCTGCGAAGGAAATTCTTACTGTCCTTCTCCAACTTATGGATGACGGTCGTATCACCGATGGACAAGGTCGTGTCGTCGATGCCAGGAACTGTATTGTCGTCATGACTTCCAACTTGGGTGCGGAGTTTTTGGCTCGTCCAACTAATCGCGACGGCAAGATCGACGCCACAACCCGGGAACTGGTAATGAACGCCCTACGCAACTACTTCCTACCAGAGTTCCTCAACCGTATCAACTCAATCGTCATCTTCAACAGGCTCACAAAACGCGAGATCCGCAGGATCGTCGACCTACGGCTTGAAGAGATCCAAAAGAGGCTTTACGACAATGATCGCAACGTGCGCCTCGAAGTCACGGATGAGGTCAAGGACTACTTGGCCAACGCAGGCTACTCGCCCGTCTACGGTGCTAGGCCACTAGGCAGGGTGATTGAGAAGGAAGTTCTTAACCGCCTGGCCGTCCTCATCCTACGCGGTGGCATCAGGGATGGAGAGATCGCAAGGGTCGTCATGGCTGGTAACAAGATTCAAGTCCTGCCCAACCACACCGATAGCGAACTTGATGGTAATGACGAAGATATGGCCATCGATGAGGATGATGCGGTAGAGGATATCGTACCCGACGGTATGGATGAGGACATCTACGATTAGAGGGGGGGTACGAGTACCGTATAGTCCCAAAATTGACGACGAGTGATGAATAATGAGCTACTAAGGAACGAAGGGAACGTAACCATTTCTAAGGGTCATGGAATACATACAAATGTAAGGGGGTGAGTGAGCATGTTATTCGCGGAAAACAATGGAACCCGGCATATGGCGTTACAAGGCATCCGGCAAAGGAACTTGGAAGTTAGCTGATTACCTACCTGTTAGCATTATTGCAAACTGAAAGTCTCGGAGTAGACTTAATATAAATAATTCATAAATAATGTGTCTTCTTTAGGTTTACGCGTGATAAGTGAATGTAATTACTAGGTAATTAGTGAGGTGAGGCTTTTATAGTCTTGCTATGGTTTAAGCAGTCTGGACCGAATGCTGAGTTATCTTAAAGTTATCCCTTAGGAAGAGTAAGTATACACCCACCATACGCATACTCTTCAGATGTGAACGTACTAGGTTACACAGTTGATTTTATAAACATCACAAAGCAGAGCAAGTATAGGAGCAACGTTCTTATTCTACTTATAAGGAACTTTTAACCTAATAATAGAAGCTCATAGATTTATGTATTAAAAGTCCTTTTTATTCTAACTGTTTCATATAAGATATTAACAGTCCACTCATACCAAGCAGTATCTGTGACTACCTCCTTCGATACTTGGTATTCACCCATGTAAGCATACGACGTTAGTGTGTAAGTGGGTTAGGGGTAGATTTAGGGGTGGATTTCTCCCGATCAGAAATATGTACCCCTTTTTTCGTTGTTTCCCCTATTATAATGGAACAAGCCTATTATGTTCACACTAATCCATACCTCCTGATCAGATCTTATTAATCCTTATTCTTGTTGATGCCTATCCATTTTTCTTAAAAGTATAACGCTTTTACCTACTGTCAAATGTCTTATAATAGGGGTTTGTACTGTTGAAAACCTGAAAAGTTTGGCTATCGTACCATTCTATAGATCTAGTCTCGTATGATAATTGCATAGTCTATACATTTAATATATTCAAGGAGATCTTTTCATCCTTTCGTATATAATAGACGGCTCCTCGTTCTAATTTCCATAGACACTATTGTACATTTAATATTTACTTAGCTCTATATGACCGACATTCCTCAACGTGATATATATTAGAAATGAAAACCGAATAGACCATAAATAAACTGGTATCTATATATGTCCCTTATACGCGAATACCTAAGACATTGAGAGACCGAAAGCCACAACTCGCCTTCAGCGAATCTCGCATTCTGTCATAACGCTATGCTTATCGAGCATCCTCCACGCATCCTCGTACGTCTTAGATGTGTCAATCATATTCCACGTATTCTCATTTATCGTGGTTGTATATTCCACAACACCTGCCCTGGAAAAGATGTTTTTGTCCTCTTCTTCGCGGCGAAGGATCAAATAGTATCGGGTCGTGCGCTCCTGGGAAGAGACTCTGAAATCGGCAAACATCCAAAATAGGTACACCTTCTGCTGCTGGGGGATACATTGGTACCCATCATCGTCGTGATCCATATGAACCTTCTCATGGTAGATTCCTTTTATACAAGTAGTATCTTTTGAAGTCATTAGGCTCGCCCAATTTCCGACGTGTGGAAGAATAGAAATGCTACATTTCTTATCGTTATGCCACTCTACCATACCAGGCGTTAGTTTGCCTCGTAATTTCAAAACGCTTTTGGTTAGGAGTCCCAGGGAGCTATGTCCTTCATAATCGCATGAGGCTTCGGATACTGCCGCGACGACTTCCCTTCCGATAGGCAATATACGCCGGGGAAAGTCAACACCACTCTGTAGAGATGCCCACGACCAAGTTGGTAAAGAGTACGGCCTCTTTAGGGTATCTTTCCAGCCGCGCCTGTTTTCCTTTAAAGGCAAATCGGAGCACTTCCAGGACAAGTCTTCGATTAACGACCCCGACCACAGACCTACCAGGTAGGTTTCGTTAGGACGGAGTTTTTGGAATTGCTTTGCCATAGCCCCAAGGGCCGCCAGTCTGTCCTCCGGTTTGGTCACTAATAGACCGCTATATTCCTTCACTATGTATCTTCTCCAGGTCCCTGCAACCCATTCCCATACACCTTGGTTCTCTTCGGTTGTCACTGGGGTTCCCTGGCTACCGTTTTTGAACCTGTGATCATCCCAGAATATAGAACTAGGTTTCCCAACTGTGAGACCCCGATTTCTGAATATGCCACACTCGCAATTGGTATGGCTATAGCATTGGAAGATAATCTCGCTTTCCGTAAAGTAAAGTACTTTTGGGCTAACCATGCGCTCCTGATATGCCCAGGCTCGAGATAGCAGAGGCGACCGTTTCTCTATTTCCTTGGATGAGTCTGGATCAAGGCTAAACTCTAGATAATGGGGAAGCCGCGCGTAAAGAGGCCAACGGTGCTGATCAAGTGAGAACTCTACCACTTTAGTTACTTCATTCTCCATTGAAGTTGAGCGAAGACCAGATTTGCTTGAGCTCCCATATAATGCAACCAGTGTCACATGAGAATGTTTGTATATATCCCACATCAGTCCTGCTTGCCGATGCCAGTCCCTCTTATCGTGTTGGACTATGCAAATACTGTCGATCCATAAGTAATTGATGCCGAGACTGCGTGTAAATCTGACTGCGTCCTTAAAAGTTTCTGGTAATTTCGACCATGGGATTCTTCGCATGTTTTCTTCCAGGCTGTCAGCCGTGGTCATACAGTCTGGGTCGTAGCCACCCCAGCAGTAACTGAGTGCAACATATTCTGACCCTGGGGAGATAGAAGTATCATCCTCGAGCACCACATCTCCTCCTAGTTCACTAATACTAACGTTGATCAGACGCGAGGGAGTAAACGAGACGTCTTCGCTGATTCGGCGGCATTCCCCATGTGAATTCAAGCAATCAGAAATTTGGTTCTGTGCCCACTTAGACGAGGATCCGAAAAGCTGATCTATATAAGTCCATTTTGTTGGGAAGATGTTGCTAGGACTAATATATTTGGCGAACGGTGTCCCGTTGATATTCGCAGACGTAACGTAAGGCCGTATCCTTGGTCCTGTCCGCGTACCATTACCTGGGCAGGCTCTCTCTAGATAGCCAGAATTTAGGTAGAGTTTCTCTTCACGGTACCAACGTAGACCGGCCTGGCGTAGTTGTATTACGGGAACTGACCCGCCCCCGGGTTTATCTTCGGTTATTGTAGTTTCTTGGGGTGCCCAGACACGTATTGACGTTCTTCCTGAATATTTATAATCCATTATGCTGTGTTGAGTTAAGATTAGTACTACGATAATCTGGTAATAGGTATCGTCTAGATAATCAACTTAATGTTAGAGAGGATGTGAATTTCATATACGCATGCACACTAATCAATCTATCCTATGCTACGATTTATAACTACCTTGACGTAATATTACTATTTCGAACTATTTACGAATTATCAACCTCATGGAAAACACCAAATAATGAGTCTGTAGGAAGATATGCCTTGGCTCTCATCGTCACAACTCCATACGTGGCAGGCTTAGCTAAATTATGTTCTATCCACTATTTGCTCAGCCACCGGATGGAACGAGAACGCGGTTTTCGCTAAGTCGTACTGAAATCTAGGGGTAGTGTTGGCGTTATAACCTTTATACGAACTTCCCAAATATTCGGACAGGTCTGGTATCTTTTATTCCAATTTTTCATGGCTGTGCTGGGTTGTGCTATATTACATGGGTAGGGTAGTAATATAAGGTACCTATGGTATTTGCCAGGCCGAGAGCAAACTCGTGCAAAACGTCGAACCGGTCCTCACATGCATAAATAGTAGGTTGGGGGCGACGGTTTTATTGGCGGCGTGATGACGATCGCATCAAGCAAATTGCTTAGGATGACACACGTCTTGTAATACAAGGCTGTACCGGAAATTAACAACTCACCTCTCAAATGAAGAGCCCCTGTATATTTATAACCTTGAGAATAGGGGAAGGTAGCATTTCTCTCCTGGCCTCGACCTGCACGGTATCCGAGAAGTATAGCTCCGTAGCACCTTGGTACGAGCCGTAGTGCTCCGTGGGGGCCATCACACCGCAGCGACTGTGCGGTCTTAATAATAAACCTGTCCTTTCATGAGAACCCTCGCAGTGCGAAGTAAATCCGCCGAGACGATCCGGCCGTTCTCCGTCGTTGCTCCAATCTCGACCGTTCCACTGGGATGCCCAATAACAACAGGTCCGACGATTTCACTTTTTTCTCCTCCTTTTACCCTACGGACCCGCGCGGGCAGAGTCCCAGGCATATTCGCAGCAGCACCTAAGCATAAAGCCAGAGTCAGGGGTACAGCTTTATGCGCCTGACCCATCGACAATGTTAGACACCTTATATCAACGTCCGCCGAGCCCGAGTCCGAGAATAGTAGCACGATCTTGGGCACGCTTTCTGTCTTTGGATCTAGTCCCATCTTTGCTGCGCCCGCTTGCCGGATATGCTCCAGCCTAGCTTTGAGTGCCGGGTCCGACTCAACTGCTTGAGGGGTGAAAGTATCTGGACTCGCATCTGAGACCCCTAGATCATCTATGCGGACGAACACGCCCGGATTTGACACGTCAACCAACGAAGCCTCGATAGTACTTCCATCCGGTAGCGTCAACGTATCAACCGCATTCCCCGTCGGCAGCGCCTTTCCCGTCTTCGCTCCGGCAGGATCCAAAAAACTCAGCGTGATTTCAGACTGCGTCCCCGGAACACCGTCCATCTCGTAATCGCCGTCGGGACAGTACACCGGCGGATCCCCAGCGACTCTAAATCGCGAATGTATGATCTTGGAAGTATTCGTATTAAACACCCTAACCACCGCCTCCCTATATTCCCCCTTCCCCTTCCCCTTCCCCTTCCCCTCCACAACCCTAACCCTCTCCCCCCGCTCCCGCTCCCCAACCAGCCCCTCATCCCAAGCCACCGGCCCAACCGCCGACGACATATTCCCGCAATTCCCCGCTAGATCCAGCACCCCATCCCTAATCCCAACCTGCACAAACGTAAACTCCACATCGGCATCGGCCCGCGTCGACGGCGCTAAAACGCATACCTTCGACGTCGACGATATGCCCCCGCCCATCCCATTCAACTGTCTGCCATACGGATCCGGCGCGCCCATAGCCGCGGGGAGGACCGTGTGCCATTGGTCCTGCGGCGGAAGATGTCGGCGCTGGATGACTAGGCCGTTGGATGTCCCGCCTCGGACGAAAAGGGCCGGAAAACTACGGCTGGGACTCATTGTGGATACATGTTTTATCTTATTGAGGCTCGTAGTATAAGTTGAATGAACTGTTCGGCGAAGAGCCTGGTGCGTACAAGCTAGACGCCTCATCTGCATGAAGGAAATGTGAAAATCGGACTTGGAATATTACGTAGTTGAATGAGCCTCGTAGAATTGAGATCGATCCGGGTATTGATTAGTTCGGCATGTGAAAATCGTAGTAACGAGGTCTTTAATGCCCTTAGTAGCATAAATTCGATTACACCTTTATATCCCAATACTAGTAGCATTCCTGCAATGATACTTCAATTTTTGACGTCGTAATCTATAAGCAGGCCGCTGGTAGGTATCTATATTTCATTATCATCCTATATCATAGGAAGTATCTCAAGTGCCTAAACGGTCAAGGTCTGCTGAAAACCCCTGCAGTAACAATATGCCCCTTTTAATATACAGACAGACTGCCTTAATCCTCTTCATCCTCATCCGCAACGTCTGCCATACTGGTATCTGCGGCGCCTGTCGCTGGTTCAACATCCGAGTCTCCGTTAGCCACAGCATCCGCGGCACCACCACCTTCGCCTTCATCCTCGTCCTCGTCACTGTCATCGAGGACCCTACCGCGCCGAGCCCGCTTGGCCGGTGCACGGCTGGTTGCCTCTTCCTCTTCTTCCTCTTCATCATCGTTCTGTCCAGCGGTATTGTCTACCTCCATTCGATCCTCATCGCCACCAGCTCTCGACGCGTCGTCGGCGTCCGAGGGAGCTGATATTTGTCTCTCAAGAGTTCGCTCGGCACGCTCAAGAGCATCATCATCATCCGAACTATCAACCACAATTTCTGCAGACTTGTACTTGTTAGATTCTTTCTTGGACGCAAGCTTGCGCTTCTTCTTTGGTTGGCGTTCTTCCTCTGACTCGTTATCCTCCCTGTCGCTATCAACCTTCTTCTTCCGTGAGCGACCCTTCGACTTAACCTCGCCGCTAGACTTGGGTCTGGTCTTCCGCTTCCTCTTAACTTTCTGGCCTGTTTCACTATCTGTAGTCATTTCGGCTTTCTGGGCAGCCATTTCTTCCTCGGCTCGCTGCTCGGCTAACGCTCTGTCGCGGGCTATGATTTCCTCACGTTCCTTACGGATCTTCTCTCGTCGTTCTTCCTCTAGCGCAAGCGCCTTCTGCCGTTCTTCTTCTCGTCGCCTCAACTCAGCCTGTCGCTGTTCTAAAGCTGCTGCAAGTTTCTCCTTGTTCTTCTCCTCGTATTCCTTCTGGCCCTCGATTTGACGACCAAGCTGTTTGCGTTGTGTGTTACGAGCCATGTTTGCTCGCTGCTCGAGATCAGCCTTAGGATACGGAGGTTGTGGATGAGTAGCAATCTCGTCAAGGGCGACAATAGCTGCCTCGAGACCTTCGGAAGCTTCCTCCAGTTCGGCAAGAGTACGTTGTGTCTCAGGCACATTCATAATGTGCTGGACTTGCTGAATTTGAACAAATGCTACGTTGAACTTGAAGTGGACTTGATCCGGTGAGACCTCGAGAGCCTAGAAACTGTCAGCTTTAAGTACCATTAGCCTTGTTTGACCGATCTTACCTTCTTCGCGTATTGTAGAGCAGACTTATACGCATCAAGACTTCGCTCATGTCTACCCCTATTCAACCACGCCCGACCGAGGCACGCTAAGATACCTGGATCGTTCGCCTTGCCCTCTTTTGAGAGCGCCGTCTCGTAGCTCTCGATGGCTTTCGAGTACTGTCGCAACTCCGCGTATATATGTCCAATGTTGATATAAACATTTGGATCTTTGACGGTCTCGCGAACCTTCAGGAATATCGGGAGCGCGTTTTTATAGTCTTTCTTGTCTTCAACGAGTGCGATAGCAATACCTTGAGCAGCGTGAGCATTCTTTGGATCTAACTGTAGTGCCTTATCGAAGAACTCGACAGCACGGGTGTAGGTAGCAGATCGCTTTTGCTTCTCTTGTTCAGTTTCTCGACGCATCTCACGAGCAGCCATCATGTACAGATTACCCATACCGACTAAAGCGTAACGATCATGTTTGTCGTGGTACTGGAGGGTATGCTTGTAATGTCGTAGCTCAGGGTCCTCATTGACGTTACCCGACTTCTTCCGAGAACTCACGCGACCGAGATACCAACCGTACAAAGCACGAACTTCCAGGTCGGAGGAATTCTCTTGTTGTAGTTGCGCGACGGCATCAGGGCCTTCCTTATTTGGGTTCTTGCGCAGCTTAATATAAGCCAGTCGAGCCTTAGCATCTATGTAGTCGTTATGACGAGCTACCAGCTTCTCGTAGACCTCGACGGCTTGATCTGTGAGGCCCTGTGACTCGTAACTTCTACCTAAGTTAAAACTAATAGTAGTAACCAAGGCATCTGTATCCATGTCCTCGCCTTTCTCCCCAATTCGCATGCAGGAGCTCAAAGCAGCTTCAAACATCTGGCTGGCCAGATCATGCTTCTCGGCTTGAGAATAGAAACAACCGATGTTGTTAAGTAGTTGCGGGGGGAGGTTCTTGCGTAATGCATTGCGTAGAGCAGACTCGTCTTCAATACCGGCTGGATGCTCCGAAGCAGGAATTTGATCTAATTCGAGCTGTTCAACCTGTAAGAGGCATTCGAGAGCCTTATCTGGATGGTCGCTCTCGTAGAGGCGCGCGAGGTTTAGTAGAATCGCCGAATCTGGTGATAAGTTTTTCTTGGGATCTTTCCATGCCGTGCGGACATGCTCTAAATATTCTATAGCTTTCCGCATCTCTGCAGACTTATCTTCTTTAGCCGCAGCATATTGATTGGCAAATACTTCCTCGGCGTACAGAGTGCCCAAGAGAATCATAGCTTCGTAGTTTCGTTCATTCTTGTTTGCCGATTGGATGATCTTCTCTAGACGAAGCTTGGCTTCTCCCAAGTCATTGTTCAAGACTGAAAGTTGGGCAACGCCGAATTTTGCCGGTAGGTAACCCCTTTCGAGGCCACCTCTGGCTTCATCTGCACGGCGGTAATAATCTGCTGCGGTTTCAACGTTGCCGCTGAAATGCTCTTTTCGAGCAAGGAGATACCAGCCATCACTCGCAATCGCGTTCACATCGGTGTACTGGATGGCTTTGTTAGCCAGTGAATCGACGTGGGCAAGGTTTTTGCTAGACAAGAAATAGCTAGCAAAGGTGGCGCATGTTAGGGGCTGGTTTTTATCGATCTTGAATGACTTTTGTGTATACTCTGTCATGGCCTTCTTATAAAGTCGAATAAACTCGGGGCTGTTCGTAGGAACTCGACTGCTAGCGTCGAGATAGTATAGACCCAAGAGAATGTTGGCCGTTTTCGATTCTGGATTTATCTCTAGACATCTCTCCCAGGCCTGTTTGGCATCTTCCTTGTGCCTAAGTTGCCAAAAACAACATCCTATTCCGATTCGAGGATCCGGGTCCACTAAGTCAGGCATTTTCCTCAGAACGTTCTGGTATGCCTCTAGCGACTCCTTGTAGTTCCCAAGACCAAATAGCGCCCTTGCTCTCCCAAGTAGGGCCAACATGTTCTTCCCCTGGGACACCTTACTCGCCTGGTCGAAGGCCTTTAGGGCGCTCTTCAGCAGATCAGCCTTGTCTTGCTCGATATGGCCGGCTCCAGGAGCCTTGGAGGGTGCCTGGAGTGAGGCTTTCAATAGCTGGAGCACGCCACGGGCTAGGAAGAGCGGCGGGAATGCAGGGTTTATACGCGAAGCATCGTTGAGGGAGGAGGTAGCTAATTGAAGATAGTAGTCTTTGGTCTTGGCTTCGGATAGGAGCGCGCCCTCAGGTGGAACACGTGGTGCTTCGCGACTTTTCCAAAGATACATCCAGCATAAGCAGGTGATGATGCTAAGCTTCTCTTTAGGGTTGTTGTCTTGCATAGCGTTACCGCCTCGATTAAGCATTTCAATGGCATGATCGATCTTCTTCTGTTTCGCGTATGCAAGGGAAACTGTCATCCAATATGTTCGCGCAGCACGCTCATTCTCAAATAACGTGCAAAGTTCGGTGGGGTCATCAACTAGATCCTCTAGGTCGATCTCGACAGCTTCGTCTTCTTGGTCGCCCTGAACAGGAATATCGATCGCGCTAGGAATGTCGGAGAATCGCTTGCTAATCGGTGTGGGAACCATGTCGCCGTTCGAGCCACCGTTGGCATGGCCGTTTCGCGTGGCAGACATGGTGAATGAGGAATTAGAGATACCGACGAATATTCAAGTGCGACAGTGTTGATGAAGGAGAGGAAGAGTGAGAGGTAGGCAAAAGTAAATAAATTCAAAGGGTACAAGTAAAGTGGTTGGAGACGTTCAGATATCGTCCCCAACTCAAGGCATCATTCTTAGAAATAGAATCGCAAGTAGTAAAATCCTTTGGAGCGTCCTACATACAATCGAATGTTGTGCCAACTAGGACTGATTTTATTCTATTCAAAAGATGATGCTCTTGGGAAAATGCAAGGCTTGTTTGATGAGGCTGAGGAAGAGCAGATACCTAGGTACTGTACCTACCCTGCAATTACCACCTCAAATTGACTAGCGTGACACGCTTACCGTAATTTATTGGTCCGTGTTAACTCAAGCATGAGCCACCTGTGGCATGGCTGCATGAGTGCAAGGTCTTTGTGGCTCGATAGCCAAGTCAAGACCTAATTAGCTCCAGTTGATAAGTTTGGAAGGGTTACAAGGACAGGGGTCTGAAAGGCGGTTCGCGTACCGCACCTTGCAGCACGCGTTATTGGGCAGGTGCGGGTCAAGTTTTATGTTACTCATCAATGCACCTTAGGTAATCAATTTCAACTGATCAAACCCTTCCATAATTCAACCCTTCCGTAATTCAACCCTTCCGTAATTCAAACTCACTACCTCGATAACAATAACTAACCCTCCTACATAAAGTCAAGCATAAGTATCCTTCTTAAACCTCTTCTGCAATACCCATATACTCCATTACCCTCCATACACTCCATAGAACTCGCTGCATAGAAGCGAATCCAATGGTATGGTGGAAGACGGGATCGTTCGAGAAAACCAGAAACTCATTATGAGCTGCGTGGAATCTCTTTTGAATACTCAAACTCTGGTCTCTCCTTATCTGCTGCCACCTGTCCCATTTATTGCCTTGAGCCTGTTTTATCCCCTCTCGCAGTTGAGGCTCGGTGATATTCTATTCTTTCTGAAAGTCTATCAGTCTATGTCCTAATGGTGTCTAAGCTCCCCTGTGGCCGTTCACTAAATCAATGCCATTGACAAGAGTCCTTAGTGCAATCTCAAGCCCACACTTGTCCCGTTTGATAGCTTCATCGATCTCATGCTTGGGGAAATGTCCTATTCTGTCGGTAAAACAGCTATGACGATGTTGTTCCGCCCAATGCGACCGAGGATGTAGCTGTTATGATCGCCCCGAGCTTGGTGAGTAAGGTTGTCATGTTCCTCGTCTAGAAAAGCAGCTGCGGCCGTAGAATCGACCTTACTAGCGCTGATCCAGCCTATAGTGTAGTCATTAGGGTTCGACATCGTTGATATTGAGCGTATTCAAGTAGTAAAAGGTCAAAAATCATTCGGGAATGGATATGATAGAGCAGTGCTCGTGTCAATAGAATACTAAAAACCTTGTAGGCAATTGCAACGAGATTGACACGGGAGAGACTGTTTAATATAGACCAAAAGCAAATTTCTGAATGTCTACGATCCATGTCGATTATCTGAATACGCAGTACTCCTTGAGGCTCAAAACGTCTCTTCCGACCTTCTCTAAAATCCCCTCGGAAAACGCGGGAAAGACATTTTGAGCCCTCGTGTGTTCAGCAATCTCAATTTGCAGCTTCGAATATCACCTCTACGAGTGTATTCTTCGGGCATTAAAATTATAGTCCAGCCATACACAATACTAAACTAAGAACCAATACCCATGATAATCACTAAAACTACAACTTTAGTCATCCAAAAGTAATCATATATTGCTAAATGTTCTAGCTGAAAAAGTGCTGGCATCAACCAACAGGACCCCATTCGTCACGCAACCTCTGAACTAGGCTATCGATATGCCAGCCTGCCGCTTTAACACGACTCAGACATGCCACTATATCATTTTGTTGTGCTGGGTGTGTCATTCGCCTTGCTGCAAGCGCGAAAGCCGCTATCATACACGGGTCCCAGCAATGTGTATGTTCTGGTTCACTATTCAACGCAATGCCGCACACACGTCGCGCGTGCCAGAAAGGTGACATCTGTGCCACGTCTAGCTCTGAATTTCTATGTAATTCGGCGAGTGATATAGATTGTGGCCTGTTGCCAAGTAGCAAGAGCATAGCGGTATGGTAGAGAGTATTCGACGAGACGCCAGCACCGCCGGCAAATATGACAACGGGAAATGCGGCCTCGCGGCCCTCGACTTCTATCAGCTGCTCGAGCTCCGGGGGACGGTTCATCTGCCACTTCCGTAGTTCGTTCAGAAGTTCTTTCCATTTCGCGACCCGAGATGCTCCGACTAAGGGCAAAACCACAGCTTCGGACGATGCCACATAATCTTCCGCTTCTGATATCGGAAGGCAGAGATTCATCACATCTGTAAGAATCTCGAGACAATGGATAGAAGCATATAAAGCTTCATGAGATTGACTATCGGTATCGATATGTTTCTTTGCCAGACGAAGTAACCGATGTATATAATAGGTAATCCGGTCAGGGGATGTCTGATTTATGAGGTAATATGCAATTTCTTTGCATATTGATACTTCGATTAGCTAATAGAAAATACGAAGATATAAAAAGATCGATCTACTAAGAGGAATGGGGAAAATATCATATGGCAGCAATCTCAATGAGGCGTAACGTACCCATTCTCGAAATGAGGGCCAGGGAGCTGGACCATATTCGCACCTCACTTGAATCGACCGAGCTGAGTTTATCAGGACGAAAAGAGCTTCCGCCCTTATAGAATGTCGGCTGCCACGTCTCGGGCACATCCTGGACGAAAAGGCGTGTCCTCGTCAGCGCAAAACCAGCCATAAGCCGAAGGTCCAAAAGCCCAGTTTCTGCGCTGCATGGATTTGAAAGGGCCTGAAGGTGAAGAGCGCCGACGCCACGGCGTTGTATCATTTCTGTCGGACGGCCTGAGAATGTTGCCGAAATTTGAAGTATTCCGTCCAGCACGCAAGGTGAAACCATTGCTAGACGGGTAAAGAGATGACCAAATGTTTGAGCTTGGTCATATACGTCCAGCTAATATACCAATAACATGCGTTCGCAGTTCGAATAATCAGTTCTAGGTTAGAGTTTATCGAGAATTGGAGACTTACCCAAGGGGCAACGTGATGGCTATAGTATTTCAGAAGATCGACTTCATCATCCGAAAGCGAACTACGTCCGGCTAGGGGCCATGCATTTTTTGGGTTCTTGATACCTTTCTGTTGTAAATTATTGTTCTTATCTTGCTGAGCTTGTGAATAGGCCATTAGGAATACTGGTCGTGATTCCGAGGGGTCTTCAATGTCAGCATCCTCTCTTCGGGGCTGTCCAGTGTGGTTCATCACTGTCGAAGTAGAGGGTGAACCAGAAGCACTCCTTTCGATAGAAGAATCCTTGTTAACGACAAACTAGAAATGAGGATATCGCGTTAGTTAGTTTTTCTACTGGCAGTGTTAGAATATCAGCCAATAGATTATCGACTTACTTCCAAGGCAGGATATTCACGCGTCGCTACAGTTAACGAAGGCCTCGAAGAAGTAGAGCCCGGTAGTGTACGAGAGTTCTTCTCCAGAAAGGACACACGCGCAATATACTTGCACGCAACCCCTGAATCGGCGCAGCGCCGGCACTGTGGTTTTTCTTCGTCGCCTACAATGTATTTAGCATATTCTGTATCTTTTATATTCGACTAACTATATCTTATATCCTATAATCATTGATAATTGACTTACACTTGCGGTGTTGTGCGCGACATCGTTCACAGCCAGTTCGAGTACGCTTATGTCGACGCTTCGGATGTTCGCGAACCCCATCATCTCTAGCCGCAATAGCAGGTGTTTCCGACATTATAACAGCCTATCAAAGGATATACACGGGAATTTTGCGAGTACGTTAGGCGCATGCTTTCAGAGCCGACCCCGATCGAGGTTATAAAGCCGCCGAGAAGTATGGCGTATTCCTAATTAGGAATCTGGATCCGCCCATTCATAAGCTGGATGCGGATCCCGCTACCCTTTTTAGTGAGCGGAGGAAATCATACAAACTCATGGAACCGTCATATCACCATATTCGCACATGTTGACAAATACGGTACGGAGTCGCTATTCAAGTATGTTATTAAATACCAGGCTTAGTCGTCGATATGCTCTTCAGAGCCCCCCAAGAAGGTATGCTATGTAGAACCTAGATACCCCCCTGCATTACTGTAGATAGCTCTGTAATAATGCTAATCCCCATTCTATTCGAACCGCAAGGTCTTAATTGAGTGACCGCAACAGTCTAAGCATCAACCAAACTTCTGTGTATATCCATCGTCCTCCAAGCTATGACAACATTCATACCTTCTATCGTCGTGCTCAAACGTATATTCATCCGTGGGTATCACCTAATGTTGAAAAAAATGCAAATGGGTAAATGCTTTTTCAAATGCCATTGCTCGCGCATTGAAACGCGGTTCCAACTGTGCCCAGAGCAAACTCATCTAAAATACCCTGGACACTTACGTATGTTCCAGCCGTTAAGAAGAAAACGCCGGTTAAGATAATGATAATGTTAAGGATACCCTCAAACCACCCGCGGAATGAACGGTCCTTGAGCAATGCGACAGAACCGTCGGCTTTCCGCATGCGGAAATAAGCGAGACCCCAGAAGATGAACCCAAAGAACGAATCAAACAATGACGACATGAGGGCGAGGACTGTGTTTTATAATGATTAGTCATACCACCTAAGCTTAGAAATATCGTAGGAGACTCACGAGAGTTGAAGAATGGGATCGAGTTGGCGATCACGAAACCGACAACCCAGGTGACAACTAAGACACTGTTAGCGCAAGGTCAGACATCAGATGTGGTCGGAATCCATACATAGAATCAAAGTCCAAGTACCCCAACCAATAAGAGTGTGTTCATTCTTGTGGTGCGAGTTTTGGAAAATCCGAAAGAATATGAATCGAGCTGAGACCGAAGCATATAGGACGCCCAAGAATATAATTGTAGGAACCATAAATGAGAAAGCGATCTTCTTGTATAGTGGAATCAAGGACCCGAAAGCTGGCGAGGTCATATACTGATTGCCTACAAACGCATATGTGACTGCACCAACGACACTGAAAACGATAATTTCGAGGATCGTGCATGCCCAAAGAGCCTTAGGGAAGTCTTTCGGCTCACGCATTTCGGCAATGAAACTGGGAAGTGTAATCTGCCCGATGAAGGTATAGCTACATCACTGTCAGTTTTGTGTATCACATAGAGGGAATAGTCTAGTCTACCTAATGTTAAGAAAAGCTCCCAGGCCAGAGACAAAAGTAGTACCTAGGACAGGAACAGCTGTGACGATTGGATTGCCGAAGGGCAATGCTGCGCCAGTAGCAGGGCTGGTAGCCGGCTCTGCATTGAAGCCGGCCGGATAACCCTGAACACCGGCAAATATTGTAGCAAGGATGACCGAGATGAACGTGAACACCGCCGATGCAGTACCAAGCTTCGAAAGCATGTTAAAGGTGCGAGGCAGCGACGACAGCCAGCAAACAACAGCAACAATGGCACCAAAGGATACAGTCTGGCAGGAGATGCCAGCATCCGGGCCAACCATCGTATTAAGGTATTTGGCTCCAACGAGGACGTGGAGAGCCTATAAAGGAGTAAGGTTTTTAGAATTCAAATGATGGAAGCGAGTGTCGGGCTTACCTGAATGAAGGTGTTGTTCAAGATAAACATGAAAGCCGTGAAATACCAGGCCCATTCCTGGCCCCAGAAGAGCATCTGGCCAATATCACATACATCTCTAACTTCGGGATGTCGAAGACAGAACTCCCATAACACAATAGAGCTGTGGTGAAATCATCAGCATAGGTCAAGTACTTACTCAATAATTACGAAGTCTAGGATAACTTACGTATATAGTACTAGAAGAGCTTGAACCACAGTGAGAATAAGACTAGATCGTATATCACATTAGCAAATTAAGCTTCGACTAAGACCAGCCGCTCCGAAGCTAAATAAAGCTTACCCTGGGACGAGACCGAGGACGCTGTAAGACCACGGAAAACTCATGATTGCCTAGTGTCCTGTTAGTCTCAATGACGCCCATCTTTTGAAAATAAAGATAGAGCATAGAAGTTTTTTAGGCTCGGGTATGCATCTCATAATTCTCTCAATGCTGAGCGAAAGGGGGTAAAAAGTGATTACAAAACTCACCAGACAGATATATTCGGAGAATAGTAATGCGGCCATCTGTGTTAGATGTCAATAAAGTGTATCCTCCTGAGTTTTGACTTGGAGCATGTGTTCAAAGACGCACCTTTTGCCAGCTACAAGTACGATACTGGATAGCATGACCGGCCTCCTCTTCAAGCTGCTTGTTAAGAATTGCATCGCTACTGAGATCACTGGTGGAATTGTGAACATCGGTGCTGATTGACGCTATCTGAGGAGCGATACGAGGGCCTATCTTAACATTGGGGCCACCAAACCAAGCTGACCATCCGGTAGGTATGGAGGTCTCGTGAGTGTCGTAGGTCAACGGCTCGTCCGAGTATTCTGCCTTCATATTGACAAGTTTAAGAATTGGCGGATACTGTATAAATTAGAAGAACTCGGCGGTGCTGAGCAGAATCGGGCTCGGGCGTGAGCGTGAGCGTGAGTTTAACTAGTTGTTAAATCTTAAACGGTCGCACATGTAACGGGGAGGTATGACGTTAAGACACGGCCGAGAGCAACATGTAGGTATGTAAGCACGGAAGCGGAAATATACACTTCAGACACAAACAAGCCGATGAGACGAGGGAAACGGGAAACTAGAATCTGAGGAAACTAGAATTCGAGAAGACGGGGAGGTAAGTTTAAAAGTTGTTTTGTTACATGCAGTTGCGACTTGCCTTACCATGTTCAACAGAACGCTACGCCTATCGATTGTTCCTGTTTATTCCTGTTAGGTACCAAGGTAGGTACGCCCTTCTGACTAAACTAACTAAAAGTACCTCCTAATCTAAAAAATTGACCGAGCAGGGTAATCCTTCGTTACATAGTCAGATAGTATGCTGTAATGCTGCTTCCTGCGTCCAACATGTAGTGCTTTTCGCCGCATAGCTTTCATAGGAGTCCCACTGTGGTTCCTTCTTAGCTACTACCTATGTACCTTGTAGTAGTATTCGCAACTTCTTAAATTTTTTTTCTTCCTTGGCCGCTACACAAGCTTCTTACGACTTTAACGTGACACACCGAATAGGCGTACCCGAAATAAGCGTACAGGGCAATCTTCCCTCGTGGGGGTTATTATTGGTCCATATACTGTTCAATATGGAGTAATTAGTGTATCCCGCCCCTGGTGCGCCTCATTGCCTTCCCTGGTGACCAAGAGAGACTAAGCCTATAGCGGCAATCCCGGCCAATCACGCAACTTCAATCAGCTATGACGACTACGTAGACCAAGGCGCGTTCCTTGGGTAGCGTCCGCTGAATTCTTCAAGCTAGTTTTAAAACTCGGCCGCCATAAGGCCGCCGATACTGCACATATGTATGCTCAAGTCATATGTGATATCATAGGTTCTTTCAATAGGTACTGTGTCAATCGGGTCAGACCTTACGGCATGATGATCTTGAATTCATATCTTGAATTCATACCACCCTGACAGTCCTGAGCACGCGTATCCCACATCGCGGGGGTAGCATCGATCACGACCTTAACGGCGAACGGTTTAATATATCCGTCTCGTCTATCATTTGAACCAGCCCGCTGGGTTAGATCTCTCATCGCATGCGTCAATCGATTCTTTAGCCTCGATGAATAAGTCCACGGTTCGCCTTTCAAATGTCTACCAAATATATTGCGTGATCAAGGGGCACAATCTGCAACAAGCTTTTCTCTTTTCTTGGATGGATCATGCTATCGACATAAGCGGAGATTTATGACATCCTTGATGATAGCAAGTCTATGACATGCGATCAAATTATCAGCTCGGTACTCGGTACTTCGTAAATCTAATAGGTCAGATAAACCTACGTGTAAGTAGAAGCTCCCAAGGCCAATTTGGTAACCATTTTCTTGGTACCTATATAATCTGCTATGATCTTGGACGACGTGCTACTGGCTAAACGTAGGACAATAAGTATAAGGTATATACATATCATATAGTGCGTGGACCTATTCAATGATTAGCATCATTATCATTCAACAAGTTCCATGGAATTTTACTCGGTTAAAGACGTCAAAGGCGCCAACAGACTCTTTTTTTTTTTTCTCGTGCCCTATTGCGTCAGAACCCGAACACGAAGAAAAAGGGCTCGGTAGCTCCAGAGTGGACTCGCATTACCCGATTTAACGTCAAAGATTAAATTTGTTTGCTAGGAAGGCCCCCTTCTTAAAACTGCTATCATGACACATTTCTGATCTCAGTGCTTTACCTCTCACTTTCACCTAGCAAGAGAACTATGTTATCTTTACCCATCTGATGCTGATGAGAACACTTACTAATGCTAGGTATTCCTTTCGCTCAACTAGCTCGCACATGATAACGCACGCAATTAGGTCGGTCGTTGCATCGAGGAGATTCCATTTAGCATCCAAAATGTTGCTATGTCGAGACTCATATAATGAGACCGCAACAGCACGATGCTAGCAAAACATAGCCGATGGCACGTGAGAACAAAGCGTCGCAAATTCCGGGAAATGCAAACGGCTCGGGGTCGGCATGGCACGGCTCCTCGTATGCCGAACCCCGTGTCTTTGGGGTAGAGACTATGCTTCAAAGACAGCAGTAGCATATACCTATGGACCAATTGGTATCAAGAGAGTGTACTCGGCTATATCTGCAAGCCTCTGATTGGGATCAATGGGTTCACCAAGACATTCAGCTACATATTCAGCTACATAGCTGCCGCGGTAAATAATTCGGGAGGATATTACGAATTAGAGACGAGCTGACTGGCTGGCTTTCGTTTTCAGGGTCCAACTCTACTCCGCAACTTTTAATTTCCCCGCATAAACTTGGCCCTTCCTGCCCTTCTAGTTGGGTCTTTTCCTCTTTGAGCTAATCCTGTCTTAGTGGCTCCAGTTTGTTTGGTATAAACTCGTCCCAATAAAGCGACATCGGCTCTAAATTGAATGTTTTTAAGCATATTCTTAGAGACTGAATTCTCGTTTATTTGAGTCACCAAATAGGGTTATACGTTTGTACTGCTCATTATTATATCAGGGTTTGAGGCTCAAGAGCCTTGGGAGCCAAGGCCGAGTTCGCGCTTGGGTCTGCTGCTTTTGGAGACGGTCAACTGCTGAGTCCGACTCTACATCAATAGTCAGCCGCCGTCAGCGGCGCGACTCGTCGCAAATTTTTATTATTTAAAAGTAGAATTTGGCACACCGTCTCCTGAGCTACTCGGTTTTTTGTTGAATGCGCGAGTCAATTGCTTTTTTGGAGATATTCCACGTGGTGTCTCGGTTGGCTTTGATCGCCTCGATTGAAAATGCATTCCAGCAAGGTTTCCCGTACGTCGCCATTTTCTCCAAATTTCAGTCTCGTATTGCACCGCGTCTTCAAGTCGGGTGCCGAAATATTTCAAGCGCACAGCATCGGACTCGGGTAATAATGATGGCTAACCCTGATATTCAAGCAGATTCAGCTCCGAGCGATTCGGAGAAGCCAGTAGATGAAATTATTGGAAACAATAGTTATCATCCCGGCGCTGCCGGTGCCGAGTATGATGGGCTTCCTGTCCAATGTCCTCCTCACACAACGGAGCGGAAGCTCGTAGCACGTGTCGACTGGCACTTGATACCGTTCCTCTGTATTCTCTATCTCCTGGCTTTCTTGGACAGAGTCAATATTGCCAATGCAAAATCTTTCCGTCTGGTTGAAGACCTACACCTAGAGAATAATGAGTACAATACTGGTAAGTAAATGCTAGGTATCAAAAGGTGCTACTTTATACTAATACTAAGAACCTACCTCTTAGCCTTAACCATGTTTTTTGTACCATATATAATTGCCGAGATTCCTAGCAATATCTTCTTAAAAAGGTTCTCACCACGCATATGGCTTCCTACCTGTATGTTGGGATTTGGCATTGCATCCGTATGCCAGGGTCTCGTACAGAACTACTCTGGTCTCCTTGCGACACGATTCTTCCTAGGTAATTGTCTTCCACTTAAGTTTGGATAAGACTGTCATACTTACACTAGGTGCTTAGGGTTGTTCGAGAGTGGAATGTTTCCTGGTAATTAGCAAGTCCCCAAGCTATAATTTCTAAATATGCTGACATAGACTTTAGGATGCTTTTACCTCATTAGTACGTACCTACCCATCTAGGATCGAACGGCATAATGTGTCAATTCATGAGCTTACGCCGCTAACGTTTACTCTTGGTTAGGCATGTGGTACAAGCGGAGTGAATCGCAAAAGCGTTACTCCCTATTCTTCACGTCCACTTCTTTAGCTGGAGCTTTCGGAGGTCTCTTGGCGTCTGCTATAGGCAAGAGTAAGTTTAGCAAAGGAGAAAAAAATAATCCCCGGGATATACTAATAATTGATTAGTGCAGGGTATCCGTGGATATAATGGCTGGCGATGGATTTTCATCCTCGAAGGAGTCCTCACATGCCTAGTTGCGGTTATCTTTTACTTTGTTTTCCCCTCGTTGTAAGTTATCTTTTTAACCTTATGTGTAGCTTGTGTGGTTCTAACTTGCGACAGCCCCGAGGAAGCTAAGTGGTTGACCGAAGAAGAGCGAACTTACATAAAAGCCCGACTACAAGCTGACCAAGGCCACAATGCTGCTGATCGAAAGATTACGTTTCGCGATGTTGTAAATGTAATGAAGGATCATCGTGTCTGGCTTGGTGGGTTCATGTACTTTGGACTCATTGTCCCAGCGTATGGTTACGCCTTTTTTGCGCCTACTATCATTTCGACATATAATTACGATCCCATCCAGACGCAGCTTCACAGTGTAGTTCCTTGGGTTGCATCTTTTGGCTTCTCTCTTCTCACAGCTGTGCTATCGGACTGGATGCACCACCGTGCAGCTTTCGCTCTTGCGCCACTTACCCTGGGTCTTGCAGCTTTCGGCGTTTTACTCAGGATCCACGACAACACACCGGTTCAATACGCAATGTTATGTTTCATTACGATGAGCACTTACAGCGTGTTGCCTATTACTGTCTGCTGGTTTAGCATGAACCTCGGTGGTCATCATCGCAGAGCTATAGGTACAGGGTGGCAGATTGGCTTTGGCAACATCGGCGGAATCATAGCCACGTTCGCTTTTCTCAATACCGACGCCCCCTATTTCAAAAACGGCTATTCGATCTGTCTCGGGTTCACGTGCTTGAGCGGTTTGGCGTCAGTCTTATATCTCATATCGATCTACCGCGAAAACCAAAGGAGAAAGAAAGCTGTCAGAGACGTTGGCTTATCAGACTACGAGAAGAGCGAGTTGGGAGATCTAAATCCCGAGTTCAGATACATGTATTAGAGTATAAGTGGGACTAGCGAGCAGTCGTGTTTTAGACATTGGATTGGTCAGAAATATAGAGATGGGGGTTGGGTAGATGGGATATTCCAGTTAATGTAGGATGCCGAGTACTATGAATACGTTAGTTACTATATTTTATATATGGTTCAAAGCTACTGACACTTATATATACCTCTAATATTTCAACTATATATATGCCTAGGTAGGTAGTATTTATAATGCTGCTAAGAGATAGTCTCATAGATTTATCCCATTCACACTAGTGGACACCTTCGAGGAAAGGGACCGAATACAACCTGGTGGCGTCGTCCCAAGCGTAAGGCCTGCATCAACATCGAATTGATCATCGTGCACCGAATTAGGGAGAGAGAGGGGTTTCAAGGGTAAATGCACTGAGTCGTCGAGAGCACCTAAAAGGGGTTCTAGCATCCTTTCGATTTCTACTAGCTGGTTTTCGAGGCCGGGTACATTCATCTTCCGAAGCCTTTGTAAACTAAGCTCAGCACCTATCTTCTCCCCAGCCGTCAACGGCCGTTCCCTCTCTATCCGCACGGCCTCGGCAGTACTCGGTCCCCACCTCCAGCCATCACCGTCGCTTATGTTTCTAATTCGTTCGTTAGCATACGCCACCAGGCTATCCCGCCGCACAACCACAACCTGGTCGACGGCGTCCGACGAGTCCACAAACGCCGCTGCCTCTAATAACCCCGCATAAGATTCATCGTGGACTTTACCCGGCGTCAGGCGGAGGGGTAGTCCGCCTTGCGGCCCGGCCTCCGGCAGCTTCTCGTAGAACCTCGTCAGAATGCCAAGACGGCTGAGCGCCGCAGGGACCGCCAGGATGGCTACTTCGACGCGATATCCTTCTGCGCGAAAGAGGCGCGCCAGGTCCGCGAAATCGCCCGGGTGCCGAGCTGCGGACTCGATAAGCACGTCGGCGCGCTGCGACGCAGCGTAAGATGCAGCCATGGCGAGCCAGCGCCGCGCATCGGGGCTGGTTGCCGACGAGGCTAGAGCAGGGCGCGCGGCGAGGATCATGCGGTATGCTGGATGGAACGTCTTATACGTGTCGGCGACGAAATGCGCGAGCCGCTCGCCGCCGCGGAGACGGACCAGGGCATTCTTGATCGCGGGCGCTGTGCGCGTCTTCCCGGCGCCTGTCTGGCCGATGAGCAGAACCGCGAGCGGGGTTCTCGCGACTCCGCTACCGTTATTGGAGATAGGCGCCTCGGCTAAAGAGAGTCCGCTCAGTTCGGAAGGGAGGATATCTCGCTCAAATACAATCCGCGATTCTTCCTCGGAAAGAATGTACGACTGGGGATTGATATTATCCATTATGCACCGCGCCCGCCGAGCCGGAAAGATGCTTGCTATACGGGAATAAGGCGACGCTACGGCGGAGTAGGCGGACGTATCCGTCCTGAATGATTCGAGGGAATCTTATAAGGGTATGAGGAGGATACATGGTTTGATTTGATAAAGCACGCTGGGTAATGGGGAGGCAGGTAATTATTAGTAAGGGATTAATGGTAAAGTTTGCCTGCCATCTGACCAAGTCCCAAGACTGACTTATGCGTGGGGGTAGGACAACTGCCGACCATGGACCTTGTAGCTTATAATTGACTGTGGTAAGACTATAGCATGCGAATGTGCGCCTCTATTCCCATAAAAGTAACTACAGCTGGAAAAGAAATTATAACTTTTCGCAGCAAACAGTTAGTTATATCTTTAATGTATTCAGATCTTTTTCCGTTATATCCGTTTCTATACCACCACTTCACGACGTAGGTTGGCGAAAACTAGGTAAGCAATCACATTGGGAAGATTCGTTAATGTTACCTCTATTACTCGCAATGAACAAAAAGGGGACCGTGAATAAGGCTTTGCGCACAATGGCCCTTGTCCCCCTTGTCCCCCCTATCTTTCGTATCAGAATAGATTCTTTCTGATTCAATTTAAAGAGATAATGCCATTCTATTAACCAACAATACGTTGGGCCAGGAGTCTCAGATAGCTTGATCTACCTCTTACTTAACAGTTACCCTCGCCTGGATATCAGCATCTTAGTCCTAGTTTATTACTACATACAATAAACCTCAAGCGTAATAGGATTGATTAAAGATTAAATATGGGTGTCCAAGAAAACCAAACGCCAGATCGCCGTTCGGCAATCCGGGCAACTTGCGGCGAAGCTGAGCTACTCACAGGCACATCCTCCTATGCTTGTGGGCACAGATTTAGCTGGATCCTCGACTGGGTCTTCCAGCGTACCGGACATCACTCTCCCAGCCTTCACCCTTGCCCGAAATGTGCTATCAACCCGACCTGTCTCGTATGTCTCGAACGTTTTGATGCCAAAGCGACTGATTCATGTCCAAGTTGCGATAACTTTTTCGATAAGGCTATCCTCGCAGACCGCTGCGAGAAGCTTAAGCATATGAACATTAGAGTTATGGAGCATAAGCCTACCACATTTATAAAATGTCGGCTTCGGGCAGAAAGGGAGAGGCTTAGGGTAATGTACAATGAGGAGCATGAACCCAGCCCATCTATGAAACGTCGAGTTGAGGCTGAGAAGGATAGGCTTGGGATTATGTATGAGCAGGCTCTGTATAATATAGCGCCTCGAGTCATAGAATAGATACTTCTAACTATACATGTAGATAGCAAGAAGGAACCTGATCTTATAGGTACATCCTAGAGTTTTAATCCGAACCATGGCATTTTATCAGAATTAGGTGGGAGGTAGTTAGTTGAATCTTGAACCAACTAATAAGCTATTCGAGTATTTCGCTACCCGGAGACGTGTTTCGTTTAAAGAACCAATGACAGTAAGTCCCTCTAAAGTCTATTATAAGGCACCTGGTTCATGAACAGTGCTAGAATTTAATGAAGTGTTATGAATAAGATAGAAATAGAGTGATCTCAAGTCTTAACGAATATTTTAAGTGGAGAATGGCTCTAAGTCGGAGATGATCGGAAATCCGTAAATATTATATTATACGAGTCATGCTGCCGGCGATTCTTCTTAACTCCGGTTCTTCCAAATATATCTCCCCAAACAAGAGGATAGTATCCAATCTTATGGCACACATACTTAAAGTCGCTTCAATATCTCGGCGAAAATGGTGCCCAATGCCGGCGTTGAGACGGCCGATGCGACCGAACAGTCGAGATCTACGAGGCAGAAAAACCTCGCTGGTGAAAGAAAAAGCCGAAAGAAACGCGTGCGGTTGAGTTGCATAGAATGTCGGAAGAAGAAAGTATGACAATACTCATTATGAACCTGAACCTAAATGACTTTACTGAGTATTCGGATATAGCTGTCCTGTGACCGGAACCTACCCTGTCAGAGATGTGTAAGGACGGGAAGGTCAACCCAATGTTCGTACGAGACAGAACAGCCCTCTTCGTTTAACTTTCCAGCTCTACGGCAAGAAAAGCAGATCCAAGGCCTACAGGATCAGGTTGCTGAATTGAAAGCATTACTTTCAAAGGTACTCCCAACGGGTGAGGCTGATTGTGTGGTGCAATCTCCCTGTGTGGTAGGTGACCATGCTAAATCCGATGGCCCAATACCACCGGATGAAAGATCCCGGGATCTTGAAAGCTTGACTAGTAAAGCTTGCGACGGTGATGGTGCTCAACCAAACCCAGCATCATTGTCAAGGAGTCAGTCTGACCATGATACAACTCGCGTCAACAATACCGAGCTTTGTGATCCGAAAGAGAGACGCCCGCAGGGGTATTATGGCCGACATAATTTATTTCAATTCTTCGGCGAGGTAGGCTTCCGTTACGCATATCTCTTTACGTTGGCCGTACTAATGTTTTATACAGATTCGTGAACTCTTCCCCTTTATTAAGGAGACGGCTAACGAATGGTTCAAACCACTTGGTGTTAGTCTTACAAGGGAGAAATCCATTAAAAATGGCTTTAGTGTGGATTATTCGCCCCGAAAAGGGGTAAATATGGAGGGTCTCCTCCCTCCCAAGGAGGACACCGATGCTCTAGTTTCTTTCTACCTGGATGGTATGGAGCAAATCCATCGTATAATTCATATACCCACATTCAAGAGAGAATATGCCAATTTTTGGCTACCCCAGCGGCCTCGGTATCCTGCCATGACGGCCCTCATCTTGGCGATGATATCTATACCGACCTGTGCTACTACTCGCTCGGCCGAGGCTACATGCATACCAGCAAAATATCGTGCTATGTGCGCGCGATGGATTTATTCATGCGAAGAGTGGTTGAAGCAACAGGGCCCAAAGCACCGCAAAATTGTCCACTACCAGATATCCTGTTTAGTCTATCTCGCTAAGCGTGTAGCTATGATCGGCAAAAAAAGGTGGTGGAAGGAGACCAGCTCTCTGGTCCAGGATGCGATTATGGATGGATTGCATTGCGATCTATCTTCGAGCATCGGCACACCTTACATGCGAGAGATGAAAAGACGAATATGGACTGTCCTTAGAGAATTAGATCTGCAGAATTCGTTCGAGTACGGCCTCCCTACCCTGCTTCATAACATTAATTCTGATACCTCTCCCCCTATGAATCTTGACGATGACGACTTCGGCGAAGCATCGGAGGAAATCCCCACACCAAAGCCACTTGATGTTTATACTTTTACGTCCTATCAAGTTCATAGCGCTCGCAGCTGGGCTTTGCGTCTTGAAATATCCCAACGTTTATTTAGTGGAAGGTTATCTACAGACCTTAGCTATGACGAGGTACTACGATACACTCATGAAATCACGCAGGCAATAGAGGCTATTCCCTCCTGGGACAAAGAAGATGCGACACCCCGAGACGATTCTAAGTTGTCAATCGTTGCGAATGCCTTCTGCCTTTTTCAGCTGAAAGAATGTGTTCTTGCCCTTCACCGACCTTATCTACACAAAAATGATGGTAGATACTGGCTCTCGGAAACTATATGTTATCACACGTCGCGAGATATCCTTCTCCTGAATAGCCGCCTAGCGGAGTTGGGCTATCAAAGTCTCACAACAGTCAGGGATGACGTATTGCTCGCTTCGTTGAGTCTGGTTCGTATTGTTATGCTCCAGCCTAAGCGTAAGTTTAGCCTTCTCCCCTAGGAAAAGATTAATCCAGTAGCTAGCGAAGTATTACTCACTGCCTAGCGTTGGGGAAGCTAATATGTATACAGTATCAAATAACATTATCGTGACAGACTCCCAAGCTATAATTGACCTCCTCGAGCAGTGTGTCCCCTTAATGGAGGACAGACATCTGCGCTGCTGTTATAGCGAGCTTTGGTGCTTTATTACAATGCACGCGGCGCTTATGCTATTAAAAATACATCTAGAACAGGAATCCCACCAAACGGCTAAGGCTGCCTGCGCACGAAGGTTCTTAGACCTACATTATAAGCAAATGGAAAGACAGAGGATATCCGTCCCCAATCAGCAATATCTAACTCCCCCGGACCTTTCGACCCATATCGACGTAAGTAGCTGATTGTATTGACCTTACTAAATAACCATAAACCATAATCCTAGCCCGTAAATGCTAACTACTGTCAGGCCGACACTTACCAATTAACCGCTCCCGAGGCGCCGGATTTCCTAGCGTCAGGATGGTTAGATGACAATTTCCCAGAAGTGCGTATAAAACCACCAGAAGGCGTCTCGCAATGCTTACAATTTCCAATCTAGCTCGGCGCCCACTCGTTCAACCTTGACGACATGAATAGTACATGGGAAATCTGGGAACCACTGTAAGATGTAGGCTACTAGATGAACGGAGAAACTATAATCGCCAGTAGCACGGGCGGCCCAAACCAATGTATGACTATAACTACGCTATGAACTATACTAAATCTAGCTATAGCTTTTCTAGTAAGGGGTATGTAGCTAGGTAGTTACACTATTCCAACCGTGACTCAATAGTTCCAAGTTTCAGTTTTGGGCGTATTTTCTTGCCTCAAAGTTCAAACGTTCGGTCAATGTACTAGCAGAGTTTTCCGAAGGCTATTCCTGATGGTATTTATGTCTTCCAAGGACGCAAATTCCCCTCCTCGGAAATCTCACTCCTAATTTACAACATCAATCACTACCTCATAACCACCACATAACCGCCCAACTACACACCACACCACACCACATATCACACAACCACACGAAAACCCCTGAGAAACTTCACTTAGGTATATTCGAAATGGATCCGTATACATGCATAGTTTATCTGCGCGAGCTTATCATCCCGCTGCTATGGGCAAGAAATAAGAAACCCTCGAAGCGAAGTGCTCTTCGCTCCAAGCACTCGCGTTCCCGCGCCAAGAAACGCGTCAGCTTCCATCCCTTGGTCGGCGTACGAGAATACTGGCCTAGTTCAAGTCCTAGTTTCGGATGGGGTTTGCCTAGAACTAAATTATTGAGCATCTAGTCGCTGTTTCACTACTAGAAGCTATATACGCTGGGGTTAGGTGCTTGTTGCTAGGCGATGGCACTTGACAATGATGGTATGTTATATCCCGCTTGTCGCTGCTAAGAAATCGACTGAATTAACTTTTAAATTAGATCGAGAAGATGAGGATTGAAAAAAAAAAGGAGTTCGGCATTGGATTGTATTTCCGATAGTTATTCGAGGTGGTATTATTGTTTGGATTGATTTGGAAGAATGAAAAGGGGGCCCCTATCTCCACCATGCGGCCACTATGGCGGGCATTTGACATCTCCAACTTCTTCGTACGCGTCCCGGTTTAGGAGGATATAGGGTTCTGGAATTCACCCTTCATATTATCTGTGCATCTTCGTCATTATGAGCATTGCTATTTGTATAGATAGATACGGAGTGCTGGGGGTTTTTATACTACAACGCAAAGGATTGGGTACCTACCTACGGTATTATGAAGTATACAGTTTATTTATACGGTTGATGGTTTGATACCATAGATATTTTCGGTCATGAGAGGGACGCTCTACCGCATAAAAGGATTCAGAAGAGATATAATTGATGAACCCTTACCTAAGTATTATACAGATACCCCCTTATCATTCTAAGATTATCTCGTGTATCATCGCGGTGACCAACGCACCAATCCCAACGCCATTAAAACTCGCTCCTACCTCCTATCCCTCGGGCCAATATTCGGCCTAACCTTAATGCTCTTATCATCCTCCCCGCTCCTAACCCTCTTAACGAAGACCTCCGGGTCGAAATCGACTCCGACGGGGTTCTCCTCGAACTCAGGAGAAGCCATGAACGCCACGGCCTCGGGCACCGTATCGTAATTATCCACCTGGAACTCGAGCTGGTTGCCGTCCAAGTCCTCGTAGTACATGCTGGTGCTCATGCCATGATTGACAGACCAGACCGGGAGGATCCCAGCCGCCTTCTTCTCCTCGTACGACGCGGCCAGGTCCTGCAGCGTCTTGAACCCGAACGCCACGTGGTGCAGACCGACCTGCGGGGCGCCGGCCCTGCGCGGGGTCGCCGCGGGGTCCTTGATGATGGCGATGCGGTGGTGCTCGTAGTCGTAAGTCATGAAGCACAGGCGGTGCGAGCGGTGCGAGACCCGCCCCCCGAGGATCGTGAGGTAGAACTCTACCATATCTTCGAAGTTGTCTGGTGTCGTGCGCAGGACGACATGGCACAGGGATTCGGGCGAGATGCGCTTGGACTTATCTGGAGAGAGCTGAATGCTGCCATTCTGTGTATGGGTAGTGGTGGTTTGTGTCACCATGTTGAATGTGGTTTGCTGGGAACTATCTTGATACAGGTAGGAATTAAAAATGGTCTTCACTCCGAGTTCACAGGGTTGGCGCTGGCAGGGTTTAACACTCTAGGAAGCCAGCTTGATGAGATATAAATGCTAGCCCAGTTCGAAGTCTATTTTGAAAACAATACACCATCGGTCGCCTTATGAATTGTGACGTCGGAATTCTAATGCAAACAGTCTTGTGCAGGACACAGCATCGTGTGGCTTGGGAATACGGTGCGTAGCCGTCGATACTTCCGATGGAGAGCCGGAATCCCCATGTTTGCCGTGTTGGCTCGTATCTTACTGCGAATTGAAATTCATCTTTCACATCAATTTACAAACTCATTTCAGACTCGGAACTTGGCGAAGATTAAAAAACCCTATCTCTAACGCGGTGTTCGTCCGGCTTACAAACTCGGCTGCTCGCTTCCAACTCTCCTTGCCGAAGAGAGATCGCCTCCGCCGACCTTCTCCACGAGACCACAAGCCACCAAATTCAATATCTGGATCCGTTCCAGCCGCTCGATGATGTGGTGTAACGTCGGCAAAGCTTTCCAGTCCAAAGGATGCCACTTGAATTCCCCTCCCTCCGCAGTTAACCTCTTGATCACCCTAGCTTGTTGCTTCTTTGCTTCCTCTGCATGTGAGACAAAGACGGGGTACTCCACATCTGCTTGCCCAGGACGCCCCGTCGAAGGCATGTAGCGCCACAGGAGGATCCCCTCATCGACCCCAGCTTCAGGGGGTGCCAGCCGCCGGGACCCCATCCCGTCCCGATCTTCTTCCGTGCGGAGGCCTCTAAGGCTAAATTCGGCAAACTTCGATCCTTCCCAGCTCGCCATCATTGAATATGTGCTTACTGTTTGCGAGATGTCTAGATCCGCGTATAGTTTCGGATAACCCAACTCTTCCCGCCCACTAATGATCGGGTCTGCCATATCCTCCCAGAGAACGGGAAGATATGTGCCCCGATATGCTCTGCCGTCTTCTTCCGTCGTGTATTGCACGCCGTGGATGTAGACGCTTAGGAGGTTGTATCCACGGCCGGCAAGCCACTCTAGATTATCTAGGCGTTTTGCCGTGATGCTGACATAGGCTTCCGGACCCGGTTTCTGGAAAGAGAAAGTAGGGGGTAGGAGATTGGCAAGATCGGATTGCTTGGCCTTGAATGTGATGAAGGCTTCCACGTTGCTTATTCTGGAGCCGTCACGGGCACGTCCGTCGAACGATTGGCGCGGCCCTGGGAATGGTCCAAAGGTGGTAGGCATTCGGTGGTGTAAGTTAGACATCTTGCTGGGCGTAAACGACGCAAACCTTCTAATACTACGAGTATTCATTTGCGTCCTCCTTTGTCGTAAATATGTGTTGTGATTTTAACGTATAAAGATGGGTGACCACACAGCTCCTCGCACAAGTTTCCTTATGAAAGCGTAGCAGTGCTAGTAGAACCCATCTCAGTGACTAGGTAGTCCAACGATGCTTCATAAGTGTGGAGAGGTCTTCACTTGAGCGGTCACATGTCTCCGGATACGGCATGGTCCGAGTTGATCCCTCGGTTCTCCTCCGGGACCCTCCTCGGGGAATCTGTTAAAACCCGGCTGAGAAGGGGATTCGGTTGCAAAAGCGAATCGCACGATTCTCGCACCATACATTTGAGATTTGTATTCGGAAATCCTAGCTACCCGCCTCACAACAGCGCTAGACGTAGGCATTTATACATTGAATAGCTTGAGGATATTTCCCGGTTTTTGGCTCATGAATCTAGAAATTTGACCTGCATAGGTAGGCTGCCAAATTGTCAACATTTCATTACATAATTTATTAATACCGTAGCAATGGCACCGCACGCTTCTTCGGATATATCACATGAGACGCCCACGGTAAACGGGACAAGTACGAACGCATCAACACATAGCGACTCCAATGAAACCGATATAGTCCCAGTCATCATAGTAGGCGCTGGCCCGGTCGGCCTCCTCCTTGCTCTTCGGCTAGCCATGAATCAGATTCGCACCATTGTCTTAGAAAAAGAATCATCACTTAGTCAATTGCCACGTGCTATAGGATATTATGGGCCGGTACACGATGTCTTCCAGGAAATCGGACTTTACGACCAAATTTCCACAGAGGGGATGCCCTCAGGAGGCTATGTATGGCGCAAGCTCCCAACTGATGTTGTTGATGAGAATGGCACAGTGGTAGGCAAGGAACTGGGCGCGATCATAGGGAAAAACGCGATGAGCAAGGCTGGTCCCGACGGAAAATTTAAGCCAGGTCATTATTCGATCCAGCTTGCTCAATGTCGGCTCGCAGAGATCTTCTTGGAGAAAGCGGAAAAGACCGGATTCGTTAAAGTCCTCTGGGAGCACGAAGTCACGGGCTTGTCACAAGACGAAAACCAAGTAGCAGTCACGGTAGCGACGCCGCAAGAGGGAAACAAGGTTCTTAAAGGTCAATATCTCACCGCCTGCGACGGTGGTCGATCTACAGTCCGTAAACTTCTCGGAATCCGCCTCTCGGGTCATTCCTGGCCCGAGCGCTTCTTAGCGACAGACGTCCTGCGTATCGCGCCAGTCGTCCCGGAGTTTTCTGTCCATTTTACAGTCGACGAGACATTTTGGGGCGTAACTACACCGCTGGAGCATGTCGAAGCTGGAAAGAAAGGTCTTTGGAGATATAGCTTGGCAGTACCAGCAAAGCCCAATGATGATCCGAACAGTGCCCGCTTGACAGACGAACAGGTTCTTGAGCCGGATTATGTTGATTCTCTCCTCTTACGTCAAATCGATGGACCTAGGCCGAGCAACCACGTAGTAGTACGCAAGAGCCTCTATAAGATGCATCAGCTACTTGCTAGCACTATGCATCGTGGGCGGTGCTTTCTCGCGGGCGACTCAGCACACATCAATAATCCCATTGGCGGGCTAGGTCTATGCACTGGTCTTCTTGACGGGGACGCATTAGCTCAGACCCTCCAGATCGCTCTTTCGACATCGTCGTCTAATCCAAATCTAGAAACCCTATTCCACCGCTACTCTACAGAGCGAAGATGGGTCTTCCAGAATGTCATTCATCCGTTTAGTAGCGCCAATAAGACACGTCTCCATGGCGCCAAGCCAGACGACATGGCGAGGGAGGATTGGTATTTTAGGGCACTAGCTCGGGGTGATCCTGAGGAACTCGAAAATATCCATCGGCCACTTTATGCAAATTGGAGGACGGATATACGGAAGTTCTGGCCTGCAGAGATGACCAAGTAAAGAGGCTAAGGCGGCTAATGAAGCTGTTGCTTGGTGAACTTTTAGGTTAGATCAATAAGATGCGAGGCGACATGTAAAAGAATATTTTGTACATGAGACGATGTTGCTTACGCGCCTCTAAGGCCAGTTTGATTAGAATAGATCCCAGGTAGAGCATATAAATTTGCTCAAGCAGTCATCCGTTTCTCAGGCCGTAGCGACTAGCCAAAAATTGTTTCAACTTAGTATGGATTCCCTCTGAGAATCTCGTAGCGATGCCACCCCCGAAAGCTAGCAAGCAAGTCTCCAGTGTTCGGATTGGATCATCCAATGCTACCGGCTCAGAACCACCCCTTTGGTCCGTGATTGCTGGAATGGAGACCTGGTGATTGGGAGATGAATCCGAAGTCGTTGCCGCGTTTGATCCAGAGATACTTGCTCCCACGCTAGAGTAGAAATGTCGATATACTGCATCATCGTCGCCCCGCGACTCAACATCTATCAATACAAGAGTCGATGACGGTAGTTTCCACCGCGCTCCGCAAAATACGCTTATCGCCCATAAAGTAAGTGTGACACGGTAAAGAGCAGCAGGCCACCACGGCGGGCGGACTTTTTTATCAAATGAGCGAAGAAGGTAGAGGATCTGACCGATATGTAAGAGAGCCTCGTCAGGACAATGTATATACTGTTCAACACGAGTGGAAGATAGCTGCTGAAGTCGAGAATCGCTCAGTCCCCTTCTAGCTAAGCTTTCGATGTCGGTAAAGCCCGTTACTGTATTAAGATAGATAATATGATAAGTGATGAGAGTCGCTGTCATCAGTGGGCTCCGAAATTGGTTAAACGACACATTTGACTGCTCAACTTCACGGAGACGGGAACAGTACAAGCTGAACCAGCGGTGTAAAAGAACCTGCATTTCCTCCATGCGAACATCGGTAGACCGTTTCGTAACCGGAGAGAATAAGCGCGAGTTCGGCCCCTCGCTAAAGCAACTGAGGACTTGGCGGAAACTGTTAACAAGCGAATAAAGGGGATGGAGCAATAGCCGAAACGCCGAGGGAGTTAGACAACGACGTCTGTCTCTTGTAATTTGATCGGTAAGGAACCATTCAAATAGCACACGGAGAGATGGCTGTATCGGCGGCGTATCGTTCATTCCACGTTTCCAAGAGTCAGTATCACAAGCTAGATAGAGTTCTGCAGGACTAGGGAGGACCAAGTTAAGGTCTGCTATCTGAATATGCGGGGTGCTATCAAGGAATAGGCTAAGTTCTAGGTCAAGAATAGCCCATGTATATGTAAGTCTAAAGAGTAGAAGGCTACGTCAGTAGCCCCTTTAATCTGGGAAAGAGGGGGTTCGGGGGGAAACGAAAAGTAGTCCTACCTGATTAGCCTCTCTCGCTCAAGCCAGGCTACGTGCCTTGAATCATCGCTAAGTTCTAGGGATTCCGTATGGCTGACTTGAGCATCGAATAATCTACTATTTCGGACGATCTACTGATGGTTAGCTGCTAAATCCTGGGGGCGGACGTAGTGCAGGAAAAAAAATAGGATAGTCAGGTGTAGGGGTGAGCATACTGCAATATAAATACCACGTTGTCCGAGGCCGATGTCCATCAGCCATTTATCTCCGCTCCATGCAGCTTGAATAATAAACACCAGTGCACAATGTAGCAACAAGGGTTGGTGGCAGACAGAAACATCCTTTTCGACGGTGTCGAATAGGGAAATACGACAGACTTCCGTTAAGCCACCTGATAGACGTCGTGCCTCATTTGTAGGATCTGATATAGCCCCCTGTCCAATCATAAGCAGGATAAGAAGAGTAGATGATGTATCATTAGATCCATTTAATAGCATATTTGCGTCCAAAACGCCTCCAGGGATAAGAAGATAAAACGGCTCGAATATCCGCATATATTCGCGGAGAAAATGTTCCATAGTCGCGGATGGTGGGAGAATAAGGAACCCGCGGGAGTTGCCATCAGGAGAGGGGGAAGGGTAACTGGCAGCAGCCGTGGCAGGGTCGAGCTGATGGACTCTGAGAGCCTTTTGGAGAAGAGCCTGCGAGATGGCGGCAAGCTTATCCCGCACACTCTCGCGGAGCGGTAAGCTCGCGAGAGGTTCGAACGGATTGGGGCTTGCGAAGTCGAGTCCAAGCCAGCCCCATAGCTCATCCAACTCTGGCATGTGACCGAGGCTTTCCAGGAGCACTCCAGCCGTCCTAGGGCACTTTGACATGTCCTCGAACGGGTTGCAACGAAATGACGACCAGTAGTTATACGCTTGGATGATAACTTGATGTTCCACAGCGTCTGTATTATATTGCCACCGGATGTCGTACGCCTGTCGCTCTTCGTTCCACAAATTAGCTGACCCGTCGGTTTGCATCTCGGTAGGACTGTGCGACGTTAATCCTGTATTGCAAATTACCCTATACTGACTTGGACCAATCGCGCCAGTGGAGTGTTCAGTCTGTTCACTATTCCGAGTTGTTATGAGACCTTGGTTCTGGCCGGTCCAACTTTCTATGTGCGACCCAATTACCAATGATCCGGTGCCGGGTGGGACAGCAGCGTTACTCATGTTTTGTTCGGACACATTCTCCATGAAGGTGCCGAACCCACCAGTGGCGACAGATTCAATGATGGCTTCATGGACACGCAGCTGCTTTGTCGGCGGTGGGGCAGAGCTATGTGTTGATATATCAAGACCTTCGCTATTTTCCGAAGCGCTTTGAACATTCCGATTAGGTCTAGCGTGTTCCACATCGACATTTATAGTAGAAGATCCAACATCGCGAGTAACATTAATTTCTGATACCGATGTCGTTGTTGAATCCTGGCTAGCGCCCGACAAAGATGCACGTGCCGGCGTCTTTCTCGGCCGTCTGTCGCATGTAATTTTTTTAACGTGACAACGATTGCAGGGTGTGTTAGAATCACATTTAGTCTTAGTCCTTGCACAATTGCGGCAAGCTTCTTGTGTACGATGTCTTACACCAGCCATCGGCTGGTTCGAGGACTGCCCATCGGCGGAGGTTTCACCATGAACCGCCACATGTCTTTGAAGAACATCTCTAGGAACAATTAATTATAATTTATGATTGGATAAAAGGGGACGAGGGAGTGTAAGAAAAAAAAGAGGAAGAATGTCTGACATACCTTCGGGAAAAGGATAGATGACAGATATTACATTTAAATCGCTTAATATTAGCGTCTGTAAGATGAGAAAGCGTTATCAGTCTGGATGGTAAAAAAGGTAAGCACGACAGACACTAAAACACCGGCGGCTTACGAGTAGCTAAGTGGCGTTCGAGATGCTCGTTTCGTTGGAACTCCTGACCACAATAGGTACAAAACGCCATCTCTTAATTGATACCTTAGTTTCCTCGGTAGTTACGAATATAACGTTAAGCTATAAGCAAACAGTATAAGCAAACGATATAAACCAATTGACAATATTTGGATAATCTTGTCACACGAATTAAAGAAAAGGCGCTAGGTTTCTGCAGCCGCTATGGGTGGACGCATATGCCATAGGACGCTCAGGACGCATGGGAGAGACATGGAGATGCCCCCTGTCCGGTAAATCCGCGTAACCCACCTCGGCCTTTGTTCCGAATGAGCCGAGATGTTCAGCGTCTTTCTTTAGTCTAACGCTCCCCGCAAACCGCGAATCCGGTATGCTTTAGGTTACTTTTTGAGTAAGAAATGCCGGAACTCCTTTGTTTTGCTAAATAGGTATGTGTTTTTTGCGCGGTTGAATCATGTTTCAACTAAGATATGAAATTAAAATGACAATCTGACCAATAACTTCTGCTCCCAACATATTTTAGAGTTCAACCGATTCCCCTGAATGTCACGTGGTAGCACGTGATGACTTACATACCAACGCGTCCGCTCCCCTTCTTTAGATATCCTAGGATATTACGACATATTTGTTGGCCAAGTATAATATGAGCCACAGTTCCCTAATTATGGCTTTCTTAAATGTTCTCCTGTATCAATACCATGTCAGTTAGGTATTATATGCGATAGTTACGTGAGCTTACTGTGAAGATAATTGGACAACAAGCTATAGGTTACCTTATAATCGTTGCATGCGTCTTATCGGACCCCCACCGGTCCGATGGCACTTCCCATAAGGTGAGTTTACGCGGTCTTCACTGCCATCGAAATTTCGTAGATGAGCTGAATCTCCATAGTTACCTCCTAAGGACATAACTTAGATGTTAATTGGAGATTTCAAGCTGGAACTACACTACAAGTGTGTGCGCGTACAAGGTACAACAGCTAAGCGTAGGTATAGATCCCGCGACGATCTTGCATAGGTAGATCCTGTATGAAATTGGAAATCCGGGGAAGTTAGGATTAGACGGACTCACAGTGGTGTGTACATTAGGTCACTCACCTTTATCTATGTCTTCGAGTTCCGCTAGGAGGTATATATCTTTTTACTCCAGAACCACTTCGACGTTATCCGGAATAGGTACCGCAAGTGCCTACGAGCACTCTAATCGGCACCATGCATTTCAGAACACTTAAGGAGTTAGATACAACCGAAGGCACTGTGCTATTGTTTAAAGGTAAATATTACCTAATTCAACTTTCTCTAAGGAGCAGTATCTAACTACGAGTTACGGTGATAGAGAATCTTGAAGGTGAACGGCATCGCGGCAATAAAGACCTTATCCTCTTCCCACAGCCATCTACGGATCCCAATGATCCCCTGAGATGGCCGAGATGGCGCAAGAACATGGCCTACGCATCTGTTTGCGCCTTTGCTTGCACGAACAATATTAGCGGAACCGTCTACTCCGATGTCTTCGTCCTTATTTCCGAGCATTTCAACGTATCTATCGATGAAGCCTCGGGGTTAATCGCTTGGGTAATTCTTACCCTAGGAGTGTCGGTAAGATATTATCATGCTACTGCAACGGATGGACTCCACTTACATTTTCGTTTCGAACAGAACTTTATTTGGGTTCCTTCGGCTTTGTATTTTGGGAAAAGGCCGGTGTTCATCTTAGCCTGCGCTATCACATTCGCGGCAGCTATCTGGGCAGCGTCCACAGACAGCTTTGCTAGTCTGCAAGCAGCATGTGTAGTTGGCGGGTTTGGTGGAGGAGCATCCGAAGCGCTTGGCGCTGCCATCATCAACGTGAGTTACCCCTTTAGCTAGCCACTGTTAATTTCATTTTCTAATCTCTCCTCTTAGGATATCTACTTCCTACACGAAAGGGGTAGTAAAATGGCATGGAATTTGATCATGCTTGCGTTCGGTAGCAGCTTGGGACCCCTCGTAGGAGGATACCTTATTGAAAGTACGTTCCAGTGCCCCAATACGATGCGGCTAGGAACTAACAAAAAGTATCATAGGCAGAGGTCTAAAATGGGGCAAATGGCTCAGCGCTATCCTTCTAGGCGTTAACCTCCTGATGATCATCTTCTTTGTACCGGAATCGAGATTCAACCGGACCATAAACCCGTCAAATCCCCCCAATCGGACTACACAGGTATCGGAGCCAATGCAGATTTCAGAGACAGCGCCAGATGCCGAAGCTAGCAGTGGTATCGACAAGTCTGATACCACGTATTTTGAGGAGTCAAGTAGTAGTATCCCTTCGTCGATGTTCCCAATGGACCTCAGCATCCCCCGTAAACCTTACTTCGCACTCCTCAACCCCTGGTCTGGAACTACACCTGAGGAGTCGTTTTGGGACCTAATGTTCCGGCCGGTCCCCTTGATTGTCTATCCAGCCTGCCTCATGGCTACGTTTATCTGTGAGTTTAAAATGGTTATTGAATCTTACTAAACGCTGCTAACTCGGAGAAAAGACTCTATTTGCCTCGCTCCAACTGTCATGGTCAACGTTTTGAGCGGCAGTATTCTAATACCCCCACCATACAACTTTAATGTGGGAAACGTAGGGCTAATAAACATTCCGGGAATGATCGGCCAAGCAAGCGGTTTTCTAATCGGCGGTGTTCTTATTGACAGGTATTCCGCCTACCGTGCCCGTCGCAATAACGGCATGTTTCTTCCTGAGGAACGGCTAGCTCTCTTGTTCATCCCTAGCGCTTTGGTTTTCGCAGGAACTGTTCTTTTCGGCTTCGCTGCGGAGAGACAAATGCATTGGGCTGTCATTTTTGTTGCCTATGGCTTCATGAGCGTCGGCCTTACGGGTGTTGCTAGCATCGCCATGGTATACGTATGTGACAGCTATTTCCCAGTAGCAGCAGAGTGCTTAGAATTGATTAATGGGTTCAAAAATATCGTCGCGTTTGGATTCATTAAAGGCACTGTGCCGTGGGTCGAGTCTCAGGGTTATGAAAAGGTAAGTTGATCACTCCTGAACCATCTCGTCTATCCTATGCTGACAAGTCACATTTACGATAGGCTTTTGGTACCATTGCGGGTATATTTGCGGCTTTTGTTCTCTTGGCAATTTCGCTAGTGTTCTGGGGACCCAAGATTCGCCATCATACTTCCACACATTGGCGATTAATTAGCTGGGAGAAAGCTCACATCCACTAAACCCGTCGTTCGGGCTATGGTGCGTTTCCTAAATACTAGAATAAGAAACAGAAATAACATTTAGATTTGATTGGGTTGGACGGTATAATATTTGAGGGTTCCCAAGCGGATTTCACCCTTAGCATTTAGACAATAGGCTATTGGCGTGCTTCAGGATGGATACGAAACTCAGGAGTGGGTGGTTAAATATCAAAGAGTCGGTCATTACTGGGGACCTCGATTAATTATAAGATGCGTAACTCAATGATCTTAACATGAGCAGACCTGTTAGAACAACCCCATAGGAACCAAGGTTGCCCAGCGAGCCTATCAAATAATACAGGGTGAAATTATCTAATGAATAGAGAAGTTAGGCAAGGAGAAGTTAGTTAAAGGCATTATTATTATTATTATTTTGCAAGTCAAATATGCATGGCGTTCTGGGGTACGGCTATTTCCTCGGAAGTGGGGAGCCGGACTTGGCCTCACCGGAGTCGCAAAGCAAATGCACTTCTATTATTAGGATAACACTCCCTCTTCCATAGCTACCTACATAAGGTATCTATGCCTTGGCCTTTCGCATATAAGCATAACCTCAAGACTGAGTATAGTGTATATCAAAGGTTTATGCCAAGTACCTAATCATGTCTTCACCAACGTTCACTAATTTGATCCGATTCCTGGACGACTCGTCTGTTGAACATTATGGAGATGTCACGAATAGTTCGCTGGATAGCATCGTTGGCTCAGTAGTCCCACTCCTCGAAGGTGACCTTTTTAGTTTACGACGAACGGATAAGACTGCCGTAGTCCACAAGGTGAGCGCTACGATGTTGCCCGTGTGCTGCTCCGTATTTTATTAGCTAATGATATTCCTGCCTTAAAGCTGTTATCTCCCGTTCCCTCTACGCCGTTGTTTGTCTGCATAGGGTTGAACTATGCGGATCATGCGAAAGAAGCCGATGTTTGTGGCATTCACCATGCCGTTCAGAGTGAAGTCTAATACGCTTGCTATAGCTGGCAATTCCGCCGAATCCTGTGATTTTTACGAAGCCATCGGGTAAGTCGCAATTAGCAATTACCTATTTTACCCTTAATAGATTTGGACGTTGCTAATATCGTATCTCGCCGTCGTAGATGCTTTGACAGGTCCCTATTCGGATGTCCCAGTTCCCCCTGAAGCAGAGTTAATGGATTATGAGGTTCGTGTTCGCCTATATTCGCGTGGACTAGGTTTAGTGGCATATTGACTGAAGAGCGCATGCTTTCAGGGAGAGCTATGTGTTGTCATCTCAAAGACTGGCAAAAACATTCCTGAGGACAAGGCCCTCGACTACGTCCTAGGAGTCACGGCGGGAAATGACCTCTCCTCGCGCAAATGGCAGCGACCTCCCTACTCAGGGGGACAATTCACTTACGCCAAGTCATTTGACTACTTCGCTCCAGTCGGTCCTACGATTCTACATGCTTCTTTAATAGCCTCCAAGGCTCCGCTCAAGATCAAGACAACAGTTAACGGTGAAGTCCGGCAAAACGGAAGCACAAGCGATATGCTCTTCAATATTGAGAAAATCATTGCGCATGCGAGTAGAGGAACGACGCTAAGACAGGGAACGATAATCATGACTGGAACCCCGGCCGGGATAGCTGCTAAGTGGCCAGGACAGCCTTGGCTGAAGGATGGTGACGTTGTTGAGGTTAACATTAGTGGTATCGGTTCTTTGAAGAACAAGCTTATGTTTGAGAAAGAATCGCGATGAGCTAGTATGCTTATTGAGGTTGCTGGTACCGTGCCGTGGGGTTCCGGTACCCCAATCTAGTCGCTTCTACTTAAGCTCAATTATGTAGCTCATCTATTATTTCTTGGTGTCGACACAAAAAAGACCTCTAGCGTCATACAGTTTCATCCGCATATACTGGTGAAGCAATATGTCTACATGTTACTGTTTCAAGGGAGCAGCTGGTGATCGTAAGCCTCCATAAGCGAAAGCCAATCCATTATGTACCTAGGTATTACTGACACAACAGCTATTATAGCCGCCTATGAGCCGAAGGGTTCTTTCTCAACTCTTGCTGGATTGCCTATATACAGATCAACGCCTCAGAATAGGGATACAAACTCCCGTCGCGATACCATCCTTTACCTACCTGATGGATTTGGTCTGGCCAAACATAACCAGAGACTTGCTGATAAATACGCCCAATACGGTAAATCCTAACACTGAGAGTGTATCATTATTAGATACAAGTAATATTGATATATCTTAGGTTATGAGACGGTGATTGTGGATTACTTTGAAGGTGACGCGTTGCCCGATACCTTCATGCTGTATACGCCAGGGACGGACCTCGACGCATACGGTAATCTGACATTAGAAGTAAGCCCGTTAAAAGTTATTCGTAACAAGCCATTGAACGTACACTGATGCATTCGTTCTCGGATATAAACAGCAAAAGGAAACTATTCGCAAGATTGATATGCCAAGTTGGCTAAAGCGGCACACTCCAGAACACATATCCTCGCTTGTAGCCAAATTCTTTCCTGAGTTTTGCAGCACCGTGGCAAAAGAGAACCGGGGATCTGAAGCAAGAATCCATATACTTGGTCACTGCTTTGGTGGCAAGCATGCTTTCAAGCTGGCGCAGATCGACCACGAGAACGTCGGATCTATACTTATTTTTCATCCGGTGAGTCGGATAACAATAGATACCCCTCAAAATCTCGCTATTCTACAATGTTGCCATCCATAATCCATGTGCCTCGAGGAGCTTCCTATAACCTCTCAAGATCCATTCTATTTAGCTCCATAGTCTAACCGATTTCACAGTCGTTCCTCGAACCTTCGGACCTCAAGGGCCTTAAGAAGCCGGTCCTTGTAGGCTGTGCAGAAACAGACGTATTTACACCAGACCTCATCCAGACGATGTTGAACCACCTCCCAGGATGCGGGGCGATGTGGAAGTTCCTCGTTTACGGAGGGACGCAGCACGGGTTCGCGACCAGACCGGACTTGGGGAATGAATTGACGGCCAAAATGTTCCAACAGGCATTTGATGACGGGTTGCAGTGGCTCAAGACTAATTGAGAACCTTGTCATAGGAGATACCTACTAGCATTGAATAGAATATATATGTACGGAACCGTTAGAATAAACTTACTTATTCTCTGTCAATAAAGGGGGGCTACTTGGGTCTCTATGAAGTCAATCAGATTGCCAATCCGCTATCACTACTGATAGAAACCGATATTTCACCTACGTTTGATCTTAACAACCTCTCTTAATGAGTTTCCTCTTTATATTTGTAACTTAGGTGCGCATAAACCCGACTTAGCGTTCAGGGGCTCCCTCCTTTAGCAGATGTTGCCACAAATTACCATAAAGGGCATCAATTTTCTATTGCAAGAATATAACCGCTCCATGGGCAAAATTTAAAAAGATGCTGTCCCAATAGTCCATCTCGTTCTCCAACTTGACTTAGACAGGATATCGCATTGTGTAATCCTAAATAAGATGGGACCGGGTTCACCGGGTGGACTCGTACTAACTAACCTAATGCATGCCTCTTGCTTTTTCTATCGTACTACTAGAAGAATTATCAATTACCTAAAATGATAACTTATAATCGCGAACTCAAATTCCGCACGTTTCTACGTAATGGGAAGTGAAACGAGGCTGTTCTGTAATATGCTGCACGAACTATGGATATTCGGCGGAGCGGTATAAGTGGGTACATCGGCCCCGTTCCGGTTACACACACTTTTCCGATGGGGTTCCGGATCTCCGGTACCCGAGTGAGCTCTTCAACTCCAGTGTGGACCAGTTGGTAAGCATGAAACATCGTCGGAGTCGTCTCGTGCGTATCGGCACTTTGGTAGTGCCGCTTCTAAGTTTAGAAGATCTCGAGCCGATGGTGAAAAAGAATTCACACAAATGGATGATAAGCTGCATCCAAATTTGCATGCAACTGAGCATAGCATCTATTTCACCCGTCATCACTTTACAACCCTAACTCATACCCAACATTAGGTACATAATCATGGCTTCCAAAGCACCACTACCTACTCTAGCCGACCGCGTCGCCATCGTTACCGGCTCAAGCAGAGGCATCGGCCGAGGTATCGCCCTCGAACTCGCCCGCCGCGGGGCCAAAGTAACAATAAACTACGCCAAGTCATCATCAGCCGCCGAGGAGGTTGTTAAAGAGATCCAAGCATTGGGTTCAGAGGCCATTGCCGTCCAGGCAGATGTTACCAGCTTGGATGATATTGACAAGATCTTCGCTAAGACTGTCGAGAAGTGGGGTCGCGTAGACATCGTCGTTAGCAATAGCGGCGTGGAGTCGTTCGAGCCCGCGGTTGACATTACCCCGGAGCGCTTCGATCACGTCTTCCACATCAACACGCGTTCGCAATTATTCGTCGCCGTTGCGGGATACCGCTATATGAAGAAGACGGCGTCACCGTATGCGCGTCGCATCATACTCACGTCAAGCATCGCCGCTCGAATCCTAGGCATCAAGGATCACGCTCTATACGCTGGCTCGAAGTCTGCCGTCGAAGGCATTGTCCGTTCGTTGGCTACGGATTTCGGGGCAGACGGTATCACGGTGAACGCTATTGCGCCGGGAGGCGTCAAGTCAGATATGTTTGCCGAGATGGCTACGCACTACATCCCAGGAGCGGATAAGACATGGTCGGCCGAGAGGGTGGAGCAGGCTATAGCGGGCGCATGCCCGATGGGTCGATGCGCCGTGCCTAGTGATATTGGAAAGGTGGTCTCGTGGCTAGCTGGCGACGATTCGGAGTGGGTTACCGGCCAAGTTATCTTGGCTTCCGGGGGATCGTCTGCTTGAACAACGAACAAGACCGCAAACTTCCTATCCTAGCGATCTAGTCCACAGAAGCCATGTTAGATTATCAGCGCACATATGTATATAAAACCTACATATTCCGAAATACTAGCAATCCTAAAAGATATCACAATCTAGATCATGGTTTATCTCTTGACCTTTATTCTACGTAATTGCGGGGATCAGTGATGTCGAAACGAGTAGTATTTATTTCCAAGTTAGGAAACGCTTTCTTATCTCAAGCGGGGGTAGATCGATGGCGAAACCGGTCTTTCGACAGTTTTGTTTCTTTTCGTCTTGTTTTTAAGTCAACTCGCGAGTAAAGGCTCGGGTGTTTTGTTCGTGCGCTTGTGTTGCCCCTGATTTAGTATGCTATACGCAAGTTCACTCAGGCCAACTTCATGCATTTCTCAGCCGTCGCACAACTCGGCCTCCTGGCTCAGAATCCGTTATCTAACCATGGCCCGGTTTCGTCAACACCTACAGTTAATCTCAGCGGCTATGGCTTATTCTCCGGAGTGAAGATAGATGAGGCGCTATCCGGGAGTCCCCTTCCGGCTTCTGTGGACGCATGGCTTGGCATTGATTATGCGCTTCAGCCGGTCGGTCAACGACGCTTTCGGCCATTGGAACATCGCCCGTCAGCATTTAATGGAATCAAGCCAGCAGCAAGTTATGGGAATGTCTGCGTACAAGACACTATTTATACCACAGGCCAGGTCCAAGACGAGGCATGTCTTAACTTCAACGTCTATCGAACCTCGGGCGTGCCAATAGAGGAAAAACTACCTACCTTAGTCTGGATTCATGGAGGTAGCTTTGTTCTCGGTTCAGGTAGAAGTATGGACGGGGCATCTTTCGTCGCCTCATCAAAACTACCTATTGCAGTTGTTACATTCAACTACCGGCTCAATTCGCTAGGGTTCCTCCCTAGTAAGCTCTTCGAAGAGGAGGGCCTTCTTAACCTTGGGTTACGGGATCAACATTTCATGCTTAAGTTTCTCCAAGACCACCTGGAGTCATTCGGAGGAGATCCAAAGCAGATTACTCTGGGAGGCCGATCGGCCGGTGGGCACTCTACTGGTATCCATTACTTCCACAATTATGGGGAGGATGAGGGCAAACCACTATTGGCACGAGCGATCTTTCAGTCCGGCTCGGTAACGGCACGCGCATTTCCAGATTCAGACTTTCCCCAATACAAGAAGGACTTCGAACGATATATGCGATATCTCGGCTGTCCAACCGGAAAACCGGAAGGGAGTAATTCACTAGCCCTAGATTGCCTTCGGCGAGCATCGATACATGACATTCAGCACATCAGTGCAGATATGTACGGGGAAGCAGAGCAAACTCTGAGCTGGCCTTTCCAGCCGACCCTAGGAGGGCCTCTGTTGGAAAAACCGGGATCACAGTCCGGCGCCGAGGGAACGTTCCACCATCTCCCCGCGATTACCTCTTATGTCACTGACGAAGGGAAATTTTATACTCCTGCAATACATCGTACCAATGATGATTTTCTGTCCTTTATGTATGCTATGAGCCCCTATCTAAATTACACCGACATCGCCTTGTTGAATGAGCTCTACCCGGACCCAACACGGCACCCCGATTCCCCCTGGGCGAACTCACCAAACAGCACCCAGTATAATCGACTGTCGGCTGCTTGGTCAGATATGGCCTATATCTGTCCAAGTCGGGAAACGGCCTTCCGCACATCGACTGCCGGTGTTCCTACGTGGAGGCTCCACTTCAACACCCCAGACCACCCATTAGAATATCAAGCATGGCGTGGAATACCACATACCTCTGATTCAGCTTATGCCTACGATTCGACAGGGGTAGCCTTCCCGCAAACCGCCCATATATACCACGCATACCTAGCTAGTTTTGTAGCTACGGGCAACCCAAATAGTGCCCGGCTAGAGGGAACGCCGGAGTGGCCGCAATACCAAGCATCGGAGACTTGTGGGACGACTCGACCCAAACAACTTCTTATTAACCCCGGTGTTTACACCACCGTAGAGGAAGACTCGGTTAGGATTGACCAGTGCGAGTTCTAGAACGATCTTGATCGGGCGAAAAGGCTGAATAAATGAGTCACTATGTAGACGTATAAAAGTCTCAAGTGAATATATATATATATATATATATACCTAAGTTTATTGCGCCAGCATGCAATAGGTGATTAGTATATTCATAACAGTCTTCTCGACTACTTACTGCCTAGGAACTCAAGAACATACAAGTTCGTAACCCCTTTACTAGAGAGTAGAAAGTAGGGGTTAGGAAGATTATTTCATAACGTATGCGAGCAGGATGTGAAATCTATAAGTCTTGCTTTATAATTGTAAATAATATATTAAGTACTCTGTCTGTAGCTAATCGATAGCTACGAATTACTAAAATATCTCTTGCATAGTGCTAGAACAATGTGACAATACTCTTCTATAAACAGGTAGATAGGCTATGTAGCCACACTAGCTACGACACTGGGCAATCTACCTCTTTTTTCGTGGTTCCATGGCCCGTGCTTCCATGGTATCTTTAGCAAGTTCTTCTGCCTTCTTCTCTCTCTCGATTTCAAATGCCCTGATCTGTCTATCGATTTCAGCGTCTTCATCGACCAACATCTCCACCTTACCAGCAACATATTCCGACACGTGCGCGCATCTGGTTTGATAGTACCGACCACGTCGTTCCAAACTATCCTTACTAGGATCGGCTCCAGAAGGTTTAAACATGAATATAGGAATATTTAGGGCCCCTTCCGCAGCTTTCTTTTTCTCCTCTTTCTTCTTCTTTTCTTCCTCTTCCTTTTTCTTTTTCTCTTCCTCGGTTAACCCTGCCTCTGCCTTTGCCTCTTCGAATTTCTGGATAGCGCTCTTATTAATCGAAATTGGCAACACGTCCTTCCAGGTCGTGGATTCAAACCCCTCCGGTCGGATAGGCGCCGGTAGGTCACTCCCATTGAAAGGAGGAAGAGTAATATTATCCCGTTTCGGACCAGAGATGTACCTATATCTACCTAGCGAGTCTATTACCTTGCCATGGAAGTGCTCCTGAAGGATTTCTTCCATTTCTTTCGAGTCGGGACCTTCTCCAACGGCGAAATAGTTTGGACTGTTCCAGGGATGCCCATAGAACATCCAACAATCCTGAGGCCGACGCTGTCGGATACAATATTGAGAGTTAGACCTTCTGCAAGCAGAGCATTTAGCTTCATTCTCAAATCCTAGGAAGATAAGAGTGCACTTAAGCCCCTTGTCTATACACCTTAGACAAGACTCGGGGTGATCTGCCAATTTCCTTCCAGTGACGTGGTCTCTTGGAATGACATTTTCTTTAGACTTGTCAGACTCTTTGGACTCGTTAGACTTTTTGGACTCATTGGACTCTTTGGATTCTTTGGACTCTTTGGACTCTTTGGACTCTTTGGACTCTTGAGACTTTTTAGGCTCTTTAGGTTCTTTAGGTTCTTTAGGCTCTTTAGATTCCGAATTTGCAGCTTTCTTTAACTCTTTGCTAGTAGATTTATTTTTTGACTCAAGAGGCTGGCTGGTAGCAACCTCGGTAGCTACTGTTTGCTTCGCGTTAACTGCGTTGACTGTTTGCTGAATTGGTGACATTGTGCTAAATTATTGTAAATGAGATGCGATGAAGAAATCTAGGGCATATTAACGAGAGTAATTCCTTCGATTTTTATTCTCTAATAACAACAAAGAGTAGTAGGAACAGTCTTTATGTGCTAAACCCTGTTGATCTTCCGTGTTTGTCGAGTAACAAAGCCATTATAAGGTACAATGGAGTAATTTCAATTGATTATAAGTAAATTATTCATGATTCATTATCTTATACTTCTATTTTAAAATTAGAAGGGAACAATCTCGTACGAGTTTATAGTCGACCGCCCTGTTTGGAAACTACCCATTTGACGCTTCCTTGTCTCAGAATACCACAGATTCTAACATCACTCCAATATCCATAGTTCTTTATACCAGGTGGCTAACTTAGGACCTTACGACAATTTAGCTTGAGTCTGTTCGCTCGAGATCGCGTAGATGTTGCTGATCATCGGGGGCGCAGTTCGAGGTATTTAAGCCCCCAATCCAGTCATCTTCAATCGCTTAGGCCCTACCGGCCCTGGATAGGTGAAATGAGGCGATGCTTGTGGATTACTTCCATCCGCAGTTGTGTCTATGGAGGCCCTCTTCCCTAAATTGGCCGATGGAGTTGAAGAGTAAGACGCCCTGTCTTGCCCCTCTTGGTGAACTGTACTGCAGATTTGCTGTATGTCCGGAAGCTCTTGTATAGGTGGAGCAATTGTATGGGCTGGTTTCCACGTCTCGATATTTTCCTTCATGAGAAACTTGAATTGTTGCTTGTCTGGCTGTTGCTGAAACCAAGAATGATGCTTCGCTTCAGATGCTTTCAACCGACGCCCAGGTTCAAACATGAGACAAGACCTAATGAATTGTTGACAACTATTACTTATCCTCTGTTGAGAAGGGTCTTCGAATACGCTGTCGAGCCACCCGGTAATTGCTGCTTGATTTATTTTCATGATGCTACTCGGAACAGCGTTCTCATCTGGTGCTAAAAGGAACACCACAATCATGCCAAGGGACCAAATGTCCACAGCTAGACCATGTGTCCCGCCATATTCAACTTCGCTAGTAGATAGTCAGCAGATTATCCCTAGAGCAGACCGAGTTGACTTACGGTGCCATGTACTGGTCAGTACCTACTCGACTAGCCATACGACCTGAAGCTGTGGATTTTGCAAATCCTAAGTCACCGACAATAACACGGCCTGTAAGATCCGGCCCTGTAGCGAAGAATATATTTTCGGGCTTTAGGTCGCGATGTGCAATACCTCCCTTATGCTACGTTAATCATTGTCAGCAAACCTCCTGTTGAGTGATCGTGTAGGGAACTCCAGCGCATATCCAACGCAGAAAGCGCTCAAGCTAGCAATCATAAGTACATTTTGGGTACCCAGAGAATCGCAGCTCAATATATATATATATATAAAGAGGGGGAAGAAATCCTTTAACATTACGCACAAGATAACAAATGGCATTTATGACTTGCCGAATGACGAATTTGCAATCTTGCTCATCGAAAGTTCCTCGGGTTAGACGCATCGAAAAGAGGTCCCCGCCTGTTGCAAGCTCAATAAATGTGTAGAGGGTGTGTGCTGAGTGGAACGCATATTCGAATACAGGAAGGTTAGGCTTGAATCTTCGTGAGTATGCCGCAACTAGATACCTTATAGAACAGATAGTTACATACATGCCTCAGCTTTCCGAGTATATCGGTCTCATCCTTAATACGTCGGATTAAATCATGAGAGGGTGCTAGTCGACGAAGACGATCGAGATCGTGGATTTTGCAAGCAAGCTGTTTTCCCGTTCTCGCGTCGACAGCTAGATGAATTTTTGCAAAAGCTCCACGACCGAGAGTTCGGTCTGTAATGATGTATCGATCTTGGAAAAGCTGTGGTGTATGAGAAATTTGTTCCAATGCCGTCAACAGTTTGGCCCAACCTACAGTTGACTCCTTGAGTTGAATTGAGTTCAAGGGTGATTTTAGCTCGGTATTATGATCTAAAAGAGAGATACGAAATTTCCAGTAAGGCTTGATAGTAACTTCAACGTCTCGACTAATATAAAATCCGCGCGTAGCACCTTTCTCTTTATTACCGATGCAGATTTCGTTGATATATGTACCCGCAAGAGATTGACAGTCTCGTACATATATCAAACAGGGCTGCTTTTGAATATCATTCAGGTCGTAGATGACTGAATAGATGACGAAATGTTTTCTTGAAACATTAGGATGATTTATTGAAATTTCACTTTTGAATACTTAGTACGAAACGTGATAATATACTGTTAGAGGCTCGGCTTACTTCACATGATGGTCCCGTCCAATATTTATGGCTCGCCCCGGGATTAGAGGAAGGTCTAGAAAGAGTTCCGTGTTGCGACGACTGGGTTTTCCACCTTGTCCGCCTTGCAACTGGTTCACGTAGAAACCTTCTAGAAGTGAAAGCACCCGTAAGCTATTAGATCAAAGATAAAGATGAAGACATGAGAAATAAGTGATCCAGAACACCGAAGGCATACCTGGAGGTTTATATTCTTTCGAAGAATCCTCAACAATCCAGCAAGATATTTGTGCGATAGGACGAATCATACTGGATGTTAATTAGTCTAGAAAAGTTGACACACGAGAGAATCAATGAATATCATGGTCGTAACGACAATTGACTTTTATTCAATTTCCCTCGAACACTTTCAAACGTTATGTATGACAGCATTTACTCGGGAAGGTACCTATACATGTAAATTACAGTAAGAGTTGAAGATACAGGTATTTCCTCTTAAAATGACACGCTACTACCTTCTAATAAATATTGAGAAACTCTATCATGTCGATACTCAGAATAGGAGGAAGGTACCGGCCGAGCTTGACGCATATTCTAGGCAGGCTCACTCTATGTTATACGTAGAGCTAATTGAGGCCGAGGTAATCACTAGCTGGATTGAGCTTGCTATGTAAAATGGGTAATATCCCTACTGTGCAGGCGAGGAAGAAAGTAAGTGACGTCTGTGTACCTGAAATTTAGCGTCATGTGTGCACGCACCACCTGATCGACCACAAATAAAAATTCAGGTGTCCCATTTTATTTGCACCCGAGGAAAAGCCGGTCACAAACCCTAACATAATTTCCAACCGTACTTCAATTCATCCCACTCTCGAAATTTCCTTTCCTTCTCCCAAGCTTCATCAACAAAGCAACTCATCGACAGCAACCTGTAAGTATAATCCAATCCCTCAGCTGCCCAGCGTTCCCTATCGCAAGGCAATTGCGAAAAGCATTGAAGAGTTCTTCCGCCATCGCATTGCCTGAGCGCTCCGATCATCCTGATCGTGTGGTCGATTTGCACAAGTTCCCCGCGGTCGCCACAAACCCACCTCCCACCACCCCTCACCATCACAATCCGTCACAACCACAGCTTTTGGGAAGAGCGATAAGTACTAATAAAAACAAATAGTCGTAGTCGCCACGATGAGAGCCAAGTGGAGAAAGAAGAGAGTTCGTCGCCTTAAGCGTAAGAGAAGAAAGATGAGAGCTCGCAGGTACGTTATCGCACACTTTGTTCATAACTAAGCTATGGCGACGTAATACTGATTGGTCTCTCCGTAACAGCAAGTAAACATATCAACCCTGCTCGATCTCAGCGCCTCTCCACCAGACCAGATCGCGTCATGGCAATCACGATTTACAATCAACACATTCACAACTCAGCACATGACACTCGACTATCTTGACTATTCCTCAACTCAAAACTATGTCTATACGACAGGAAGGAAGACCCACAGGAACGGCTGTAGTCGTGGACGTTTGGCAGAATGACGACAACGAATTGGACCGGAGGATAGCTGGTCAAACACCATCGAGTGGACCGATAGTTGTGTTTACGTATCGCGGAACAGGAAGCATAATTGCTGAGAGATGTTCATGATCATTGCACAAGAAATAGGATCCACGCGCTAGTCAATAGATTTGCAAATGTCGATCCCTATAACTAACTGGCCACCCAATGCTTTCGTTTGCGAATATGTTAGGTAGTCTCGTAAGCTTTACGTAGATTTCGATGACGTCGTGTTCCCTTTGATGCCCCTCTTCACACTTGGGCATTGTTAGTTCTTAACTGAGTTTTCAATAACCATTTTTGATATTTAGCGAGAGATTATGTAGACTAATTCATTAAGGTAGTAAGGTGGTCTTCTATAGCCTTGAAAGCTGTCTTAGCAATTGCTACGATGCGATCTTAGGTACCTAAGCTATGCAGCTTTAGCGAACCCGTTTGCGGCAATGTGAGGCTAGCATGTATTCTGTACCGTGGGGTCCGTTCACCGCCTGCCTAATCTCTTATCAATCTGGCGGCAGTATTCTGGACCTTTTTTTTTTTACGCAAACTCAATCCCTGTAGTCAGTTTTTCGAATCTGCTCTAACAACATATACAATCAATTTAGCGCAGCCCAACAACCATGGCAGATCATAAAGAAAAGAAGAGGAAACATAACGAGGATGCTGGTCCACGGCCAAAGAAAAAGGTAGCCGTTCAAGCTCCTTCACAACCTATACAGCCAAATATCGTCAAAGTCTCCTCCATCCAGACGGCCAAAAGCTATCCTCCAATAATAGGTATGGCATTCCCTAATAGTTCTTATTCATTTTTTTTTACGATAATTAACCGCTTGGTATAGCAACCTCTCCCGGTCTCTGTGTTCCCGATTCGATTAAATTTCAGACATATATATCATCGCAGCCTGCAGGTTCCAGGCGAAGCAAGAAGACAGATGCGCACAAACCTAGCCTCCTCCTACATTCATCCTCACACAGCAAGTTAGATTATACGGCAAAGGAAGATGGACCTGGTGGTCGGGAGTCGCATCTTAAGCATTATATCGGGGTTTTCGATCCGAAGACGGGCCAGCTGTCAGTTGTAGAAGCCAAGAAGATGGCTGTTAGAGGTACGGTTCGAGCACAGAAACCTCCAGAGGAAGATGCAGAAGATAGAAAAGCCTCCAAGGTATATAATCCCCATCTTATTATTTTAGTGAGAAAGGTATCTAATTATTATACAGACGATGATGGAATTACGCAACAATCTTGGCGAAGCATTTGGAACCAAGAAAGCAAAGAAGGCGCTTGCTGCAATTACTGAGAATGCTATTGCTCCAGAAAAAGCCGTTGCCGATGCAGACGGAAACCCGCAAAAGCTCAGCTCTTCCTCCATGGCACTAATGGATTCTATCAACGACGTAACCGTAGGAATGGCATCTAAGGAAGATCTTCAAGCAGTGGCCGACGCAGCGAAGCCGGTACCACCAGGAAATTTTGATGCCCAAGAGATACAGGATGTGTATACTATCGAAGGGTTGATTGGGGGCGAAATATTGAATGCCATTCCGATTAGAGACTGGCAAGAGCAACTTAAGAGCGGAAAAAACGCCGAAATACCGACCAAATTCATTGCTGACCGATTCCGGGCCATTGGAGAAGGACCAAACCCAGTGCACAGACTTCGAGCTCTTCGGTATCTAGAGTTCCTTATCAAATTCGTCAAGAGTACTAAACCAGGAAAGGAGAGAGGCACAAAACGGCTCCCGCCAAAAGACAAGCTCAGGGAGATAATGAAGCCTGCGCCAGAACCCGTTATCGAGAACATTAGGCGAAAGTTCTCGTCTAACGCAGAGATGAGGAAGTTCCATACCGATTTGGTGTATACTTATTGTTGTGCTCTCGCGGCGATACTGTCGAACTACAGCTTCGATACAAGCTCTATTAGATACGACCTGAGTCTAGACGAGAAGCAGTTCGGACAGTATTTCCGCGAGATTGGTGGCAAGGTTAAAACTGCAAAGGGTGCAGAGAAAGGCACTCATGTGCAAGTAGCGCAGTTGGCTTTGCCATTAGAATTCCCGAAGGTCAGATATCAACGCCCACGAGGGCGTTAATACATTATAAATAGGGGACATGCCACGACGCCTCACGCATTTCTAGCGCATTTTAGAGCCTTGAGAAGTAGACGGTGGAGTATTACCTTAGTAATTTCAGAGTTACGAATGCTTTACGAGTTACCGGTGAATTTTTGTTTTTGAAATATCCTCACCATATCATTCTGGACTAATAATAAAATTGATCAAATATATCGTCAGGCGTTGGCTGTGCTAATTGAGGATTAGTTCTGCTAAGCCGGTTTAACGGAAAGGACCTGGTTCATCGCCATAATCTAACCGGAGCCGGTGTATAATCCCGGAGCGGACTGTAAAGTCACGGTCATCATCACTAATTCGTAAATAACAGAAAAGCCTGCCAAGTTGCCGAGCCTAATTGCAAGGATTCGAACGAAAATCTGAAATTATTTAACTGCTATGGAGGTTCACACAATCCACGCCCAGTATGGTGCAATAGATAAGACCGCAGCAGCCAGTCTGCGTCCGTCTACATGACGTGATCGCAAAATCGCAAAGGCACTACGTCGGGGTGATTCTTCGGCAATCATGCCGTCCGGCCATATAAAGCGCTTTGGTAGGCCGCAGAAAATAGACATATTAATTTATGTAGGTACCGATACAGGGCAGGTTAATTACGAACATACTTGTTGGTGTAGACTGGTCATAAGTCCTTTTTGTCTCGCTACTTTCACTCCAATGCTCAGTCTACGCGCTTAATTGCAGATTAGTGTACATAAGAGCTATGGCAGGCGAGCCAAAAGAAAAAGTCGAGGTCTCCGATCCCGATTCGGGCCCGGAAACGAAAGAGATTACGACTCAGCACACAGCGGTTCCCGGCCGCGCGTCAAAGGAAACACCATCAGAAGGAGATGAGTATGGTTCAACCGATGACCATATATTTACAGACCCGGCGGTAGCAGAATACTGGCGCGCCAAGTACGAGAAGGCTGGCTATGAGAACCGGCACCGCTTCGATCCGGAGTACAAGTGGACGGCGGAGGAGGAGCGCCGGTTGGTGAGGAAGGTCGATGCTAGGATCATGGTTTGGGCGTGGCTGATGTTCTGCGCGCTGGATATGCACAGGAGGAATATTAACAGAGCTATTTCGGATAATATGCTGGCTGAAATTGGTAAGTTGTCTTCTGTTACACATACTTCTCTCTCCCCATGTATAAGATGATTGTAACATAGCAATCAAAATTGTCTTAAAGATCGGTGCGACTAACTAATTGGACTCGTAGGCATGAACACGAACGACTTCAACTATGGACAGACTATCTTTCTTGCGTGCTTCTTGGCTGCGGAATTGCCCAGCGGACTGGTTAGCAAGAAGCTCGGCGCTGATGTCTGGATCCCTACGATTATGGTGGGCTGGTCCATCGTTGCGCTGTCGCAGGCATTCCTCACGAACAGGGCCGGCTTCTACGCTATCAAAGCTCTTTTAGGCTTGTTGATGGGAGGGTTTATTCCCGACATAGTGCTCTGGCTCACCTATTTCTACAAGGGTAGGGAACTGCCCATTCGCCTGGCTTGGTTTTGGACAGCTCTTAGCACAGTGAATATCGTCGGTTCCTTGCTAGCCGCCGGTATTCTACAGATGCGTGGGATTAATGGGTGGAGCGGTTGGCAGTGGCTGTTCCTCATTGAGGGACTAATAACGCTGCTCATAGGAATCTTTTCTTGGGGTCTAATGCCACCAGGACCTACCCAGACGCGGCATTGGTTCCGGGGTAAGAACGGGTGGTTCAGCGATCACGAAGAGCATATATTGGTCAACCGACTTCTCCGTGACGATCCGAGCAAGGGAGACATGAACAACAGGCAAGCCGTTGGGCCCAGTCTACTCTTCAAGGCCGTCAAGGACTGGGAAATGTGGCCGCTGTATATTATCGGCCTCACAACGTACATCCCGCCCGCCCCGCCATCTAACTACCTGTCATATATCCTTCGACAGATTGGGTTCTCGGTGTTTGAAGCCAATCTTCTCGCAATTCCATCGCAGTTCCTATTCGCCGTCAATCTCCTTATTGTAACGTGGGTCTCGCGACACTTCAACGAGCGATCCATCATATCTTCCAGTTCCAACATCTGGATATTCCCATGGATCCTCGCACTAGTCCTCCTACCGGATACCGCCTCTCCATGGGTCCGATACGCCATGTTGACGGGGCTTCTCAGCTACCCCTATTGCCACGCCATCCTCGTGGGCTGGAACGCGAAGAACAGCAACGCGGTGCGAACACGCGCGGTCTCGGCAGCGCTGTACAACATGTTCGTCCAGAGCGGCAACATCATCGCGAGCAATATCTACCGAGACGACGACCAGCCCTTGTACCGGCGCGGTAACCGGATTCTACTGGGGATTACGGTCTTCAATATCGCGTTATTCTACATCGTGAAGGCGTTTTACATCTGGCGGAATAAATTGCGCGATAGGAAGTGGAATTCGATGACTCAGGAGGAGCAGGAGAATTACATATTAACGACGAAAGACGAGGGGATGCAGAGGCTTGATTTCCGCTTCGTTCACTAGATCGTCGGGATGATTCGGGTATATATAAAACGAGGTATATATATTAAAATGTATATATCCCGTCAGCTCTTCTAGACATGGCGTAGATACTGTATAGGCGCCTAACACTGTATATTTACTGTACACGGCAGGAAGGAAAAGAAAACAGGAAGATCTAAGGCTTCAAGGCCGAATTAGTAATTAGGTAGTGATCCTATATATCAATATATATCTACAAGGCGTATTTACAGTGTCCGGAATATTGGTGCTCATCATGGCATTTTGACTTAGAAATATTCTTAGATCTAAGACTCCACACGTCCAACTTGTCTAGGTAGGGAACTACTTCGCAGAGTTTATAAACCAACACGAGATAGGTATTCTCCAGACCCTAATTCTACTATATATCAAGATTTTATTAAATAGTAAAAATTGCCGTTTCCCGTGTTAGGTGTTTAGGTTACTGCGGGAACTCCTGATAAGCTCTTCTTAAGACGAGTGACGTTTCGTCTAGGTCTCGAAAACATAGGCCCCATGTGCTGCGCTAGGATCATCCACATAGACCGGGAATTATACTGCCTCTTGATTGGCTCTTGGCATATTATAACCGTTAAATACTTCGATACCTGTTATCCCTTCTGATAATCTGCTATATTCTTAAAAAGCCGTGCCAGATTCCGGGGTGACAGCTGGGCACGATATCCCTAGATGGTTACCTTAAAGTAGGTATATACTATTGTGCCGGCGCTAAATCCCTGATTCTTATTTCGAATAAGCTCCTGAAGCTAAGTCTCGATCAACGGCTCGGCTATCGCCTTAAAGTAAGAGCCTCACCCAGAGTCGGGCGAATCACGTTGCGAATTGCAGTATTAGTGGTATGGGACTAGTTAACGTCCTTGGCGCTTTGAAGATTGACCGGATGGTCGACCATCCGGAGGGATAAGGGAATCATGAGAATCATCGTCCGGTGTAGACGTTGTTAGATCGCCGTCTGGGTAGAAAATATATATACATAGAGAATGATTCCCTTTGCATAGAACATGATCGCCTTAGGAACACTCGTATGATCGTGTCCTGGTAGATCGTCCACTTTACTTTACCTTCCGTTCTTTTCTTCGTGGCGCCCTAGAGGTTGCCTTCTTGATTCCGTTCTTTGCACATAATACCAATTCATCACAGTCCTTTGAAAGGCTTTTCTTATTCATTCATTCATTCTTGCTTCTGGAAAGCCGAACCGACATCATGTACTTTGGACGTGCCTGTGCGACCCTCTTGGGTCTCTCGTCGCTCGCTGCGTCAGGTTAGATGCCTCACCACTTTTTAGAAACCCCTTTTGACTAATAGTATGTTTAGCACCGACTGATGAGTCGCTTGCGTTGGCGTCCAGGAGGGGATTGAAGTGGAAGCCACGACGAAGTCCTCTTACGATCGAGCAGATAGTACAGGAGACGAACATTATCATCGTTGAAGACAACAAGGCAGAGTTAGACGCTTTACAGAAGCTAGCCGAGCAACAATTTGCCCAGCTCGTCCAGGCCGAGGTTGCCTTGATAACTCAACTACAAGATGTTAAGAATAACATCCGAGTTAACCATTTCAAGGCTCGCTTCTCGCAAGTAGTAAGTTTACTATATGATAACTACCAGGCCCAGTCGATCCGTTTCTAACAAGTGGCTAGAATATTATAATTGTTACCGTATCAACCTTGATCGATGCTCGAGCCGAGAAGGGTAACCAAAAGAGGTACATGGTAAACCAGGCAGTTGCCGATAACGGCAAGCCTGATAATCAGATCATGGTCATGGTCTCAGATGCGCAAACCATGACTATCGGCGCATCGAAGACGGTCGGCCTCGCAGGGGTCCAAGCAGCCAGCGCCGTCACGAAACCAACGGCGGCACCCGCTCTCGTAGGCGCCGATCCGGCCGCACCATACGGCAAGCCGAACCAGAGCATGATTCTTCCCATCGGTGCCAAGGCGCCAGCGATCGATCTCGTCTTCGTCGACCCAGCTGCCATCATCTTGCCGGATCAGAAGGACCTATTCGTTGAGAGCACGGATACCTTCCTCCAAGACTGCGGTTTCTACCAGTCTAACGGCAATGCCTTTGCCAACTTGGGCTCCCAGCTGTTCACGTCGTTCGAACAGGTCACCGTAGTGAACGGCGATGTTTCGATCGTGAAGCAGAAACAGGAGGTTAATATCGTGGCGCCAATTGTATAGGCCAGAGCGAATAAGATCGAAATAATATTGGCATGTATTTGTATTTAGATACCCATGTGCGAGGCATATTGCCCTGTAGGTCCAGAGGCTCTTGGTTGAGGAGGTGGTAGCTTGGGGGTGAATAGGAGTAGGTCTAAAAGGGGTTGCACTTCACACAAACCCCTCTTCCTGGAGACCGTTAAAATTTTGTACCTTTCTCTTGGCAGAAAGGGATAATATAAAAGACTTCGAACCCCTTACACTGGTTTTGATGCTGTTTGGTATGCTGTTGTTCAAAACTACAAGCTCCTGAAGCGGCATCTAGTATTCCATTTTAATGGAGACAAGCTGGTTGAGATGATTGGAGAAACTTGAGAGGTACCAGAGGGGTAGAAGAGCTCTCTACCCCTTCTAGCCAACCTCGGCCAAAGAAAAGGTATATTTAGGTAGCGATGTACCGACATTGACATAAATACCTAGGTAGGTAGATATCTCGTTTATTTCATCCATGACAACTATTCATAAGTGCTACATAAAAATATTGAGGAATCATAAGGGGTCGTCTGAAAAAATGGTTCTCTGCAATTTACAATTCATCTCGCTCAAGGACGGAGTTTCGATCGACTCTTTTCTCGCCAAGCTCCGTCGAAGCGGCATTAAGCCCGTCGTACAGGCCCGAGTCATTCGGTGGATGATCCTACCCACACAGATTTCAATAGGCCATCTCTTAGGCCGAAATATCCACTGGGATCTTCTTTTGATTCTGGGAGAGACCGATTCTATTCCTCATGAAGTACAGTTAGATATCGATGCGACTTGGAACGCGTCGAGTGGCGTCTCATCTGAAGCTATATCAAATTATGAAGTTATGAACGCGGAACTACTTCACCCGCCGCCCGGCTCCGTCAAACCACCAGAAAAACAAACCATTGAACCATCAAGAACATCGCAAAAACTCGAAATGAGCCCCGAGTTAGAAGAGTGGATTATGGCGCTACCAACGCCGTTGAAAGAGCATCCGGTCTCGATGCTAAACTTACTTGCTTTCAATCCCGGGAAGAAGGACCAATATAAGCAATACGGTGCTGAGTTCTCTGCCAAGGTCGGGTCTAAACACGGTGGGCGGGTTAAAATTGTTGGGAGGGTGGTAGGTGGCCAAGCACATAGAGATGGATGGGAAGAAATCGCATTCGTACATTATCCATCTGTTCAACATTTTGCTGCTATGGCGGGGAGTAAGAAATATCAAGATGTTAATCGCAGGTATCGTCTTGGGGCGCTTAAGGATACATTCATCTGTTGTGTTATGGAGGTTGACGACAATGGTAATCTCGCCAATCTCCGTTCCACTAAAGAGAAGCTGTAAGAGTTGTATATTGAACCTACCACGAGGTGAGGCATAAACCTTTTATTGAGGAATGGTTCCTAAAGTTTCCGAGACTCGAGGGGTCAAAATTCGAAGGATGTATGTACATAGGTAGGTAGGTATAGATACAATGTCTCTTCCGAATACATAGTAGACATTGGAGTACCAGACCCGTAGGTAAAACGCTAATCTCCAATTCTTACTACTAAGAAATCGACGGAATGTCTTAGACGAAACAAAGGTCGGATCCATTAGTTGAGGCCGATGTTGCCACCAGCGAATGAAAGTCCCTACTGGATAGTTGTGAACACCATGCGACGGTATTAAGGCTCACGAGGCATTCCAACCCAACCCATCACACTGTATTCGTAGACCTAGAAAGGCCCCTAGGACTTGTTTTAGCATATTTGCTGGTGTGTATGGTAGTGAGGTATGGTAGTCTCGGCGGCTTTCTTTGTATGTAGGATGACGTCTCGATAGTATGGGGTCGCGCACGTTTGGGAGATCTTAGACCCCGGCGACCCCGCGATATCGACTAAAGATTGCATAAGGTATACATAGCCCCATTGTAATGTGATGGGTGGTTGAGTGTTACCACTGTTGCGCCATCTATGTAAACCTAGTACCTAAGGTAAACTGATCATTGATAAAGTCGAGAAAGACTAAACCGCCTAGCTTCGCTGATTATTATTTCTCTCGCTTTCCGTCGATGAACTTGACATTTGATATTTTTTGCCTTTTGAGGCGGTAGACGTCTCGAAACCGCTGTGCTATCGAAACTCAAGGAATCATAATACGGACGCCCCATAACTCTCAGATCATATATATACCTATATATATCAAATCGTCAACAGCTAACGTCGTCATTATATCATTATGGCATTAGGTAGATGGACGTTTCCCACCAGTAGGAAGCCTTCTTCTACCAGTTCCGGCGGCAATCACTCAAACGGCACTACAACACCAACCGACAACGAAACCCAAGATCCCTCAAAATCACAATCTCGCCTACTACGAACCCTGACCGGAGGCTTCAGGTCCCACAAGCCTAAGAAGTCGGAAGAGCGCGACGAGTTTGCTCATTTGAATAAGCTGTTCACCCAACAGAATTTAGAATATCAGAAGATACTGAATACCTTCAAATGGAAGTTTGGGAAGAGAAAGTCGAGCCACGGCGATCGAAGTAGTACGAGCGGTATCAGCCCGAGCGCTTCGCGGAACACCAGTGTTGACCACAGCCACGTACCTCCGGACTCTGATCCAATAGAAACACGTCCTCGATTCAACAGTGTCTTAATCCATGAGTCGCCTGGGGAGGACCCGCGAAGGGAGCATCAGACATATCGAACAGAGGGTAACTAGGCTGCTAGGCTTCTAATGGTACCGTAGTAGGCGAAGCGGTTTAATGGGCTACGATAATACGAATGTAATGATACCTGGAGAGATTTGTTCACTGATTGGCGTTGAGGGATAAACAGGCATTAGGAGGAAAGGTTGGAGGCATCGATCTCGATCAGCATATTTGCTAAAGAGGGATATTTGATTGTTCTTTACATGACACACAAATGCGGTAATATGTATAGGTAGTTACTCGGTGGTAAATGGTAAAAGTTACAAAACTTTCCAATAAAGGCCTCAGAATTTTCAGTGTAAAATATAACTCATTGGAGATATCCTCATAGACTGTGTAAAATCGTTCATCATTGGCCATATACAGTTGAAAAAGAAAACCCCGATATCGAACCAAAGTCAGGCGCGTCTTAATGGAACTTTGGAGTAGCTATTTCCGGTAGCTTGGAAATATCGACACTGCTTAGTGCGAGTATAATGGTATGTGTCTAAGTAAGAGGTGATACTTAAATGGCGTTGAGATTGTGTAAATATCGTGAACCTCGGGTCTCCTATCCCGAATGAAGAACAGGTAAATACCGAAGTGCGCTGGATAGCAGTAATCTCTAGTTTCGTGAATATAGGGCGACCTTAGAGCATAGCATCAACATGCATTGCAGAGATAGTTGAGTATTAGAAGAATGTCACGATTCTGTAGAGTGGTTTGCAGAAGAAAGAAAAGTCTCATGGTAAATTTTTTACTTATGATTTGAAGGCTAAGGTCCACAGTGGATTCTTTCCCATCAAAGTGGTGTGCGGGTGCAGAACACAACTCGGCCCTGGAAAAATCCGATAAAAGCGGGCACCAAATGCACAAATCGAATTCACCTAAGCCCCGCCCATCCTTATTTTTTGCCTGTACCCTAATTAAGCGAGCCTACCAGAAAAATCAAACCTTCGATTCCTTCTTCTATCAAACTCAAGATACACATCTGAACGACATCAAGGCAACAACCCAACAACACAGTTGCCCATCATGTCGCTCGTCTCAGGCGAGAAGACGAACTTCCAGTTCGTAAGTGAATCCCATCTAATTTACGCGCCTCGCGCCGCCCTTCTTTCTTTTCTACCCGGATTAGGTGTCAGCTTCGCGAATGCTCAGTTCAATTTCGACACCGTTTCGCGATAACGAGACCTAGACTTGGCTAACTGTAATCCCAATAGATCTTGCGTCTCCTCAACACGAACGTCGATGGCAAGGAGAAGGTTATGTACGCCATGACCCGAATCAAGGGTGTTGGTCGACGATACTCCAACTTGGTCTGCAAGAAGGCCGATGTCGACCTGAACAAGCGGTATGGATAGCGCAAGAGCCAGAGAATACAGCACGAATCGAATACTAACGGAACACCATTACAGTGCCGGTGAACTCACCTCGGAAGAGCTTGAGCGAATTGTCACCATCCTCCAGAACCCCACCCAGTACAAGATCCCCGCCTGGTTCCTCAACCGACAGCGCGATATCACCGATGGCAAGAGCTCGCAGATCCTGGCGAACGGTGTCGACTCCAAGCTCCGTGAAGATCTCGAGCGCCTAAAGAAGATCCGCGCTCACCGTGGTCTCCGACACTACTGGGGCCTCCGTGTCCGCGGTCAGCACACCAAGACTACCGGTCGTCGCGGCCGGACTGTCGGTGTCTCCAAGAAGAAGGGTGGTTAAGGGTCTTAGCGGTGGCAGCATGGTTTCATTGGTTCAGGTCATTCATTGCGGATGGACAGGCGTGAAGGCTGGACTGAAATTACTGCATCAAAACGTTTCTATGAATTACTTTGCGAATTGGGGACTTTGCTCATCGGTTTCGGCAAGTCATAGGTGTACTCTAGAGAATAAAGAGACATCATTGTGACCAACACTCTATAATTCTTTAATGTGTGAAACTATCACTATCACGTGTATATGTCAGGGAACAAGTCGACATGGTATCAACGCCCCTCGAGTATCGTAATTTTTTCTCTATACCGTTACCAACCAAGCCTATTCTTATGCCATGCCACCAAGACATCTCGCAAGTTCGTCAACTTCATAAATCATGAGTGTTAAAAATAGGACTCTAATCCTCATGTGTGACTGCCATATCCAGCACCTCCACTCGCCCTTGACCCTTGGTTTCATTCCCCACGAAATCGGATAGACCCTTGAAAGCACCTGGCTCCACAAACCCGACAACCTCCCACTCCGATCCCATGACATCTTGTGTTTCGACCTGCTCAACGTAACTCAAGATCTTGTCCTTCACCGTCCCGGGAGCCTTCTGCTCTCCTTCCGCATCGGCCGTCTTGGGCGCCTTCACCGCCTGCTTCAAAACGTTGGTCGAGCATGTGATTCTGAGCCGCATCCGTGCTCTGGTAACTGGGATCGGCTGGTGCGCGATTAAAGCCTTCATGGCCTCGAGGGCCTGGCTCTTTGCGCTCTTCGTCGTGACCACGCCCGTCCAGTTATGCTCTTTCGTCCTCGGCTTCGCTTCCGCGTCGTCGCCTGTAGCCGGCGTTCCCGCGCCGCTGCCTGCTTCCGGGGTTTTCTTGTCGCTTTGCTGATGATGCGCCTGAGAACTCAACATATCGAGCGCCTTCTCGATCATGCCGGTCGTATAGACTCTCTTCGTGCGCGGATCGACCAGTTTGCTCGCGACTATACTGATGACTTCGTTGTGTACTCTGTCCAGCTGCGCCGAGCGCTCTTTCTCTCCCACTTGCAGCTCGCCCTTATTTAAAATCTCGAGGATGATATCGTTTAGGGGTTTGTCCTTTCCGAAGGCTTTGGTAAGATCTGCGGCTGGGGCGGTCTGCCCCTTCGATACGTTCAGGAAGACGTTGGGGATCTGTAGGACCTCGTCGAGGTCGGTCTCGATGCCGGATCGCCATTCTAACACTTTGTTCTTGTAGCAGGCGATTTCGAAGCGCTTCTTTCCTTTTTTTAGGCGGACGAGTGATACGTTCGTGAGCTTTATTTGATTCGACTATTCCATCCGGGTCTTATTAGTATTCATTTGCGTAGCCATAAACATATTTCGAGCGCCTTCGAGGACGTGGGGACGTAATGGAGGGGAAGAGGGGTCTAATTACATACTGCGATATGTTAGTATTTATCTGAGATATTATAACAACTGAAAAGAGATAGGATAGGTTTGAAGATCAAGATTTAGAAGATGTAAATATACTATTACTCTACATACCAGGTTGGTTTATGCGCGACATGTTGTCTCTTCGTTCTCAGAAAATGCTGATGTTATTTTTGCTGAATGCGCAAAGTCTGACGTCGCAATTGATGTTCAGATGTCGAGTAGTTGCAAGATTTTTATAAGCGTAGTATTCGTTAAATCGAGATTTTGCGTGGAGAAGAAACACGTGCAATTGCTCGTGCGTTCGTTGCTTTACCGACTTGAAGAAGATGTGCTTTTTGGGCCAACGCATAGCGGGTCCCTTATGTACCTAGGGTAAGGGAACGACGCAGGAACAGACACCATACCTCATACCGCTCAGATGGCAACTATATTGATTTATTTATTGATTTATTCATTAGGTTCGACGAATAGGCGATTAGATTCTATTCCCAGCCATAACATAGAGTTACACTTCCGATCTTTAACTTAATTCGATAGAGGTCATGTTGAATCATAATGATAAGGAAAACATACATGTACATAAGGTACCTACCCCATACGGTTTAGTGGAGAACCTATATCGATAGGAATTCGGTCCATAGCAGATGAATGACCGATGACGCTTATCGGTAAAGTCCCTCCATCTATCACGCGACAACGCAGCTTGATAAACCAGCCTGCCAGCCTGCTCAGTTGTCGTAATCTAATCCGGCATTTAAGACAAGGCGAGCATGTTACCTGCTATCATTTGTGGGGCACCTTTCCGCACTCAACAAGTTGGAGAAGCGGCATGTAAGCAATAAGGGGAAACTTAGTTAAGGCATAGGAACGTTAATGGTTGGCTGGTCACCGCATTTATGTACCTAGCGTAGCTGGCCACTGACCAGTCGGGTTCTCGCTCTCACCCCCCCGTTTCATCGATCATCCATATCTTACACTAGAGCTCCCCCAGCTCCCCCAGTCTCAACTCTGACTCTCGTAGTATTTGTATCGTTTCCGTCTTCCATCCATTATTAAACTCTTTTATCTATTCCCTTTTCTTCTCTAATCCATCCATCCATCATTACTATCATCCACCATCATAATCATCACCATCATCATCATCAAACTCTGGTAGGACGTTGTTCATCCTCGCTTGCTACCCATCATGAGAGTAGCTAGCTCGGCCCTTCTGCTGGGCGCCAGCACGGCTGCCTTTGCACAAGATCAACAAAAGGTCCTCGGTGGCATCAGCGATGCCGTCAGGAAACCGCTGGATCACCTTAGCGAAGCTTTTGGTGAGATGCCAGACGTTGCTAAAGGTCTATGGGATGAAATGAGCCTCCTGGTTCCTGGATTCTACGAAAAGGCCGCCAACCTTGTCTCCTACCCCAAAGCTCATCGACGCCGCCCAGATAGCGAATGGGATCATGTTATCAAGGGCGCTGATGTGCAAAGCATGTGGGTTGAGACAGACGGTGTCAAACACCGAAAGGTAGACGGTTCTCTCGAGGCCTACAACCTACGAGCTAAGAACGTCGACCCGTCCGAACTCGGCGTAGATAAGGTCAAACAGTACAGTGGATACCTCGATGACGAAGCTAACGACAAGCATCTATTCTATTGTACGTGGTATCGCACCGTGTCCTGACTTGGTATAATGGCTAATTATCATATCTAGGGTTCTTTGAATCTCGAAATAACCCTAAGACCGACCCCGTAGTACTATGGTTAAACGGCGGCCCTGGCTGCTCCTCCATGATGGGACTCTTCATGGAGCTGGGTCCCTCTAGTGTCAACAAGGACGGCTCGCTCAAGTACAACGAGTACGCGTGGAACAGCAATGCCTCCGTCATTTTCATCGACCAACCTGTCAACACCGGCTACTCCTACAGTAGCAACCCTGTCTACAACACTGTCGCCGCAAGCAAAGACATCTACGCTCTGCTTACCCTCTTCTTCCACAACTTCCCCGAGTACAGCGAGCAGCCTTTCCACATTGCTGGAGAATCCTATGCTGGCCACTACATCCCCGTCTTTGCATCTGAGATTCTGTCGCACAAGAACCGCAACATCAATTTGCAAAGCATCGCCATCGGCAATGGTTTAACCGACCCCTTAACACAATATGCCCAATACCGCCCGATGGCCTGTGGTGAGGGCGGCTATGACGCAGTTCTCGACGAGAGCGAATGCCAGTCGATGGACAATGCTCTCCCGCGATGCCAGTCCCTCATCTCGAGCTGCTACGAATCCGAGAGCGTATGGTCGTGTGTTCCCAGCGCCATCTACTGTAACAATGCTATGATTGGCCCCTTCCAGCGCACCGGATACAATGTCTACGATATCCGTGAGAAGTGCAAAGATCAAGAGAACCTCTGCTACACCGAGACTGCTTGGATCAGCAAGTACCTGAACCAGGACAAGGTTCTCAAGGCCGTTGGTGCCGAAGTGCAAGACTACGAGAGCTGCAACACGGATATTAACAGGAACTTCTTGTTCCAGGGCGATTGGTCGAAGCCATTCCACCGCCTTGTTCCTGACATCATCAAGCAGATCCCAGTCCTTATCTATGCTGGTGACGCCGACTACATCTGCAACTGGCTTGGCAACAAGGCCTGGTCGGAGGCACTTGAGTGGCACGGCAAGAAGGGATTCAACTCTGCTAAGTTGGAGGATCTCTCTGATGGCTCTAACAACTACGGTGTAGTAAAGAGCAGCGGCAACTTCACATTTGCCCGCATCTACCAGGCCGGCCACATGGTTCCGTTCAACCAGCCTGAGGGCTCTCTAGACCTATTCAACAGGTGGATCGGAGGAGAGTGGTATGCTTGAACAATGAGTGTTTTGACTCTTGTGTAATTATTGTTGTCCGTACTATGTAACGCAGTCATTAGATCATGGCAGGCTAGTAGTCTCAAGTATGTTTCGGAATATTGATTAGAGATCTTCAAACTGTAACATAGTCATAGTTCGATAAACTTCTTTAGATCGAGATAGTACACGGCTCAAATTAGAATGTGAAGCTCAGTAACGATAATGTCTATGATGTAAGGTAGTAATAGGCCTAATCTCAAGTTAACGATATTGATGAAGATGTATTTGATGTTGCAACAGATAAATTACGAAAGCCTCGACGCTGTTCGCCGGGAGGTTCCGTACTCAAAGATCGTTGCGGTTTACTCTTGTCTCATACCCTCAAACGAGGCATCCGGCTCAAGATCAGGCGTGGAATCGAGCCTGACCGAGCATTGGCAAAAGACGACTTCATATCACATACTTCCTTTTCGATGGCTCTTTCGAGGGTGATTATAATCGTAGGTAATTGGTGCCTTTTAGGACGCGGTAACCTGTATACGGCGGACCCTTCTTACCTGTCTGACACTGCGCTTTACTTCCATAATGCACCGGTTCGCATTATTCAAGTAGTCACTTTACTTAAAGGAAATAGGTTTAAAAGAACGATGACTATCGACACGTGGAGGGTATGTCATTATTCAGGTTGGCTTTGCAAGTTTGAAGTGTAGATTTTGTTCCATGGCAGAGAAATTTGTCTCTGCATCCATTGAATTTTGTGGGGGGAGACACAGCCACAATGTGACATAAGCCATACTACTAGTAAGCCACCCCCTGAAGCGCGTGTATTTCATGGACAGCTATTTCCATTCCATGCATCTCTTTTGATCACAATAAGAATGAGGGAATAATAATAATAATAAAACTACTTATAAGTCATTGAGTAACTACGTTAGGTGTGTATATAAAGCTCACTCATATCAAGCTCGATTAAGCTTGAAAATGTATAGGCTTTCACTTTAGAAATGGCCAACACCACTTATAGATGCAATTACTCTTTCCCTTCAATACAACACATAGGGTATGGCTGGCCTGAATGATGCGATTGACGTACTTAAGCAAGTACTTACTTACATGTACCTTCCCAGTCTGATAGAATTTATCCTATGGAAATCGAAGCTACATGTATGAATCCACGGAATGGGTTGTCATTGCCCAAAGGTGTGGATTGAGGCAATAGGCGTATCTAGGTACGTACAACATCTAGCTACGTACGATGGTCTAGCTATACTCATTCTCTTCATCAAAACTTTTCTTGGCCAGATACACTGCTTTCTTGGGTCACAATGCCGAACACTTCGCAAAACCCTATTAGCTTTGCTTTCCTTTTTATCATAGTGCTTTTCACCACACAGAAGATTTATTTTCGATCTGGTATGAACATAGCACTCAAATAGCCGGCAACTTCTCGCCTTTTGGAGTTTGTTTTAATAGACTTATAGGTAAAATTGATCCCTATCGTTGCCTAGCTCTCCTGAATAATGGGACATGGTCGCCTTTGGCTCCGGACGGCTCCCGACGATGGGAGCCAAAAGATTGTCGTATGGTCGAGCATACTGCAAACTCTCTTCACGAATGCCTCAATGACCGAAAAGTTGTCTTCATCGGCGATTCTACAATCCGGCAGCTTTTCTGGGCTGCCACCAAACAAGTTGCTCACCCCAACTCCGAAACCAGGATAAAACGTCTGCTTCAATCGAACGGCAAGCATCGTGATATGTCGGTCCGGGTTGATAACATCCAGCTAGAATTCATTTGGGATCCTTGGCTAAACTCTACCGCCTTGCACGGCGTGCTTAAGACCTTCTACGTTCTACCTACATTCCTAGACGTCGAAGCCATTGCGGGGATGGATGGATTGCCCCCCGTGTTCGTTGTCTTGGGTGCCCCTGGACTCTGGGCTGCTCGATACGGCGGAAATGACTATCTAAACCTGTTTAAGCGAGCGGTCGCCGGCGTCGTGCCGTACTTGTCACCTAGCTTAGACAGTGACATAAAAGAGGCAATGATGACGGCACATAGCCCCGGCGATATCCCAAACCGGATTTTGCTAGCGCCAGTAGGAATCCCAGATTACAGCAACCTAGCTCCGAATCGGTCTAAGAGCATTACGCCGGAGCGGATTAAGGCCATGAATAACTATCTCTCGCAAGTCTTCCCGAATCATCTGTCGTATATTCCTTGGGTATACAACAAAATTGCCACCTCTTCTAAAAAGGATTTCGATATAGACGGCTTGCATATGTCGGACAGTATGGCAGCACTCAAGCTCAACATTGCTTTCAACGCACTTTGCAATTCAGCAGCAAACGCCCGCTCACACTCTTTCAAGGGCACATGCTGCGTCAGTCCTCTACCCAACTATATGCCTCTGGTAGTCTGTATTTTATTGGGAATTTTAGCGAGATACAGGTCTGCTGTTGAGTGTCATAGCCTGGAGGTCACAGGTAACCCGGAAGTTGTGGAATCTGCCGAAACTCTCAGAAACATACTTGTTGCTCTCCTATGGTGTTGGTACGCCGACGAGACTTCTTTCTTCATAAAAGTTGAACGCCACTATGAGCAAGACATCTTTGTCGCGACTTGCCTCGTATGGTTAGTGGTCAGCATATTGTCGTCAAGGAAAGCCCCCCAGCAGACAGATGGTCCTTCATCGTCCAAACTTGATCTGCGATACTATCATGGTCCAGGATATATACCGCGGAGTCAGTCTAACGAGATCAAAGGTTTAATGCAGGGGATTATCCTGCTCTACCACTATCACTATGCGTCTCAGGCTCTTTGGGTGTACAAGATCGTCCGACTATTTATCTCCGGATACCTCTATATATCTGGCTATGCTCATACGCTATACCTTCTCCAAACGGACGACTTCTCTTTGAATCGCGTCATAGAAATTCTATTCCGTTTGAACCTTCTGAGTGCCTGCTTACCATACATGATGAGGACAACATACACGACCTATTATTTTGCCCCTGTTATCACGTTCTGGTATCTTGTTTTATACGTGATGCTTCGATCCTTCAAAAGCTACAATCGCGACCTGCGTTGGCTATTTTTGAAAATAGTGGTGACGGTTAGGCTCACCGATTTGTTTATACTTACCCCTGGTATTCTTGAAGCTGTTACCAGATTCATACACGCTATCTTCTTCATGTCCATAGATGCAGAAGAAATGCGTTTCAGGCTACGTCTAGACCGCTACATCACCTTCGTCGGAATTATTGTGGCGGCTCTTACCCATCGCGCCTCTGTTCGCGGAGAGCGGGATTTCCTTCGACTTGGCCGGGCTGGGGAAATCCTTACCCTAAGATTCACACCCTGGCTTGCTATTGTCTGCGCAGGGAGCATTACGACATTCTTCTACACCACCCAAACTTATCTACAAGGGAAGCAGGCATATAATCGACTTCACCCATTCATATCCTGGATCCCGATACTGAGCTTTATAGTGCTCAGAAACTCTCACCGCGTGTTAAGAGATAGGTACCTTTTATTACCCAGCCTCCTCGGCCGTATCTCGCTAGAAACATACGTCCTGCAGTACCACATTTGGCTCGCCGAGGATGCTACAGCGAAGCTTTTCCTGGGATATTGGGAAGACCGCTAGGGGCGGTTTATCGAAACGGTGGTTCTCACTGCTTTTTTCATCATGCTTGCGGCAGTTGCAAGTGACAGTACCAGAACATGTGCTCGCTGGTTGAATGGACCGAGGGCTGTGGGACTGCTTTTAGGGCTATGGACTGGGAATGTCATATCCAGCGGGGTACCAATATTGGGAGTTTGAATGTTATGGTGCGAATATGTGGTATTGGTGGTATTAGAGGTATTGGGTCTGATGAACATAGGTAGGTAGGTACGTATTATAAGGATTGATGGTGTGCTATTATAAGGGGATGGAGATACTATATTAGGTAGATAAAGGGGTCTAAGTATTATATATACTCACGTTGCCCCCCTGTTAAAATTTCGTGTCTGTGGTTCATTACCTGACTTTATCTGACCGTTATCCATCGACTTTTTATCTAAAAATCACGTTCTATACTTGCTGATACCTACGCCTTTGACGGGCCATTGCACCTGCACTCGCACCCGCACCTGCACCTGCACCTTCCTCTCTCCACGGCAACAAGAACAAACGCAACCCGTGACTCACGTACCCACTAACCGACAAGTACCTTAAAGGTCGTAATTGCCGACTGCACTATCACTACGAAATAAAGGCCTGGTGGTGTAGCGGTAACACACTCCGGTTTCCTGAGGCGTGATAGAGGGGGTTGGTGGTTAGAGGATTTTCTTGGAATAGAGGATAGAGGATAGAAATAGAAAGTCGAGGACGGAGTCTCTGGAGTGACGCAGGTTCGAATCCTGCCCGGGCCATTCTTTTTGAGTTTTTGTTCTTTTCATTTTTTTTTTTTTCCAGTTGTGATTTATTTTCCTTCTCATACCAGGCAGGTAATGTCAACCCCTTTTTTTCTTGAGTGCTTATCTAGCCTTGTATTACACTTGGGGTAAAAGGGGTAAAAAGGAAGGAAGGGCATCCTAAATTCCTAACGGGCTTGCTCATGTTCAAAATTAAAGCTACCTCTAATATATTCTCCTTGAATAGAGGTATGTAGACTACTGCGGCTTTTATGATCTTATTACTAGAATTCCTAGCTAATACAGATATCTGTGCGCAACGCTGCGTTGATCCCTACGCTCTTGGAAAAAGAAAAATAAAAGACCCCGTCCCCCGCTCGTAATTCCATATTATAAACGTTTTCGAACCTCCGTAGGGAATACCTGATCTATCCTATCTTGCTTCTTGCGATCCCGTTACCTTCGTATGCGCCGTGTGCCAATTGGAATCGGTAATCATATTGCACCAAGGACATACTTGATGCCATATCCAGGTAGGCGAGAATTCCAATTCGGATACCTATGGGCTCTCACTTTAATCCATCGCCATGAGATTGTCTGACGATCGTTCGCTCTGGTCCACTCGTTCTCTGCCAACGTGCTCGATTAGCATACGCTCCAAAGCTTTCCGGTCGCCCTCGGACGGTCGGCATAAGGGGTCGCCGTAGTTTTCGACGCGGACGAATTCGATACCGCGCAGCTCAATCAGCTCGAATATCCCGAGAGCTTGCGTTATATGGGTCGTTTTCCGCTTGAAAAACCGGCGGAATAGGGTCTCCTGGTGCGTGACGAATTTGGTTGTGAAGGTCCCGATGATGACCGTTAGATGTGTTAGGGGGACCCGGCGGAGTTCGATGATGGCTTGGTCTGAGATGAAACCGGCCCAGATGAATTTGATGCGCGATAGATATTCGCATAGGATGTGGTTGGTTTTGATATGGTAGAGGATGGCGCAGGTGCATGGGAAGTAGAAGGTCTGTGGAGCGTGGTTAGGACTTAATTTATGATTTAGGGGAGGAAGAGGGAAGGGGATGCTTGCATACCTTTTTGCTGTACAGGCAAGGGAGAACTTCGAAGGCGAAGAACTTGGAAGTGTAGGCTAGATTTGTGTCGATAATACTCCTTCGGAACCCGAAACCAGACGCAGCGTGAATGCCAGGGCAGCCACACTTGCTATAATGCGTTCCTCGGCGGTGCCATATTACATAGTTGCCGTCGATCAATATTGGAAAGGGGGCTAAAAGGGTGCGAGGCTTGTCAAGGCCCATATAGTGCTAATATATGCGGTAGCGAACAGACGGAGGAAGCTTTTGGAGTCTACAACCTGACCAACGCAAGGAACCGCTTACTTTTCGATATTAGCATTGGATTAAGTGGAGTGATGAAAGTAGTGGTATATATTACTTACATAGCATGTGACTTGGCATGTCCATGATGGCGAATACTAATCAGATAATACTCGGACTTATAAAGCTAAACGCAAGTTGCACCGAGATTTGCGGCGAGTATACCAAGCTGGGTTATTATATATTGTCTGGTGTCTGGATGTGCTACGCTAGGAGTGTCGTGGAAGCAACAGCTAATGGGAGAGATACCAAGGCGCACTTGGAGCTCGAGTTTATCGAATATGATAAAGGTAATTGCAGACACGACGATGGGTAGGTAGTTCTTTCATCAGGCGAAAATAGTGTATGCATGCAATAACAATTCGACTTGAAGAATAGGGGGGAGGGAGGCAGGCAAGACCAAAAAAAAAGGAAGGAAAAAAAAAAAAAAAAAAACCCCAAATAAAAATTCTAAGAAAAGGGGCTGAAAAAAAAAAGATTTACAAAAAAGCTCAGTCCCAGGTTCGAATCCCCTCGGATAGGGGCAGGGGATTCGAACCCGGGACCTACGAAAAACCGGCTTCGTTGGGCGTCTGCTGTCAAGTCACGTTTCTTCTTTTTGGGAAGAACGGTCCAGCATAAGACACCACAGTGGGGTTTTCTCTGGCCTCAAGTCGCCCGGGCGGGGGGCGTCGGTTGAAAGTTGGTTTGCAATTAGGATATATAACTTTTACTTCGTGGGTGGGTAGGTAGGTACTTTGGTAGATGTACCTACCTCGTTGCCTGGGTTTCTGCCAGCTGGGGGATCAGGTGTAGCGGCAACAAGGTGCGTGATAGTTAGCACCTACCTAGGTAGAGATAACGGCCGGTACTGCTAGAAGTGTACCTAATATATGTATATGGCGCCAACTCTGCATACAAGTTGGTAGCTCTGTTGACAACGAATATATTCACGAATGTAATTCACGGTTTACGGATAGCCTAGAACTTGATAATAGTTGACTTTAATATCTACCTCCCAGGTATATAAGCACCCAGCCGTGACCGCTACGCTGAGTGTTATTCATAATTCATAGCCCGCTTCCAATCATTACCCGGCCCAACCCTTCCCGATTCCCCCCAATCCTTCCCAACCCTGGGTTACCTCATTATTCTCATCGTCATTCCAAACTCCTCATAATATCCCCAACCTATCCTATCCATTCGTATCTCATCTCGCAATGCATTCACCTCCGAGAACACCCGCGGACGCCGAACCGAGCCCGGCAAATGTAACCATGCTCCAAGCTATAGCCGCAGAGTCCCAGTCTGGCTCGGTAGCCGGCAAGAGGTCCGACTCCACAGAGGATCTAGCCGAGAACATGGTAGGTCGATATGCTTTTTCGTCTTCGTGTTTCTTAGACACCCTGGCCCGTCCTCGTCTTCGCCCAGGAGTCACAGTTCCATCCTCACTAGGTGTGCACGAGCTTGCAACACTTCCTATTCTGGATACACTTCCTACTCTTGAAGCGTCTCTTACTCTTGACGTATTCCTTGCTCTTGATTCATTTCTCACCCTCGACAAATCCCTTATTCTCGATGAACTTCTTACATTAGATTCGCTTCTTAGTCTTGACGCATTTCTTAACCTTGACGAACTCCTTAGTCCCGATAGGCCCGGCCTACTCTGACTTCTAAGAGTCATCGAATGTTCCGATGTACGATATTCGGGATAGTCGTAACTAGGCCTAATAGGGGTATAGGGGCTATAGGGCGTACGGGGCCTACGAAAGATCTTATCCTCGACGACGCGCCTAGCCCTTAGACGGAATTTGAAAGTCGGAATGGCCGATGCGATAATGTCTTGCACGCTTATAGCGCGGACAGCAGCCCACAAACCGAGACTAATCGTGCAGACTAGAACATCACACCCAACAGCGTTTACGGCAGGGTGGTCGTAGAGGGAGCCCAAAACTTTGCCAATCGCTGTAGTACTGCGTTCCCAGTTGGAACGCTCTTCAACATTCCAGGGGAGGAAGATACTGTGGCGATGATGATGAGAGTCGGGAACGTTATAGCGGAGTCCTTCAATGCTAGACTTTGCGTGCAATGCGAAAGACACGGCGGAAATAGTTCGAAATATCGTTTTCAACGAACCGTGAGCGTCGTGAGGATGCAAGTAGATGGTACCCCAGCTTACCGGGGCAATGGCTGGTAAGATAAGGGGTAAGAAAGTCGACGCTCGACCGAGATGAACCACATTCACAAACGAATGTGTGTCCGCAGCATAAGGAAGCAGGAATATTGAAAGATAATTCAAGGCCAACACTGTGAAGAGTATGCGAGGGCGCAATAGCCAATTCTTTGGTTTTGGAGCAATGACTTTGTCGCGAATCCAGACCAACGTCGAGAGAAGAGGTACGACTGGTGTCTCAAGGCTCTCGATTCCTGGGGGTAGTGGCGACGGAGTCAGGAGTAGAGCTACGTAAAACAGATTCTGTGCGAACGACAAGCTGACAAGGTGGGCTAGGATCAGAAACGAAGCTGTCAGGGGTATATTTCGTCGTCGCCCCTCGACGGATAGTAACATGCTAAAGGCCACCGTCGCGAGATCGATCTGTTGCCCCCACCAGAAGCGACGGGCTTTCTCGGCGACAATCTCCAGGGCATCGTAAAAGATGGGGGTGTCACTCAACCACTGGGTGATATAAAGAGAGTTCGATCTCCTCAAGTCCCTAGGTGTAAGGACAAGTTTCTCGGCGAGAAGATAGCTATATGCAGATTAGATACTGTGATAATACATATAATTAGAGCAATAAATGAAATACCGTTCTCGTTGGTTGACGCCATGCTCATGCGCCCATGTCTTATACGACAAGACAGCCGACGCCACAGAGTTGTAAGTCGCCAAAGAAAAAGCCACGGCTGCAAGTCCGAGAAAGATAGGAACCAATCTCCTGCGCTGCGCGTAACGCGATCGTGTGTCTTGAGCTGGACCTAAAGACTTATACGATGCATAGAGCCCGGCGGCGATTGCATACGTCAAGTAGACTATCGCTGTAAGATAGGTGACCACCACCGCCAGCGGAGTGTACCTGAAATTGATATTATTAACCGGTCCGGTCACAAGTAAACAAAGCTTTAGTAGCAATACATACCTCACCGGATGCTGGAACGGCACGGGAGACATAATGAAGCCAAAACCTCCCAGATGAATTCCCGGCGACGAAGAGCGAAGCTTAGGTTAGGTACCTAAGGTAATTACACGTAACCGTAATCGTAGCTGTAGCCGTAACCGTAACCGAAACGACTTGTGCTATGTAAGAGAGCTTACAAGGGTTGAAGTGCATCTCTATAGGTCGTCGCTTCGTGGCTGGGAGCTAGACAAGCTCGGGGGGAAGGGGGGGTGGGAAACAACCGCGCAGGAATTAATTGAGTTAATATGACGCCATGGTTTTTATTGCTATTGGATGAGAAATCGAGAAGAGGTTTCAGCAAGAAACAATGCTGCGCAGCAAGTCGAAAAGCAACTGCAACATTACATACCCCGCGTAAGTATTTTGTTCGTATAGCTGAATAATACAGCGTATATGAATAACCGTATCAATGGAATGGGCAAGACTAGTTCTTAGGTATGTATGAGATGCTATATTCGGGTGTGGTTTTTTATAACTTCAGTCTTCACCATTAATATCAATCAACCGCAGCGAGAATGGGGTCGGTTTATGAAGGTTTTATAATCTTTATGCACTGCTTTGCTGTAACTATGAAAATTTTGTGTGAAGTGTATATGCCTAATGCCTAATGACGATGACTGTTGTTGTCCATCGCTAGGTGCTGATGTGTCACTTTCAATAATAGTTTAGCTTGATATACTCTTAACACCAGCTCATCTTTTACATACCTAACACTTATACGTAACTCATCACATACCTGAGGTATACCATTGGACGTCTTCGAATGTACCTAACCAAATATTTGCTAGCAGGTATCATAATAACTACCACTAATTCTGCAAAAGAATATCTTGGAATACTTTTGTATTAACTAATATTTAAAGACTTGTAACATTATCTAGTTACATATAGCTGCCTTACGAGGTATGTATGCATCGTACTGAAGGTTCTGTTCTGCAGGTACAGCGTACCTATACTTATCCAGCCAGCCAATGATACCCCGTAGACGCGCGCTTAGTTCATTCCAACTATACTTGGCTGCCTAACCTATACAGGCTTAGCTTGAATATCATATCGCTGGATGTACTCAGGTATTTCGTACATGTAATTTCGACATTGCAGGTAATCAATTAATCAATCAATTAATCAATCACTCCAACCCCGAATCACAAGACGCATCATTGGCCAACCCCTTCTGAAACATTCCATACCTCCCTCAAAGCTCTCTCACGGGCTAACGTTTGCTTTCCCACTTAACTTGACCTAACTTAACCTAATCTAACCTATTACGACTCAAATAACCACCCACCATGTACCATCTCGCCAAGTCGCTGTACCTGCTCGCGCGGCGGCGGGAGGAATACTCCGTGATACTCCTAGGGCTAGACAACGCGGGCAAGACGACGTTCCACGAGCAGGCCAAATCGCTCTTCCTGCCCGAGCACCCAGACCCCAAGCTCAAGACCGTGCCGACGGTAGGCCAGAACGTGTCCACCCTCTCCCTGCCCGACATGTACCTCAAGATCTGGGACGTGGGCGGCCAGATGACCCTGCGCAAGCTGTGGCAGAGCTACTACGCCAGCTGCCACGCCATCGTCTTCATCATCGACAGCACCGACATCGGCGACGGCTCTCTCGAGCACGACGGCTCCGGCCGCCTCGACGAGTGCCGCCTCGTGCTCGAGGACGTGCTGCAGAATTCCGAGACGGAGGGCGTCCCGCTTCTGATACTGGCGAATAAGCAGGATCGCGAGGATTGCGTCGAGGTCGTGCGCATAAAGGAGGGCTTGGTGAAGAAGGTGTTCGAGGGCGAGAAGGCGTCGAGTATACGCGATTCTAGGGTGCTGCCCGTGAGCGCTCTGACGGGCACGGGCGTGAGGGAAGCGATTGATTGGGTTAGGTCGAGGGTGAAATGGAATAAAGAGTCAAGACCGCCAGTGATGAGGTGAGGGGAGGTAAGGAAAGGAAAGGAAAGGCTCTAAATAACGTCGCGCTATTCAGGTAAAAGTGGCCTTGGGTTGGTTTGCATTCAGCGTCATGGAACAGGCGTTCTAGGGTGAGGATGGGAGTTATCATTGAGTTCATCATGGGTATCTTTATTATTTTTGGGTCATCTATGGGAGTAGCCCCCGTCTGCTATCTCTCGTTCTCCGCGGACAATTCTGCCAGGAGCCCGCCTTTGTTCCTCCGCTTCGAGTCCTCGGCTAGCTTTTGATCTAATAACGTCGAGAACTCCTTGACCTTGTTGAGAGCGACGCCTGCGCACTGGAGCAGCGTAGCCGCCTCTACGGGTACGCCACCCAACTTTGCGATCTGGCATATTTCTCCGTGTCTGTTGAGACTGATGGTGCAGCTAGACACCCTCAATTGTTCCTCTAGGAGATTTGCGTCCAACAATGTGATCTCTCCTTCATAAAAGCTAAATGTGACGCAAAACGGCGAATGCAGCCAGCTCAATGGCACAGGCTCTCGCTCGGCGGGAGTATATACAGTTAAATTCCCTCCTTCCATGCTTGTGTCTGGTTTCCTGAAGTGGCGCAATGCTGCTACAACCGCGAAACATGAGGCGTCGATCAGGTTGCCATCGTGTGAGAGCACGTGCAGGTCGACTCTAATAGACCAGCACTTTTGTCCGGCGACGAGGCACAACGACTCGGTATCGAGAGCATTCGATCGGCGGACCGTCTTTTCAAGTAGTCTCGATAATAGAACTTCTGTTTCTGTCGGTCGGTTAACCTCGAAAGCGGGCGATGCCATGGGGCTGAGTTCTGTCGTGATAGTGAAGATGCCGTCGAACGGTCGGTCCGTGTAGGGTGTTGTGACTTCGGCCGAGACCTTGACAAGTATCCTATGTGGTTACGTCAGTGTTGTTATAGAACATTATGTATGTATATATAAATTAACTACCTTGTTTTTCCAAGAGTTACATCTGCGACTCCGTATTGGTCACCAAACTTGAGTTCGAGCTTTCGGTATTGGTCGAAGGCGCGGCCGTCGATGCGCAGGCCCTCTTGTAGTGCCTGCACTACGAAAGTGCGCTCATTGAGTGAAGGTTCAGCCTCTCGAGGCATGGCGAAAGGGGATATTGTAAGTCAAAAGTGTAATTGTTTAGGTATTGTTTCACCTCATTATTTATACCAATTTAAGTACCTAATGTAGGTAGGTAATGTAGTAGCAGCTTCAACGCGATAGTGGGGTGTTTGGCTCTGTGCATACCTTTATTCATCACTGAGAGCTTCAAAGTAAAGTTCAAAATTCATATGGAAATTCTGCCGGGCGGTGATCATACAAAATATGTACTTAGCCCATGCAAGATCGGGTCTTTGGACGGTTAAATGCCGACTCTGCAGCTAATCCTTTTATTAGTGGGACCGCGCATTGGAACTAGAGCATCCAAGTACATGTAACAAACAACACTTAAGACAAAGCTTCACGTATTTCATCATCTACAACTTCTCATAAATAGTAACAAGTTTGATATCGCAATATAATCGAAGATGACTACAGCACATAGGCCTACCTTCGACCCGGTATGTTTCGCTTCCACTTAGCTATTGTGAAGTAACTGCTAATTATATATTATATTAGGCACGTGGAAAGGAGGCTCTTCGAGGACCGGCCTACCACCAACGGCTCCTACCTGCTCACACCCAGCTCAAGTTCAGAAAACCCGGACAAGGAGGAGATGCCGACGAGACCCGCGACCTACGAGCCGAGCTTCTTGCCGCCGAAGCCGCCCACTTCGCGAAGCAGAACGGCGGCGCGCTTCCCCATGCCACCGGAGAGACCAACGAGACAGCATCCACCACCACCAACAATGCTTCGAAGCGACCGTTAGCATTGAATTCGGGGTCAGATGGGGATGGGGAAGACGGGGAAGACCCAGAGGCGAAGCGGCGGCGCATATTAGAAGAGTCCCGAGATATAGACGCAGATTCGGATTCAGAACAAGATGAAGACGACAGCGAAGAGGATAGCGACGATGATGAGGACGAAGAAGCAGAGCTGCAGCGCGAGCTCGAGAAGATTAGACGCGAGCGGGCCGAGAAGCGCGAGAAGGAGGAACGTGAGAAGGCCGCAGCTGAAGAAGCCGAACGAGAGCGGGACATTGCGCTGGGCAACCCGTTGCTAAATCCCAAGAACTTCAACATGAAGCGAAGGTATGTCAAATCTCTCCACGAAGGGCTATTTTTTTACCATTGTACTAATCGGCCTATTACAGGTGGGACGACGACGTCGTCTTTAAGAACCAAGCGAGGGGGACAGAGGACAAAGGCAAGAGAAAGGAGTTCATCAACGTACGTCTCGATACTTGTACCATTTCATTTTCATTTCCGATACTAACATTATATAGGATCTCCTGCGATCCGATTTCCACAAGCGGTTCATGAGCAAATACGTGAGATGAGATGTACATTACGCCATGATACCAGCCTACGAACATGTGGCATAACCAAGGCCAAAGAAATTACTACTACTGCTGATAGAGATTCGTTATGGTAGAGAAATTTCCTCTTCTTTTTAGAAAGAATGGACGGATGGGAAACGTAAGGGAAAGAAAAAAGTGTGCATCCCTGTTTTCTGCAAATTGTCACAATTTCAGAACCGTCCCTGACTTACGTGGGGCATATATATAGTACTAGTCCGGTATCCATGATCCGTGATGGCATTCAAGAGATTACTCGTAATGGGATATTAAACTACGAGGTCCCAGGAAGAAATCCTAAAGCCCCGCGAGAGATAGAGCTGTTTCTACATTTGTTTAGTTTAGCGGTACTGATTTCTCGGACGAAAAAAATACATTAAATTTTTTAAAAATCCACCAAGAAACTTCGTAAGAACGTAGCAATTTGCACGCTGAGGCTTATTACTCTAGAACGATTCGCCAGCCATCTTTAACCCAATTACTACCCAATTTCACCTTGTCTTCTTAGGCTCGGAAACACCGTTTACCCCGCCCTGTCTACGGCGATAAGCACTTAGAGTACCATCTACCTTTTCCAAGGCTCCTATCGCCGTAGTTATAGTTCTAACGCTATCATATAAGAGAACTGACAAGGAAGGTTAGCCTACGACTTTAACTTTGACTCGTCAAGAAACCTCTGGTTTGGGAACTGACCTGCCGGGATGATGGCCCATGGTAAGTTGAGCCCAACGAAGTAAATCCAAAAGTATTGGGTTTCAGGCCGGCTGTGGGAGCGGCCCGTGAAGTAAATCTCCGAGAGGCTTGTAGTGTAATATAGAGCCACGCCGTACAGATGTGCTATACACGCGACGATGCGAAGCGCATGCCGGGAGGGGCTCCCTCGGACAATAGCGACGGCGTTGGCGAAGCAGAGAGGTCCCAAGATAAACTATCATTCATAATGAGCATTCATTGTCATACCGTAGCGTCTGTACGCCGAAGCTTGGTCAGGCTGGCTTGGGTTGCTACTTACCATCGTAAGCCTCTCGATACTCAGAATGAAGAAATCGGACGTCAGGTAACGTGAGTCCGACAGCGCGTACTCCTTCCACAGCTGGGCGAATACATTTTGTGACGACGCAACGGTGGCGTGGTTGAAGACGAAGTATCCTTAGGGGAACAAGCTTAGTTAAATGTTTCTTTAGATGTGAAAATCATATTGTGCACGCGCATTCTTTCTATCGCCTGTATATAGACTGGGACCAGATAGCCGTGCAGTGACGTAAAGTAATAAACTCACCTTCGAAGAAGCAGTGCAAACAACCGTCTATAGATTCCAGTCAAGTCAGTAAACAGGAGATCCGATTAAATAATCTTAAGAGGGTGAGTTCGGTAAGCGACTTACTCAGAATAAACCAGCAAAACCGAATCAAATTGGTCCTTGTCAATTTCGGGTTTACCCTTAATGCTATCGCGGAAGCCCCTAAGAGTGCAAACACTATCATGCCACCCAGTGATGCTAGCAGCACAGGAACGGATGCTTCATTAGACGCGTAACCTGGGATAGTCACACCTAAGGGATAATACGGATGTAAAGGCTCGAAGTTCACCTCGACCTCAGGCGCGATAATCTCAGGTATGGCGATCTCGGGTGTAGGCGCGGACACGGGCTCCTCTAACGCGGGTTCCAACGCGAGTTCTTCCACAAGCTCGAACACAGGCTCGAACACGAGTTCGGGCTCAGGCTCAGGCTCAGGTTCGGTCGCGGGGGGTGCATCTCTGCCTAATAACGACCGCCAGTCGATGTTTAAAAGCACCCCGGCCATGGTCGGAAGTGTTGGCTTTATTGATATAAGGTACCTAAATTATCCGGTTGATCGAATGCAGGAACCACCAAGTCAGAGATGCTTATGGAAGCCTTGTTTTTTTTCAGGGGTGATGTTTGTTGATAAGATTGCTTGGCGTTCCAATGACACATCATAAGCGTCATCGGTTCCGAGACCCAGCTAGTTGGGCGGTTCAATCTTCAGTCTTTTATGTATAAAATGAAGCTGCTTCTACCTACTAATGTCTGGCGCATTTTGTCAGCCCTTAGCTACTAGAATAGGAGTTATATATCTCACTAACCTTGTAATCGGTAGATTTTTGTTTTCTTAAAAAGATAAGATTGATTTTCATTATGTTTTAGGAGGAATAATACCATCACCTAAATTCGGTCCGTGCCAAGATATAACACCGTCCGAAGTTATACAAGCACAAAGTACAACAAAACAGGCGAAATGACGGCCCTCATCGAAGTCTCGCTATCATGGCTTTTTAAGAATGCAAAGGGCCACGATGCGAAAAGCTTCTTCAAGGGACCCGCCTTCTCCGACTTTCAGGAGAAGCAGGAGATCACCGTCACAGCACCGGAATGCGGCCCCACCAACTCGGTGCTTGGCGTCGAATACACGCACGACGGAGCAGGCAAGTCCCCTGCTTTGCGGTGGGAGGCGCCTTCGCATATTGCGGGTCAAGTGAAAGAGTGGTTACTGGTTTCGGAAGATCCAGATGCGCCTTTGCCAACGCCTATCTGCCACGGGTGAGTGTTTGAGTAAATCTATATATGCTCTTAGCAGGGTCCTACACTAGATACGGGCCTGAGACTAAATTGTAACAGTATCTACGGAGGTATCCCGCCCACGAAGACAAGCGTCGAGCCCGCCGACTTCGAAATCAAGGATGCGAGCAAGGCGCTTCTTAAAGGCGGGTTCCATTACGGACGGTCGAGAAACGGTAGCGTTTACATCGCGCCTCGGCCACTACTGAATCACGGACCACATAGATGTAAGTGGAGGGTCTCACTCCGTTCATCTGAATGCCTTAGACGTAGCTAGCTTTAAGCCTAACTTGTCGTAGATTTCTTCGAGGTCATAGCATTAAAAGAACCGTTAGATCCTAGCTTGTTAACCGCGACAACGACGAGAGAGCAGATCGGCGAAGCTATCGTGGGGAAGATTCTAGGATGGGGAATGTGGGTGGGAGTCGCGGAAAGAAAGTGGGAGTAGAGGAGACATTTTCTCTTTCAGTTTAGTTAATTGATTAGTTATATGATGAGTTTTAAGCTCACTCATATGGGCCAATTTAAGATATGAGATTCGGCTACCTACATCTTTTTAATATGACGTACGTAGCTGACAAGATGTAAGAAGAAAGAATGGAAGGTGCCTACATGTTACATGTAGGAGTGCACCTAGGTAGGTATGTAGGAGGTAGAAAGAGCGGGTGATTAGGTGGGTACATCTATGGGTAATGGCAAGGATCGGTACCGAATTGTTGCCGAAACGTGGATAGGCGTTAAATCTTAAGCCCTCTTATATCCGTCTTTCGGATTCTTTATGTATGAAGCTGTAGCCGGTCGGCTATCTATCTTGTGCCTCATCGATCTTGTTCGTACGACAGCGACGCCAATTTTTATATTTTTTTCGGGCCCGGTAGATTGATATAGTGTTACCGGAGCCGTAAAAACATCCGCGCCAATGCCGGAGACCGGTGAAGAAACACCGCCGCCTCATGCGATGTCTAGCCGAATAAAGCGAAATACGGCTTGCACCAGCTGCCGAGATGCGAAGGTATGTCCCAGCCCTCGGTTGACTTGAACTTTCAGCTATGTTAATCCTTCTCATAGGTCCGCTGCAACCCCAGCCAGAACCCAGCCCAGCCGTGCCAGCGCTGTGCCAAGCTTCACTTGACGTGTGTCGTAGATAAGACTCATAAAAGAGTGAGCCGAAAAAGGTAACCATCTTCTCCTTATATTGCAGATCGGCTTATTAAGTAGAACAATAGTAAGTTGGACGAGCTAGTCCAGGAAATCCAATCTATCAAGCAGAGTGTTAGTGGACAATCAGCCTCGTTGCCGAGCCAAACAGCAGAATTCTCTCCGCAAAATGAGGTCCTCACGCCCCTTAAAGAGTCCGTTCCGCCACGCTTAGGGGTCCCATCACCAATAAGCGTCTCTGCGGACGTAGACGGCAGGGCTCCTGTTATAATAGCTACAACAACCAGCACCACAGTTGCTCCCTCTTCAGTAATACACACTCCCGCCAGTATACCACTTATTCAGGGCCCAGCCCCTGAGCCCGCACTTCCCAGAGCTCTTGGATCACAGCCATTTTCTGGTGAAGATGTTGAATATTATTTTCAAAAGTGAGTACATTGCTACTACGGACCGTGATAATAATAATAAAAATAGCGTGCCTCTGATACATGATACCTAGATATTTTGAGCATTATCATCCTTATATGCCAGTCGTACGACACAAGGACCCAAATAAATGTTACGATACTAGTCCGTTGCTTTTTTGGACCATCATATACGTAGCGACACGCCGCTACGCTAAAAACTCGACCATCTTTCCCTTTATGCTGGATTCTATTAAGCGGGATGCCTATTCGGCCATTGCTAATCCGCCCCTCTCCTTAACTTCAATTAACGCTCTCATCTTGCTTTGCACCTGGATTTTCCCAGATGTACGGTTCGTGAACGATCCGTGCGCACTATTTTCTAGCATATGCATGAGTGCAACTGCCCAACTGGGAATTCATTGTGGAAAAGGGGCCCATCCGGAATATAGTCATGGCGTCTTCCAGAACAACTTCACGGATGAGGAAGCCTCATTTACGTGGGCTGGGTATAACATAATCTCTCAGAGGGTGTCAGAGTTCCTAGGGCTCCCGCCTCTAGGTTGTCTATTCAATCAGACCATTCAAAACGTCATCGATGGCAGGATACCGTTTCAAGTTCCTTCCAACTTTCGTATCCTCCTCGAATGCCAGAAATTCTGTAATCATGTTAGTAAGACTATGTCGGTAAGCCTGGAAGACGCACGAGGGGTTTCGGCAAAGCTGGTTCAGCTCCTCGAAGACGAGTGGAACGCCGTAAGAGGACTTATATGTTCTGAACGCGCAGGTATGTGTCTCATCTCCGACAAAGTCCTAAGAATACGCGTAAGACGCGACTATATTATTATACTCTAGAAATTAACTATATATAGGCGACCTCGATCGATTTAACGCGTTGCTAGTACAGCTAGAAATACAAACATACTACATGATGCCCCTTCCGGGCTACAACCCGGACGCATTGAAACGCAACATACTGCGGACATATAATACAGCACAGGTTGTAATCCGCGAGTCCCTCGAGCTAGACGACAAGGTACAGTTCTTGCGTCATATACCACATTTCCATCTCCGGGCGCTCGCGTCTGCGGGATGCATCATATTCCGAGTTCTGCGGTCGTCATATATGTCTTTCATCGATCGCAAGGCCGCCGAGCGGTCAGCAGCCGACATCATAATTGCAGCACGGCGTGTTAGTATCATGGAAGCCGACTTACCTGCGCGCCTCGGGAACCTTCTCGAGTCCTGGTCTGACTGGCTGCTGGCTCACGGGGACCCCGCCGCCGCTCAGCCGCCACCACGGTCGTTCCCACAACTCCAGTGGAGCGAGGAGCCCGTGTCGGCGTTCTCGCACCGCCTCAGTGCCAGCGTAACTTTCGACTGCATGACCCGCTGGAAAAACGATCACCGCCACAACGCCCTCCGCTGCAAGTGCCAGTCCTCTGGTGCCTCTGGCGCTTCTAGCACTACCCCGGCACCCGGTACCGCCGGCGGTACGAACGGGTGTGAAACGCCAGCTGCTATGGCAGGAAGCGCCGATGCCCTGCAGAATATAGATTGGACATTCATGGACGACTTCGATTGGAGCTTTGAGCCTATAATGCCGGTGCTAACGGCACCGACGTGAGGGCGTGGAGCGAGAAATACCTATGCGGTATGAAGAAGATAATGTAAAAACAAAGCAAGCAAAAAGAGGTAATTGCTCGTATTTTAGGACTGGCGTATGTGTGGAGTGAAGCATCTACATAAGTAAATATAGTACGCGAGGTGCTATACAAATGTATACCTAGGGGATGAGCATACACCTGCCAAGCATACATGACGATCTAAAAGAAGATTGAACACGGGCATTAAATCGAAGGCAAAGGGAAAACGATAACAGGTATCTAGAGGAATTAAACACGCATACGCATGTATATTATACCACGCTATTCAGATAGGTTCCACAGAACATACGAAGCCAATAACTACCGTATCGTAATTAGTTTAGAAGAAATAGAGAATAAGGAGCAATAACAACAGGCTTAAACATTTTAGTTGCCTGTAGAAACTATGGAAAGTATCTATTTCTCCAAATCTGATCGCCGCCAGATTGGGTGCCGAATATAACACCTGATGGTATGCATGGTAAAGTATCTAGGTCCCTGAGGAGGTGGTAGTTGTGGCAGAGTCATCATATAGGTATAGGTAGAATGTATATGAAAATACCGAAGGCAAATGGATTAGAAATAAAAACTGTCTTCAGTCGCGATGCTTAAGATCGTTCAGAACATCAAAGGCTTGCCTGTTCAATATGAACACTGTTGGCTCACTGTCAGGATTAGTGCCTTTTGAGGTGAATCATGCACAAAGTAAGTGTCTGGGGTAGGTAGACCAAGTAGTGATTGTATTGAACTAGTAACGCCTGGCCTCTATCCTCTGACGAGGGCGCTTCGCACCTCTTATATAGTCGTAGACACCCCTGTAGCCACCCTGACCCGCTATACCCTGACACTCACCACCGGTCGTATCGATGGACTCGTTGTTGTTTAAGCCTCCAATTTGATTGATAGTCGAATTTAATTGATTGATGATCCATCTTCCCATACCAATCCATAATAAATTTTCAGCGCCCGGCTCTTGAGATCCGGAGTCCTCTGCTTGATCTCCTCAATGTAATCATCAAACGTATGCAACGGATTAGGAGGGCTCAAGACGGCTCTAATCCCGGCGTCCATACTAAACCAGACCTGCAGCATGACAAACACCCACTCGGTATTCTCCTCGTCCAGGCGCTTCATCGCTCTCGCATACCGCAGCTTCCTCTGGACGAACTGCATCGGCCTGTTCCTGTCGAAGGCGATCTCCCGCAGGCTAAGCTTGCCATACTCAAACTTAACCGCCGCCACGAACGGGTTGAGGCGGAAGCGCCGTTCCAAGTCGGCCAGGACCTCGGATAGGCCGCCTAGTCGTCGGTCGACGCGGTCTAATTCCCGCATCCACCACAGCCCTGCCGAGCCGATAAGCAGGTATTCGAGCCATTGCATGATTTGCCTCTCGTGAGCGGCGGCTGTGGCGGGGTCTTGGAGGAAGGACTCGATGTGCTCGATGAAGAGGTCCACGTCGGTAAAGACCATGATACGGCCGTGGATCTCCATGCCCGCAGCCCGCTCGTCGAGGTAGTCAGGGTTGAATCGGCCAATATCAGCTCGTACGAGTAGTGAGATGGCCGAGGTTCCGGGGGTAGTAGTCTGAGGGGTCTGCTCGACGGGGTTTGATTTGAAGTATGGAGTCATATCGCGAACCACGTTGTGCTCAGAAGGGGGTTCTGGCATGCATAAGAAAGAGGCGGCGGCATCGGTTTTCTCTTCGGTAGTCTCGGTCTTTTGACGTTTCGTTGGCGGAGACTGAGGCTGTCTGATAGCCTCTTGGTCATTAGCTGGGTGATTGGCGAGCTCGCCAATGTTTCTCTTCATGGATCGAGACATGGCGGTCGAACGAAGGTAGCAGACTTGGTGAAAATGCAAAGGGTTGAAGCCTAGTAAAATGTAGTTTGAATTCGATAAAGCTTTAGGTACGAAAAGCAGAGTTTTATATATATAAAAAATATAAGGGAGTCCTGAAGTAAGTGACTCATTTGTTTGCTCAACCTGTTTATTCCTGAGCTGGAAATTGAGGCTATACCCACCTCGGGTAATCATGCCAGGTGCCAGCGGTCGTCTGGCGGCAGCGATCTGGGACACAGGCTAACTTGAAACATAATCCTCACACCTGGAGGCTTTTCTATCGTTGAATATGACTGACTCATGGTGATTTCTGGCGTTGAAAGGGGGCAACACCACCTAGTCATCTCTTCGGTTCAACGGGTGGATACTACTGCGAAGGCTAAATGGATGATTTGGTACCTCTTAGATGAGGGCAATATCGTTTATAATATCTACATCGGGGAATGTATATAAGCGTGTCTATCGCCATCGTGGTGCGTGAATAGTGCAATGTTGAGCTGGTAGTTCTAGGGACCCATGACATCGCTACGAAAGGAGATCACACGTACTCACCCGGTTGAAAATGGGGTCATAGTAAATATTAACTTTATTCTAGTTATATAGATCTATATCTAGATTGTCTACGTGGGTGATTCTTTGGTATGTTTGAGTTAACTATATGCCAAACTTGGAGCTTTCATCTTCTGCAACTCTCTTTCTTGTTTGTAATGGTATTTCTGACAAGCACATGTTCTCAAGCAAATCTAGAATGCTATCCGTATTATGCCTTAAGGGCTAAGTTGCTCCAGTATTCCTGCATACCTAGGCAGCCAACCGCTCCTGTATTTAATCCAAGAAAACTAACAGTTAAATAAACCCATAACAGGCCGTCTAGCACAATTTACCAAACATAGCAGCGCAAAGACCAAACCAGCCGGCGACGTGACACTTCTATAAGCTATGTGGTTGATCTTATCATACCTAGGTTCGGGAACACCTCCCCATCATAAAAGAGGGAGATTACATTCCACCTTCGGATCTTGATTTTGGCCGTAGTCTACTGAGAGGGAAATATTGGTTGATGCTGGTAATATCATTGGACCTTTGATCGCACCAGAACCAGTTATAGATAGGAATCCGAACGGCTGAGAACAAAGGGGGTATCATTGGAGAGTATATATTGCTTGATAATGTGTCGATGACGTTGACACGGTCTTAGATGCCGTAGTAATGGGCTGTTGATTATATCTTGCTTATTTTTGGAGACACATGGGAGATGGGAGAGGGGAGAGAGTATGAGGACGTAGGAATAAGCATCATATGATTTGGCGTCTCCTCCCCCGGCGTGCATATGCGAGGTTCGACCTCAGGGTCTCCATGTGTCTTCTTCATGCTACGGTAGCAGTATAGTAGCTGGCCCCATCACTTGGATATTTCTCTAGGCGTGACATAACTGCAGTCTGCAGTCTGCAGCCGGTAAAACGTATGTATGTCGTAAGGCCGTATGTATGGCTTAGTCCTGGTACTAAGCAGAAGCAGAGGTTGACTCCTACCGGTCTCCATCGCCAGCTCCGCATTATTAATGATTACGACAGGCCGGAGAACAACACAGACGTTATTCGTCAGCCACACGTGCATACTGCATGCTACCATACATACATATCTTAGCTACCACGCACACTATATCCCAAACATCTAGCCCACTCTCCACGCATCAGCTCTTAGTCACGAAGTGGTGGCGGCGTAAGCTTAGCCCTTCCGTCCCGCAGGCATTATGTTCTAGAAACCATCGATTCGGTGCATCGAGGTGCATCAATGGCGACGGCGAAGTTGCTCAAGCCATTCTAGCTGTCCAAAAAACTAGGCCCATTACTACCCAATCCACATAGTTCTAGTCGGAACTCACCAACGTGGAGTGGCACTCGAGACGGCGCCCAACAACGACGTCTTGTCACTCCTAACCTGCGCAAACTCTTGCTGAGCGGCATAGTCGGTACTACCAGTATTCGTCGATCGACTGGCGAGCGAATAGTTTGCCTCCTTTAAACCTCGGTGATTCCTGGTTCCGATGAACGAGTGGCTGGCGGTCTAGGATCTTGCATGCGTGACCCTGCAACGCTGGCAGGTCGAGCCGTTTCAACTCTTTGACTCCAGATCAATTACAAGAGACTCATGCTGCTGTGACCGCGGCAATCTTCCGACCTAAGGCTTGGCAATTAAGATGGCGTCTAACGGGTTCTCCTCCGCGCCACACCCGACCCAATGAAGGATTGAGCCTCCCGAGGCTCGTAGTCCCTAGACCGCCTTGATCATTTCATCGATGCTGTAGGCTCTGCTGCAGTGACTGCATACCGCTTAAAGCCTTAGGAAACCCGAAATTAGCAGCAGCAGTGCGTTCTCGTCCCCATCAAAAGCTTTCCAGGAAGCTTCTCACCGGTTGTGGTAGTCGCTGAATCTCGCTGAGAGGCTCTGTCTCGAATTTACGGCCAGCGAGCTAGCTCCCCTAGTCCCGCGGCAGCCCTACGGGCAGCATACCCAAACAGGTCAAGAAACCACGCCGTTACAGGGCGACGCGCGGCGTATGCGCTTGATAGGTCACCTGTCACTTAAAGCTGTACCTACCTATCTCGGTAGTTATCGCTGTCGATTACATAGTAAGAGAGAAATTTGAGAACGTCCCCCTTTTTCTCTCTCTTTCCTTTCGTGCGTAAGGCGTAAGATGAATCCCCTAGGGACTCGGTCTAACTTATTACATATCGACATCTTACGATCCTTATATAGTGAGCCTCACTCGCCTAATGGGGACATAGGGCACTCGGTTCATTCCGTGCGAGCTACTAGTGTCTTCGTATCTTAACAAACGAGATACCTAAGTTGTGCCTCGGAACTTGAAGAAGAACCTATTACCCTACCGAGTAAGGGGATTGGGGTGAACGGCCCGCGAATGATTGATTTGGTGGATCGCTCTAATGCCAAAAGCAGGGATCCGACCCATAAATGCTATGTTTTCGGTTTGGTTCAGGCACCCCGTCATTCTGGATTGACATGCCCGTTTTTTGTTCTGATCCACACGTGTTAGGACTGGGACCCCCATACACACGAATGCGTGGGTAGTGTACCTAACATAGTACACACCCAGGTAGGTACCTAGATTAGGTAGATATCTACTAGGTACTGTCTACCAAGTAGCATCTCAGATAGGTATCCGATCGAGGAGTTCAAGTTGCTTGGCTCTGTCTATTAAAAGGTTAAGCTATCAATAAAAGTCAAGAATATAAGAGCATTATTACCTGTCTTGGACCACCTAAACAGTACGGAATACACACTCACATGTGGGAACCTCGGACTTGAGACCTTGCACGCGGACGAAAAGCCCTATCTTTGCGAACTCGATGGGAGAATACTACCTAGTACTGTATCCTAATGTACAGTAGCAACGATCTTGGTCGCAACCGGAGGCTTGGCCTTTGGGGGTCGAAAGGCGCAGGGTTCTTTGCGCGGGGCCGGGAGGCGTTAAGTAATCTAGTTAATAATAAGCGAGGACAAGGAGGACAGGCTTGACAGTTGACAGGGCAAGCAGGGGGGAGGGGGGGGGTTCTGGGCGACTTGGAACAGGGAATATGATCCTGAGATGCGATTTGGTCGTCAGATATGTGACAACAAGGGCCCCCTGCAAATACCATCCCATGATTCCCATTTCCCGTTCCAAGGATTTCAGTTGACAGGCGCTCGGACCCTTGTTAGGACATGTTTCTAAACAAGTATTCCGTACTTGCGGTTTCAATAATTGGACTGAGCGATCTGACCTGCCTTGACGTCGGCTTTGCTTCTCGATTTGGGCTGGCCGGGCGTGCAGCACGTTGGTCCACCCCAGCGAGTTAGTTTTTTAAGCATTTTGTTGATCGTTATCTTCAGTTGGGTCCCTAGGGGATCGTCGATGTGATTTTGACCCGTCGTTGCTATCGCTTCGCACGAAACATACCAAGCATGTACTACCATGTGTTGCTCATCCACGGGCCAAGAACCGGAATGGGGGCACCGGCCCTTTCATCTGTCAGATCCTTGATGACATCCCAGCATCCCTCCGCTCGAGATCTGATGCCAACAAGATGCTATTAACTATAATCCTAGACTTATGTATCGGGCCATGCCATAGCCGCCATGCCATGCCCTTGGTTGTCGCTCGCGGCAGTATGTAACTCGAACTAGTGCCTATTCAAGAAAAGCTATCCGCACAAATATCGGTCCTTTTTGGGAAGTTGTAGATATTGGCGTATGCTAAAGACTGTGCCAGCTACCCAATTTAGAATCGCCTTGTAGCCGATTCTGGCATAGTTCGGAACTAGATATATGTATTGTACCGTACTGGCTACAAAGGAATAAGTTGAGCCAACATCTGGAGAACTGTGGTTGAAGATTTGCTTGTTAACGAGTGGCATTTTCCGAACGACGCCCACATTGAAGGGCGCTATGCAAGCATGTGGCCATAATTCGAGCAGCCCTGAAGCGCTCACCGGTGTAGCTCTCACCGAAGACGGCCGGGGATGTATACAACCCAATATACAGGGTCTTACTCGCCGGGTTTGCCTGCGATAGGAGAGCAAACATCAACTATCTATTAGTCTTATAGCAATACTGCCACATGAATCTTTCCCTAATACAATTAACCATCATAATCCATACCTAAACGCATCACCAGGGAGAGGGATTCGGGTTGAACGAAGTCTTAATGAATTAAGTGTTACCTGCAGCAGCCTTAAGACGTTGGCGAGCTTTCAGATAGACTTAAGTAAGCCCAAGCCATTTTCTCACAGGCCGCAGCACGGTCAACGTAGTTCGGTAATTTGTACTAGTAGTAAGCGTACGATTACGCCTCAAGCCACGTTTATAGTGGTGACTGGTTAATATTGCTCCGGTGCATTGAGCACAGGTTCCTAAGCGCAGGGATTGTATCTATTGGCTCTCTACGTTGCTTAAGCCGAGTTGGCGTTTTTAGTTCCCCAGATCTAGGTAAGTAGGAGTACGGTATTCCGAACGACCGTC